ATTCGCTAAACGCAATTGATAAAGGCATCATTCCGATACCTTTTTGGGTAAAAAGCCTAGTTTCCAGCGTATCATAGCGTCAGATTCAGCGGAATTAAAGTTATACTATATGCATGACATGTGCCTGTTAATGCAGGTATCGGCATGCCCGCTACGACGCCTTTATGAGGTAGGGAATAGAGCATTATATCTCGCTTTTTAGAGCGTATCATAGCGCTAGATTGCGTAGAGTAGTAAAGTAATGCTATAGTAACATAAAAACACCCTAATACAGGTATCGTAACGGTGCCTTTTTGGAGTGAAAGACGTAGTGTAGCGCACTTTTTTAGAGCCGATTATAGCGTCACATTCAGTAGATTTAAAGTAATACTATAGTAGTATACCGCGATGCTTGGAAGGGGGGAGGAGGAGAAGAAGAAGCAGAAGAGAGGGGGAGAGCAGAGGAAGAGGCCAGCCACCCAGAGCCCCTCGTCCCTCTTTTGGAGAAGGGGGAGGGGTGGGTGGCATTTCATGGAGTGTGGGTGTGTGGAGAGGAGACACCGAGATCCGCGCCGGGGAAAACGGCCCCGGGCCCGCGCCCAGATGAGAGAGAGAGAGAGAGAGAGAGCGAGAGAGAGAGGGAGAGAGAGATTCGGGGCTTATAGGTATAGAAAGGGAGGAGATAGTGGGATTCGGGGAGATACTGGGAGAGGCGCAGACACTGCGGGGAGAGAGGGAAGGAGGCGAGAGAATGGGGGCTTGGGGAGAGAGCGCAGAGACAAGAGGACCGGGAAAGGGCCCAAGAGCGAGAGGTAGAGAGAGAGAGGGAGAGAGAGGGAGAGAGAGAGCGACGAGAACCGCAGACTGAGAAGCAGACATTCCGCGGCCAATATAGAAGAGCCGCTCGATCGACCGCTACCACCCCGCGCGCGCGTCTCCTCTTCTCCATCCCGCCTCGTTTTCTGCTGCTGCTGCCGCCCCTCCTCCTCCTCCTCCTCCTGCTCCCCCCATATCGAGGCTAGGCGGGCCGCCTAGCCTCGATATGGTAATGTGGGGTGCGGAGCGGGAGAGAGGAAGAGTGAGTGAGAGAGACAGAGCCAGAAGAAGCCAGAGAGAGCTGCACCACCACCACGAAGTACGATTCCCAAATGGTCTCTGCTAGCCTGCCCATCACTTTCATGACTTCCAAATTTCGCAAGCTAGCTTTCGCACCTCCCAATCAGTTTTTTTGGTGGCTTTTTGTTGCCACGTAACCCAGCCGACACCCGGGTTTATCGTCGGGTGACTCAAGCGTGTTCTATAAATAACCTGGGGCTATAAAGCGTTTTTCTGCATCAATTTTTTATAGAGATATGTCACTCTCTGTCACTCACTCTCTTTATCTCGCTCTTTCTCTCTCTTTCCCTCTTTCTCTCTCCTCTCTCTCGCACTCTCTCTCTCTCTCTCTCTCTCTCGTTTGGAGTGACTCTCCAGGTCTTGCTCTCCAGCTAACTTTGCCACTATTTCAGAATCTATCTCTTGCTATCTCTCTCCTCTCTCTCTCTCGCTCTCTCACTCTCGCTCTCTCGTTGAACCTTGGTCTCTTTCTCTTGCTCTCCAGCTAATTTTCGCTCCCTCGCGCTCTGCATATCTCTCTCTGTCTCTCTCCTTCTCTCGCCCCCTATCCCGCTCTCTCGCCGCACTATCTCGCTAAAATGAGCGGTCAACGTAGCCGCAGAAGCTTCAGCTAACGCGCCATGGAAATGTTTGGCGGCGCAGAGAGAAAGAGGAGAGAGAGGGAGAGAGAGAGAGAGAGACAGCTAGAGAAATCCTAGTGAATCCGTGGCTGGGGGAAAACAATCCTTTCTTGGCCATCCTCCCTTTTTCCCTCTTCCGTGGCCACCAATTGTCCCCTTTCCTTCCTTCCTCTTTCTCGTCGTCCATCGTAGAATTCCGATGGCGTGTCTGAAAGGGGGGTGATGGAAGGATTGGAGGAGGAGGAATCCCTTCCCCCACCACAATATATACCCCCAGGGTATAGCCTGGGGCTATTTTTAGATCGAGAGACCTGGGGTGGATCCTCGAGATCCGGGAGGTTGAATTTGGGTTGCTGGGCCCTTTAAAAGGTAACGGAATCGTTGGTACGTCAGGTAAAAACGTCTAAAAATACTGAATTTTTCAGAATATGAAACTAAAAATTACCATGTTTTATTTCAGGATGAGATTTTGCCTTTGGAAACTTCGACCCGACCTCGAAGGCCTAGGGGGTGGATTTGACTTGCCGGTCTCCTTAAAAATAAATTGGTGCATTAAGGAGAGCTAACAAGGAGACGTTTTTAGGTGGGCACGGAGTTTCTTAACGAGACCTAGCTCATTCGAAAGAGCTTGAAAAACTGAGCAAGGTCCCGTTTTCCGTTTCTGCGAAACGATAGCGATTAATTTTTAATAATTAAATTAAAGAATTAGCAGAAATTGGCATGTTTCCCCTGGCGCGGCGCGATTTCCTTGCAAGGATCGCCTCTGTGGGAAAGCCAGGCCCCGTCTTCCCTTCCCCATAGCGATTTGGCGCAGCCGGTACGGCGTTTGCCTCTCACGAAATTTTTTTGGACTTTTGTAGGTTCGATCCCTGAGCCCAGAATTCGTTTTGCTTTTTAATTCCTGAAAACTTTCTAAACGTGGAATCTAGTCCAAAATTAATTTTTTTTTGTGGTTTGCCCGTAACCGGTAGCGTTGCACTCGCGTCTCAGGGATTGAAATCGACTGGACCGCTTGCGCCTACACCGATGCTGTTCAGAACATTTATGTAACGCCTTGCGATAATTAAATAAATAATAAATTCAGCTTCCTAAAATAAAAAGCAAAACGAATTCTGGGCTCAGGGATCGAACCTACAAAAAGTCCAAAAAAATTTCGTGAGAGGCAAACGCAGTACCGGCTGCGCCAAATCGCTATGGGGAAGGGAGGACGGGGCCTGGCTTTCCCACAGAGGCGATCCTTGCAAGGAAATCGCTCCGCGCGAGGGGAATCATGCCAATTTCTGCTAATTCTTTAATTTAATTATTAAAAATCAATCGCTATCGTTTCGCAGAAATGGAAAACGGGATCCTGCTCAGTTTTTCAAGCTCTTTCGAATGAGTTAGGTCTCGTTACGAAACTCCGTGCCCACCTAAAAACGTCTCCTTGTAAGCAAGTTGTAGCTGAAGCCAACTTTGCAAATAAGATTTTTTTAATATTAAAAGTGTCCAATTCCACATCATCACGCGTAATTGTACAAAGCTGAAAATTACAAAATTAGGAACCATTTAAAATCACGAATTTCAAAAAATTCTGATGGCTATTTTCCTGAATGTTCCGAAAGCTGAATTTTCGGCTTTATAAGATTTTGGAACCTCTGGCAGACATAGCAGGGATTTTTGGGGAATCCCGAAACCGAGTGTCAGATGATCAAGTATCTCGAATCCAATTCACTGCTTTCTACGTCTCTTTAGCGCTAGAGTGCCGAATTCGATGCCTTCTGATTTGAAATTCCGAAGGGATACGGCAGCCCTTTTAGGGCATCTAGCAGCGATTCCGATGGAAATTGGGGTAGCCCATGGCATAGGAGTCTGCCTTAAAGGGATGCCTACGGCATAGACAATCGTTTACGCGCGGAAAAAATATCTCTGCGCCACTCCCCTGGGCGCGCTCTCTCCCCTGTTGGCTACTTGCCAATTTGTTGATGAGGGGGGATCGACACATGCCGTCGGCAGTCCTTTAAACGCCCTTTAATTCAGCTGAATTTTGAGTAGTAGTAAATCGACTTCCGGTAGTGGTAAGACCAGAGCGAGACAAAGGCACTAACCACTCACTCACAAGGAGACGTTTTTGAGTGTCGTCGGGACCTTGGCATGGGACGAAGCCTATCTGGTGCAGAATTTTACGCTGATTCCGAATATGGTAACCGTTTTTGCGGAAGAGCCAGTTCTCGAAAGTTATGAACGATTTAAACCTCAAAACAGTCCAAAATCGGCTACTTTCGATAGTCATAAAAGGCTTCGGAATAGGTTTCAGACAAAACTTGATAGTGCATCTTGTTCAGAAAAAAATTCTCTATAAAATAAGCTACTTAACTAAAAAATGCTGGAATTTTGAACATTTTTGTAAAATTATGGACCTCCCAATTTATCAAATTTTTCCAACTTTTCAATGATTTTGAAAAAGATGGTACATTTTATAGAGAATTTTTTTTCTGAACAAGATGCACGATCTGGTTTTGTCTAAAACATATTTTGAAGCCTTTTATGACTATTGAAAGTTGCCGATTTTGGGCTGTTTTGAGGTTTAAATCGTTCATAACTTTCGAGAAATGGCTATTCCGCAGAAACGGTTAACATATTCGGAATCAGCGTAAAATTTCTGCACAAGATAGGCTTGGTCCCGTGCCAAAGTCCCGACGACACTCAAAAACGTCTCCTTGTCAGCCCATCCCGCGATCGCGTGCAAAAATGGGTCTTCAGAATACGAAAAGCTCAACGGCTCATCAAATTCGGATGGGGAGGCCCGTGCCAAATGTCGGAAAGATATACCTCACGGCGCTGTACTTTAAAAAGTTTAAACTCAAAACTAGTTAAACTAGTTTAATAGTTTAACTAGTTTAACCATATACGATATGCATCGAAAAACCACTCGGTTTCACTCATGTTCGGATAGAAAGTGGGCTACTCGAAAAACTGTGAAAACTGTTCCGCTGAATTCCGAATTCCGCCCACTGCCGCCCAGTACGTATCGAACCGGGCCAGCCCCGGCTTCATCTACCCCTCCGGGACCCGGCTCGGCGTGCACCGGTGGTTCAGTGGCAGAATTCGCGCTTCCCATGCGTGTGACCCGGGTTCGATTCCCGGCCGGTGCATTTCTTTTTTGCTTTTTAAGCAGAATGGTCGCGATTTTCTGAACCAAGGTGTACATCAATCTTTTCATGTTGTGAAACCAGTACAAGAAAAGTTTATTTCAGCACAAATACACGTCATGGTTCCTGTGTACCTAAAATCACCTAAATGTTTTTAGGGTGATGGGTCGCCGTTGGGAAGGTCCTTCGAAAGCTCCTCCAGGACCTTCCACCCGTTCGACTGGGTGCGCAGAACGTATTCAAGGGATCCGCCCCTAAAAATAGACTTTTAAAGGGAGCAGGAAGGGCCAGAATCGACTGTTTCTTCGACTAGATCTCGACAGCAACGCGACAAGCCTAAACATACTTCCAACGCTTTGTTTGCCACTAAAATCTACCGGATACGCCCGGTAAAAGTGGTATTGAAAAGCGTCATTTGGAGTTTCGCGTAGCTGTCTAGATCTAGTCGACGGAGGGGGTCGATTCTCCCTTCTTAGCTAGGCCATGAAAAAGACAGACAATGGCACAGCTTTATGGTATTCAAAAGCTACAGTACCTTACGTTTAACCTCGCCGTCCTCAAGCCATAAATTAGCGAACCGGCTAGCCGAGCCCGCATTGCAGCTGGGATCTGAAAGATTTGCGTAATCTACAGGTTTTGATCGCAACCACCTTCGCCTGTTCCTTGAAATCGCGAACACTACGGTAGCCGGCGAGGATGTCTTCTTCCAGATGTTCAAGTCTAGAAAAAATTGAGTCTCACCCTCTTTCTCTGTCTCTCTCTGTCTCTCTCTCTCTTTCTGTCTCTCTCTCTCTCTTTCTCTCCATCTTTCTATTTTTCATAATCTAAAGTCTCCATAATTTTTCTGCTTTTTTATTTTCGGTCTTGCTAAAAACTTACGGTATTTGGTCCTTGTCTGACAAGTGCAGGTACAAAATCGAGGCCCCGATGTCGAAGACGCGATGCGAAAAGTGCATATCACCAAAATCGAGCACGCCGGTGAGCTTAAAGATCTCTCGATTACTCTATCTCTCTCTAACTATCTTTCTATCTCGCTCTCTCTCTCGCTCTCTTACTACCTTTGTCTCGCCATCAACCTCGTCCACCAAAATGTTCGTCTCATTAATGTCGGAATGTATCAGCCCTAAAACCAACGTTAAAAATGCTTCCTAAAATTTCTCTGCTAGATCGCCCTACACATACCGTAATCCAGCTGCGGCTGATCAAGCACTGTTTCTTGGACATCTTTAAAAATTCGCTGAACGAGCTGGAAACGCTCGTCGGATAGCATCTTTTTGTAGACCAGGATCTGAGCTTCCCTGAAATGAAAAGAAACGATGGGATTTGTCAGCTTACGGATCAAGGTATCAAATTGTTGAAGTGTATTCACAGTAGATTAAGAAATTACCTGGCTAAGCAATGATGATTTTCCGGGGAGATGAATGGCACATGCGGCTCCTGTGATCTGAAAATCATTTTTGCCGCCTAATTTTGTTAATTTTTAGTTGAAGATATGACCGACGGCCGGATAGCCTAACAAGGAGTCGCTTTTAGGTGCTTTTGGAGTTTCGGGACGGGACCTAGCTAGTTCGATAGAGAAAAAAATTTTGAGCAACATCCCGTTTTCAAAAAGTGCTGATCGATAAAGCTGTTTTAGAAAATTTAATTTAAAGTTCGCGCTTTTTTCTAGTTTTCGTGTCCATTTCCTCGGTGCACGTCGTTTTCGGGGCTGGGCAGGGCGCCATTCGTAACCCTCCGCCAATGCCTCCATCACGGGTTGCATTGGCGTATTGGTAGCGCGCTTGCCTACCAACTTTTTAACATTTTTTTGCCTCGGGTTCGAATCTTCGCGCTCGCTAACCCTTTGCTTTTTGGTTCTTGAGCCCGTTATCGGTGCATAAAATTTTAATTAGCGAAAAAGCAAAGAGTTAACCATAAATAAGAATCGAACTTGTGGCAAAAGGTCAAAAAAAATTCGTAGGTCATCGCACTAGCCACTTGGCCATGCCTAGGACGGGATCCAAGGCGCGTGGAGTCCTCATGTGGCGGGGGCCGTCGACCGCCGCAAATAACCTCAAATCACCACAAGGGTCCGGACACCGGGAACATTTTGAATTAAATTAAATTTTCTAAAACAGCTTTATCGATCAGCACTTTTTGAAAACGGGATGTTGCTCAGAATTTTTTTCTTTATCGAACTAGCTAAGTCCCGTCCCGAAACTCCAAAAGCACCTAAAAGCGACTCCTTGTAAGTTTTGCCTTAAAATACTCACTTTTCAACATGCATCGAGTCAAAAACTTTGTGAATCCCCGCCAGCAGAGCACCGATTTTTCGACATAATTCTGGCGTAAATTGGAAATTCTCTAGATTACTTCCGGGCAATAACTGGAAAAGTCGGACGGGTAGGCTCACTGAAAATTGACATATTGGGCAGGCTAGCAGAGATCATTTGGGAATGGAAGGGGCAGGCTAGCAGAGATCATTTGGGAATGGAAGGGGCAGGCTAGCAGAGATCATTTGGGAATGGAAGGGGCAGGCTAGCAGAGATCATTTGGGAATGGAAGGGGCAGGCTAGCAGAGATCATTTGGGAATGGAAGGGGCAGGCTAGCAGAGATCATTTGGGAATGGAAGGGGCAGGCTAGCAGAGATCATTTGGGAATGGAAGGGGCAGGCTAGCAGAGATCATTTGGGAATGGAAGGGGCAGGCTAGCAGAGATCATTTGGGAATGGAAGGGGCAGGCTAGCAGAGATCATTTGGGAATGGAAGGGGCAGGCTAGCAGAGATCATTTGGGAATGGAAGGGGCAGGCTAGCAGAGATCATTTGGGAATGGAAGGAGCAGGCTGGCTTGGGGATTGAGAAAATGACTTACTCCCCGGCAGGACCTCGAATGAAGCCCAATCCAAGCCGTCAAGTCTTGGAACCAGGGATACTGTAGGAATTCCAGCTTTCCGGAGTGCTGTGTAGCATTGGTGTTGAAGTTCTGAAAGTTCTGTTCTGAAGGGAGAGAGCGAGAGAGAGAGATAGAGAAAGATAGAGAGAGCGGGTGAGAGAGATATCACTCACCCATATGTGCCTCATTCCTCGCCTCAATCGGGTTTGTCACTTTCACAATGGCTTTTTCGGGCTTTACCTTCATAAACCGCGTCATTTTTGTGTCATATTCGATGTCGTCCAGCCGCATATTACAGTCCTCATAGCCGGTTAAATGCGTAATTTTGGCTGAAAATACCGTATAAAGTACGAGAGGAAAAATCCTTCTGCACGCACTAATGAAAACGACATTCAAACTAGCGCCACGAATAAATCGGGATTATTTTGGTCGGTCGGGTTTGGTCTTTAGGGATTTGAGCTGCCAGTATAAGGTTTTCGGTATATTGGCTGTCGGGATTTTTGCTGTCGGTATCCTGGCTGTCGGCATAAAACTACCAAGATTTTCGCTATCGGCTTTTAATTGTCGGGATTTTAGTTGTCAGCATTCTAGCTGTCGGCATTTTAACGTTTTGCCGGTACTTTTAGCTTACGATTAGTTTATATAATTTACCTGCCGTAATACCGTACTCGTCCCTCAAAATCTCTCTCATCCGCTCATCCGATATCACGGGGCATTGCGTCGGCTCGTCGTGCCCGTAGAGTACCGTCATATTTTAGCGAATTTTTAGGAATTTAGGCGCAATTTAGGTAGCTTGAGATAATCTGACCTAGAGTGAGAGTTATGGGATGCCAGAAAATCAATATGGCAACACTGGAACGGGCAATGATAACAGCGTGTCTGTCTGGCCGCCAATCGCGCAAAATTAAGCCCCCGAAAATGCCTTGGGGAACTTTTTACGGTGCGCGATGGATTATAGGGTATAATCGGATCGCAGCCAACGTTTTTGAAGCTTTGATTTGTAGGTTTCTAAGTTGATTTCGGAGCGTTCCATCAAACTCACATCTGGAAGCTCAAACCGGTTCGCTTCTCGAGCTTAAGCACGTTTTGAAAGTTGCCAAACTTGAACATGAGAAGATGTGAAGCTCCGGCTTGAGATTCTCAGGCACATTCTCAGCCAGGCTACTGGCTACGATTTACATTCATTTCGCCGAATTTTCATATCGCCGAATTTCCATATCGCCGAATTTTTATTTCGCCGAATGTGTATTTCGTCTAAAGTTTATTGCACAAAACTTCATTCGGCCGGTTTTTCGTAGCCCGTTATCTAGCGAACAATTAAAATATAGCTCAGCTGGCCTCTTCTTCAGGAATAGGTCGAAGCAAACATCAGTGCCGCTGTTTTCAACGAAGGTAAAGTTATCTTCTTGATGCTCCGACAAAATCATGTGGCAGGCGGAGCAAAATATTGTAAATTCCAAGGTCTCCAACATAGATTTTCATACGTAATTCGGCGAAATGAACATTCGGCGAAATGAAAATTTGGCGATATGAAAATTCGGCGAAATAAAAATTCGGCGAAATGAAAATTCGGCGATATGAAAATTCGGCGATATGAAGAATCACCACTGGCTACTCATGGTATTGGCTACTCAAGGCGGCATGAAGCTCACCGAGCACCAGATCCAGCCGGTGAAGTTCGCGCCCAGCCCGCCAAGGCCGGCCCGAGCCGGGCCACTCGCCTCCTGCCAAGTTGACTGAAATATCATGCTTTCCCGGCTGAGCTTCGAAAAACTCCTGCTCCTCCAGACGCGCTTTCCCGAGCTCGAGAGCACCTGAAGCCCAGCTTTCGGAAATGTCAAACTCCTCAAGCCTGGCTTCCGGAAATGTGAAGCTCCTTCAACTCAACCGCCCAGAAAGTTCAAGCTCCTCAAGCCGATCTGGCTTAGGTGCCAAGGCCCAGGAGCCAAAGTTTTGGCCTGCCATTCCAATTTTCTCAAGTCCAGGCTTCAAAGCACAAAATTCCCGAAGCGAGCTGAAAGCTGACGTTGTCAAGTGGAAGCTCGCTTTTACCCCAAGTATTTTATTTATGAACTAAAAAGAGCATGAAATTCAAAAAAATCCTTTATTCTCATCGCACCTATATATTCACAAGCCAACGAAATCACAGAATCACACAAAGTAAGAAACTTGGAATGTGGGGGATACACGTATGAGGTATTGGCCGAGTCGGGGGAGGGCATCAAGGTATGCAAATTCACAATTTCAAAGGCACACTGAAGTGTCTGGTCGACAATCTACCCTCTGGGGGCATCATAGCGCAATCCCTGGATGTGGGCGTACACCTGGTCCACGGTGTACTGCTCCAGGACGGCCCCGTCGTCGGTTGTCTACAAGTTACGGTTGAAAAGGATATTTTTATCATCAGTGGATATTTCCTCAAAGATCTCTGCTAGCTTGCCCAAAATGTCATGATTCATACGCGAAATCCTTAAATTCATACCTTGCAGGTCAAAGCGATGGGCTGCGCCTGATTCGGCGGATTCCAGATCGTGTAGCTGCCAGGGGTCAGCTGGAGCGTGTCGTAGCCCTGAAAAAATGTCAAATGTTTTTCTTCTCCCCCTTCCATTCCCAAATGATCTCTGCTAGTCTGCCCCTTCCATTCCCAAATGATCTCTGCCCGCTTGCCCTGCTCACCTTGTAGACGTAGATGCAAGCCTCAGTCTTGATCCTCGCCCCATTTTCCCCCTCGGCCAAGCAGGTTTGCTCGATCTTTGAGTTCTTCGAGGTAATGTACCTGAAGAATTACTATGACTTTTCCTTCTCTGTCCTCCCCTTCTCTCGTCCCTCTCTCTCTCCCTCCCTCTCTCTCGCCGCTCTTTCAAAACCCAATTTCCAACCTTCTATTTACTTTCAATCTCTCTCGATTTTTTTTATTTAAAAACCGACCATCTGCAGCCGATCACCCGATCCATCATCGTGCCATCCGAGTCGCGGACGTGGCAGCCGACGGCTTTCCGGCCGAATGAGTCAGAGCGGATCTGCAAAAATCAGTTTCAAAATACCAAAATGTTTCCGCAATGATCTTTGCTAGCTGCCGCGATTCCCATATGATCTCCGCTAGCTCTACCTCGCACTGGAAGACGGTGCGGTTCTCTCGGTAGCGATCACCATCATACAACCTCTTCTCCCTCCACAAGCATCCAACGCACACCTTCTGGCAACGGCCCTTGTTTGACTTGCAGTAGTAGACGTACTGGCCGTCCTAAAAAAATTGGATTTACAAGCTAATTTTGTTTATATTTTTCTTTGGTTTCTCTCTCTAGCTCTACGTCTCTCTTGCTCTCTCGTACTCTCTCCCTCTCTCGCTCTCTCGCTCTTTCTCTCTCGCTTTCTCTCTCTCTCTCTCGTTTTATCTCTCGCTCTCATTCTCACTCATTCGCGCCTCAGGCTCTGTCTCTCTTTCTCTGACTCTTTATCACTCTCTCCCACTCGCTCTCTCACTCGCTTCCTAGCTCCACACCCGATTTCCGGCCCAAAACACAATCCTATGCTCCAGAAAGTATCATTTTCTGCATTCAGAACTGGATACAGAGAGAGAGAGAGAGAGAGAGAGAGAGAGAGAGAGAGAGCGAGAGATAAAGAGAGAGAGACATAGTGAGAGAGCGAGACGGGGAGCGAGAGCTAGCGAGAGAGAGAAAGAGAGAGAAGTGAGAGAGAGAGAGAGGGAGAGAGAGTGAGATGAAAGGTACTAGGTGTAACCGGGCGGGGCCGCGATCTCCAAAAATCCGCGGCAAGGCTCAATTTTTCAATTCTTTTTGGCTCCGGTGATTTCATTTTTTTGCGCCTGGAGCACCGGAAACGGGACCGGTTCCCGTTGGCTAGGTGAAAGAAGGGGGGATAAAAATGACTATCAAAGTGATACCCGGGGCGGGGTATTGTAAAGTTCTCCATTTTTTATGCACCGGATATGGGGAGGCGTCTAGCTCCCGAAAAAACGACCCTTGATTGATGGGCTCGTGCTCCTCGAAAATGGAAAAATCGAAAATTGAAGTTGACCATCGCCTTTTTTGGATTTCGTGTGAAAGCAAAGGTCGTCTGGGGAAATTTGGCCAGCGCAGGGTCGTAGATAGAGAGAGAGAGAGAGAGAGAGAGACAGGGAGAGAGAGAGTGTGTGAGAGATATGGACCCGAATTAATACTACGGTTCACCTACCACGAACTGCTCGCCAACTTTGAAGAATTGCCCCCGCTCCACGCATCCAATACTGCACATCGACACGCTGCCATTGAACTTGCGCTGGCACTCGTATCTGAAAAACAAAATTTGAAAATTTTCTACTTTTGCATGATACAGTCCACGCAACGATAAGCGGCAATACGCCACGGTACGCTACGATAGGCTACGATAAGCTACGGTACGCGACATTGCGCGACCATACACTGCAGCGGGCTGCGATACGATACGCAAAGCTACGCGACGATACGCTACGCTACAATGCCCTAGGATACGATGCAATACGCTACGATTTGATACGAGTCGCTTCGTCACATGACCATACGCTACGATACGCTACAATACGCTACGATACGCGCCGATAAGCTGCGCCACATCGCTATGCAATACGTTACAATATGCCATGATACGCTTAGATACGATACGATAACCTGCGATGCCCTACGATACGCTGCGGTATGCTACAGTACGCTAACATACCCGACGATACGATACCCTAGCCATCCCAGTCCCATACCTGTAGTCTCCATAATCGTAGCTCTCGCCAAGGGCCAACTTCCTGGTCTTGTCGTGCGATAGGCAGCCGACCACTTCAGCCTTGAGATACGGGCCATCAGGCTTGCACTGCCAGTAGTAGGTTTGCTAAAAATAGATCGTTACAGCGTGATGATCGAACGTCAACAGGAGCCTGTTGGAATCTAGGAACTTACCGATGGGTCGACCCACTGGTCGTAGGTCCTGTAGCGACGGTCGTCAGGCCCGACACAGGCCGTTGTCTTGAACACCAAGTAGCTCTTGTCGTCAAGAGCACAGGTGATTTCGTAGCTGGAATGGGTTGCTGAGAAAGAGAGATAAAGAGAGAGAGAGAGGGAGAGAGAGAGAGAGAGAGAGAGAGAGAGCGAGAGAGAGAGAGCAAGACAGAGAGAGAGATAGCGGGAGAGAGAGAGCGAGACAGCGAGAGAGAGAGGGAAAGAGAGATACCGTACCCGTTCTGGACGTAAGTAGCCCATAGGTTGATCCTCTGGTTATCCTCGGTGAAGCAGCCCTCCGGATACAGCTCACCGCGTCGGCAGGTGTACCAGTACTTTCCTGAAAATTAGAGTTTTCCATCTCTCTCTCTATCTCCCTCGCTCCTTCTCTCCCTCTCTCACGCTCTCTCACTCTCTCGCTCTCTCCCTGTCTCTCTCTCACCTCGATCAACGCGTTCCCCCTCGTTCCACCACTGTGCCGGCCGCCCATTCCCGGAAGTCCAGCACCTCGACCTGGCCGCCATGTCCCATTGGGCCCACGCGCCGGACACCAGCAGTAGTGTGTACACCAAGCGGTCCATAGTGACTGTAAAATTTGAATTTCGAGAGAGAGAGAGAAAGAGAGAGAGAGAGGGAGAGAGAGAGGGAGTGAGAGAGAGCGAGCGAATTTTTTGCTATTTTGGAAGATTGAAAAAGAAACGTTTTTTTTCGTTTTCTGATATTTTTCACAGATGACTATTTTTTTGCCAGGTCTGAAGGAGCTCTAAAGTTCGAAATACGAAAAAATTATCGGATAAAAAAGAAAAAGATCGTATGCACGTGAAAGTAGTAAAATCCGTACGTTGGGAAATTTGAAATTTAGGAATCAAAAACATTTCAAAATTCGAGGCCAAATCCGAATGCTCCCAAATCCCGAGCTGGCCTAGCCGCTGATGCCGATCCCTCGCCGGCGCCGGGCTTTTCTAGCCGTTCCGCGCTCCCGGCCCGGCCCCAGAAAGGGGCGGGGCCTAGCCAACGACTACCAAGTGAAGATCTACGAGGCTGTAAGAGGGATCGAAACAGAACGGCCTCTTTCCGGCTTCTTTGGGGGATATATTCCAAATCTGGAACTGTGTCACGAGCCTAAGAATGGCAACAAGTGCCCGAAAAAGTTCCCCTCCCATTGTTAGCCCCAGGCAAACAAGCAGAGAGAATTGTGGCGGTGGCAAGGGGGGAAATCTGGATTTCGTTTTTTTGCGTTTGGATGTAGCGGATACTGTAGTTGGAGACCAAAAATCGTGGGGGAGCTCCAATGACCTTTTCTAGCCTGCCCACGCTGCCTAAATGATCTCTGCTAGCCTGCCCCTTCCATTCCCAAATGATCTCTGCTAGCCTGCCCCTTCCATTCCCAAATGATCTCTGCTAGCCTGCCCCTTCCATTCCCAAATGATCTCTGCTAGCCTGCCCCTTCCATTCCCAAATGATCTCTGCTAGCCTGCCCCTTCCATTCCCAAATGATCTCTGCTAGCCTGCCCCTTCCATTCCCAAATGATCTCTGCTAGCCTGCCCCTTCCATTCCCAAATGATCTCTGCTAGTTTGCCCCAAAACTTTTCTAAATTGCACCAGTTTACTGGGTCGCTGCAGATCCGGAACCGATTTTTTGGAAAACACCGGGATCGGGATAGGTTACCCCCGGTCGGGACCAGGCTAACCATTTGGGTCTTGGCGTGATTTGACCCAGAGAGCGCCACCATGGCGCCCGGGTCGCCATCGTGGAACGGGGCAGCGCCGCACGGTGAAAACGCGCTTAAAAAGTGCAAATGATAGCCAGGGCCGGCTATCATTTGCACAGCGCTCAAAATCTGTGTTTTTGATCCGAAAGGAGTTGGCAGGAGGTTTAAAGGGACCGGTAAGGGGGCAGAGCGAGAGGGAGAGAGAAATAGAGATCGAGAGAGAGAGAGAGTGAGTGAGTGAGAGAGTAGATGATTCTTGAAATCAGGCGCTCCATACAGTATCAAATTATCCGAGAACTTGCCCCGCAATTTATACCCCCCCCAATGCTCGGGATTTTGGACGCCTGGCGGCACATCTCAAGGCCAAACAACTTGATTTGGCTTTCCGCGCGCGGGGTCCCGGAAATTTTGACATTTGTTACACCACGAAAATAGAGCCAAATGAGGGTTGTGGTTGGTCTCGAAATAATTCTACAGATAAATGGATAGCAGAGATTTTTTGCGAATTTAGCCGCGGGGTTGCCGAGTTCGGAACGAAGAGGCTAAAGTCTAGTCTAGAATAGAAATAAGCCCAGCTAATCCGGAGACAGACACGGAAGTTGTAGTCCAAACCAGACGAAACCCAAAGTAGCACTCCCGGGTTCAAAACCCGCAGTTTAAGGATTACGGATTTAGAGCACCTTTTAGGCGGTGGCCTTGGCTTTTTTTGCAGCACGCATTAGCAGAGGCGCGGTGGGTTGCTATTGTTGAGCATGCAAGAGTGTACTTCCGCTTCGACCGGGCCCTGAAAAAATTTTAGGAAAATGTCAGGTCAGAAAAGGGTTCAAGGCAAGCGGGAGTGGTATCTTGTGGAGCGGTATTAGGGTGAGGCTGGCAGAGATGCTTGAAGGTGGATGCCTCTAGATACGGGTTTTCATGCTCGTGCTTGAATTTCCGCTAGGATCTGCCGCTCCGGTGTTTTCACTTGCAATGCCTTTAAAAGTATCAGAAGTGAAGAGATCGACCCTTCCAAACCCTAGGTCTAGACAGTTACGCGCCGCTCGAAATGACGTATACCCTACTGAAATTTCGCTGTTGATACCCCGTGTTGCAAAGCGTCGATTTCGCGCTTCCCTGTCCCTGTAAAAGTCCAAAAACCAGCAATCATCTGGGTTTTAGGTGATCCCGGTGATTTTTCGTAGTTTTTCCTACCTTAAATGGGCCTTCAAAACCGGATACCATAAGCTTCCGGCGCTTGATCCTTTAGAGGTTGTGTAAATCTCATAATTTCCGCTTTCTAGCCTTGTTTTTTATGTTTTTTTTCCGCTTCCGATGACTCATCCGCCATTCCAAGAATGCCAGCAGAATCTAGTAGGCCAATTTAGGGGGAACACACATTGTCGCGCCCCCGCCCAACAAAAACGAACAAAAAACGCGGGTCTTCAACCAGTTTCACCCCAGCTTCAAGGCTATTTGCATACACCTCCGGAAAAAATTTCCATAGAACCGTTCCCCGCCCATTGTTCCCTGTTCTCTCTTTTTCTCTCTCTTTCTCTCTCTCTCTCTCTCTCTCTCTCTCACTCCAAAAATTTCTGGGTCACCCCCCGCCCTCAAAAAGGGAAACCGGAAATGGAAATTTTTAGGGGAAGTTCTGAGGTCCTAAAGGGGTTTGGAAGGCTAATTTGATGGATCCGGTTTTGGTCTATGGTTTTAGGCTAGATTTGGGCTGGAGGAGAAAGTCGGACTCCTTGCACTTATCGGACGGAGGGTTGGAGCTCTAAAATCCGAAGCCACGATCGAAGAAATGATCCTCAAAGCTCGCTGCTCGCTTGCCCAAACGGCTCAATGAGAGATAGGGAGAGACAGAGAGTGAGAGAGTGAGTGGGAGTGACATAGAGAGAGCGTGAGAAAGAGCGAGAGAAAGAGAGGGAGAGAGACATAGACAGAGAGAGATGGATAGAGGAGAGAAAGAGAGAGAGAGAGACAGAGAGAGACAGAGAGCGTGAGAGTGAACATACAGACAGATGATAGCAGGGAACGCCTCGGGGGAAGGTTGGCCCACGGAAGCCGCAAGGTATACAGATTATTTGGCCTCCTTTAGGGTCCCCCACTAGACAAAAATCGACCATTTTGCGCATTTCTTTGCTATTTTGCTACCGCGATATCAGTTGAATGTCCTCCACAAGGGCAAGTTTTTACAATTTTTCCAAAATTACGAATGCAACATCAATGACCCTTTTAAAATGTGGATTTTGTCTTTAGTGGATCTTTAAAATCGGTAAGCTATGGGTTTTGCCTTCAATGGTCCTTTAAAATCCGATACTCAAAGTTTTCAGACGGCGCGAGATCTCCGCGAACCGAGATCGGAGCGCTTCCGCGCCAAAGTCCGTGGAGCACGAGCTTCCTTGACATGCAGAAACCTCAAAAATTGGATCTTCAACTTTTTACCAATTCTAAAGTATACCCCATCTACAATAATTGCGAATTGGCCTCTAGATGGCTGCCGCAATACGACTGGCGCCACTCGTTCTTCGGCGATATCAGCGGTGGGCTGACGATGGCCGTGTTTTGTGTGCCGCAAGGTTGGAGTTTGTGGTTTATAGTTTGTGGTTGTAGTTTGTGGCGTGGAAACTAGCTAAGATTGGCGCTTAACGGGCCTAGTAAGCTTGAGTAGCAACCTTTGCAACGACTAGGCCTGACGGGCGCGACTAGGTCTAGACTCGAAGCGCAAAAAATCGGCCTGACGCACAAACCATAGTGAGAGCTTGGATTTTGCCCCGACAACAGTAATATACGCTATCGAATGCTGTCGCACGTCATTTGGTGTCACGCGCCTGTTTAGACCTGGACAACGGAAGGGGTTGATTTTTGTGCTCACCGGTCTCTTTAAAGGAACGCTGTTATCAAAAATTTACCTAAATTTCTTGCTGATTTTAAGGCGCCTGCCATTAATGCGTGAATTTTTAGGTATCGCTCTGGCAGGCATCACCGGCGTTGAGCCGGTCTACGGATTGTATACAGCCATTTTTCCTTCTTTTCTATACATCTTCTTTGGGACGTCAAAGCACAACGCCTTGGGTAAGATTAAAAGGGGTCAGAAAACTCAAAAATCGACTTTTTCAAACGACTAGATCTCGACAACTACGCAACCTTCCAAAACACATTTCTGACTAATTCCTTTCCCTGAGAAAAGTGGCTTTGAACGTGCTACGTAGCTGTCTAGACCCAGTCGATGGCAAGGGGTCGACTCTGGCGCTTCAAAGCTTCTTTAAAACAGTCGTTTATAGGTGGTTTTGCTGTACTTTCTCTGATGACACACTCGGCCATTGAAAAAGTCGTCCAATCAACCGCGGTACCGTACAACACTACAGAATACAGGAATCGGACGGTATTTCCGAGTTTTGGTACGGTACTCTCTCTCTCTCTCTCTTTCTCTCTCTCTCTCGCTCGCTAATTTCTTCAAATTTTCAGAAAACATGACAGAAGCCGGCCTGGAACTCACCGGAAATGAAACGGAATTCCTGAACGCTACTTTTTACGAGTACGTTTTTTGCGAACCTTTCCATACTTAGTAATTTTTAGTGACCCAGCGCTGCTGAATCTTACCTTAAACGGCTCCTCATTTATCGAAGAAGTCACAAAAGTCGAGTGGACGAATGGATTTCGGCCTACGCAGCCAATCGTAGTCGCTACTACGGTGTTATTCTTGGCGGGACTTAGCCAGGTAAATTTACTTACTCTATCTCCCTCTCTCACTTACTCTCACTCTCTCTCTCTCTCCCTCTCTTTCTCTCTCCTTCCAAAAACGATTTTTCAGATTTTAATGGGCGTCCTCGGACTCCACTACTTTTTCAGATGCTACTTTTCCGAGCAAGTACGTGTTTACGCCCATTGATTACGCGTCAAATAACGTATTTTTTGATTTTCCATTTTCATCCAAATCCTCACCTTTTAGCCTAAAATTTGTAGGTAATGTCCGGCTTCATCGTGGGTGGCTGCGTCCACGTCGTATTTTCACAACTCGGCGATGCACTTGGAATTAAGCTGCCCAAGCGTAATGGTCCCGGATACCTTTACTATGTATGATTTTCCGAGACGTTTCTAGCCTTCTAAATGGACTAGAAAGCGCAAACTTGACCCCTCCCTTCGACTAGTTTTAGACAGCACGTAACATGCCAGAACATACAAGCCCTTTTTGCTCAAAAGTCGCGCCGTAGAGTCTTGAAGAAAGAGGTAAAGACTATTTTGGTGCGACGCGTAGCTGTCCAGACTTAGTCGATGGAAAGAGTCGATTCTCGTTCTAATAAGGAGAGCGTGTCCCAATCCCTTTACAATCAATTTCAGCGCCTCCTCGACCTCATCGAGCTCTTCCCGACCCTTCATATGCCTACGACGTGTATTTCTGGTAATTTTTTGGGTTTTTTAGTTCGCTAAAGAGACTCGAAAGCCGTCAGAATAGACCCCTTCCGTCGACTAGGGCTAGACAACGGCGCTAAAAAAAGCTAAAAGCTAAAAAATCCATATTGCTAAGTCCGCTTGAAAAAATGCTGAGGTCAAGCGTGCTCAGGCCTGTCGCGGAGTAGTCTAGACCTAGCCGCCAACGGGGGTGGATTCAGGCACTTTCTGCTCCCTTTAAAGCATGATTTAAAAGCCAAGATAAAAATTTAGTCCTCTCCGCCTTGTTCCTACTCATCGGAAAGGAAAAGCTGACCCCGTGGCTGGCCGAAGTTTTCATGTTTCCGGTGCCCTACGAGTTGATTTTGGCAGGTTTCCTACCGTAAGATACACTGTTAATACAGCAAAATACCCTTTTTCCTTTCGCTACAACTTCCGTGATTTAGGTAATCGTCGGAATTACGGCTACAAACTTTGCCGAGTTGGCGAGGAGATACCAAGTGCAAGTGGTTGGCAATATTCCGACGCAGTAAGTCGTGATACCTCTCCCGCTCTCTCCCTCTCTTCACTTTCTCTCTCTCCCTCTCACTCTCTCTCTCTCTCGCTCTTAGTGATTAAATTTAAATTTTAGTTTCCCTCCACCATCACCTCCTCGCCTCGACCTTGTCCCCTCTATTTTACATCACTCCTTCGGCATCGCCTTGGCTGCGACCGCCATCCACCTTACCGTAGCCAAGGTCGTCGAGAAGCGCTACAAATACAAGATTGACTATGCACAGGTGAGGTCAGAGAGAGAGGGTAAATACTTGCTGTGCCGATTTTCGCTGTGCCGATTTACACTATGCCGAATTTCACTATGCCGAATTTTCGCTATGCCGAATTTCACTATGCCGAATTTTCACTATGCCGAATTTTCACTATGCCGAATTTTCACTATGCCGAATTTCGCTATACCGAATTTTCACTATACCGAATTTTCGCTATACCGAATTTCGCTATGCCGAATTTTTTCTACTCTACCACTAACAGTCTCTACTAATATTAATAACTAAGATCGGCTGGGACTTAGCGGTGCAACAAAAAAAATCTGCTGCGCCCACGGGACCTACGATCTGCTCGAGTTTTTGGGAATTTCTAGGCTAACTCTAACTTTCTAGGCCCATGATATTTGGAAAAAACAGTAAAAAAATGGGGAACATACCGCTTATCAAAATTAGTATGGCGAAGATTCGGCATGGTGAAAATTCGGTATCGTGAAAATCGGCATGGTGAAAATTCGGTATACTAAAAATTCGGCATAGCGAAATTCGGCATAGTGAAAATTCGGCATAGTGAAAATTCGGCATAGTGAAAATTCGGCATAGTGAAAATTCGGCATAGTGAAATTCGGCACAGCGTCAATCGGCATAGCAAAATTCGGCATAGCGAATGGAACTCGAGAGAGAGATAGGTAGATAACGACAGAGAGAGAGAGAGGGAGAGAAAGAGAGAAAGAGAGAGAGAGAGAGAGAGAGAGAGAGAGAGAGAGAGAAACAGAGAGCAAGAAAGTGAGGCGCAACTACAATACCGTTTTAGGAGCTCTACGCCCTCGGCTTTACCTCACTGCTCTCATCCCTATTTCCGGTCTTCCCCTTCACATCGGGATTCGCAAGATCCGTGATCGGAGCGGCGGTGGGGAGCAGTACGCAGGTGGGAAAGCTAGCAGAGAACATCAGGGAATCGAGGGGGTAGGCTAGCAGAGTTCATTTGGGAATTACAGCTAACCTGCTTCTTCTCGTCGGTTGCTCTCCTATCGGTTATCCTCTACATTGGAACGGCCTTGGAATACTTGCCACAATGCATTCTGGCTACTATGATCATCCTCTCCCAAAAACTCATCTTCGCCAAGTTCGACGAGCTGAAGGAGCTGTGGCCCGTTTTCAAATACGATTTTGTGAGTATCGAATAGACCATTAACCAGCTTTTTAGGCTATCTGGATCGTCTCCATGCTATTCACGATCTGCTGGGACATTGCCGAGGGAATTTTGTTGTCTGTCGGGTTCGCGGTGCTCACTACTGTAATAAGGAGCCAGAAGTAAGTGATTTTTCTGAAATAACCTCTTTCAGCCAGTCCCTTCAATTCCCAAATAATCTCTGCTAGCCTAACCGCTATTTCCAATTTTTTCAGACCTCGCTGGCATTACCTTATTGCCAGTGCCGATGGAGCGTTCAGGGAAACGAAGCGAAAAGTGGGTTTTAGAAGATTCTCATGTTTTAAAGGGACATGGAAGGCTAAATCTATGGGAATTCCTACGACGAAAAATCTTGTTTTCTAAAAGCCCGTTCAGGAACTAGAAATGGTCAGCGGAGAACCGTGCATAATTCGGATGAACGCTCCGCTAATTTTTACCAGTGTTGATCGCTTTGAAGTGGTTGGTTTTATCGATTTCTCTTTCTCTCTCTCTCTTTCCCTCTCTCTTTTTCTCTCGCTCTCTCTCTCGCTTTTTCCTTTTCTTTCCCTCACTCGCTCTCTCGAAATCTCTCTCTCGCTTTCTCTCTCTCTCTCTCTCTCTCGCTTTCTCTCTCTCTCTCTCTCTCTCTCTCGCTCTCTCGCTCTCTCTCCTCAAAACCCAAGTTTTTAGGCCATCTGGGAAGGCGTGAAAAAGTGGGAGCGGACAAAATCGCTGCAACCCGTCAGATCGAGCCAAAATGAAGATGGTTGCGTGAATTTGGATACGCTAATTGACACGGTAAGTCTAACGCAGGCTAGCAGAGATCATTTGCCAATGCTCCTTATAGGCCCAAGCCAGCCGGGACCGAAAACCGGATCGAAAACCCCCGGCTCAACGCTGCAGCCTGGTGATCGATTGCTCAGGATTTCCATATGTCGACTATCTCGGGATGGCGACCCTCAAATCGGTATACTGTAGCTGGGGCGCCGAATAAGGCTTTTCTAGGTATACGCCGACTTGACATCCGCCGGGGTCGAGACCTGCTTTGCGGCGCCACATCGTAAGTAGCTGGGCTGAGGCTTGGGTTTAGGCTTAGACTTAGCTTAGGCTTAGGCTTAGGCTTAGGCTTAGGCTTAAGCTTTGGCTTAGAAGCTTAGGCTTAGAAGCTTAGGCTTAGGCTTAGGCTTAGGTTGCTTAGGCTTAGGCTGCTTAGGCTTAGGCTTAGGCTTAGGCTTAGGCTAGGCTTAGGCTTAGGCTTCGGCGTAGGCTTCCGCTTCCGCTTTCTTAGGTTTAGGTTAGGCTTTGGCCTAGCTCAGGCTTAGGATTAGGTCTTGCCTTAGGCTTTGGCTTAGGCTTGGGCTTATGTTCAAGCTTTGGGAAAAAGCTAATTTCCAAAATTCCAGGCTATCTCCAAGAAATGTTCGAGAACACCAACTTCTACGAGGCGGTCGGCGAGCAGCGCGTCAAAGATACCGTACACCAGGCGGTCGCTTTTCTCGGCGATTTGGAGAAAGGGTAGGTTTAATTAATTACCAATTAAGTTCATAGCCAATTAAGCCACTTGACTGTCCCCTCAATTTTCATGCTTTTAGACGCGAAGATGCCCCACCTCCCGACTATGAAATTGCAAAGGAAAAACGCGAAAAGGCCGCATAAAAATAGCAATCTTTGATTTTTTTTATTCGTTAAACTATGTATAAAATTTATCAAAAAAAGATTTGAGATGATGCACAACATTAACGGTCAAGTTTTTCCAGATTTATTCCGTAAACAAAACGGTAAATTTATTGCTGGTTTTTCGGGGTTTTGGTGGGTGTTGTTAGGTTGAATTTGATACGGTGCAGACGCCAGGCCTCCTTCACCCGAGCCTCTTGTTCTTCGGGAGTGTTCGCACCTTCCATATCGACGCTGAAAACAAGTTTTTCGGAAAGGGCGCGTACCTTAAAGGGCCTAGGAAGCGTGGGACTCGACTCCTGACCTCGACTAGGTCTAGACAGCTACGAAATATGCCAAAACCGGTACGAATTTGGCGTTTTCCTACTTAGCACCACCCCATTCTTTCACGTAATAGATAACAGGAAACACAGGTATTTGGAGCGTTACATAACTGTCTAGACCTAGGCGAGGCGAGGGGTCAATTATCGTGCTTCCTAGTCCCTTTAATCGACAACTTTTAGGCATCTATTATGGAAAATCCAATCCCGCAAAAGAATTCACGTTGGGAGTGGAATAGTTGGTGCCAGCACATTCCCAACAAGCTGGAGCTCCTTGCTCAAGCAGACGCATTCTGACGGGCTGAGCAACGTGCCGTCGGCCAGCTGGTCCAGGCAGCGTCGATAGCACTGGAATGAAAAAGTTGATCTCTCTCTCTCTCTCTCTCTCCTGTCTCTCTCTCTCTCTCGCCTACTTTGTATCTCTGATTCCGCAGCGTACAGCTCAAACGTAGAGTGGCCGTGATGTCGTCGTTGGAAAGACCAGGGGTCTAAAATCCTGACAAATGATCTCTGCTAGCCTGCCCCTTCCATTCCCAAATGATCTTTGCTAGCCTGCCCTTCCATTCCCAAATGATCTCTGCTAGCCTGCCCTTCCATTCCCAAATGATCTCTGCGCCCCTTCCATTCAAATCCCCTCCCAAATGATTTCCCCCCCCCTCCCAAAAAATTTAAAATTTGGCCTGCCCCTTCCCCTGTCTTCCACCAAATTGCCCCTTCCATTCCCAAATGATCTCTGCTGGCCTGCCCCTTCCATTCCCAAATGATCTCTGCTAGCCTGCCCCTTCCATTCCCAAATGATCTCTGCTAGCCAGCTTTTTTTTTGCTTACAATAGCCGCCCTGTGGCAGGCTTCGACGCATCCAAAGGCTTTGTGAGACTGAAGCAGATCAGGCAAATTCTCCTCAAGTACCACAGTGCAGAGCTCGTCTTCTGAAATGGGGTGCGGGTTTCGCAGAAAGAGAGAGAGAGAGAGAGAGAGAGAGGGGGGGAAAGAGGGAGAGAGAGGGAGAGAGTGAGAGTGACATAGCCGGCCAAATCCACCTACTTTTCTGCATGCTGACCCACTTCTGCTCGGGGTACAGCGCCTTGTTGGCGCATTCATAGATTTTTGTGGCCGTTTCCTGAAAAGCTGGAGCATGGAAGGGGCAGGCTAGCAGAGATCATTTGAAATGAGGGGCTAGCCGGAAAGCTCACCTCATCAGCAATACTCGAGCAAGTCGAATAAACTGGACGCAGGTGGCGAATCATATTCACGCAACAGCCGTCAATCTGATCGCAGCAATGCCAAGCCGCAAGCATCTTTGCTGAAATTCGAAGCTAAAAGCTTATAGGGAGCGCGAAAGTCGACCCCTCCCATCGGCTAAGTCTAGACAGGTACGCGACCTCATGACACTTGTTACACCTTAGTTTTTGTGTTCTTCCAAAATGATCTCTGCTAGCCTGCTAGCATGGATGGAAAATTAGAGCCAATAGCGGTTTCTAATTTCGTTTTAGGGCATCGCGTAGCTGTCTAGACCTAGTCGACGGGAGAGATCGATTTTCAAGTTTCTAGGAAATTTTCTAGCGGCCTTTAAAGTACCCCCTGGGACTTACCTTCATCCTGTGCGTCCGCTGGACTCCACAAAACGGCTATGCAGAGCAGTATTGCAGCCTGAAGCCTCATCCTAAAATAAGAAGTATTAACGAATATAGAAAAATTCCTTAAACATCGCAATTCTAAGAAGAACGTAACCTAAAATGGTATAAAAATTGAGCTGATCAAATCGATACGATCTGAAAGAATTCGACGACTCGGCGTGTGGCCTGAGGGCAGCTGTGCCTGGGCCCCTTGGGTGGTCCTAAATCGCGCTATAAATCACGTAACTTCCCATCGATTCAGTAGCCTGGGGCTTTTTGCGGCCATTAAGGAATGCCCTTTACGATCGTAGACCTAAGCCTAAGCTTAAGCTAAGCTAAGTCAAGCAAAGCCTAAGCTAAGCCTAGGCTAAGCCTATACTAAGCCCAAGCTAAGCCTAAGCTAAGCCTATACTAAGCCCAAGCTAAGCCTAAGCCTTAGCTAAGCCTAAGCTAAGCCTAAGCTAAGCCTAAGCTAAGCCTAAGCTAAGCCTAAGCTAAGCCTAAGCTAAGCCTAGGCTAAGCCTAAGCTAAGCCTAAGCTAAGCCTAAGCCTAAGCTAAGCCTAAGCTACGCCTAAGCCTAAGTCTAAGCTAAGCCTAAGCTAATAAAGCATTTTTTTGCTGTCGGCATTGTGGCCTGTACCGTCTCCCTCCTTAATTCTCCTCGATTTAAGATGAAGCCTCTCATCATCCTACTCTATTTCATCTCGATTTGGGCAAGTCGGGCGGTCGCACAGGATGAAGGTAGGTGATAAAATATCTTCTAAAGCCAGCCGGAAACGCGAGAATCGACTCGAACACCGACTATGTCTAGACAGCAAAGCAAAATGCCAAGTCACTTTGAGTGAAACACATTTTTGCTCGGATAGCACCGTATACCAGGTCTCTCTAGCTCCGCTTTAGCATTCGAATTTCAGCCAAACTGCGTGCTGCCTGGAAGTGCTGTCCTCTACCGAAAGATCGGTGCTGTCTGGATGTCATTCGCTACTTGAGGCCCATTTTTTTGGCTTGCCCGGACATTGTCGATGAGGTACGTTTGACGGCTCTAGGCTGTTAGCGGGAACTCTCTAACCAACTCTCGGAACAACCCTAGATAAAGGTCTTTTCAGGAAAAGGTCTATGAATGTGCGAACAAGGTGCTGTACCCCGAGCAGAAATACGTCAGTATGAAGAAAAGTAAGGATTCCGGGGGATTTTGCTAACTTTTCCTGAAAACGTTCTTGCTTCCGAAGGCTAATAAGCCGATTTCAGAAGACGCGCTGTGCACCGTGGTCATGGAGCTAAATCGCCCCTATTTGTTGGAGTACCAGGCGGTCAGTGGTTGCGCCGAGGCCTGTCATAGGGCAGCTACCGTAAGTCAATAGATGGCAGGCTAGCAGAGATCATTTGGGAATGGAAGGGGCAGGCTAGCAGAGATCATTTGGGAATGGAAGGGGCAGGCTAGCAGAGATCATTTGGGAATGGAAGGGGCAGGCTAGCAGAGATCATTTGGGAATGGAAGGGGCAGGCTAGCAGAGATCATTTGGGAATGGAAGGGGCAGGCTAGCAGAGATCATTTGGGAATGGAAGGGGCAGGCTAGCAGAGATCATTTGGGAATGGAAGGGGCAGGCTAGCAGAGAACATTTGGGAATTGAAGGGGCAGGCTAGCAGAGATCATTTGGGAATGGAAGGGGCAGGCTAGCAGAGATCATTTGGGAATTGAAGGGGCAGGCTAGCAGAGATCATTTGGGAATTGAAGGGGCAGGCTAGCAGAGATCATTTGGGAATTGAAGGGGCAGGCTAGCAGAGATCATTTAAGAACAGGTCTATGTAGTGCTTTGCAGTCGCCCGGTCTCTCCAACGACGATATCACTGCCACTCTACGGCTGAGCTGCTCGCTGGAGAACCAGCGCTTTAAGGTGGACGGGCGATAGCGAGAGAGACACGAGAGAGAGAGCGAGAGAGAGAGAGAGAACGCGCGAGAGATCTTTCCATTCCAGTGCTATCGACGCTGTCTGGACCAACTGGCCGATGGGACCATGACAAGTCCAACAGAATGCGTGTGTTCGAAGGATGAGCTGGAGACTGTTCCCGGCCCGTTTGGGTATCCTGTTTCCTCTCCGACGTGAGTTGGTAATAACCTTTGAAACGTATGAAAATCAAGATTTGCAGCTGCAAGTATGAGATTGAGACTAGCCTTGGTTATCAGAGGCTTTTGGGATGCTATGAGAATGATCAGACAGGCTTTTTCAGGGTCACCGCTGTGGAAGGGGATACGCCGGAAGAAAAACAGGCTCGGATAGCCCACGCTGTGCGACTTCACCGGATTAAGCTGAATATAACGGAAATCCCGAAAGGACAGTATTGATAATGGAAAATCCATAAAAACGTTATTGGATTTTCCAGAGGGAAAGTCGCTGAATAAAGATTTTGTGGAACTTTCTCGCAGACTCCACCGTTTAAAGCAGGGAGAGAGAGAGAGAGAGAGAGAGAGAGAGAGAGAGAGAGAGAAAGAGCAACACAGAAAGAGATAGAGACAGACAGGGAGGCAGAGCCAGCTAGAGAGAGAGACAGCGCGAGAGAAAGAGAGAGCGAGAGAGCGAGAGACAGAGAGCGAGAGAGCGAGAGACAGAGAGCGAGAGAGAGAGAGATAGGAAGAGAGAGCATTTTATCGCTTTTGTAACAGGTTTTTAACGTTATTTTGGTTATCCAATTCTCGTAAAACTTTATGCCATTCCGAAATACGCATAATTTCAAACAATCTTCAATACCAGGCTTGCAACAATTTTTTTTGAGAATTTTTGACAACTTTCAGATAAAGCTACTCGATCGAACTATCTGTAACGCTACACAACCACTAAAAAAAGAGACAGTATACAATGGTAAAAAACGGGAACGAAAAAAGAACCCGCAAATTATAGAGAAAAACTTAAGTTTTAACAGTTTTGCCAAATAGAGCATGGATCAGCAAAAATTGTGAAAAGTTAGGAAATTAAGCGAGTTACGGTAGACTTTTGTAGGGATTTGAGGTATGAAAATTGAGCCAAAAAGATTGAGATCGAGAATTATAAAACGTCAAAAAAATTGTTAACATCGGAATTTCCGATTCAGATTGCCTCGGCAGCGCGCTTCAGCAGCTGCTCCCACGTCATGCCCGGCTCGTAGTTGATGCTAAGAAGCGCGAATTACAGTAAGTCTACACTAGTGTACCTGTAAAAAAACAGGGAAGATTGGAAATCGACCCTTTACTTGAACTAGATCCAGACAGCTACGCGACACGCCAAATGACAGGTGCCAATACGACGGCTTATTTTCAAAATGTCGAAACTCATAATGTCGAAAATTCATAATGTCGAAAATTCATAATGTCGAAATTCCATAATGTCGAAATTTCATAATGTCGAAATTTCATAATGTCGAAATTTCATAATGTCGAAATTTCATAATGTCGAAATGTCAGAATGTCGAAATGTCAGAATGTCGAAATTTACATAAGCTAAAATTCCCGGTAAAGTCCCCGAATTCTAGACAAAAAATGTTGTCGTGAAATCGGTTAAAAAAAATAAAAGGTGGAAAAATTTTTTTTGGCTAGGATTTGGCGGTTTCACCGGTAATTAGCCTATGTAAACTTCGACATTCTGAAATTTCGACATTATGACATTTCGACATTATGACATTTCGACATTATGAAATTTCGACATTATGACGTTTCGACATTATGAAATTTCGACATTATGAATTTCGACATTATGAGTTTCGACATTATGATTTTCGACATTATGATACCAATTCCAATACTACACATTTAAGAGTATCGCGTAACTGTCACAGACTTTGAGAGCAGTCTATTAAGCTTCGCCTTGGTTTGGCTTACAAGAAGATGGTCTCAGCTCGGAATCGAATTCGGATTTGAAAATTTGCAAACTTATAGAGCTCGACGTATGAATGCAAAATGTATGCAAAAACTTAAAAAGCTTATAACTCGGCGTGGTTATTGTATCAGCAGCTGAAAGTTACACCAATCGATTTGTCTCGTCGGGCTCTATAAGTTTGCAAATTTTCAAATCCGAATTCGATTCCGAGCTGAGACCATCTCCTTGTTAGGCCTAGGCATGTACTCACGTTGGGCTTGGCTTCGTCGGTCCAAGGAGATAGCCAGCGACTTGAAGCTCTCGCCTCTGGCACTCGCAATCGTAGGGAGACTTGATGATACCGTCGGCAAGTTGATCAAGGCAGCGACGATAGCACTAAATTATTTTGTTTCTCTCTCTCTCACTCTCTCTCTCTCGCTCTCTCTCTCTCTCGCTCTTTCTTTCCCTCTCTCACCTTGTATCGCTGATTCTGCAGGGTGCAGGAGATGCGCAGCGTGTTGGTAATGTCGTCGTTGGAGAGGGAGGGTGACTAAACAGAATCGATTTAAAAAATAAGAGAGAGAGAGAGAGAGAGAGAGAGAGAGAGAGAGAGAGACGATACCTACCTTGGCAGCCGCGTGGCACGCTGCCGCACATCCAGATGTCTTCTGATGATCCATCAACTCCGGCCAGATCCGCTCAAAGACGATCGTGCAGAGTGCGTCTTCTGAAATTCAGGCTTTGAGAGGAGAGAGAGAGAGAGAGAGAGAGAGAGAGAGAGGTAGGGAGAGAGAGAGCGAGAGAGTGATAACTTACTGTTGGTCATATCCAGCCATTTCTGCTCCGGATAGAGCTTTTTGTTAACGCATTCGTAGGTTTTTATCTGAAATCAGGCTTATTTGGTGAGAGAGAGCGAGAGAGCTAGAGAGAGCGAGAGCGAGAGAGAGAGGGAGAGGGAGAGATAGTGAGAGAGAGAGAGAGCTCCAACCTTATCCGGAATCGACGTGCACATTGAAATCGGGTTTATTTGACGAATGATATTTTGGCAGCACCCATCTCCAGCCAAACAGCACTCTTGTGCAGCGTTTAGACGGGCTAAAAGGGATTATACAATTTTAGATTTTGGATTACTGTATTTGTTCTGGCTGCCAGGCGCAATTTTAAAGTCAACTCACCCTCGTCTTGGCCATTCACAATCGACAAGACGCCAAATAAACAGATTAGAAGCGATGTGCTGGTTTTCATTCTGAAAAAAAAAGTTATTTTTTGTCAAAACGGGACAGCCGGAGAACATGGAAAAATTATTGGTATCACAGAGCAACAAAAAAATAGATTAAGGATCTTCAAGTAAATTAGAACCATTTTCCGGGCCCTAATTTCTGGCCGCTGGCTCGTGCTAGCTTAGAGTCGGATTTGTTGTCAGGGAAACGAGTAGCTACTTAATTACGTTCCAGAATCAAGGTTGCAGCTAGCAGGGATCATTTGGGAATGGACAGTAGCTAAATCGTACCCGCAAAAACGAGAATTACCCGGAGCAAACTGCAACGCGTTACGTGGAAACCGCAAATCTTCACAAAACCTCTCGGATTTCGAGAAAAAAACTCTATTTTTCAGGATCCATTTGTGATAACAAAATAGACACTATGCAATTGTAGCTTTAGGGTGGCGGCTAGAATCCAAAATCCCAAAAGATGGCTGCTCGCTTGCCCTGTTAAGTTCGACGTGGCCAAACTTATTTGTTTGCTAAAACACAGGCCTTTTTTTAAGGCTGAACTTGGCAGAACAAAGCGGGCTTGTATTTTGGCAAAGCGAGTTCGGGGTAGGGGGATCGATGGGGATCCCCTGGCGAGCATTCCCTAGCTGACAACGCCCCCATTGAACCGCCTGGTGACATTCGTTGTGTGTGGGCCAATGAGGGAGGAGAGCAGCTGTCCCACCCCATGGGTGGTCTAGCTGAGGAAATTTGGGCGGTTTTGCAATTCGCAGAAGGGGAACGAGGAACGAGTCTCATTATACGAATCTCGTGACGTTTTTATACCACCCCACTATCACCCATCTCATCCCCCCACCTGCCAGATCACTGGCCAAAAATAATGGCATGAGAATTATGCAGCCAGATTGTGCTCACTTTTCAAAAATACTCCCACGCCTCTCCTCGCCATGACCTTGGTGTGTGACCCGGGTGCAAGTGAGCGGTTGGCGCATCAAAATTCGGGTAAATGACAGTGATAATGTCATGAAAATCTCGAGAAAAGGCGTGCTAGCGGTGATTCTTGTGGAAAATGGCGCTGACGGAGACTTAATTTAACGTTGGATTTAGCTTGGCAAGCTGCCAATCAGTTCAATGTCAGTCATTACGCTAGCAAACCCTCGAAAAAGGCAAGCTAGCAGTGTTCATTGTGGAAAATCACCAGTTTTAGCATTTTTTAGGGGTTTTACAGACTTTATGCGTAGGTGTGCGCGCAGTCGAGGGTGAAGTTGAAGCAGAACAAGCCGGCCCGTCAGGGTTCTCTGCTCATTTCTGCTTTACTTTGTGTCTAAAACTCTTTAAAACAACATCAACTACGCAAGCAAATGCCTGAAGATGTAGCATTTTTCGCAGTTTTGAATCAAGCGGAAATCGCCGCTGAAGTTGAAGCCGATGAAGCCGAAATCTGAACCATCTCCTATTCTCTCTGCTTCGTACTTTAACACCTTTTAAAGACGATCATTTTATTTAGAAGGCAAGCTATTTTCAAATAAAACCCTTTCCAAAACATTTTCTAGATTTTTTCCGCACTTTTTCTAAAAAATCGATCCACCTACGCGCCAAAAATTAACCAAAAATCACCATAATTTTTCTAGACGCACTATTCCTACCAGGCGATCAACCAGATGTCTTTTTTGAGGCTATGCGCGGTGGGAATTGGGGCATTTTTGAGGAGTTTACGATCAGCTGGTGCCGAGCCCTCCGGCTACTCTCAGCCCGGCCATCAGCTGACCCAGACGGCTTGCTGGGAGTGCACCGATGGTTCGAAAAAATAAATAATGGGGCTTGGAAAGGAAAGAGAAACCGGTAAAATGTGGAAATAAAGAAAAATCACGTAAATATTCTAAAACGGGGAACAGAACGGATTTCTGGGCTGGAAAACGTGGCGTTTTTGGTCGATAAGTGCCGACAATCTGTAAAATATTACATTCTAAGTGTGTTAGTTAAATTTTGAACTTTCAATAGCGCTAAATTTTTACGAAATTTAAAGTTTTCACTTGAAACGGCGTTGGACCGCATTTCTAGGCCGTAAAACCTCGATTTTTAGGGCTAGGATCTTATAATCTGTAAAAGCTAGATATCGATTTGTTGTTATTGTTTTATTAATTTATATTTACCCGAAATTTTAGTTCAAATTTAGTATCAATTTTCTTTTCCTGAAATTTTTCTAGGCCGGCCGACCCAGGTGTCGATAGGACTGCGGCGAAATACCTCGCCTAATCGGTCCCAAAAGTTATTTTCTGAAACTCTTCGAAATCTCTAGTAAACGCTTTTTGAATGTGAAGATGAGCTACGGAGGCGACGTTCAATTCTTGCCAAGGTTGAAAAAGGTATAAAAACTTTTAAAACCTCTCAAATTACTGGAAATTCAGCTCCTCGACGACTTCCCGGGGCAGGCGCACGACGCGTGGGATGTGGCGACGGATTTGAAGCAGCGACACCCGTATATTAGAGCTAATTGATGTTTTAGTATTTTTCAGAGAGTATGAGCGCAAAAACAGCAAGGCCTTCCTGCGGATGGTCACCGAGGCGCTGGAACGGTTGGGAAGAGGGCCGCCGAAGGCTGAAGAAGCTGAAGCTGGGAGCGACCGGAAGTCGTCAGAGAATAGGAAACGGAAATTGAGGTTGGATGAAACTTTAGAAAATGTTAGAACATTGAAAATCTAGTTTTTAAGCCTTTACGCCCATTTTTTCGTTAAGAATTGATAAAAATCGAGAAATCTGCACTTTTTACGTTTGCAAACCAAGCGGAGAAGCACCAGAATCAGTATAGGCTTGTAGAAGGCAGCGCGAGGGGTTCAAAAGCTGATAAACTTCGTCTATGAAACGGATTCTAGAAGTTTTCTCGCTGATCTCTTGTTAGAACGAGATAGAAATAAAGAAATCTTAATGTTTAAGGCTTAAAATGAGGCGTAGGCTCTGCATAATGAATATCAGCTTGCAAAATTGGTCGCTGAGGTTGTAAACACTAAAGCTAGATAGGTTTTCACGTTTTTGGGCTATAAACGGCGTTGACACGATTTTTACGAAGCTATATGGCCCTTTTTTTCAGCAACAAGGCCAAGAAGAAGGGCGCCGAGGTGGTCGTTTTGGACAGCGAGAACGAGGAGGACCCGGATTCCGAGAAATACGTCTCCTACCCCGACACGAATCGCGCCAATCTGACGCTCGCCAATTTGTACGCCGGTGGCACCGGGAAGCCGAGCCAGGCCCTGCAAAAAGGTGATTCAACAAGTTTTGTAAAAGTTTTCGCCCTGCAAAAGACGTTTTTCGAAGTTTTGAGGTAGAAGTAAACGCTCTAGCAGTTTTAGGGTTGAGAATTTAACAGTTTTGGCCTTGGAAAAAGCGTTTTTAGAGTTTTGAGGAAGCAGTAAAAGCTGTAGAAGTTTTAGTGCTGAAAATCAACGAATTTGCTTTGCAAAAGGTGATTTAGAAAGAACTGTTTTACTTTGCAATTTTGCTGCATTTTAATGATTCTATATTTGTTTTATTTCGTTAAAATGAAGCTCCAGAAATCTGAAGATGGCTTTTTCAAACGGAAACGTCATTTTAAACGAAAAACCTTGCCCATCTGTGTATTTCAGCGCCCTCCACGCCCTCGTCAAGCCAACCAAAACGCAGTAGCGCCAACAAGGCGCCCGGCTCGGCGGTGAAAGGCTCGAATATGTCGAAGCCGAGGGGTAATATTGAATTTTATAGCACAAAACCTAATTTTAGGCCTGGGCGCCGTTTTGGAAGTGGAGCCCAAGTTCAGCGACATCAAATTCAACGACATGGGCGGGTGCAATCGGCAGTTTTTGGTGGGTTTTAACGTTTCGGTAGTATAGATGTAGATATGCTGTGTTTTTATTAACTTTGATGCTATAAAACTTTCAGGAAGTCTGCCGGATGGTGCTCAAAATGATGAAGCCGCGCACCTACTCAACTTTCGTCGGCTGCGACCCGCCGAAAGGGCTGTTGATCAACGGGCCGCCCGGATGCGGGAAAACGATGTTTGCGCAGGTCGGTAGAATATTATTTGACATTTTTTAATAGGTATTTAGCCTTTTTGATATTTTTAAACTTTTACAACGTTCTTAAATTTTTTTAGGCGATCCCTGGGGAGTTCGGGATCCACATGATCCGGCTAGCCGCGACGGAACTCGTCTCCGGCGTCAGTGGCGAGACCGAGGACAAAGTTCGCCAACTCTTCGAGGCGGCCAAGCGGTATTCGCCCTGTTTTTTGGTCGGTTATTTGTTGTAGAAGATTTTTCATGAAATTCTGCTTTTATTAACGTTATTATGTAAAATTTACGAGCTTATCTGTTTTATCCTAAAATTCGTCATTAAAACCTGCATTTTGCTATCTTATTTTTAGAGGTTTATCTAAAAAAACTTGACTAAAGGAGCAGCTCTGATTTTTTTATATATTTTAGCCTGGTGTGGAATTTATGTTTTTAGATACCTTTGACGTCAAAAATTGACGCTGTTTGTGGATAGAGTAAAAAAAACTTGAATTTCAAGTATTTATATGTCATTTTTAATCCAATTTTTCCATTAAAATACGATTTTAGTTGGCCTTTTAGATCATCGACGACATTGATGCGATCACCCCGAAAAAGGAGACGGCCAGCCGCGAGATGGAGCGCCGCATCGTCACCCAGCTGTGCAATTCCTTGGATGGTCCGTTTTTAATAGTTTTTGACATTTTTTTGTAATAAAGCTATCAAACTATCGAATTTCAGAACTTTTCACGCGATCGAAAGACCCACGACTCGAGGAACGGCTCGAATTCGGGGCCGACGGCGATATCAAGCTCAATGGAAACGATACACCTGGTGAGTGATTTTTTTAGTTCCTGGGCTCTTCAGTTTTCTCAGCCGGAAATTGCTAATTTAACTGGTCTTTCCGCTTTAAAGAAACCAGATAGCCCGAAAATAGACCCTTCCAGCGACTAGGTCTAGACAGCTACCAGTAGCTTCCAGGCTCGTTTAAACTCTATTTTTTTTTCAGAAGACCCGCGCGTGCTCGTCATCGGCACCACCTCCCGGCCCGATGCTTTGGATATTGGGTTGCGGCGAAGATTCGATTTGGAGGTATCGAGTTTCTTTCAAAGTGTCGAAAATAAAATTTCGAATTTCACAATGTCGAAATTCATAATGCCGAAATTTCAAAATTTCGAAGGTACGAGCAAATTTTCTCGGAAAAATGCATGCAAAAAAAGTTTCGACATTCATAATTTCGACATTCTGAAACTTCGACATTATGATAGTTCGCATATTATAATTTTCTTTTTCAGATAGCCCTCGGCATCCCCGACGAGTACGCGCGCGAGAAGATCATCTCCGTCATTTGCAAGTGGGGAATTTAGGGTCTTAAATAATCAATTTTTGCTTTAGACTCCCGCTCGACGACTCGATCAACGTGAAAATGCTGGCCAGATGGACACCTGGTTACGTCGGTGCGGATCTGAAGGCGCTGATGTCGGCGGCGGCGAATTGTGCAATTTCTAGGTGCGTCTCTTTTCGTTTCTCTTTTTCGCCGTGGCATGCTAGCAAAGACGCTTGCGGAATGGTTTTCCCGTAGCGTAGGCAGCTTGGGAATTTTCCACTTTCCAGAATCTTCGACACGATGGTGAAGCGGGCGGACCAGCGACAACGCCAGCTGACCAACGCCCAGGTGGACGAGGAGCTCGGCAAGGTGCTGTCCTTCCTGAACTCGGACGACGACCCAGAGACGATCGACCGTTTGGGCGGCTTCCACGTGTCGATGGCCGATTTTGAGAGGTGATTCAAACTTTCGCGCTTAAAGCGGGCTAGCTAGGAGAGATTCTTGTGGAATTTCGTGCCTTTTTCGGCGAAAAGTGGCTGAACTTGACGAAAAAGTGGCGAGAAATTGTGATGGGTTTCGAGAAGGCCGGTCGGGAATCTTAGCGAGTTTTTTGGTTTTTATTGCGAATAATTTGCAGTTTCAAAGAAAGTTTATAGTTTCATGATTTCGATTTTAGAGCCATCGAACTCGTCCAACCATCTGCAAAACGCGAGGGCTTCGCCACGGTGCCCGACGTCACCTGGGACGACATTGGGGCGTTGAGCGACGTGCGCTGCGAGTTGGACTGGAGCATTTTGGTAGCGTTTCTCAATTTGTAATTTGGTTTTCGATTTTAGAAAAAAGTGAAGCGACCCGAAGACTTTGAACTGCTTGGCATCCCCAACAAGCCGCAAGGTATGTTATTATCGAATTTTAGGGTTTAAAAGGAAGCTGAAGCGCCAGAATCGACCCTCTATCGGCTAGATCTAGACAGCTACGAAACACTGAAAAAACCCGTGCAAGCATCTTTGAAGTTTGTTCATACCGCGTCTATAACTATTAAATTGACGATTTATCCGCATTTTGGTGTGACTCGTAGCTGTCGAGATCTAGTGGATGGAAGGGGTCGATTCTCGGGTTTTGTATCCCTTGAAAAAGCTAATTTCGTCATTTTTGGGCATTCTCCTCTGCGGACCGCCCGGCTGCGGAAAGACGCTGCTCGCAAAGGCCGTCGCCAACGAGGCCGGCATCAATTTCATCTCGGTCAAGGGGCCCGAGCTGTTGAACATGGTGGGTGTGTTGCTTTTTGTTTAATTGTTTGATAAAATTAAATCAGCTTGTTTTTTACAGTACGTCGGAGAGTCGGAACGAGCGGTGCGTACCGTATTTGGCCGAGCACGGGACTCCTCGCCCTGCGTCATCTTCTTCGACGAGCTGGACGCGCTCTGTCCGGTCAGGAGTCAGAATGAGGTGCGTTTTTGAAGAGGCAATCTAGCAGCGATTATTTGGGAATGGAAGGGGCAGGCTAGCAGAGATCGTTTGGGAATTCATAGACTAATGTAGGATTTTTAGAGCTCCGGCGGTGCGCGTCTCGTGAACCAGCTGCTGACCGAGATGGACGGGGTTGAGGCGCGCAAGCAGGTCTTCCTCATCGGCGCAACGAATCGACCAGGTGTGATTTATTAAACCGGTTTTATTTTGTTTGTTTTTTTACAGACATGATCGACCCGGCTATCCTGCGGCCCGGCCGTTTGGACAAGATCGTGTTCGTCGATTTCCCGTCGGGCCCGGACCGTGCGGATATCTTGAGGAAATCGACCAAGGTGCGCTTCACTTTAACTTTACTTTAGGGCTGGAACGGGGTTGGCAAAGAGAAGAACTTCCATAAAACAAAAATGCTTTTGCAGGACACTGTAGTCGGAGAAGGCAATTTTCGAGCGTTCTCAAAATTGTAGTGTTACTAGATTTTTTCTGCTGTTCAGGCGCCTTCCTCAATGATCTCTGCGAGTTACCCTCGTTCGATTTCCAGGCTGCTTACGATTTTCTTCCTCAAAGAAGTCTGCTAGTTGGCCGGTCGAATTTCTGGGGGCTGCCGCTTGATTTTAATGTCCTAAAAGCTTTCTGCTAGCCTGCCCTGCTAGAAATCTGGAATTTTTTCACGCAATAGCTTGGCAAGCCAGACTTAAAATTTTAACAAAAAAATTTCCCTAGTTTTGGAAATTCAATTCGTCTTTGAAAGGTTTTATTGCTTTATTTTTCTCGTTTTCAGAACGGTACCGAGCCCCGACTTGCCCCCAGCTTCGACGTCGACACGTTCGCCACCGACCCGGCTTTGGATGGGTAATTGTTATGGAATAAAATTCTAAAATTGTTGTATTTTTTTTAGTTATACGGGTGCCGATCTGACGGCCCTCATCCACGAGGCGAGCATCATTGCGCTGAAGCAGCGGTTCGCCGAGAACAGCGGTTGGTACTTTTATCGCCTTATTGAGTACGGGGATACTGATAGGCCGACTTGTGGAATTCCGCACTTAGACGCTACGTGGACGATTGATTAGGAGGTTGATGTCCAGAAAATGGAATTTTCAGAGAGAGAGAGAGAGAGAGAGAAAGAGAGAGAGAGAGAGTCAGAGAGACAGAGAGAGAGAGCTAGTGAAAAACAATGTTAAAATTTACAAAATTGAATTGTTGTTTAACGGTTTTTCCGGATTTTGGGTTTTTACTATTTCATAACTATTTGCTTTTACCCTATTTTGGGCTGAAATTCAAACTTTCAGTATGTTTTCCGATTCTCTATCAAATGGGGCGTTCCGAATGTCGAAAACGAGAGACACAAAAAATTTATTTTGGCTAAAATTATTTGATTTCACATGGTTTTTGGGCTGTAATTGCGGCATATAGCGTGCTATGGCTTTGAAGAGTTTCTGCTTAATGAGGGAAAAATAATCGACCTCTCTTTGCTTTCAGAAATCGACGCCGTCGACACCGACCATTTCCGGCAGGCGCTCGCCAAAATCCGGCCCTCCGTCTCGAAGGCCGACCGCGCCAAGTACGAGCGCATGAAGAAGGAGTACACCAAGGGTAAGAAATATTTATTTTTCCGAAAATTGTGTTTAAATTTAAATTTAAATTTTGTTAGAAAGATAATTTAGCTAATTTTACGGTTTCTTAGACACGTCGAAGGCGGCGCCGCCGACCCCTGCCGTCACCGCGTCTTCCTCAGCGATGGAGGTGTGAAGAATTGGACAATTTTTAGAATTTGTTATCCCCCGGTTTTATTATTGTTTTCCCACGTTGTTGCGTTGTTCTTGTTGAGTTTGGCGATAAATTTTGGATCCACTAGGCCCGATTTTGGGCAGCTGGCGCGCCTTTAAACCCGGGCGTGCTAGCAGAGATTCCTAGGGATTAGGGGCAGACTGGCGGAGTGTTTTAAGAATACGGTTTTGCCTTCCAAATACCTTTAGACGAGTTTAGTTGACATTTTCTCTACGTTTTTTGAGTTAGCTGCTATTTTCCCCAAGTGATCCCTGCTAGCTTGCCCTATCGGCTCGAATACGACGGGTTCGGCGATTTCCCCAAGGCTGGCGTTGCTGCTGGCCTGCCCGAATCTTTGCACTCGCCGGCTTTTAAAAACAATTCCGACACTACACTCTGAACGCTGCCCGGAAAAAAACCGCTGGCAATGACTCATTTGACCTTGGCCACCCTGGCTCTGCTGCGGCTGATCGCAATCTGTTATTTCAGCCGGGCCGTGGCGGCGAAGCCTCCGAAAACGAGCCGGACCATAAATAATTTATCCCCGCTGAAAAAAGATCAGATTTCTCGGGTGGCCCGTTCGGAGGAGCGTAGCGGAGTGGAGGAGAGAGCAGATAGCAGGGGCTGCCTGGGTGTTCTTTCCTGCTGCCAAACGGGCCCAAAATGGTGATTTATCAACAGAAGGGGATCCTGGTGACTCAGCACTGCTTGCATGCAAGCTGCTGGCCCGGCTGATTTTTGAACTTGCAAGGGGGGATTTTGTGCTATGGCATTATCGGGGGGCAGCGTTTTTCTCAGGATCCAATTTTTCGGATCTAATGGTGATGGAATGACTTCGAAACAGTTTTTTACTATTCTTTAATCCGGGATTTTTCAAATTTTTAGTAAAAAAAATATAGATTTTTCAACCAAAAAATCGATTTTTTGAACACGATTCGGAGTTTTTCTTATTTTTTCTTTTGCTAATTGGAATAGTAATTTTTTAATGAATGAAATCCTTATTACAAATTTTTATTCGAAAATAACGAAAAATATTGATTTTCGACCAAAAAGACCGATTTTTGACGAAAATTTCGACTTTCCAAATTTTTAACAAGTTTTTAAATGGTTTTTCTAAGTGGAATATAGCTATACTTTGCTAAAAACACTCCAAAATGCCTCATATGCAGTTTCTAGACATTCCTGGACTCATAAAACAAAAGTTCCGAGCAGCACGTCGACACGCTAAGCGGCGTGTTAAGCAAGTGCAAGCACGTGATCTGGTGTAACGCGTAATCTTCTAGACCTAGCCTCTGGACGGGGTCGATTCTGGCGCTTTCTGGTCTCTTTTATCTTTTGTAAATTTTATGCGCCAGACACAGAACAGCACAGCTTCTCCTTATTTGACGAGCCAGAGACGTCTTCTTATCAGATGACCGTGAAGGGATCGAATTGCCGTACCGATTTTTTTTTTTGAGAATCGAGCGATATAGTGAGAGAGAGTGAGAGAGACGGCGTGTGATAGATTCTAAAGCTAGGCCCTCGAGAAATTCCCTCGCGTACTTTCGTGCTCCTCTTTGTTTCTTTGATGCACAGCTCAGCTTGGCATCGTGGGCAGGCTAGCAGAGAGCAATTTATGCTTTTCCGTGTCCTCTCGTGCTCCCTGTTTCGTTCATGTGCGGATACGTTCCGCTACGTTCCGCCACGTACACCTGACCCCCCAAGGTTAAACCTGAGCTCTTCTCGAAGATTCGTGATCCCGAGATCATAGGTTCTTACTTTTTGATTTGCTGAAAACGCCATGGAGTTTTGAGACCCCCTGAAAATGATAGTTTACGTTTTCCGGGCCGTTTTCTAAGCGAAAAACTAGAGATTGCAAATGCGTACTTGTGCTCGTGGCGGTCGTTGCCGGGGCAGAAGATAAATGGCTTTTGGGGAGGAAGGGTTGAAAGGAGGGGAGCCCGAGTTTCCCCCATTAGGACCATGAAGAGGAGGGCCATGTGCCGTTGGGTCGGAGATCGGGATCAAAATTACGGTACAGAGAGAGAGAGAGAGAGAGAGAGAGAGAGAGAGAGAGGGAGAGAGAGGGATAGAGATAGAGATAGAGAGAGAGAGAGAGAGAGAGAGAGAGAGAGAGAGAGAACGAGAGAGGGAGAGAGAGGGACAGAGAGAAAGCGAGAGCGTGAGATTGAGAGAGAGCTACAGCTAGAGGTTAAAATCCGGGTTAGACTAGCTAAAAATCGCCCTGAAAATTATCGATTTTATAAAAAGAGTACTCTAACGGGCTGGAGAGCAATTTTGTTTAGGTGCCAAGATCGTAAGCCATTCATCTTGGCTTCGACGTACCTTGAAAGGCACTAGAAAGCACAAGAATCGATCGTCGAGAGCCGCTAGTTGTAGACAGCTGTGCGAAGGTCATTTTCTAACGTCTTTCATTTTCACATAGCTGTCTAGACCTAGTCTTTGAAAGGGGTCGATTCTAGCCTTTGCTGGCTTCTTTAAAGCCGCGTTTTGCAGGGGATTTCGCGAGACCTGGGTTCTTAAAAGCTCTGACTCACCCAGAGCCGGCCACAGCCAAGTTTTCTGATCTTTCACTTCCAAAAAAAACCTAAATCAACTTGTTTATTGGGGCAAGATCTGCAGAAAACAGCTGAAGGTCCATTTTGGCCATCTATCTGCACGGCAAAGCCAAAGAAGAAGCTCTGACTCACACAGGAAGGACCGCCGCCGAAAATCCCAACTCTTGCTCCCTTAATGTGTTTTCTGGGGGCCAATCTGTGTGCTCAACTAGGGGATGCCCGGTATTTTGCAGAGAAACTAGGCTCTAGAGGGGGAGAGTGGGTGAGACAGCGAGAGAGAGAGAGAGAGAGCGAGAGCGAGAGAGAGAGAGCGAGAGAGGACGGTCCAGAATGGGGGACGATGAGTCAGGGAATTCTCTGCCCCTTGCCGCTTCTGAGCAGGAACGGGGCAAAGGCCGGTGGCCTGGCAGGGTGCCATAGGTTTTCTGTTCTCTCTCTCTATGTCTCGCTCTCTAGCTCCCTCTCTCTCTGTCACTGCCACTCTCTCTCTCTCTCTCTCTCTCTGTCACTGTCACTCTCTCCCTCTCGCTCGCTCGCTCGCTCGCTCTCTCTCTCTCTCTCTGCCTCTGACCCTAAACATTGACGATTTATTGCCGGGCCCCGGCACCCGCCGCCGAACTGAAAAAGTGCCATGAACAGAAGACAAAAAACTGGCTGAAAAAGAGTTCCGCAACATCCCGGTTGGTCTTTAGGGCAGGCTAGCGGAGATTCTTTGAGAAACGAGGCTAGGAAAAAACTAAGAACCCGTGAGCACACAAATGATCTCTGCTAGCCAGCCCCTTCCATTCCCAAATGGTCTCTGCTAGCCTGCCCCTTTCATTCCCAAATGATCTCTGCTAGCCTGCCCCTTTCATTCCCAAATGATCTCTGCTAGCCTGCCCCTTCCATTCCCAAATGATCTCTGCTAGCCTGCCCCTTCCATTCCCAAATGATCTCTGCTAGCCTGCCCCTTCCATTCCCAAATGATCTCTGCTAGCCTGCCCCTTCCATTCCCAAATGATCTCTGCTAGCCAGCCCCTTCCATTCCCAAATGATCTCTGCTAGCCTGCCCCTTCCATTCCCAAATGATCTCTGCTAGCCTGCCCCTTCCATTCCCAAATGATCTCTGCTAGCCAGCCCTTCCATTCCCAAATGATCTCTGCTAGCCTGCCCCTTCCATTCCCAAATGATCTCTGCTAGCCTGCCCCTCCCATTCCCAAACGATCTCTGCTAGTCGGCTTCTGAGCAGGCCGGTAGCGATACTGACAGCAGTAGGAAGAAAATCACTTTTTCATGAGGGTTAGAGAGCGCCAGGATCGACCCCCCAACTGGGGCTAAACACATGTAAATTGCGGCTCCATCCATACAAGCGTGTTTTCGAGTTTCGCGCAGATACCCAGACCTAGCAGCAGCAGGCGTCGATTCTCGAGTTACCGTGCCCTTAAAAGCGTCTTTGTTCAAAAATCGCGCCCACCGCCCTATCACTTCCTCCAGCCCATTTTCTGCAGCAACAAAATGGCCGGCGCTGCCCGACTGGAAGTGCATGGTAGATCAAATCCCAAGCTGAGTCATGCCGTTCTTCTAGGGGATGGCTCGCGCCGTTACATTGCGCTAGAATATGGTCTAGCGGCTCGTATTTCTCTGTCTCTCTCTCTCTCTCTCTCTCTCTCTCTCTGATTAGCTCCCTCTCTCGCTCGCTCACTCTCTCGCCACTAACCCTCCCTTGGCTTGCTCTGCATTTTTTTAAAACGCGACCCGCTGCGTGTTATTATTAAAATCCGATGGGCCGTTCCTCGGTTATCAGATCGCTCTCGCTCTCTCTCTCCCTCCCTCTCTCTCTTGCTCGCTCTCTCTCCCTCTCTCTCACTGGCTCGCTCTCTCCCTCTCTCTCACGCTCTCGCTCTCTCATCTTCTTTCTCTCCTGTTCTCTCTTTCATTTTGTCACGCTCTCTCGCTCTTTCGTGTTTCGTGCTCTCTTGCTCACTGTCTTGCTCTTTCTCATTCTTGTGATCGGTCCATGGGTCCACCATCCATTGCCCGAGCTCAAACGCTATTTTGCAATCTTACTCTGCCTCGCTCCCTCTCTATCAGTCGCTCTCCCTCCCTCTCTCTCTTTCTCTCTCTCTCGCTCTCTCTATCGCCTTCCCGGTCCCTTTAAAAACCGTTCTCTGACCATTCGTCCCCTCTCATTCCCACCATTTGAGCACGACCCCTGCTCGTGTGAAGGGAGGTTGAGTCATTTTTGGCACCCTATCGTCGCTTCCTCCATCCCACCGGGCCACAGAACGGCAAGTGCGGATTTGCGGCGCGGCTCCGCCCCTTTTTTGCGCCGCTTCCCCCAGATCGTGGAATACATTTACGGCCCCGTTCTGCCCTCCAACACAATCAGGGAAATAATGCTCTGGTCCGGTCTTGGTATTAGGTTCCAAAAACCTAACTACTTGACTAGTCATGCGAATTTGTCTTTTTTTTTTGGGGTACTGTAGCTACATTAGATATTTTAGATGCTCTGGATCTTGTATTTTTGTTTAAAAAAAACTGTAAAACCAGAGTCTTTAGCTCTCAAAAGCTTACGATAGAGTTAAAAATTGAAGGGAAACTTTTGTTTTCGGTCATTTTTCGATTTTTACCGGATTTCCACGTATCGAAGTGAGCCTGGTTTTTGCAAAAAGTCAGCTTGCAAATTTACCGCTGCGAGACCAGAGTTTGGCAAAAATTTTTGGCTTAGCTCAGCTGGCGCCATCCCTCCCTTTAAAGTCCAGTTCCTTAAAATTGCACGCCGATCCGAAATAAGAATGGAAAATCGAGCCTTTTCGAGCCGTCTAAAGGGACTGGAAACCCAAAAATCGACCCCTTCAGTCGACTACTTCTAGAGACCTTTATAAGCTACCTGGAAATCTCGATTCTTGCTGTATTTCTGAGTTCCAGATGTCCCGAATTTTCAGCGCCACAGTTTCGCCTTTTTCGTTGTTATGTTAGCAGGGCGTTCTGCCAGGAGGGCATTAATTAGAAACAACTGGCCACTGCGAATGGACCCCCAGCTACAGCTCTCGGGTGGAGCTCAAAAAAACTACACTTTTTGTGCTCCTTTGTGACGGTAGGTGCTGGCAAAAGAGGCACTCTAAGGCCCCACAAATGGTCTCTGCTAGCCTGCCCCTTCTATTCCCAAATTATCTCTGCTAGCTCTCCCTCACACTCTCTCTCTCTCTCTCTCTCTCTCTCTCTCTCTCTCTCTTTCTCTCTCTCTCTCTGTCGGTCGCGTTTTGACTATTTTTCTGGTACGTTTTATTCCAGTTTTTTTCCACAGAACGTTTTCACTCCATCGTACCGTTATCTGAAATGCCGCGGAACTGTCCCCATTCTTTCGTACGCTACTTATCAGGAACTGTAAAAGCCTCGTCGTTTTTTTCTCGCGGGACGTGGTTTCGAGACATTCCGATAAACAAGCAAAAACCACAGGATGGAGGCGGAAGTTGGGGAACAGGCTAGCAGAGATCATTTGGGAATGGAAGGGGCAGGCTAGCAGAGATCATTTGGGAATGGAAAGGGCAGGCTAGCAGAGATCATTTGAGAATGGAAGGGGCAGGCTAGCAGAGATCTTTTGGGAATGGAAGGGGCAGGCTAGCAGAGATCATTTGAGAATGGAAGGGGCAGGCTAGCAGAGATCATTTGGGTCTAAAAAGTGCCGCTATCTGTGAAATAAGCTCCTAATCCGCGACTCCGCTCAGGTTTCGATGTTTACGTTTAGTTTTTGTTCGTTTTTGTCCGACCCGCTGATCTTATCGGCTCTCCCGGCGGAACGCGATTTTGTGCGAAATTCTCGCCTTTTTGGAGGCCAAGAGAGAGTGAATGCAAAGACAAATACGGCCAAAAGATTTCCAGCTTCGAAAGGGATTGGAGAGTACGAGAGAGAAAGAGAGAGAGAGAGAGAGAGAGAGAGAGAGAGAGAGAGGCAGATAAAGCAATTTGGCCCGGCCATTTCCCACAATTTTGCGGTCGTTTTTGCCGTCTGCTATCACTCTTTTTGCGTCGAAAGTCGAAGGCACCCACGAAAAGCCGAAATTTTTGTGCTGCTGGATAAGTCGATAAGTCGAGGAAAACTGTTCAGAAATCGGGCTGGCTGGCTTCAGGTTTAGGTTTAGGCTTAGGCCTACGCTTAGGCTTAGGTTCAAGCCCTCTCTTTAGAGCTCTTGAGCTTTTTTCCTATTTTTATGCTTAGCTTAGTTTTTGAATTAATCAGACATTTTCCAGAACCCGAAAAATGGAAGCCTCACCTTCAGCAACTTATCTGCTTTTAAGCCCACCGCCACAGATCATTGACGCCACGGAAAGCGGTAAGTGTTAAGGCGGTAGACTATAAGAGATCATTAGAAAATTGAGGGCAGGCTAGCAGAGATCATTGGGGAATTGAGGGCGTGTTGGCAGTGGTCTTGCAAGGGCTTAATCTTGCGATCCATTTAAACGATTTTCAGGCTACGATGAAACCCCGTACGGCTCGCTCTACATTGGCCAAAACTCGCCTCAACATCACAGTGCTTTTTGTACGTAATCTCGTGATTTTTAAAAAACTCGCTCCAGCACCGTATGGCCAGCATTGGATGTCGAGCCCGAGCAGCGCCTACTCACAGTCGTCTTCATCGACTTCGCCGACTCCGAGCAGTTCAGAAGCTGAGCTGCCGTATGTGTCGCGTACGCGTAGCGGTCAGGTGCCACAGACGCAGCAGAAGAAGACTGGGAAAAGGACGACGAGGGGTGAGAAAGCGCAGAGAGAAAGAGAGAGCGAGAGAGAGAGAGAGAGAGAGAGAGAGAGAGAGAGAGAAAGCGAGAGAAAAAATCAGAAAAAAAGAGAGAAAAGGAGAGAAAAAAGAAAGAAAGACAGAAGAAGCGAGAAAGATAAAGAGCGAGATAGCGAGAGACAAGAGCGAGAGAGAGAGAGAGAGAGAGAGAGAGAGAGAGAGAGAAAGCGAAAGAGAGAAAGAGAGAAAGACAGAAGAAGAGAGAGAGCGAGAGAGAGAGAGAGAGAGAGAGAGAGAGAGAGAGAGAGAGAGTGAGAGAGAGAGAGAGAGAAAGAGAAAGAGAGATGGCAGGCTCGCCGCAAATATTTGTGAAAAATCAAATGCATGTAACTGAGCTTTTTTCAGGAATAAATGACGGAAAACGCGGCCGTCCACGCAAGTACGTCGGCCCGCCCAGCCTTGACGAAGCAGCAGCCAAGAAAATGCGCAGCAAATGCTCAACCGATAACTGCCGTGATCGTCGCGATAACTTCTTCCGGGACATGATGTAGGCTTCCATTCCTTTAGTAGTACCGAGATGTCTAGACCTAGCAAAACTATGGGGGTCGATTAGCGATCTGCGAGTTAGTCAATTCTTTCTTTTAGTTCGAACTTCGGCACCATTTTGACGCGCTACCACTCCCTGCCGTTTAACGACCGTACAGCCGCGTACCTCTTTGAAGGTAGGTATACTGTTTGTTGTTGCGTACTTCCTGTTTTGAGCTTGTCAATGGGGTACTGCATCTGATTGAGAATCTTAAGAAGAAGAACGTTTAGGAATCGACATGGTCGGGCTCGAGAAGCTCGTTCAAGAATTCGACAAGAAGGAACAGAAGCGACTGGCGAAAAAACCGCAACGCCGCAGCGTCTACTAAAAATTGAAAATTTGATGGTTTCGCATAGTTTGTAGCCTGTGAATTTCTGGACTAAAGGGGCGTGGAAGGCAGCGACCGCAGCTTAGCTTAGGCTTGGGCTTAGGCTTAGGCTTAGGCTTAGGCTTAGGCTTAGGCTTAGGCCTAGGCTCAGGCTTAGACTTAGGCTTACAAGGGGATGGTCTCAGCTCGGAATCGAATTCGGATTTGAAAATTTGCACACTTATAGAGCTCGACGAGACAAATCGATTGGTGTAACTTTCAGCAGCAGATACCCCGAACTAACAAAGTTATAAGCATTTTAGTTTTTGCATACATTTTGCAGTATTTCGCCATACCTTCATAAGCCCTCCCCCTTCCCCCATCAGCGTGGTCTGGTGGTCTAGTGGCGTGGTACGCGGCGGCTGGGGAATCTATCGAGGGTTCGAACCCGCTCACGATTTTTATTTTTTGCTTTTTGGTCCAAAGATTCCTCTTGGCATTCCAAAGACCTTTCATGGCTTTTTAGGCATGCACCAGGAACCAGGAAGCGCTCGCAGCAAAAAATCCCACTCCTAAAAATTTTTGGAAATTTTGAAAGTTGGCAAGGTAACCATAGAAGGATCAGTTCAAAGAAAATAATTTTGATTATTTTCATGCAGCTTGGGATACGATAAAATGTTGATAAGCAGATTGCCAGCCTTCTGAAAATTTCCCCAAAATTTTTTGAGGAGGCATGAGCACAGGCACAAAATTTTAAATTTTTCGCAAAGCTGCTTTATTGTTGGCAACGCTTCCTGGTTCCTGGTGCATGCCTAAAAAGCCATTAAAGGTCTTTGGAATGCCAAGAGGAATCTTTGGACCAAAAAGCAAAAAAATAAAAATCGTGAGCGGGTTCGAACCCTCGACAGATTCCCCAGCCGCCGCGTACGACGCCACTAGACCACCAGACCACGCTGATGGGGGAAGGGGGAGGGCTTATGAAGGTATGGCGAACTATCTGCAAAATGTATGCAAAAACTAAAAATGCTTATAACTTTGTTAGTTCGGGGTATCTGCTGCTGAAAGTTACACCAATCGATTTGTCTCGTCGAGCTCTATAAGTGTGCAAATTTTCAAATCCGAATTCGATTCCGAGCTGAGACCATCCCCTTGTTAGGCATGGCTTAAGCTTGGACTTAGGTTAGGCTTAGCTTAGGCGTAGGCTTGGGCTTAGGCTTAGGCTTCGCTTAAGTTGAGCTTTAGCTTCCTTCCTGTTCCCTTTAAACACAACTACCCCTCATTTTTACCTAGCATCCGTTGGTTGCTTTGATGTCTTTTTTTCTTGTTTCTCTTCTGCACATATTCCCCCTTAATTTTTGTATTTTGTGGCTCAATATTCTTATTTTTAATCCGGTTAGCACCGCCTCATCTCCCCTACGGCTCGCCGGTACAACAGTATTCTTAACCTCGCCCTCCCCGACTTCGCCAGTTCAATTTTCTAAGTGCCGATTCCGAAACTGTCCGCATGTACAAACTCCCCGATTTTCTCAAAATTATTAAAACTGCCTCATTTTCTATGCGCCACTCGACTTGCCGATCTTTAAATATTTTTATCTGCCGATAATTTTTTCTGTACGAATAAAGGTTTATTGCTATTACTGAAAAGTCGAAAACGAGAGCGAGAGGGAGAGAGAGAGAAAGAGAGACAGTGAGACAGAGAGACAGAGAGACGGAGAGTGAAAGGAAGAGAGAGAGAGCGAGAGATAGAGAGAGACAGAGAGAGATAGAGCGAGACAGAGAGAGAGAGAGAGAGAGAGAGAGAGAGAGAGAGAGAGCGAGAGTGAGATGGTGAGATAGAGCGAGAGATTGTGAGAGAGAAAGAGCGAGGGCGGAGTGAGAGAGTGAGATAAATCAGAGAGAATGAGAGACAGAGACAGAGAGAGCGAACTGCAAGCAAAAATGCAACACATTTTGGGTCAAATTCAATCTCCGCCCGGAACATGAGAAAACGCATTAAAAGGCAGAATAAAAAATACGATAGACGCCAAATAATCCTGCCGTTCGACCAGTCATGGATGGCTTTTTGAATTCAATTTTCTCGGCGATTTTTGAAGGGCCAGAGCGTGGGTAAAAGCTTTTACAGGGCCCTTCGGTACTTCTTAAAACGCCTATTATTTTTTATTTAGAACGCTAAATTACCATGAAAATTGCTTCAATAAGATTTCTCGCCCTCTTCACGCTGCTGGTCAACTTCCCCGCCCAGACATTTACCAAATGCCTTTGAAAAGACGGGCAAAAAATCGCCACCACCCCAAGTGGCGGTCCAATGTTTGTCGAGGACAATGAGTCATTTTTAACCTTTGGTAAATATTACTGTGTATCTATTTGTTGCTCTCTCTCGCTCTATCCCTTGCTCTCTGTCTCACTCGCTCTCTCGCTTTAAAATGCCACCTAACCTCAAAATCGCCGGAACTTCCGTTCCAGGCTAAAATGCGCCCCGGAGCCACCGTAATCCTCATCTGTCTATTTTTGCTATTTTTCCAATATGCGGGCGCGCAAGATGTTTGCGCTTCCGCGCCGACCGAAGCGCTGCGGACCATCTGCCGCCAGATCCAGACAATGGACGCTGATATGGTAAGCAAATTGTCTCTGCTAGCCTGCCCCTTCCATTCCCAAATGATCTCTGCTAGCCTGCCGGGGGGGGGGGGGGGGGGAAAAAAAAAAACAAGGGGGGGGGGGGGGGGCGGGGGGAGGAAGAAAAGGGGGGGGGGGGGGGGGGGGAAACCTTCCATTCCCAAATGATCTCTGCTAGCCTGCCCCTTCGATTCCCAAATGATCTCTGCTAGCCTGCCCCTTCCATTCCCAAATGATCTCTGCTAGCCTGCCCCTTCCATTCCCAAATGATCTCTACTAGCCTGCCCCTTCCATTCCCAAATGATCTCGGCCAGCCTTCCCCTTACATGGGCGAGAAAATAATGAGCTAATCTCGCATTAGAGTATTGCATATCTGTCTAGACCTAGTCGATGGAAGGGGTCGATTTTGGGCTTCTGAGATCCTTTAAAATATTGAATTTCAGAACACGACAACTCCGAAGGTCCAAACGACAGCTGCGGGTCGAACGATGGTTCTCCCGCCCCAGAACTCCGCCTACCAATGCCAAAATATCAGCTGCATCTGTGGCTACATCGCCGGTCTGCTGATTATTTTATTTAACTAATATTCCGAACACTTTTCATTTTATATAACGCACTTAAACTTCAACAACTAATTCTTTCAATTCATTTTCTAATTGATTTTTTATCAAGTTTTTTTCTGGTGCGCATCTACTCACAACTTTGAATTAATGCGAAAAGTTTCTTCTAAGTAGTTAAGATCTACTTTTAAGCTGTGAATCTTTTGGATTATCACTTCGCTGTTTTCGCATTATTTTTAAGTTATAAATCGTTGAATTCAGGTCGCTTCTCAAATGGCCAGTGCACACTACAAAACGGACAAGTCTACCGTAAGGCCGTCCGGAAAGAGTGGCGAATGTTGAGTGAAGCGGAAAGAATGGCCTACGTGCGGGCTTTCCTCGAGATTACGGTAGGTGAGCTAGGCTTTCGGTAGTAAAAATGATTCCCAAATGGTCTCTGATAGCTTGCCCTCCCTCGAATTTTCAAGAATCTTTGCTAGGTTACGGTGTTCGAACTTCCCAAAGAATCACTGCTAGCTTGCCCCTCCCTCGAAATTCCCAAAAGATCTCTGCGAGCATGCCCAGCTTCATTCTTCATGAATCTCTGCTAGCCTCCCCGGGTTCAACTTTTCAAGAATTTCTGCTAGCATGCCCAGATTTAGCTCCGCAAGAATATCTACTAGCCTCCCGCAATTCCGAAAGAATCTCTGCTAGCCTGCCCCAATTCCGAAATACTCTCTGCTAGCCTACCAAGCCTCGATTCCGCAAGAATCTCTGCTAACCTCCCATCTTGGTTTTCTCAAAAAAAACCGGCCAGCTAGCAACCGGGCAACCTAGCAGAAATCCTTTGAGATTTCGCTATTTTCAGAATAACGGAAAATACAAGGAACTCTCCGAAATCCACCACCAAATGGCCACCGTATCCCCGGGGGCGCACAGCGGCCCGGCTTTTCTGCCCTGGCATCGCGAACTTACAAAGAGGCAAGTGGGAAAACTGGCCATAAGGGGTCTAGAAAGCGCCAGAATCGACCACTTGCAGCGACTAGGTCTAGACAACTACGCGACACATAAAAAGCCTTGTAAAGGAGTGTTTTTACAAAATTCCGTGCTCTATTACGCGTCAGATGGAGTGTCGCGTAGCTGGCTAGACCTAGTTGATTTTGAGACTAGATTTTGGCACTTTATAGCCTTTTGAATCCGAATATAATTTGTAATTTGGAGCATCCCGTAGCTGCTAAATCCAAAATTTAGGCTTGAAATAGCGCTCCGCGAAGTTGACCCAAGCGTCACGCTGCCGTACTGGGATTCGACGCTGGAATCGGCGCTACGGAACCCAGGGTGGGCAGAGTTTTTTAAGACGCAATTACAATTAATATTCGTAGCTTTGTATCTAGAAAAATTTGCGTCTTGCGCGCCTGAAAAGTCCAAGATTTTGTCCAAAAATCACGCGCTTCACGCCGTCTAGAAAGTAAGAAAATTCCCCATTTCGACAAGGCAAAACTTTTATCACACGCTTCCAAAAATAATTACATCCTGAAAACGGCCAAGGGCCAAAAAGAAATTAAGAAATTTCGGTTTTGAAAATCAGAAAATCTCGAAAAGACGCTTGTAACCGAGGTGGGGCAGGGTGGACTAATTGACTGGAATGACTATGCGGAGAGAGAGAAATCGGGGCAGAGATTTTAAAAAAGCAAAAGGCCAAAAGGAATTTTCAACAAAATTGACGTGTGCAAAATATACAGGACAACGGGGCGAGGGGAACAACAACAACAATTAAAATTTCTCGAGGAATCGAGAAATTAGGAGATTTCGAGCTCGCCGTCGACGACGTGCTTCAGCGACAAAATCTCGAGCCGGCCCGCCTCTTTCGTTTCCTTGCGCAGCATCTCATCGATGGTGCGGTAGGCGCCGGGCTCGATTAGGCCAACCTAGAAAATTCGGTTATATAATGCCATGTAAAAAATGATAAAATGATCTCTGCTAGCCTGCCCCTTCCATTCCCAAATGATCTCTGCTAGCCTGCCCCTTCCATTCCCAAATGATCTCTGCTAGCCTGCCCCTTCCATTCCCAAATGATCTCTGCTAGCCTGCCCCTTCCATTCCCAAATGATCTCTGCTAGCCTGCCCCTTCCATTCCCAAATGATCTCTGCTAGCCTGCCCCTTCCATTCCCAAATGATCTCTGCTAGCCTGCCCCTTCCATTCCCAAATGATCTCTGCTAGCCTGCCCCTTCCATTCCCAAATGATCTCTGCTAGCCTGCCCCTTCCATTCCCAAATGATCTCTGCTAGCCTGCCCCTTCCATTCCCAAATGATCTCTGCTAGCCTGCCCCTTCCATTCCCAAATGATCTCTGCTAGCCTGCCCCTTCCATTCCCAAATGATCTCTGCTAGCCTGCCCCTTCCATTCCCAAATGATCTCTGCTAGCCTGCCCCTTCCATTCCCAAATGATCTCTGCTAGCCTGCCCCTTCCATTCCCAAATGATCTCTGCTAGCCTGCCCCTTCCATTCCCAAATGATCTCTGCTAGCCTGCCCCTTCCATTCCCAAATGATCTCTGCTAGCCTGCCCCTTCCATTCCCAAATGATCTCTGCTAGTTTGCCCCTTCCATTCCCAAATGATCTCTGCTAATGCCCTGGGTTCAGAAAAGCTAGCAAAACACGTTTTGGAGATTGTCCAGACCTAGTGCAACTCAGGGGTCGATATCGGGTTTGACCCCCTGACCCTATGAAAGCGTTTCTTCTCAAAAACTGACCATCTCGAGTCCCTGCTCGTCCCAATTCTCGACCTCGACCTCATTGAACAGCGGCTTCATACGGCCAATGAGGGCACGGCCTTCCTTAAAAAAAAACATAAAAATAATTCTGAAATATTCTTCACAACCTTTGCCGGGCATGCGACCCTGAGCTTCATCTTGGCGCGCTCGATCGGGAGCGATTCCTGGAGTTTCGGGATCATTTCGAGCGCCTAAAAATGGAAATTTAAAAACTAGCAGCCAAGGACCGTAGAGAATTAAACGTTTTTCATTTTGCTCCGAAAGCTATTAAAAAGGCGAATAAAACAATGGTATTAAAATCGTTGAAAGGGGTTCCCGAACGCTGGAGAACTCTAAATTTTCCCATTTTACCTGCTGTTTCGCGCTCCGATTCGCCTTCAACGAGAAGTGGATATCGGTGAGCGCCTTCGTAATTGTTGACGGGGCCACGGGCCGGCTCGTCTCCGAATCCACCACCATATTCGCGATTAATAAGGCTACCTAAAGCGACAAAATTAATGTATATTCGGTTCTTTCTCAATATCGGGGGGAGGATTCAACTTTTTCTCAGTTTGCGAACTCAGTTTTACTATCCCTAATCGTAAAAACTTCATAAATTTTGTTAGAGACATACAAAAATAGCGATTTTACGACGCAAAAAGAGGCAATTTACGAGCAAAATTTCACAACCAAATTTCCTAAGTTTTTTGTTTCTTTTCCAACTTAAAATAAAGTTAATTTCACAAAAAACAGTATTAAAACACTTAATATTACGTTACTAGGCATTTCTGGACGCATCGAAAAAGTCCCCCCCCCCGATAATGTGAAAGAACCCTAAATTCTATATCACCTCTTTCACCGAATTGTCTGACGTCGTCTGGCGCTCTTTGTCCGAAATTTGCAGCTCGCCCTTGTCCAGAATCTAAGGCGAAATCTTTAAACCCAAAAACCAACTCAAATTTACCAATCGGCAAACTTCCAACTGGTTGTCGGTTCCAAAAGCTGCCATAATCTAAAAAAACTTCTATGACTTCTAGAAGTATCCCAAACCTCGTCCTTCTTTGCCATTTGCCCCTTGCTGACGTTGGAGAAGACGGAGGGCGTCTGCAGCACCTCGTCAATGTCTTTTTCACTAAAATTAGGCAATTTTTAGCAAATTTCTATCTTTAAAACCCAAAAAACTTATTAAAAACCCACCTCTTATTCCTCCAGTTCAGCACCTTGTTCTTGTAGCACGCAATCTCGAACCGTTTCCCCATCTTTTTCATCCGCACCACGGCCACATTGGTGAGGACCTAAAAAAATGTAAAAATATGCTCTTTCTAGGGATCATACCTTTTGATTGGTGGGCGTTTTTATGTTTTTCGACATGGCGAACAAGGGTTGGACTCTGAAATTAGGTTATATTTGGATTAAAAGAATTTTTAGCGAAATAACTTGACGAAACGCTTCGCAAAGTTGAAGACCGGGAAATCGATTACGCCAGGGAAGAGGCAAGGGGTCGCGTAATAGCGTGCAATCGGAAAAGGCGGGTCCGAAAAAGAACAGAAAACAAACAGAATGACGTCAAAAAGTGATGAAATTCAGTGAAACTGGAATAAAATAGATTTATAAGGTGAAACAGACTGCCCCAACAACTTTTCAACAATCCTACCCGCTTCTCCAGCCTTTAGAGGCCCGAAAAATCATAAAAACAAGTGAACACGGTGAAAAAAAATCGGAAATTAATTAAATACTTTATAACATAACGCTATTTTATAATATTTGCCCAGAAAACACCGATTTTAAAAGTTTAAATGAAGATTCGACGATTCTCTCGTTCCTCTAAGGAGTCCGAAAATAGCAGTAAGGAAGCAGAATAACCGGCAAAATCAAGAAAATCAATTAACTCCACCAAAAATGACGCTATTTCAGGCTATTAATAGAAAAACACCCATTTAAAAAGGTTCAGTCATATTTTAGCGACTCGATCATCTTCTCCGACGAGTTTTTTGGCACGAACCAGGGCACCGTGACGACGGGGTATTTTGCGAATTGGATCGGGTTGGGTGTAAGTTTTTGGGGTATTTGAGGTGTTATTTCCTAGTGGTAATACTGGTCATAGTAGTAGTAGTGGTAGTAGTATTCTCACGTATTAAATTTCTAGAACAGCCCAACGAGACGCCAGTTCCAACAAGCGAGCAGGACACCATTCACCGAGCAGGATATTCAGGTGACATTTTGGGTTCTACGGGTACAAAAAATTGTATTAATTTCGATAGATTTGTGATTAAATTTGTTTTAATCCAATTTACTTTACAGTCCATACTCTCATCACCAGCGGCTGCGCGCCTGCTCGCCTTCTCCGCTCAGCGAAACACGTGCCCGAATAACGGGGCGCTGCTCAACAACCTCGAGCTGTACCACGGTATGCCGCACGTCTTCATCGGCGGCGACATGTTCAACCCCGTGAGTCGCATGGGGGTAAAAGCTAATATAACAGATCTAGTAGCAGGGACTTGTAAGCTATCTCGTCCATTTTCTCTCTGTCTCAGTCTTTCTGTCCACTGCAATTCCCGTCCAACTGACCGTTGATTTTTGACAAACCGACATATACGGCCGCTATACACGGCACAGCCCGATCGTTAGATGCTGATTCGACACGAAAGCGCAAATTTCGCGAGCATCGCGCTACCTACTTTAACAAAAACTTACTTTAGCGCGGACACTGAGTTTTGGCGCGCATAGAATAGTTTTGGCGCGGATGACGCTGAGGGGGTAGTTTTGGCGCGGATACCAAGTTTTGGCGCGGATACCGAGTTTTGGCGCGCATAGAATAGTTTTGGCGCGGATGGCGCTGAGGGGGTAGTTTTGGCGCGGATACCAAGTTTTGGCGCGCATACCAAGTTTTGGCGCGCATACCAAGTTTTGGCGCGCATAGAATAGTTCTGGCGCGGATGGCGCTGAGGGGGTAGTTTTGGCGCGGATACCGAGCTTTGGCGCGCATAGAATAGTTTTGGCGCGGATGACGCTGAGGGGGTAGTTTTGGCGCGGATACCGAGTTTTGGCGCGCATAGAATAGTTTTGGCGCGGATGGCGCTGAAGGGGTAGTTTTGGCGCGGATACCTAGTTTTGGCGCGGATACCGAGCTTTGGCGCGCATAGAATAGTTTTGGCGCGGATGACGCTGAGGGGGTAGTTTTGGCGCGGATACCTAGTTTTGGCGCGGATACCGAGTTTTGGCGCGCATAGAATAGTTTTGGCGCGGATGGCGCTGAGGGGGTAGTTTTGGCGCGGATACCTAAGTTTTGGCGCGCATACCGAGTTTTGGCGCGCATAGAATAGTTTTGGCGCGGATGGCGCTGAGGGGGTAGTTTTGGCGCGGATACCGAGCTTTGGCGCGCATAGAATAGTTTTGGCGCGGATGGCGCTGAGGGGGTAGTTTTGGCGCGGATACCTAGTTTTGGCGCGGATACCGAGTTTTGGCGCGCATAGAATAGTTTTGGCGCGGATGGCGCTGAGGGGGTAGTTTTGGCGCGGATACCTAGTTTTGGCGCGGATACCGAGTTTTGGCGCGCATAGAATAGTTTTGGCGCGGATGGCGCTGAGGGGGTAGTTTTGGCGCGGATACCTAGTTTTGGCGCGCATACCGAGTTTTGGCGCGCATAGAATAGTTTTGGCGCGGATGGCGCTGAGGGAGTAGTTTTGGCGCGGATACCGAGCTTTGGCGCGCATCGAATAGTTTTGGCGCGGATGGCGCTGAGGGGGTAGTTTTGGCGCGGATACCTATTTTTGGCGCGGATACCGAGTTTTGGCGCGCATAGAATAGTTTTGGCGCGGATGGCGCTGAGGGGGGTAGTTTTGGCGCGGATACCTAGTTTTGGCGCGCATACCGAGTTTTGGCGCGCATAGAATAGTTTTGGCGCGGATGGCGCTGAGGGGGTAGTTTTGGCGCGGATACCTAGTTTTGGCGCGCATACCGAGTTTTGGCGCGCATAGAATAGTTTTGGCGCGGATGGCGCTGAGGGGGGTAGTTTTGGCGCGGATACCTAGTTTTGGCGCGGATACCGAGTTTTGGCGCGCATAGAATAGTTTTGGCGCGGATGGCGCTGAGGGGGTAGTTTTGGCGCGGATACCTAGTTTTGGCGCGGATACCGAGTTTTGGCGCGCATAGAATAGTTTTGGCGCGGATGGCGCTGAGGGGGTAGTTTTGGCGCGGATACCTAGTTTTGGCGCGCATACCGAGTTTTGGCGCGCATAGAATAGTTTTGGCGCGGATGGCGCTGAGGGGGTAGTTTTGGCGCGGATACCGAGTTTTGGCGCGCATAGGATAGTTTTGGCGCGGATGGCGCTGAGGGGGTAGTTTTGGCGCGGATACCTAGTTTTGGCGCGGATACCGAGTTTTGGCGCGCATAGAATAGTTTTGGCGCGGATGGCGCTGAGGGGGTAGTTTTGGCGCGGATACCTGGTTTTGGCGCGCATACCGAGTTTTGGCGCGCATAGAATAGTTTTTGGCGCGGATGGCGCTGAGGGGGTAGTTTTGGCGCGGATACCGAGCTTTGGCGCGCATAGAATAGTTTTGGCGCGGATGGCGCTGAGGGGTAGTTTTGGCGCGGATACCTAGTTTTGGCGCGGATACCGAGCTTTGGCGCGCATAGAATAGTTTTGGCGCGGATGACGCTGAGGGGTAGTTTTGGCGCGGATACCTAGTTTTGGCGCGGATACCGAGTTTTGGCGCGCATAGAATAGTTTTGGCGCGGATGGCGCTGAGGGGGGAGTTTTGGCGCGGATACATAGTTTTGGCGCGGATACCGAATTTTGGCGCGCATAGAATAGTTTTGGCGCGGATGGCGCTGAGGGGGGAGTTTTGGCGCGGATACCTAGTTTTGGCGCGGATACCGAGTTTTGGCGCGCATAGAATAGTTTTGGCGCGGATGGCGCTGAGGGGGTAGTTTTGGCGCGGATACCTAGTTTTGGCGCGGATACCGAGTTTTGGCGCGCATAGAATAGTTTTGGCGCGGATGGCGCTGAGGGGGTAGTTTTGGCGCGGATACCTAGTTTTGGCGCGCATACCGAGTTTTGGCGCGCATAGAATAGTTTTGGCGCGGATGGCGCTGAGGGAGTAGTTTTGGCGCGGATACCGAGCTTTGGCGCGCATAGAATAGTTTTGGCGCGGATGGCGCTGAGGGGGTAGTTTTGGCGCGGATACCTAGTTTTGGCGCGCATACCGAGTTTTGGCGCGCATAGAATAGTTTTGGCGCGGATGGCGCTGAGGGGGTAGTTTTGGCGCGGATACCGAGCTTTGGCGCGCATAGAATAGTTTTGGCGCGGATGGCGCTGAGGGGGTAGTTTTGGCGCGGATACCTAGTTTTGGCGCGGATACCGAGCTTTGGCGCGCATAGAATAGTTTTGGCGCGGATGACGCTGAGGGGGTAGTTTTGGCGCGGATACCTAGTTTTGGCGCGGATACCGAGTTTTGGCGCGCATAGAATAGTTTTGGCGCGGATGGCGCTGAGGGGGGAGTTTTGGCGCGGATACATAGTTTTGGCGCGGATACCGAATTTTGGCGCGCATAGAATAGTTTTGGCGCGGATGGCGCTGAGGGGGGAGTTTTGGCGCGGATACCTAGTTTTGGCGCGGATACCGAGTTTTGGCGCGCATAGAATAGTTTTGGCGCGGATGGCGCTGAGGGGGTAGTTTTGGCGCGGATACCTGGTTTTGGCGCGGATACCGAGTTTTGGCGCACATAGAATAGTTTTGGCGCGGATGGCGCTGAGGGGGGTAGTTTTGGCGCGGATACCTAGTTTTGGCGCGGATACCGAGTTTTGGCGCGCATAGAATAGTTTTGGCGCGGATGGCGCTGAGGGGGTAGTTTTGGCGCGGATACCGAGTTTTGGCGCGCATAGAATAGTTTTGGCGCGGATGGCGCTGAGGGGGGAGTTTTGGCGCGGATACCTAGTTTTGGCGCGGATACCGAGTTTTGGCGCGCATAGAATAGTTTTGGCGCGGATGGCGCTGAGGGGGTAATTTTGGCGCGGATACCTAGTTTTGGCGCGGATACCCGTTTTGGCGCGCATAGAATAGTTTTGGCGCGGATGGCGCTGAGGGGGTAGTTTTGGCGCGCATACCTAGTTTTGGCGCGGATACCGAGTTTTGGCGCGCATAGAATAGTTTTGGCGCGGATGGCGCTGAGGGGGGTAGTTTTGGCGCGGATACCTAGTTTTGGCGCGGATACCGAGTTTTGGCGCGCATAGAATAGTTTTGGCGCGGATGGCGCTGAGGGGGTAGTTTTGGCGCGCATACCTAGTTTTGGCGCGGATACCGAGTTTTGGCGCGCATAGAATAGTTTTGGCGCGGATGGCGCTGAGGGGGTAGTTTTGGCGCGGACACCGAGTTTTGGCGCGCATAGAATAGTTTTGGCGTGGATGGCGCTGAGGGGGTAGTTTTGGCGCGCATACCGAGTTTTGGCGCGCATAGGACAGTTTTGGCGCGGATGGCGCTGAGGGGGTAGTTTTGGCGCGGATACCTAGTTTTGGCGCGGATACCGAGTTTTGGCGCGCATAGAATAGTTTTGGCGCGGATGGCGCTGAGGGGGTAGTTTTGGCGCGGATACCGAGTTTTGGCGCGCATAGAATAGTTTTGGCGTGGATGGCGCTGAGGGGGTAGTTTTGGCGCGCATACCGAGTTTTGGCGCGCATAGGACAGTTTTGGCGCGGATGGCGCTGAGGGGGTAGTTTTGGCGCGGATACCTAGTTTTGGCGCGGATACCGAGTTTTGGCGCGCATAGAATAGTTTTGGCGCGGATGGCGCTGAGGGGGGTAGTTTTGGCGCGGATACCTAGTTTTGGCGCGGATACCGAGTTTTGGCGCGCATAGAATAGTTTTGGCGCGGATGGCGCTGAGGGGGTAGTTTTGGCGCGCATACCTAGTTTTGGCGCGCATACCGAGTTTTGGCGCGCATAGGATAGTTTTGGCGCGGATGGCGCTGAGGGGGTAGTTTTGGCGCGGATACCTAGTTTTGGCGCGGATACCGAGTTTTGGCGCGCATAGAATAGTTTTGGCGCGGATGGCGCTGAGGGGGTAGTTTTGGCGCGCATACATAGTTTTGGCGCGGATACCGAGTTTTGGCGCGCATAGGATAGTTTTGGCGCGGATGGCGCTGAGGGGGTAGTTTTGGCGCGGATACCTAGTTTTGGCGCGGATACCGAGTTTTGGCGCGCATAGAATAGTTTTGGCGCGGATGGCGCTGAGGGGGTAGTTTTGGCGCGGATACCTAGTTTTGGCGCGGATACCGAGTTTTGGCGCGCATATAATAGTTTTGGCGCGGATGGCGCTGAGGGGGTAGTTTTGGCGCGGATACCTAGTTTTGGCGCGGATACCGAGTTTTGGCGCGCATAGAATAGTTTTGGCGCGGATGGCGCTGAGGGGGGTAGTTTTGGCGCGGATACCTAGTTTTGGCGCGGATACCGAGTTTTGGCGCGCATAGAATAGTTTTGGCGCGGATGGCGCTGAGGGGGTAGTTTTGGCGCGCATACCTAGTTTTGGCGCGCATACCGAGTTTTGGCGCGCATAGAATAGTTTTGGCGCGGATGGCGCTGAGGGGGGTAGTTTTGGCGCGGATACCTAGTTTTGGCGCGGATACCGAGTTTTGGCGCGCATAGAATAGTTTTGGCGCGGATGGCGCTGAGGGGGTAGTTTTGGCGCGCATACCTAGTTTTGGCGCGCATACCGAGTTTTGGCGCGCATAGGATAGTTTTGGCGCGGATGGCGCTGAGGGGGTAGTTTTGGCGCGGATACCTAGTTTTGGCGCGGATACCGAGTTTTGGCGCGCATAGAATAGTTTTGGCGCGGATGGCGCTGAGGGGGTAGTTTTGGCGCGGATACCTAGTTTTGGCGCGGATACCGAGTTTTGGCGCGCATAGAATAGTTTTGGCGCGGATGGCGCTGAGGGGGGTAGTTTTGGCGCGGATACCTAGTTTTGGCGCGGATACCGAGTTTTGGCGCGCATAGAATAGTTTTGGCGCGGATGGCGCTGAGGGGGTAGTTTTGGCGCGGATACCTAGTTTTGGCGCGGATACCGAGTTTTGGCGCGCATAGAATAGTTTTGGCGCGGATGGCGCTGAGGGGGTAGTTTTGGCGCGCATACCTAGTTTTGGCGCGCATACCGAGTTTTGGCGCGCATAGAATAGTTTTGGCGCGGATGGCGCTGAGGGGGTAGTTTTGGCGCGGATACCTAGTTTTGGCGCGGATACCGAGTTTTGGCGCGCATAGAATAGTTTTGGCGCGGATGGCGCTGAGGGGGTAGTTTTGGCGCGGATACCTAGTTTTGGCGCGGATACCGAGTTTTGGCGCGCATAGAATAGTTTTGGCGCGGATGGCGCTGAGGGGGTAGTTTTGGCGCGCATACCTAGTTTTGGCGCGCATACCGAGTTTTGGCGCGCATAGGATAGTTTTGGCGCGGATGGCGCTGAGGGGGTAGTTTTGGCGCGGATACCTAGTTTTGGCGCGGATACCGAGTTTTGGCGCGCATAGAATAGTTTTGGCGCGGATGGCGCTGAGGGGGTAGTTTTGGCGCGGATACCTAGTTTTGGCGCGGATACCGAGTTTTGGCGCGCATAGAATAGTTTTGGCGCGGATGGCGCTGAGGGGGTAGTTTTGGCGCGCATACCTAGTTTTGGCGCGCATACCGAGTTTTGGCGCGGATGGCGCTGAGGGGGTAGTTTTGGCGCGGATACCTAGTTTTGGCGCGGATACCGAGTTTTGGCGCGCATAGAATAGTTTTGGCGCGGATGGCGCTGAGGGGGTAGTTTTGGCGCGCATACCGAGTTTTGGCGCGGATACCGAGTTTTGGCGCGCATAGAATAGTTTTGGCGCGGATGGCGCTGAGGGGGTAAGTTTGGCGCGTATACCTAGTTTTGGCGCGGATACCGAGTTTTGGCGCGCATAGAATAATTTTGGCGCGGATGGCGCTGAGGGGGTAGTTTTGGCGCGCATACCTAGTTTTGGCGCGGATACCGAGTTTTGGCGCGCATAGAATAGTTTTGGCGCGGATGGCGCTGAGGGGGTAGTTTTGGCGCGCATAGGATAGTTTTGGCGCGGATGGCGCTGAGGGGGTAGTTTTGGCGTGGATACCTAGTTTTGGCGCGGATACCGAGTTTGAGCTTTGGCGTTTACGAGACTTTGACGATGTATTTGTTTGACGCAGTGCATATCAATTATTTATTGGCATTCAAGAATCACATGTGGTTGACAAGTAAATCGAGTTGTTTTCCAACGATTAGCGCTTGGTTCCGGCAGGGCGGAGGCCGAGGCTGCCCCAGTTGTTTTCGAAGGAGCAAACCACGCAGCGACCTGGAAATAATGAGGGGTTTTTTTGTGGGAAGTCGGGTGGGCGGACTGACGGCCTGGCAGGCACCACGCGCTGTTGCACTCGGTCTTGCCCTCGACCCGATCCGAAGCGCGGCTGAAAAATACATGATGATCCTCGATAGCCCGAAAGGCCCCGCCCCAAATCTGGCCAAAACCAACAAGTACGCCTTTGTGCAAGGTGCGCACAGCGGGGGTCCGTGCTTCGTCGTAATCTTGAGCTCGCCGGCGTCGGGTCCACATTTTCGGCATATGCCGCGTTCCTGCAGCTATGTATAAAAGGGCCAACGGGTTACAGTATTACGTTGTACACCTCGTGGCGCCCGACATTGGAGACCGACGGGCTGATCTGAAAGAGCCAAGTCGGGAGGGTGCTGGACGGTTAGCGGGGGCGCTTATCAATTTTCGCTCTCTTCGAGCTGGCAGTAGTTTTTGATTGCGAGGAATGTATAAAAAAGGTTAAAGTTTTTTTTATTAAAGGTTGTATAAAATCCATTTTAATAATATGGCATTTTGACAATTTTTATCTTTTTGGTTGATTTTCCCTAGATTTTCGACTAAAAGCGTTGAATTTGTAGTTTTTATAGGCATTTACAACTAAAAACTGTCAAATGCCACAAAAATCCACTGGTTTTCCGGAAAAATCAGCCCCTCCCGCTAACAGTCAAGTACCGTCGAGAGGCGAGAAGCCGGTCTTTGGTTAGTTCTTTCGCATTATCGGGGGAGGGACTCGAACTTTTTTTGGTACCAGTCTAGGAAAGTCTGATAACTCAATGGAAAGTGTTATAATAGTGTAAAACACTTCAAAGGAAAAGTCAAAATTTTGGTCAAAAATCAATATTTTTTTACATTTTTTGATGCAAATTTGTTCACACAAATTTTCGCGTTGAAGCATAGTAAAAAAAGCATTTAGAAAAACTTTCACTATTTATGTTTGAAAATTAGATCGTAAGTCGCTTCGTAACGATTTATTCTCAGACAACGAACACAAAAGCAGAAAGGATCAGTCAAACACAGAAATCTAGTGAGCATATGCCTTGAAAAAGTCTGCAGCGAGCCCTTTCGTGCGATCGAGGAGGGTGGGGTTTCCTTGCTCGGCGGTCGTGGGGTCGGATTGGCTGGAGGAAGAGGCGCTGGTTGCCGTAGTATCCCCGGGGTGGCTGTTCATCATCTGAAATTCAAAGTTTATTCCGTCAATGACCTTTACAGGTACTGGACTGTTAGCGGGGGGGGCATTTTACCTGTCGGAAACTAATTTTTGCTTGTCGTGCTATTACCTGTTGATAATCAACAGTAGTTTTTTAGGTTCTTTCGCATTATCGGGGGGGAGGGGGGGAGGGGGCGGGGGGTTTATCGGGGGAAACAACCGACTTTTTTTCTTAGGGTCCAATTTTTTAAATATAAATAGTGGACGTGTTTCTAAATGGTTTTTCTGCGGTTCCTGAACGTGATAACTTTGCAAATTTTTATTGAAAATGGCAAAAACATCGATTTTTTGACCAAAAATGGTCGATTTTGGACCAAAATCTCGACTTTTTTTAAAGTCTTTAGATAGCTTTTCTAGTTTAAATGTGGTTAGATATTACTAGAAACACTCTTAAAACACAAAAACCAAAAAAAGTTTGGGTCCCCCCCGATAATGCAAAAGAACCGCTTTTTATATCTAAAAACCGCTAAGGTACTATGGAAATCGTTTATATTTTGCTATATCTGTACGGAGTTACTGCGGAAATTATTTCTCCATTCCGTTAAGCGGAAAGGCACCCACTTTTGGCGGATGAGGCTCGGGGTTGGGCGGCTGCTGCGGCTTCTCTTCGGTCTTCTTCTCCTTCGCGTCCTCCGGCGCGTCGGCGCGCTCATCGGCTTTGGCCTGAAATTTAGTAATACAATAATTATTTTCTGTAATACTAACTAGATTTTCACTTAACTATTTACTGGGTTTCAACTAATTTTAAGACCTACAACGACCAAATTTTCGACCTTTTCAATCCAACTTTTTTCTAACTTTTGCTACTTTAAGTATAGCTAACACCTACGAAGAAATGCAAAAACACTTGTCCTTTGATTGCTAGACGAACCGGCTTGTTGTTGGTGGTGGGCGGGGCGGTGTCCTCCGGCTCGACGGACGTGGTGTCGTCGGCGATGACGATGGCGGCGGCGGCTTGCGTCGGGCGCTCGTGCAGGTCCTTGAAGCGGATGGGGTCGGGCAGCTAAACGAAACGAGTTTGAATACGGCTCTGACAGCCCCCACGTCGACGCGTTGCGGCTTGCGAGAGGGACTACGGCCCCTGTTAGACTTGGCGTAGTCCTCGCCGCAGCGCCGCGACTCCAGGACCTTGACGCCGTTGTCCTTCTCGATGCCCTCCATCTGAAGAATGTGCTTAGGCTTGGGCTTAGGCTTAGGCTTTAGGCTTAGGCTTAGGCCTAGGCTTAGGATTAGGCTTAGGCTTAGGCTTCGGGATCATTACCAGCTTATCGTAGTGGCCGTTCTCGGCTTCCGTTGCTCCCCGGGCCGCCGTGTAGTTCTTTTTCGCCTCCTCGTACTCGCCGGCGACGTACTGGGCGACTTTCTGGCAAGAAGAAATATTGAACCACGCCTCAAAAAATTTTGGTCGAAATCGAAAATCCATTTTTGTGCAAAAAAAATCGGTATTTTTTGTGTTTTTTACAGTAAAAATCTATAAGTTTTTACGTTTAGGACTAATAAAAAAGCGTCTACAAACGACGCCGCTTTTTAGTCAAAAACGGTTTTTAGTAAAAAAAAAACCCCATGTATTACTCAGAAAACGTTCGATAGGTGTTTGCAAGGTCGAATTCTGGTAAAAAAAAGCCTTTTTCGTCAAAAAAATAGATATTTTGTATGTTTTAGTAAAGTTTGTAAAGTTTATACGTTCAAGGATAGGCAAAAAAACTAGTTTAGAAAGGCTTCCGCTATTTAGATTTAAAAAAATTGAATCCTAACAACGTCGCCCTCCCCCCGATAATGCAACAGAACCAGAATAATTTTTTTCGATTGCCCAAACGTACCTTGACTAGGAGATCCAACGGTAAGTCTTGGGATTCCTCCGCTTCCACGCGCGCCGCGACCAGCGCCGGATCGAACCAGGCAGGCACGTCGAGGTCTTTCGGGTGGGCGACGAGCAGAAGCTTCTATAACGGGGGGAGGTAGGAGGTGGCGCGACGAGCAAGGCTTAGGCTTTCTTAAGCTTAGGCTTAGATTTAGGCTTAGGCTTAGGCTTAGGTTGAGGCTTAGGCCTAGGCTTAGGCTTGGGCTTAGACTAGGCTTAGATTTAGGCTTAGTCTTAGGCTTAGGCTTAGACTTGGGCTTGGGCTTAGACTTAGGCTTAGATTTAGGCTTAGTCTTAGGCTTAGATTTAGGCTTAGGCTTAGGCTTAGGTTGAGGCTTAGGCTTAGGCTTAGGCTTGGGCTTAGACTTAGGCTTAGATTTAGGCTTAGTCTTAGGCTTAGGCTTAGGCTTGGGCTTAGGCTTATTAGGCTTAGGCTTAGGCTTAGGGAGGACTCTACCTGAATCCGCGCCGACGGCGCCGTGGCCCATCCGCCCGTCTTCAGCCTCTCCGCATCATCATCCGTCCACTGCTTCAGCGTGGCGTCCCCGCACTCGTAGCAAAGCATCGCTTGGAGCTTCTGCAGGGCCAGAAGACAACCGCGCTGCAAACAGAAGTCGTTATTGCCATCACGAAGGGGTTCTTTCGCGTTATCGGGGGGGACAATTTTTTAGGAATCAATTTTTAAATCTAACTAACGCAATGTTGCTAGGCCGTCTTTCCAAAACTATTCCCAAACGTACTTACGCCAAAATTTTTGATTAAAAACCAGCAGAAAAACATCGATTTTTCGACGAAAAACGGCCGTTTTGACCAAAAGGTTGCTAAAATCACAATGAAAATTCATCTTCATTCATTCATCAATTCATTCATTTTTATTCATCTAGAAATGCCTAGTAAGTTACTAGGCATTTCTAGATGAATAAAAAAAATTGTTTGATGTTTTTAGTAAAATACTATGTCTTAACTAAAAAAACTATCACAAAACTTTAAAAAAACGTTTGAAGGTCCATTTCGTCCAAAAAGGCAGTTTAGATGGAAAAATCTATATTTTTGAAATGTTAAATAAAAATTTGCAAAGTTTGGACATTTAGGAATAGTAAAAATTTTTTGTAACTTTTGCTCAAAAATGTGTGAAAAATGACCAACACGTCAAAATTTACGAGTTTTCGAAATTATTAAACTATTTTTAGAACTTTCGGTCAACCAAAAACCGCTAAAACACTGTAAAAACCATAAATATGCTCGACAGGCGTAGATGGCAAAAGAAAAGTGGTTTCCCCTTGCAAAAATCCGCGGCCCCCCCGCTAACAGTCCAGTACCAATCTAAGCCTCGAAAAGCGTAATAACTCCGGGGAAGAATTCAAAGTTTAAACTATGACCTTCTGCAGCAAAATCGCGGCCGCGTCTTCTTCTTTCTTCTTGAGGGCGCCCCACTTCAACAGGCTATGGTCGGCGCGCAGGATGAGGGCAGAGCAGTTCTAAAAAGAAAGTTCGAAATTGTAGCAATCACTCACGTCGAGGGTTTGTTCATTATTAGTAGTCATTGTCAGTATAAATAACGGAATAGAGGGGGTTAGTGAAATGACGACGCCCGCCGGCGTGTGGCTTCTATACGGGTATTCGGATGCGCCACGCGGAGCGCTTCCGATTTTCGGCGACTCCATATGCAAATCTTGTCGGATTGCCAAAATAGTGTCTTCACAGCTTATTATTCTGCTGTTTATGTAAATCGTGACCATCTCTGTCTGTCTCTATCTCTCTCTTTATTTGGATCTCTCTCGCTCACCCTCTCTCTCCCTCTCTCTCTCGCTTTCGCATTCTCCCTTATTCACTCTCTTTCACTTCTCTCACTCACTCTCGCTCTTTATCACTCGAATCACTCTCTTGCTTCCGATCGCTCTCTCTCTCTCTCTCTCTCTCTCTCTCTCTCTGTCACTCCAATCACTATCTCGCTTCCGCTCTCTCACGCTCTCTCTCTTGCCCTCCCTCTCTCTCACTCCACTCTCTATCTCTCTCTCTTTCCCTATCTCGCTCTCTCTCTCAGGCGGAGTGATTAGCAGAGAACTTTTGGGAAAGCGACCCTCGCAATTGAAGACCCTTTTAGTTAACCTCGACGAACGATCCGCTTTTCTGGCTTCACCACTCGTTTGTCGATCTGATTTGGGAGCAGTGGCGCCAGGCAAAACAGGTTAGCCACTTCGGTTTTGCTTTAAAGGAGCCGTCAAGCCAACCTCAAAACGGTTAGGTCAAAATTGAGGGGTCTTTGAGGCGCCGGAATGGACGCCGACAGTCCGCCAGGTCTCGACAGCTACGCAAGACGCCGAAGCGCGCATTAATCTCATCTTTGGCATGCCGCGTGGCTGTCTAGCCCTAGTCGATGTTAGGGGTCGATTGGCGCGCTTTCTGGAACCTTTAATATAGCTGATTTTTGTTGTAGACACGCCAACAACGCGAAAACCACTACCCGGCTGATAACCTACAATGCGCTACGGAAGCACATTTTGGTGGGACTATAATGCGCCCATTTACGCCGTTGATAAATAAGGTATGCTTAGATGCGTTGTCACTATCTGTCATTCGCTCTCTCTCTCCCTCTCTCCCTCTCTCCTCTCTCTCTCTCTCTGTCTCACTCTCACTTTCTCTCTCTCTCTCTCTCTCTCTCGCTTACGCTACCAAATTTGCCATCAAATTCCTAGGATGGTCTGTCGAACAGCTACACCGACAACTTGTACGAGTACGCCCCGCGGCCAGGCTGTAGCGCTCAGCAGGACTGCGGCTCCGAGTGAGTTACGCCTTTTTAGCACCGAAAAAAGCTTGATGCCATCAAAATGTTTTCCAGGTCCCTTTAAACCCCGAAAATCTTCAGGCTGCTCTTCTGCGACCGTTCGAACGGAGCGCCGCGTTGCGCCTCGAAGGTGAAGATCGGGGCCAGCTGCGGTGGTTACAGGATGGGTACGGTAATCTTGGCGCTATTTAGAACATCAGTGACGTTACGGTAATCTTTGAAAACGCCAAAAAATTGAAAAAAGTAGGTATCTTGTATTTTTTTCATCCAAAATCAGTCTCTAATTGGCTTTCCACGTCTGGGTTTTTGAAGTTTGTCTTGCCTTCCAAGTCCCTTTAATTCAGGCGAGAACCCGTGCTACAGGGGAGAGTGTCTGAACGGCATCTGCCAAAGAAGTTCTCAGCCCAACCCGGGTCCTGCACCGACGACTGGCCGGCCGGATGTGCCGACGACGACAAGGAGGACGTGGCCGACGAGGCCGCCGTGGAATGGAGGGGTGAGTAAGGCAGATTTTTTAAATACATCTTTCTCCTATTCTCTATCTCTCACTCTCTCTCTCGATATCACTCTCTCGCGCTGTCTCTCTCTGTCTCTCGCTTCTCTCTGCCACTCTCTCACATTGATTCACAAATTTAATCTCTCGCTCCTTCTCTCTCTCTCCCTCTCTCTCTCTCTTTCTTTCTCTTTCTCGCTCTCTCACTCTCTCTCTCTCTCTCTCTCTCTCTCTCTCTCCCTCTCTCTCACGCACTCTTTCGCCAACCAGATTTTTCATTTTCAGAGCCCAACCCACATCGAACCCGGATACGGTTGCGGTGTTCACGTCGAGCCGGGCTACGGTAGTGGCCCACACGTCGAGCCAGGCTACCGTAACCCTGACAGCCCTGTTTACGTCGAGCCGGGCCTCGACCCTATCACCTACCCACCCAGCAACCAAAACCCATACCTTGCCTTCCAACGCGGGAAATGAATTCTGATGTTTTAGACTATTAATGTGCGAAGCACACGTACTATAAAGCATTCAATATTTATGATAAAATCATCTGAAAAATAAGTTAAATAAAGTTCTATGCCCGTCGCAAGCTGAACTGTACGGTGCTGATGTGCCGGTGGGCGAACAGGGCCGAGCAGAGCGCAAAGTAGAACTCCCACTTTCGGTGGAAAGTACGGGAATAGCCGAGGGCCAGAATTTCGGCTCGTCTGTCTCGCCATGCGCTGAAAATTCATTGTTATTAAGGTTTAACGGGATTGGGAAGCCGGAAAATCTACTCCTTTAACGACTGGGTCTAGACAGGTAAGAGATACAGCAAAACAGTATGTTTAAGAAGGGAGCGAATTCGGCAGGCTAGCAGAGATCATTTGGGAATGGAAGGGGCAGGCTAGCAGAGATCATTTGGGAATGGAAGGGGCAGGCTGGCAGAGATCATTTGGGAATGGAAGGGGCAGGCTAGCAGAGATCATTTGGGAATGGAAGGGGCCGGCTAGCAGAGATCATTTGGGAATGGAAGGGGCAGGCTAGCAGAGATCATTTGGGAATGGAAGGGGCAGGCTAGCAGAGATCATTTGGGAATGGAAGGGGCCGGCTAGCAGAGATCATTTGGGAATGGAGAGAGGCAGGCTGGCAGAGATGTTTTGAGGAATAGCCCAGCTACCTAGACCTAGTCGAGACGAGCAGACGAGAGAGAGAGAGAGCGTAAAGGAGAGAGAGAGAGAGAGAGAGAGAGAGAGAGAGAAAGAAAGAGAAAGAGAGATAGAGAATAATAGGGAGTGCGGGAGAACTTACCATAGCCACAAATCGAGTGTTGTCGCGTAGTGTTCCCCAATTTCTGAGATGTCCCCATCCATGGACAGCCGACCGCCCAGACACCGGTCGATGTGGCTAAGCGAGGGGAGATGGCCTAAAATTCTAGATTTCTTCACGGATTTGGAGTTTGTGGTTAATTATGATATGTCAAATCCGTAAAAAGCGTTAATTGGTTCCACCTACCGCCGGGGAAAATGTGTTTCCGGATGAAATCCGACGACCGGCAATAGCGTTCGTAGTACGCATCCGGACAGGTGATCGCCTGGAATTGGAAATTTAAACTTTGAAAGGGCCTGGAAAGCGTGTCTATCGACCCCTCCGTCGACTAGGTCTGGACAGCTACGCCATATAACAAGATTTCAGCGCAAGAACATGACTTTAGCAGCTGAAAAACCAGCAACTGGTGCATAAGCGCGTCGTGTAGCTGTCTGGGTCCAGTCGATCGATCGGGTCAATTTTCTCGCCTATTAGTCCCTTTAATGTCTATTTGTGCTTACCTGGAGAACGGCCTTCCCTCCGGGGGCCAACCGATCATGGAGGACCTGGAAATATTCGGCCATGTACTGCTCGCCGACTGCCTCGATCATTTCGATGGAGACCAGCCGAGAGTAGGTGCCAGTTTCGAGTCTGAAAGTGAGAGATTAGAGAGCGCACAAGACCGAGAGAGAAAGGGAGAGCGAGCGAGAGTTGACGAGAGAGAGATGGAGAGAGGGAGAGAGAGAGAGAGAGAGAGAGAGAGAGAGAGAGAGAGAGAGCGAGCGAGCGAGAGCCATTACCTATAGTCAAGATATTTGAGATCAATAAGATGTGATAGCCCAGCCTCTTCTACCCGTTGCTTGGCCATTGCCAGCTGCTCGTGCGATATGGTCAGCCCGGTCCAGCGGCAGCCGTGTCTGAAAACGCAGGTTTAAAGGGACCGTGAAGCCTGGCCAGCGCTCCGAAACCCACCTCTTTACGGCCTGAATCGCGAAGGCGCCCCAACCACACCCAATCTCCAGCACGTGGTCATCTTCAGAGAGTTCGAGCCGGTCGACGAGTTTGTCGATCTGAAAAAAAACATTGAGAGAGTGCAAAAACGAGGGAGAGAGAAGGAAAGAGAGAGAGAGAGAGAGAGAGAGAGAGAGAGAGAGAGAGAGAGATAGAGGGGAGAAGATAGAAAGAGATAGAGCGAGCGACTGAGAGAGAGAGAGAGAGAGAGAGAGAGAGAGAGAGAGAATCCACCTTTCGACGCTGCGACTCCTCCAGCAACCCGACGTCGTACTCCTCGATAGGGATGCCGGCTTTCTGAAAGTTTCGTGATCCTCGCTGACGAAAAAAGGCCTCCGAAAAATCGAGCAAGCTTGGTCCCTTTAAATGTAATTCTGACAAACCTCAAACACGCCGCAAGAATACGTCATTGAAGGGTCGAGGAACAGTTCGAACATGTCGTTGCCGAGATCGTAGTGGGCTAAAAAGAAGTTGGGAGTCTTAGGCTCATGCTTCTTTTCAACCAACCTCGGATATTCTTGGCGCTCTGCAACAGCGTATTCGAGCGTATCTGGTGTTGGCAGTAGTTGAACAGGGCCCAGCCACGTTGAAGAACACTGAGGAGGACTTCGGAAAGGGAGGCTAGGATCTTCGAGGAGGTAGATTTTGGTTTTCTTGGCCCTCGCAGGCGTGCGGTTTGCTCTGAAAATTTACCAAGTTATCTCTGCTAGCCTGCCCCTTCCATTCGCAAATGATCTCTGCTAGCCTGCCCCTTCCATTCCCAAATGATCTCTGCTAGCCTGCCCCTTCCATTCCCAAATGATCTCTGCTAGCCTGCCCCTTCCACTCTCAAATGATCTCTGCTAGCCTGCCCCTTCCATTCCCAAATGATCCCTGCTAGCCTGCCCCTTCCATTCCCAAATGATCTCTGCTAGCCTGACCCTTCCTTTCCCAAATGATCTCTGCTAGCCTGCCCCTTCCATTCCCAAATGATCTCTGCTAGCCTGCCCCTTCCATTCCCAAATGATCTCTGCTATCCTGCCCCTTCCATTCCCAAATGATCTCGGCTAGCCTGCCCCATGTTACCGGAAACGCACGCTTGGCGCGGATGAGAAGCTTGAGAAGTTGGGTGGTGCCCGGGTCGGCTTCCCAGCATCCATACATGAACGCCTCGCCAAGGCCGAGCTTCGGGTCCAGCATCATCAGCCAGCAGAAGAAGAACAGCCGATGGATTCGAAGGGTTACCGGGTCAGATCTGCAAAAACACGGATAGCTTGGCATCAGGCTTGGTTAGGCTTGGGTTAGGCTTAGGTTGGGCTTGGGCTTAGGCTTCGGCTTAGTCTTAGGTTTAGGCTTAGGCTTCGGCTTAGTCTTAGGTTTAGGCTTAGGCTTAGGCTTAAGCTTCGCAGATCTCCGCTACAACTTCCTTACCGCGGCTTCTCCCTCGCTAGCGAGCGGCTAATCGCTACCAGCCTACCCCAGACTTTTCGCCGTCAAAGAAAGTTTATGCTTGCCCCCCGCCCCCGCTGACAGACATATCGTAAATCTGAGATAAGGCAAAAAGCTCCCGTATCGCCTGGGGGGCATACAAGCAGTGATGTTTGAAACCCAAACTGCTGCAAGGAGCCGTTGGTTTGTGATTGTATACTTGTTGAAAATCGTTTTGAAGGGGCTGTGAAGCGAGAATCGGCCTATTCCATCGACCAGGCCATCGTATTTATGTTTCAAAAAACACATTTTTAATCGCGAATTTAGTGGTTTAACGGCACCAGAAAGCCGCCAAGTCGACCCCTTCCTATAACTAGGTCTCGACAGCTACGCGACACCTCAAGAAATGCATGGTCTAGTCGAATTTTAGTTTTCTCTAACGTCACGCTTCTAGCTGTTGAAAACCAGCCCAGGCATTTTTTGGCCTATCTCATCGCTGTCTAGACCTAGTCGATGGGTCGGTTTCCAAGCTTCCGAGTTTCTTTAAAGCATTATAAATCGCAAAACTCACTCATTATTGTTCTGCACCTTGTTCCCGAAAGTACGCTCGAATCTTAATGACGGGATTTGCAGCGTTAATGCCTATAAACTCAGCTTGAAATTTTATAGAAAAATTTGTGATCACCTCCTCGGATTGGCCGACAATGCCGTTCAAAAATCGGACGATAAATGGTAGAAAAACCCGTCGGCCGGCCGTTTCTTGGAGTTTTGCGAGGAGGGTGGCCATTTGGCTGAAAGAGATCGTGTTGTAACGAGTGAGGGAGAGAGTGTGAGACAGAGAGAGAGAGAGAGAGAGAGAGAGAGAGAGAGAAATTCGTTCGTCGACAAAAATTCGTTTAAAACCTGCCGTAGTTGAAAACAAGAAAGCAAAGCGTCTCGAGTCCGAGCCACCAGCTGCCCGCCTCGACGACACCGAGACGGTCACGCCAATTTAGTGGCCGGTTTTTGACTTGTAAGACGATAATAATTTTTCAATGCTCGGGAAAATTCAGAGACATTTTTGAGAAACGGGTTAAAAGTGTTGTAATTTTTGCGATCGGGTAAACGGTTGTGAGGTTTAGCTTAAGTTTAAGAGAAATTTCTGCAACCGTTCAAATCTAATAATTTCGAAATTCGTAATGTCGCAATTTAAAATGGCAAAAGCTGCATTAACAAACCTCCAGGAAAAACATGGCGGAAATCTCGACAAAAATCGCTTTTGGGCATTGTAAATTTGACATTATGATAGCGAAACGCTACGTACGCTACCTTTTAACGCAAAAGGAAAAGCTTAAACGTTTTCCTTAGGCGTTGAAAGGCATATCCCAAGAAAGGCCGAATGTCGGCAACGCCCAGGAGATGCCATAAAATTCATCATCGCTTGATATCATAAACCTGGGCCCCGGAGAGAATCTTATTGACTTCCAGGCTGATATCGACAAAAATTCCCCTGGCAAAAATGCGCCTTTTGAAACGAGAGGTTGGTGGCACAAGTTTTTCTACGGTTTTTGGGCGGGGTTTTTTGTGGCGTACTGACCGAAAATCAAAAGAAAATTGGGAAAATTTGAATCACTGAGTTTTAAATTCTATATGCTTAAAAATCGCGTCGTAAGTAGGGATACGTAGCGTAGGTATGCAGTAGCGTACAACGCTTAGCAATACGTCCAAGCCTAAGCGCAAGCCTAAGCCTCATGCTATGCCTCAGCGAAAGCCTAAGCCAAGCCTAAGCTCAGTCTAAACGAAAGTCTAAGTTAAGCCTAAGCTAGGCCTAGCCAAAGTCTAAGCACCAGCTTGAACGAAGCCTAAGCCAGCCCAAGCGAAGCCTAAGCCAGGCCTAGGCTTACTCCTATGCCAAAGCCTAAGCCAGCCTAAGCTAACAAGGGAACCTCAAGTTGGCACGGTGGAATTTCGAAAAACGCTCGCGGCTACCTATCCTATCGATACCTCATAAACCTATCGATAATGCTAATTTTTTGGATGTAAATTATCATTTTCCGGAAGTGCTGTATCTCTGTCCACAGGCCCATTAAGGAAATTCTAACTACAGCGTTGGAATCGCCATAGTCGAAAACCTGGGGGTAGCCGCGAGCGTTTTTCGAAATTCCACCGTGCCAACTTGAGGTTCCCTTGTAAGCCCAAGCTAAGCCCAAGCTAAGCCTAAGCCGAGGCCTAAACACAATCCTAGGCCTAACCCGACGCCGAAAACTGTTCTTTGAAAACCAGCCATCAAATTTTATCAGCCGCCGATGATTTACGATTGGCTCGGCGAAAGGTGAGACTTTATAGCTTTCCGCTGACCTAACTCTTATCAGAAAATGCGCCGTACAAGCCAAGCCGACCGTACCTTCAAAACGTGCAAAATCTCCGGCTCTTTCTTGCAGGGCAAAAGCCCTTTTAAATCAGAAAGGGCAAGGCGTCGTAAACGTAAAGCATATCTGCGGCGGGGTGGTGGTGGTGCACGGGATGTTCCGGTGATCGTGGCTAGGCGCTGGAGGAGGGGGGGAAAGCCAGTCTGATACCCCGCCGCAGGGCATTTCCCTCCCAATGTCTCCAGCACCCCCCTCTTTTAGCGGGGGTCGATTGCCGAAAACGGGTCAAGCACGCTTTCTCTCGCTCTCACTCGGCTTTTCGTTTTGCATCAGCCGCCAAAAGGGAGGAGCACAAACTCGAGCAACAGCCACAGGTCGCCTGAGCCCTCAAAATAGTTTCACGATGTCGAAATTCATAAGCTCGACATTGAAAGGGTCGAGATTCCCCCCGGTGCTTTGGCGTTATCAGGGGGGGGTCAGGTAGGCCACACTTTTTTCTTTAGTGACCAAGTTCTCTATTCAAAATAATAGCAGGGTTTCTAAGCAATACTATCGGCAGATCTGGCAGCTTTTTTTTTAATAAAAACAGGAAAAATGCAGATTGTTCAGCCAAAAAACGCCGATTTTTTAGCAAAATCCATTATTTTTTTCCTTTTTAGATAGTTGTCAACCTGGAATATAGTGAAATTAACGGAAAACACTATTTAAATCCTTGCTATGACGTTGCTGGTCATTTCTGATCTGTTACAACCGCGCCCCCCCGATAATGCCAAAGAACCGCTGTCCCAATACTACTATGCATATTCGGCGTTCGCAAAATTCGGGATTTCGGCAGTATGAAGTCCAAAGAATCCGGCAAATCTGCTTCTCTCGCCCTCACCCGCCTCTTCGTTTTGCATCAGCCGCCAAAAGGGAGGAGCACGAACTCGAGCAACAGCCACGGATCGCCTGAGCCCTCCGCAAACAGCTTCATCACACCGCGAACTTGTCAGGTTGGCAGGGTTTGCAGCACGGCGTCGATTCTCCTCCCCAAGGAGTCGTTTTTCGGTGATATTGGAGCTCTTGAGCAAGACCTAGCTAATTCGACAAAAATTCTTTTTAATAGATCGTTTCAAATAATTTTAGCATCGTTAAAGGAGCCCAGAAGTGAAAATTGGGCGCCCGGCGATGGAACCTAAAAGGTAAAAAAATTCAAGCGGTACTCCCTGCGAGTATCAGAAATTCAGATTTTGAATGTCGGTATCTTGAATGTCGATATTTCTAATGTCGGTATTTTGAATGTCGGGATTTTGGCTGTCGGGATTTTTAATGTCGCTATTTTGGCCTTTTTGGCGCGTTTGTCCTGCAATAAAAAGCTCAATTTTTTATTCGCAAAAATCCGATCCATTCCATTTAATTCTCGGCACACCTTGCGGATCACTCATCGGGTCCCAGTAGTCTCCTTTATGGAAATTTGCGATCAGCTGTCGGTATGCGGCCACCGCGTGCCCAGCATTCGATCCCCAATTCTGGACCAGAAACACGTAGACTCCAAGCTAAACGATTGTGCTTATTCAGGAAAATCTCAGAATTTTTCCCTAGATTCGAATTTTTGTGGCCAATTTCATCTATAGCCTAAATTTTACGAAGAACACTGTTAAGATACTTACTATGATTTTATTTGTCCAGACTAGATCGATTTTTCGACCCTCAATACAAAAAATTTGGCAATCCCGCGATTCAGCCGGCCTTGCCTTCAATTCCTCGCACAACTCGACCAGCATTTTTTGTAGTTGATGCTTAGGTCGGTGGTCAAGGACCTAAAAATGCCATGATAAATCGGTCCCCGCCGCTAAGAGTCCAGAACCGGGCGAACCCACAGATTTCGACTCCATTTCGACGTAGAATAACGCGATGCGACGGCGCTCGTCAATTGGTGGATGCTGCAATGATCGACTCGTTTGTCGAGATTTTTATCATTTTATCGAAATTTGATCTTGTCGAAAATAATTCGCTGGTCGAAAACTTCGACAAAATGAATGCGATTAAAGGCAAAAAAAAAGTTGGATTAAAAGGGGCTAGAAATAAAAAGATTTAAAAAAAAAAACCCCCCAAAAAAATAAAAGAAAAGTAACCTTTTAAAAATTAAAAAAAAATTGAAGAAAAAATTTTAATAAAAAAAAAAAATTTAAAATTTTTTATTTTTTAATTTAAATTTAAAATAAAAAAAAAAATATATAATTTGAAAAAAAAAAAAAAAAAGAAAAAAAAAAAAAAATAAAAAAATTTAATTTTTATTTTGTTTTTTAGTTAAAGGGAAAAAAAAAAAAAAAAATAATTTAAAAATTTTTTTTTTATTTTTTTTTTTTTTTTTTTTTTTTTTTTTTTTTTTTTTTTTTTTTTTTTTAAAAAATAAAAATTTATAAAAAAATAAAAAAAAAAATTTTAAAAAAAAAATTTAATAAAAAAAAAAAAAAAAAAAAAAATAAAAAAAAAAAAATTTAATTTAAAAAAAAAAAAAAAAAAAAATAAATTAAAAAAAAAAAAAAAAATTTTTTAAAAATTTAAAACCGTAAATTTTTTAAGTTTAAAAATTTTTTTTTTTTATAAAAAATTTTAATTTTCCTTTTTTTAAATTTTTCTTTTTTTTTTTTTTTTTTTTTTTTTTTTTTTTTGTTTTTTTTTTTTTATAGAAAATCGTGTGTTTGTCAATAATTGATAGTTCTGATATTCTGATAGTTTTCCATGTGTTTCACTAAAAACCTGACGTGTGCCTTACCGAGACAATACATTCGGTGATAAGGTTCCGAACCGTCTTCAGGGCATCGGGCCATCTCTTTGGGTCGTCTCCCACCTGGCCGATCGCTAAGTACTCACAGCCCACCATCTAAATTCTGCAGTAACAATTCAATTTTGGAGCAAGTTCAATTTTTCAAATCGTTTATAGAGCGTCGAAAAATACGTTCGGTGTTTTTTACGGCCTGTAAAGCCCATATTTGCAATGATTTTTCGATTTTTGGAAATATCGGGCGCGGGCCGGGCGTCTTTTTTAAAAATCCATCCTGTTTCAATAAATAAAAGAACGATTCCCAAGCGGTTTTTAATATTACTAATCGTAAAACTTTACAAATTCCCGTCAAAAATACAAAAAATAGGTAATCGGGGCGGGGCGTCTTTTTCTTAGTGCCATTTTCGTAAGATCAATACAGAAAGCGGGTCCTTTCGCATTGTCGCGAGAACGAAAATTTTTTTCTTGATTTGGAAATGCCTAGTAACGTAATAAGAATTGTTTTCATAATTTTTTTAATGAAATAAAATTGTTTTTTAAATAGAAAAACTTCTAAAACCTTTGCAAAATTTTTTCAAAAAGTCCAAATTATAGCCAAAAAACGGCGATTTTTTCAAGGAAAAGTAAGTTTTTGTAAAGTTTTTACGTTTAGGGATAGTAAAACAGCCGCAAAGGCTTTGAATTTTTAAAAAATTGATTCCTCAAAAAATCCTTTTGTACCTCCTTTAGGACTTCCATCAGATGTCTGTGAACTGCCGATGAGCTATCGTCGTCGAGCAAATCCAGCCGATACCATACCTGCAAATAATTCGGTCTATGCATGGTTTGATAGGGCGAGAGGCACTATGTATATGTGTGAAAACATCCAGGAAGTTCGGAGCACGGGTTTATTCAAGGCACCCTAGGAAAACCATGCCCTTAAAGGGATGCCCAACTTTTCCGGAGCTCAAAAAGCAAAAAACGTGTCGCGGGCGGGCGTCGAACCCGGGACCCCGGTTTTGTAGACCTGGATGCTATCCAGTAGACCGTAGTGGCAAGCCATTGGTTGGGATGGGGACGCCACAAGTGGGAAAGGGTCCGAATTTTGTGCGGCAATGGGTCCCCCGGTGCCGCACGAAATTCGCTCTTCAGTTGTACTGTCCGGAATACATAACTATATATTTGCCGCCAAAACCTTGGGTATCCCTTTAAGGGGATGATACCGACGGCATAGGTCGATGACCCCTGATCGACTGTTTGGCAAATTGCCAACAGGGCCGGGAACGCGCGCAGGGGCAAGACGTAGAGACATTTTCTTTCCATCCGTAACCAATTACTTACGCCGTCGTTATCCCTTTAACTTGCCTTTTTTCCTTTAGGCCTGATTTGCCAACAAAAATGGCCATCTTCTGGTCGGTTTCCGCCTATTTTGATCATGAAATAAACTCCTAATTTTGACACCATTGTCGTAAATCAAAAAATTTCGCCGGGTGGAAAAAGTGCCTTTTCATTTTTGCTAAACATTTCGAGCGAGGTAGGATCCTGTCAAAATCCTCAAGCAATCGGCAAATTAACCTCATTTTCCACATCGGCAAATTACTACCTTTTTTCGGAAAATTACTTAAAATCGGCATGCTAATTGCGAAAACAAAGCCAAAACGGAGCACCAGCGATTCCCAGAAAGCGGCTTTTTAGCGATAACTTTTTTACACTATTTTTCTTACAAGGAGTCGCTGTTAGGTGCTTTTGGAGTTTCGGGATGAGACCTAGCTAGTTCAATAGAGAAAAAAATTCTGAGCAACATACCATTTTCAAAAAGTGCTGATCAATAAAGGAATTTTAGAAAATTTAACTTAAACCAGGGTTGAAAAGCCGCTTCGCGACTTCTCAACCCGGGCCTCGCTTTGCATAAACCTTCCGCACTTTTATGTCACAAAAATGAAAAGCGCGTCCTCTCCCCGATTATATAGGCTACTCCCACTTACGGCGTATGCGGATTTTTCCCTAACAAAGAGGGTGTCCGTATTTAAGGAAAAACTTAACCTTAATGTCGAAAACAATCGAATTTGCAAAATCTGATATGCGTGCAGTCATCTATCTACAGGCCATTACGCGTCTAATGACGTATCATACGCCTGCTTCATCCCTTTCCCTCTTGAGATACCCTCCGGACACGCTGAGGGAAGTTGCATGCAAAGCGCGCGCGCGCACACACACACACTCAAACACTATTTTTTTATATATAGTAGGATTTCGCGCTTTTTTCTAGTTTTCTGGTCCATTTCCTCAGTTCACGTCGTTTTCGGGGCTGGGCAAGGCGCCATTCATAACCTTCCGCCAGTGCTTTTTTTGGGACACCCTGTAGGGGCGATGTCTGCTTACCTTAGAGGGCCCAAAGTGATAAATCGGCGCTAATTGTTCCAATAGACGTCCGTGGGCGCGTTCGGTATAACTAGATTGGGGTAAATGTCGGTGATGTTAATATGAGCCCACTCATTAAGTTGTTTGCTGATGAAAAAGTAGTCGCGTCGAAGCGAAGGCAGTAAATCTTGCTGCGTAAGGGGCCACTGAAGATTATGTTTTCTTATTACACAACCAGCGCCCAAAACCCGCTTCGCGGGCCTTGGGCGCTGGAATGCGGCCTTTGCATGAGAAATTTGACTTTCCGATAGCTTGGTTCCTTCGGACCCCTCCCTTTCTCCGACCACACCCGCGCGTGCAACTTGCAAGAATGAGGAAATTTGTATTTTTTGGGATTATGCAAAGTAGCCCTCCCTGGCGCCGGACACACACACACAGAGATACACGCCAAAATTATATAAGGTAGGATTCTTCTGCTTTTTGCTCACCTTCATTGGGGAGCCATACACCGTATACGGCGGAAGCCGCACCGGCGCACACGGCAGGATATCGTTGAATTTTTGCAATAACCGTCGTTGTCTCGCACTGTCCACGTCCTCGATTTTCATTTGTGGATAAGAACGATGCGTGGCGCTGTAAATTCCACATGCCCCTCATTTTCCGGGGCTAGGCGTGAAATGCAATTCTCCCCATGCTGTTTTTTTCGATTTTTCCAAATTCGTTAAAATAAATTTGTTACGAGCATTTTTCTAAAAAGTTTCTTTGACAAAATCGGCCAAAGGCCATGGTGTCCGGGCCATAACTCGAAGTCCAAATGGAATTTTGGATCCAAACAGCCGAACATTAAACCCGTCCCCCTGCCGAAAAGACGACGTTGGGTCGTACGGCTCAAGCCACTTACAGACTTCCACAGCAGGGGCACAATTGAAAGTGTGTACAAAAAGAGCAGTCGTCGCCATATTTACAGCCCTTTCGACATTCAGTCCATCCGTACCGATCCCAGCACCTGCCATTTTTCTTTCTTATCCTGATACCAGCGCCCAAAACCCGCTTCGCGGGCCTTGGGCGCTGGAATGCGGCCTTTGCATCAATAATTTGACTTTTCCATAGCTGGGGTCCTTCGGACCCTCCTCCCCTACCGACCACACACGCGCTTGCAACTGGGAAGAATGAGGAAATTTCTATTTTTTCACATTATGCAAATGACCCCGAAAAATGAGTAAAACCGGCTTTAACTTTGTAAACTTGAATTTTATCGCAATTCTGAGAACGCCACCGGAAAGAGGAGGGTCGATTCCCCCTAGTGACGAAGAATTAGCGCATTTTATCCAGGGGAAGGTCCTTAAATCGGGCCTCGAAAGTGACATCAAAACACACACACACACACACACACACACACACACACACACACACACACACACACACACACACACACACACACACACACACACACACACACACACACACACACACACACACACACACACACACACACACACACACACACACACACACACACACACACACACACACACACACACACACACACACACACACACACACACACACACACACACACACACACACACACACACACACACACACACACACACACACACACACACACACACACACACACACACACACACACACACACACACACACACACACACACACACACACACACACACAGAGATACACCCCAAAATTATATAAGGTAGGATATCTATTTCCCGAGGTGGTGCTGTTCTATTTCGAACAAGGGAAAAACTGTGCGGGGGGAGAGTCGCGGTGCGGTAAGCTACTTCTTTTTGCTATAGCTATTTCATACATACGTTATTCCGAAATTAAAACTCTTCGTATTTTTGATGTTTGATTTTCGAATGACAAAGACATTTTGTAAAAATATCGAAAATTTCGAAAACTAGCTTCGCACTTAAAGGGCACGTTCAGGGACGTTTTTTTTGGAAAAAGCAAAGATTTTTGCCGCGGCCGGGGGTCAAACCCGGGCCCCGCGCTCGGGAGGCGCGGATGGATACCAGTCAGCCACAGCTACAACCTGGCGATGGGGCGAGGGGCGCCCCACGCCACAAAGGAGGGGAATGGCCTGTCACAGCACGGGCAGGCAGTGCGCGCGCTCCCTACGTCCATAGGGTGTACACGTTGGGACGAGTACACGGCCCCTCCCTGAACGTGCGCTTTAATGCTCGCATGTGGAAACCGCCCACAAATCTTGAGCCCCTCCCCCCCGCCCCGTAATGCGAAAAAAGCCGTTCTAGTTCTGGTTGTCGCGGACGGCGATGTAAGCTTACCGATGGGGAGCCCAGAGGAAGAAATCACCGCGAACTTGATCGTCCTCATCGTGCATCAGTACGAACGATACTTGGTCAACCCAGTTTCCTTAAATAAGGAAGGTTTCTCCTCAAACCCGGTGAACCGAATTTCAGATGCACCTCACCATTGATGATCCTTCGCTTGAAGTGGATAAAAGTGCCGGCTCGTATGTAACGCCTCTGACAAGTTTTTTTGATAATAAAAACGTTTTAAAGCAATGTGTTTTTTTCGGGCGGTACAACAAGCACTTATTATTTTGGTTCTGTTCTATTTCGAGCGGGGGGACTTTGATTGAGCAGAATTTCTATATTTTCGCTATTTTCTCGCAATTTTTGCAACGACATTCGATAGAGCATCAAAAAATATACTAAGAGTTGTTATTTTAGCTTAATATATTGTAATATAAAAATTTAGAGACACAAAAATTACTTTTGAAACTAGGGCTGCCATGCTAGTTTTCGATATTTTCGCTAATTTTGTGATATTTTGGAGACACGATTCGATAGAGCTTCAAAAACATATACTAAGCGTTTTACTTTCATCCCAAAATAGCGTAGTATAAAAGAGTTATAGCAAAAACAAGATTTAAACATGGTTTCCAATGTGTGCGTAGATTCGAAAGCTAGTTTTTGAAATTTTCGATACTTTTACAAGACTTCTTCAACGTCGTGCGAAAGAGCGCCAAAGATATATACGAAAAGTTTCAATTACAACTCAAAATAACGTATTATAAACAAGTTATGGCAAAAAGAAGTAGCTTCCCCCGCACAGTTTTTCCCCCCCCCCCTCGAAATAGAACGGTACCGATCCACTAACGAATGACGATTTCAATATTCAAAATGCCGGAAATATGTTCTCCTGTTTCCCCCATGCTTCCCCCCGGCAGTCTGAACGTCGGAAATTCGGTGACAGACTTTAGGAGTCAGTAATGACAGAATTCTCGCCATTAGGAAGGTAATGAAACGTACATTTAAGCTGATCTCAAGCGTGATGCGGGTCAGCCGGCCTCGAAAATAAAAAGCACACGCGGGCCATTTGAAGAATATCTGGAATTTTCATGGATGACGAAGTCGATGACGAGGTGAGAATTTATTTATTGTTTTGTGTAAGTCTAGAAATGCCTAGTAACTTAATAGTAAGTGTTTTAATAATGTTTAATATCGAAAAATTATCCAAAAAACTTAAATATTTCGCAAAGTCGACTTTTTATCAAAAAAACCAACATTTTTGGTCGAAAAATCGATATGTTTGATGTTTTTTAATAAAGATTTGTAAAGCGACTTTAGGAATAGTAAAAAAACCGTTTGGAAACAGTTCCCCCTATTTATATGCAAAAAATTGGGTGCTAGGAAAAAGTTGGTTCTCCCCCCTGATAACGCGAAAGAACCGGCAAAGCTCGCATAAAAGAATGAAATCACCTTGCTGACGTATCGTAGATGTACTTTGAAGAGGAAGTCGAGGTGACGGAGGACGGATTGCTGGCCTTCTCGCGGTAAGTGAGGGAAGTTGAAGCGCTCGGCATACATCTAAACTGCAGGTGCCGGAAGTTGAACAACCGATACTGTCTGAGTCTGATTACAAGACCTTTTAACGCAACCCAAGCCTCTATTTTTCAAAACAAGACCATTAATATTTTCACAGAAAAGATGATTTTGTAAAATTGTCAATCCCACTGGCACTTCGGAGCAATTCTGCACCTAATGTATTTTTTGCTATGGTTTTTACATTAGTTCAATATAAGCGAAACTTACGGCCAAAGGGTTGCACTCAAATATACTCAAGGTTAATTTTCGTATCTGGAAATAGTCTAAAAGAGGATGTTGGCGGCTGGGTGTGAATGTGGGCTGTGCACCTGGGCGGTCGGTGAACCCTTGCAGGTCACCGGTGCGTAATTTCAGCGTGTAATCTTATAGTCAAAAGAGGCACGTAGCATTCAGACGCTTGGGTTTGCCGCCAGGAAATTATCGGGACACCCCTAGTCGCTCAAATCACCCACAAATACCAGCGTTAGCTCACAAGGAGACGTTTTTGAGTGTCGTCGGGACTTTGGCATGGGACCAAGCCTGTCTTGTGCAGAATTTTACGCTGATTCCGAATATGGTAACCGTATTTGCGGAATAGCTATTTCTCGAAAGTCATGAACGATTTAAACCTGAAAACAGCCCAAAATCGGCTACTTTCGATAGTCATAAAAGGCTTCGGAATAGGTTTTAGACAAAACCGGATAGTGCATCTTGTTTAGAAAAAAAATTCTCTATACAATAAGCTACTTAACTCAAAAATGTTGGAATTTTGAAAATTTTTGTTAAATTATGGGCCTCCCAGTTTATCAAATTTTTCCAACTTTTCAATGATTTTGGAGAAGGTGGTACATTTTATAGAGAATTTTTTTCTAAACAAGATGCACTATCCGGTTTTGTCTAAAACCTATTCCGAAGCCTTTTATGACTTACGAAAGTAGCCGATTTTGGGCTGTTTTCAGGTTTAAATCGTTCATGACTTTCGAGAAATAGCTATTCCGCAAATACGGTTACCATATTCGGAATCAGCGTAAAATTCTGCACAAGACAGGCTTGGTCCCATGCCAAAGTCCCGACGACACTCAAAAACGTCTCCTTGTGAGCTAACGCTGGTATTTGTGGGTGATTTGAGCGACTAGGGGTGTCCCGATAATTTCCTGGCGGCAAACCCAAGCGTCTGAATGCTACGTGCCTCTTTTGACTATAAGATTACACGCTGAAATTACGCACCGGTGACCTGCAAGGGTTCACCGACCGCCCAGGTGCACAGCCCACATTCACAAGCAGCCGCCAATAGCCTCTTTTAGTCTATTTCCAGATACGAAAATTAACCTTGAGTATATTTGAGTGCAACCCTTTGGCCGTAAGTTTCGCTTATATTGAATTAATGTAAAGATCATGGCCAAAAATTCATTACGTGCAGAATTGCTTCGGGGTGCCTGTGGGATTGACAATTTTACAAAATCATCTTTTCTGTGAAAATATTAGTAGTCTTGTTTTGAAAAATAGATGCTTGGGTTGCGTTAAAAGGTCTTGTAATCAGACTCAGACAGTATCGGTTGTTCAACTTCCGGCACCTGCAGTTTAGATGTATGCCGAGCGCTTCAACTTCCCTCACTTACCGCGAGAAGGCCAGCAATCCGTCCTCCGTCACCTCGACTTCCTCTTCAAAGTACATCTCCGATACGTCAACAAGGTATCCTTCGCGTGATCAGGGGGCAAACCAAATTTTTTTCGGTACTGTTCTCTTTAAAGCGGGGGAAAAACTGTCCGGGAGGGGCAGGGAAGCTACTTCTTTTTGCCATAACTATTATAATAGGGGGGAAACCCACTTTTTTTTCTGTTGGCCCTGGTGGGCATAGTAATCAAATATAAAGTGTTTTCACATTGTTTTTAGCAAAATTTAAGCCAATTTTAATAGGAAAAACTTTCAAAAAGTTAGAAAAACGCTTGAAAAAGTCAAAAATTTTGTCATTTTTGGGCCAAAAAAAATTGATTTTTCGACCTAAAATTAAATTGTTTAATTAAATTTTGTAAAGTTGTTATGTTTAGGAATAGCTATAAACAATTTAGAAACACTTCCACTATTTATATAAAAATATAGGCTTGGGCGGAAAAAAGTTCGGCTACCCCCCGGAATACTCAAGCACCAAGAGTACCATTAATTATTCTCGCGGCTCCATTCCCCGATCGCTGCCGTTAGGATAAGATATGGGTCATAAAATAATATTTGCGTAACATAACATATAAATTGAACCATGAAAATTCTAGATATTCTTTAAATGGCCCGCGTGTCCGTTTTATCTACGAGGCCGGCTCACGCGCATCACGCTTCGGATCAGGTCAATTGTACGTCTTGATTGGCTTCATAATGTCGGTCCCTCCAATTCCGAGGCTCAGGATGCCGATTTTAGGAAGATCCTATTATCATGAGGCCGATTTTCGTACCGTTCGAATTGACGGTCGCGAAATTCTTATGTATGCAAGAACCCTAACTGTAAAGTGTTTTACTCAGGCTGGCGTTTTGTGATGGGACCAAGCCAATCTTGTGCAGAATTTTTCGCTGATTCCGAATATGGCTTCCAAATCTGCTGCCGACCTTTATTTAAAAAGTTATTCGACATTTATACTAAAAAAATTGCGAAAATTTGGATTTCTTTGTGTTATTTTCAAGCTGTCGTCACCATCAACGTTAAAATTGGCTCGATAACTGTTTAGGAGGTTAAGGCGCGAGTTTATGCAAAAAATTCCGGGTTTTTGTGCAAAAAGCAAAAGGAATTGTGCAGGGCGGGGTTCGAACCCCCGCCCTGTGCTCGACAATCGAACACCTTGCCAATGCACCATGGTGCGAACTGGGTGGGAGCCTTCGCGAGGATAGATAAGGGGCACGGCAATGCCTGGACCCAGGCCGGGAATGGTGGGACAGCATCCGAATTTATGCCGTTTTTAAGCTTAATTTAGACCTCAAATGACTTTTTAACGCAAAGTCCGCAGCAAATTTGGAAAACGGGTTCGGAATCAGCAAAAAATTCTGCACAAGATAAGCTTGGTCCCATTCTAAAACGCCAGCCTGAGTAAAAACACTTTACAGTAAGAGGCCTTTTTCCTAGAAGCTTAAGTTGTCAATAGTGATTTTCTTATTATTATACGAGCGGCCAAAACCCGCTTCGCGGGCCTTGGGCGCTGGAATGCGGCCTTTGCATGAGAAATGTGACCTCTCCCCGCTCACACACGCGCGTGCAACTTGCAAGAATGAGGGAACTTGCATTTTTCACATTATGCAAGTTAACTCTCCCGGCCCCAAAATTGAAAATACAACTTTGTGGACTTGTATTTTATCGAAATTCTGAAAATGCCATCGGAAAGAAGAGGGACGATCCACCTTAGTAACGGAGAAATAGGGCATTTGATGCACAGGAACACCCTCGGATCGAGGCTCCAAAGGGACAGCTGCACGCACAGACACGCTAATAGACACGCCAAAGTTATCAAAAGGTTATGTATTTTTTTGGGGCAAAAATTGCTCGCGCTTGTCGTTAGCAGAAACAAATCTTTCAGAAGCTTTACAAGATATCCGACACCTCGATCTACGTCAAGCGAAGGATCATTAATGGTGAGGTGCATCTGCAATTCGATTCGAGGCTTTCCCTATTAAAGGAAAATGGCTGGACCAGATCTCGTTCGTCCTGACGCACGATGAAGAGGATGAGGTTCATGGTGATTTCGTGCTCCAGGCTACGCATCGGCAAGTTAAAACCGCCGTCCACGATTGCCTAAGCCAGAACTGGGCTCTTTCGCATTATCGGGGTTTCTCGGGGAAACCAACCGTAGAGAAACCAATTTTATGAACTGTTTTACGATCCAATTCTAGGAACTATTCTGAGATCCAATGTTTCAAAGATAAAAAACGGAAATTTTTCAAAATGGTTTTTTATTCTTCCTGAACGTGTCAACTTTACACATCCTATTGCGTATCGTCATCAAAAAATGGGGAAATTGGCGGAAAATCGGGAATGAGATATTCAAAGGTCAGAAAAATTACAGGTGTACGGATCGCTTCGGATGGACGGCATGTCGAAAAGGCTGTAAATCCGGAGGCGACTGCCGCTTTTGCGCTCGAGATGAATTATGCCATTGCTGTGGAAGTCTGTGAGTTACTTGATATAACAAAAAATCAGATCATAAAGATTAAGATTATACAAGATATAAAGATTCTAAGAATTCTAAAAATGCGAAATTTTTTGGCAGGTCTAAAAATGTATGAAAAACGGCCGAAAACTAAGAATTGTCCAATTTTGATAAATCTTTCGAGATGTTTTGTACCTTTTTAACTACAAAACAAATACAAGGTATCTTATTGACCGGCGAGTATAGGCGCAAAAATCAAACTGAAAAAATCAATAAAAGTGTTAAATAAAAACGCGCATTTGTGGAATTTACAGCGCCTCGCATCGTTCTTATCCACAAATGAAAATCGAGGACGTGGACAGTCAGAGACAACGACGGTTATTGCAAAAATTCAACGATATCCTGCCGTGTGCGCCGGTGCGGCTGAAGCCGTATATGATGTATGACCGAGTCCCAATGAAGGTCAGCGAAAAGAAGAAAAATTTGTAATAATAAAAAATAATCTTCAGTGGCCTCTTACGCAGCAAGATGTCCTGCCTTCGCTTCGACGCGACTACTTTTTTATAAGCAAACAACTTGATGAGTGGGCTCACAGTAACATCACCGACATTTACCCCATTCTAGTTATACCGAACGCGCCCACGGACGTCTATTGGAACAATTGGCGCCGATTTATGACTTTGGACCCTCTAAGGTAAGCAGAAATCGCCCCTACAGGGTATCCCAAAAAATCGACCCCTCTAGCCATCCTCTGGTTCGGATCGGGATGATTTTTACACCATTCGAAAACCCATGACACGGCGAGAAAACAAGCGCTTTTCGTTTTACAAAACTCTTCAATTAAGTATTAAACGACTTCGTAAAAAAGCGTAACAAAACAGCGTTGTCATGTTAGCGTTAGCAAGCGATTTGCCGGCGGATCTTACATCAAATGTGCATTTTTCATGGATTTTGGCTCTAAATCTAGCGAATTAAATTGCGATATTGAAAATCGAAATTTGATTGTTTACTCGCCTGTCCGACGGCTTTCGATAGACACCTAAAGCTTAAGAATCGGACATGACTACGGCCCGCTAGAGGGGGTCGTTTTTTGGGACACCTTGTACGTACAGTCGAATTTTCTAACAATAAGGGAAATGTTGTAAACAAAAAAAAGTTATCGCTAAAAACTGATTTTTTGGCAACGCTGCTACTCATTTTTGGCTATGTTTTCGCAATTAGCAGCCGGATTTTCAGCAATTTGCCGAAAAATTATCATTCTCCATTTGGCCAATTTTGATAATAAATAGTGATTATAAGTCCCAATGTAGACGTCATTTTCGCAAAAATCAAAACATTTCTCCGCGTGGAAAAGTGCGTTCTCCATTCTCCATCTCTTCGTTTTAGCAAAATATTTCGAGATCCAAATCCATCGAAATCCTAGTCAAATCGGCAAAATGAATCTAAACCGACGTCACTTTTTTGTTGTACAATATTTGCTTAGAAAATTTGGCGGTACATACAGATTTTTTATGGGTCCGCTACGATGATCAAAATTTTGATTGCTTAGGCTTAGGCTTCGGCTTTATGCATTGGCTTAGGCTTAAGCGGAGGCTTACGCTTGCTTAGGCCCAGAGCGAATTATTTGCAGGTATGGTATCGAATGGATTTGTTATACGACGATAGCTCATCAGCAGTCCACAGGCATTTGATGGAGGTTCTAAAGGAGGTAAAATACGGGCTTTGGCATCATCGGGGTGGGGGGTGGGGGTATCAGGGGTAACCGAATTTTTTCCTATTGATTTTTCTCACTTTTCCGATTTTTCATATTCAGATTTTTGCTATTAATGATTTTAATAGCGTTTTAGTAAAATTAAACATATTCCAGGCGGAAAAACAACTCGCAACTTGCTATTTGGGAGTTGTAAGCCATTTTACGGGATTTTCGGTATTTTTCGGCCTTCTATTGATTTTCGTTGTGTTTATGTTTGTGCGATAGAGCAGAAAACAATATGCTAAGGGTTTTATATAGACAGTTCAAAATAATGTAATTCAAGATAAGAGAAGCTATTGAGCAAAAATGCCCCCCCCCCCTGCCAACGAACGAGAACAACCAACTTGCATAAAATAAATTGCGTTGCTGTAAATGTATTGCTTAGATGGTGGGCTGTGAGTACTTTGCGATTGGCCAGGTGGGAGACGACCCAAAGAGATGGCCCGATGCCCTGAAGACGGTTCGGAACCTCATCACCGAATGTATATTCTCGGTGAGACACGCGTCAGGTTTTTAGTGAAGAACACACGAATTTTGGCTCTCCTGCCCTTTAATCGGACAAACGGCTTATTTTCATGTTGTCGAAATAACATTTTATTGCAATTTAATTTGTCAAGATTTTAGAAAAAATTTTCGACAATATCAAATTTCGATAAAATCATAAAAAATCTCGACAAACGAGTCGATCATTGCAGCATCCACCAAATGACGAGCGCCGTCGCATCTCGTTATTCTACGTCGAAATGGAGTCGAAATCTGTGGGTTTTGCCCGGTTCTGGACTCTTAGCGGGGGGGTGACCGATTTATCGTGACATTTTTAGGTGCTTGACCACCGACCTAAGCAGCAACTACAAAAAATGCTGCTCGAGTTGTGCGAGGAATTGAAGGCAAGGCCCGCCGAATCGCGGGATTGCCAAATTTTTTGTATTGAGGGTCGACAAATCGACCTAGTCTGGCCAAATAAAATCATAGTAAGTACCTTAACAGTGTTCTTCGTAAAATATAATGAAATTTCATGTAGAATAACTGTCTAAAAACCTTGAAAGTTAAAAAGTGATATTTGGATCAAAACACAGCAAGGTTTCGTTGAAAAATCGATTTTTTTTTTGCTTTGACGGATTTAAAATTTTTTATAAAGTTTTCACGCTTAGGAATAGTAAGAAAATGCTTTAGAATCACCACCCTTTTTATATTGAAAAATTCGGTGCTTCTCTGTTAACAGGGGGGGGGGGATTCTCACGGGGGGAAGCTAATTTTTATTTGATTTTTCGTGTTGATAATTAATAGAGTATTTTTACAATGTTGTTAGTAGTTTCTGATTGCTAGAAGTTACAAAACTCTAAATTTTTTACTTTTGGGTCATTTTTCATACATTTTTGCCCACAAAGTCTTACAATTTTTGCAACTTTTGAAAAGCTTTTAAAGGAATATCTATGCTGTTCCCTCGTTAACAGAGAAGCCACAAAAATTCGAGTCTAGGGAAAAAATTCTGAGATTTTCCTGAATAAGCACCATCGTTTAGCTTGGAGTCTACGTGTTTCTGGTCCAGAATTGGGGATCGAATGCTGGGCACGCGGTGGCCGCATACCGACAACTTATCACAAATTTCCATAAAGGAGACTACTGGGACCCGATGAGTGATCCGCAAGGTGTGCCGAGGATTAAATGGAATGGATCGCATTATTGCGAATAAATCATTCAGTTTTTCATTACTTTACATTTACATTCATTACATTACATTATTAATGTCATATCCGTGGGAACCCGCCAAAATCCCGACATTCAAAATACCGACAGCCAAAAGCACTAGATTTTAAACAGATTTCTGGGTAAAACCACCGGAAGTATCACATCTTGGCTGACAGAGATTTTGGCTTTTTAAAAAGGCTTTGCAACCATTTTAAAAGAGGCCGGCCTTGCCTTCAATTCCTCGCACAACTCGACCAGCATTTTTTGTAGTTGCTGCTTAGGTCGGTGGTCAAGCACCTAAAATGTCACGATAAATCGATAGGTGTTGGCGGTCAAAAGTGGCCGGTCGGCTTTTTGCATTCTAAAACAGGGGCAACCCACAGATTTCGCTTCCATTTCGATCTAGGGCAATTGAGCAATTTGGTTTCAATTTTTCGGTACGCATGGGATACCGGGGGCGGGGCGTCTTTTTCTTAGAATCCCATTTTTGTGAAATCAATAACGGAGGTGGGTCCTTTCGCATGGTCGGGCGACAAAATTTTTTTTTGTATTGTTCTAGAAATCGGTAGTAACTGAATAAGAAACATTTTCATAATGTTTTTCGTAAAATAAAATTATTTTTTAAATACATCGGAAAATCGACGAAAAAGGGACAGGTAGTGGGTGGGTGTTGATGCGGGCTGTTCATCTGCGCGCTGTGTGAACTCTTGCAGGTCACTGGTGCATAATTTCATCGTGTAATCTTATAGTCAAAGAGGCACGGGAATTTGGCCAGTTACTAAAAATGCTCTAAACAACCCTGTTTTTGTTTAGATCATTCGTCGTTTCTGGGCTAACTCCCTCGTTAACTGGCAATTGATATAATGCTGGTATTTGTGGGTGATTTGAACGACTAGGGGTGTCCCGATAATTTCCTGGCGGCAAACCCAAGCGTCTGAATGCCACGTGCCTCTTTGACTATAAGATTACACGGGTGAAATTATGCACCGGTGACCTGCAAGGGTTCACAGATCGCCCAGGTGCACAGCCCACATTCACAAGCAGCCGCCAACATCCTCTTTTAGTCTATTTCCAGATACGAAAATTAACTTTGAGTATATTTGAGTGCAACCCTTTGGCCGTAAGTTTCGCTTATATTGAACTAATGTAAAAACCATAGCAAAAAATACATTAGGTGCAGAATTGCTCCGAAGTGCCAATGGGATTGACAATTTTACAAAATCATCTTTTCTGTGAAAATATTAGTAGTCTTGTTTTGAAAAATAGATGATTGGGTTGCGTTAAAAGGTCTTGTAATCATACTCAGACAGTATCGGTTGTTCAACTTCCGGCACCTGCAGTTTAGATGTATGCCGAGCCGTTCAACTTCCCTCAGTTACCACGAGAAGCGCAGCAATCCGTTCTCCGTCACCTCGATTTCCTCTTCAAAGTACATCTCCGATCCGTCAGCAAGGTGATTTCAGTTTTTATGCGTGCTTTAACGCTTGGCGAAGGCCTTCGGTTTGGGCCTTTTCCGGGTCCTTCGGACCCACTTTCCCACACGCGCGTGTAAATTGCAAGAATGAGGAAATTTGTATTTTTTTTCACATTATGCAAATTAGCCCTCCCGGACCCCCAAAAATGAATAAAACCGGCTTTAACTTTGTAAACCTGTATTTTACCGGAATTATGAAAACACCATTGAAAAGAGGAAGGTCGATTCCCCCAGTGACGGAGAATTTGGGCGTTTTGGACTCGGGAAGGGCCTCAAATCTGGCTTCGAAACTGACCTCATGCAAAGGCCGCATTCCAGCGCTAAGGTCCGCGAAGCGGGTTTTGGGCGTAGGTTAACATCTAAGTCCATGAGAATTCCAGATATTCTTCAAATGGCCCGCGTGTGCTTTTTACCTTCGAGGCCGGCTGACCCGCATCACGCTTGAGATCAGCTCAAATGTACGTTCCTGACATGTATTCCTGACTCCGCAGTCGGTTCCGAAATTTTCAACGTTCAGACTGCCGACGGCAGCACCGGTAACGCGGGAATCTTTTTTTGAGATTTTTAGTCTTCTCCATATGTCAAAAATGTCATTCGATAGAGGGGCAAAAATATCAAGAGCTTGGTATCGCCCGAAAAAACACACATTTGAAAACGATTTTTATCCTATCCTACTATATATAAAAAAATAGTGTCTGTGTGTGTGTGTGTCTGTGTGTGCCACTTTGCATCCACTTCCGGATGTCTGTCCGTAGGTTATTTCGATAGGGGATGAATTTTAAGGCATGTATGATACGTCATTAGATGCGTAATGGCCTGGAGATGACTGCACGCATATCAGATTTAACAAAATCACCTATTTTCGACATTAAATTTAAGTTTTTGTGAAAACCTCTTTGTGAAACAATTAGCGTAGACCGGAAGTGGGGATTCGACTGTATAAAGGGGCTGAACAGGTAGTTTTTCATTTTTGTCATCTGAATTCAGGAAAATTATGCAAAATGAAGGATCAAACGGGGTCAGACGGGGCCAGGGTTGAAAAGTCGCGAAGCGGCTTTTCAACCCTGGTTTATAAAAGAAATTTTCAGTGGCGTTATCTACCAACAGGCACTTCTATCTACTTCAGGCGAAGGATCATCAATGGTGAGGTGCATCCGCAAATCGATTCGAGGCTTGCCCTCTTCTATACAGGGCGTCCCAAAAAAGGGAATGTTTCATAATCTCTGGATTTCAGAATCTCGCTATTTCAGGGTTTTTCGGGCATCCAGGGTAGCGCCGGAAATGCAGTTAGTCAATGCGAAATTCGAAACTATGAAAATGCGAAATTATGAAAAGGCAAGATTCTAAAATTGCGAGATTATGAAACCAAATCCCCAAAAAATCACCCCCCTAGTCGGCCGCAGTCGTGTCCGTTTTTACGATTTAGGTATGTATCGAAAGCTCTCGGAAAGGCGCGTCCAGCACGTTTCTCGGATTCTCAAAATTCTGAAATAATTTTACATTTACTTTTATTTTTACAAAACGGGCCGGTTTTTCTCAGTTTTTCTTAACAAGAGTTTTTTTGACAAAACCCGCAATTAACGGATTTTTAGGCCTTTCCTGGCAGCTGAACGACAGCTTTTTGAAAGCCGATTGCGAAAACACAGCTTGGATCGAGCTTAAACCGGTTAAATGGAGTTTTTGACCTAAAGCGGGTCCTTTTCGCAAGAAAAACGCCAAAAATCGAGCCAAAAAATTCATAAATTTTGGAAATCGGAGTGACGTGCTCGACTCGCATTTTTGTGAGCTTTCGATAGATACCTGAATCGTAAACATCGGACACGACGGCGGTCGGCTAGAGGGGGGTGATTTTTTGGGACATCCTGTATATTATTCACCCATTATAAAAGCTTTCTTATTAAAGGAAACTGGGTGGACAAAGTATCGTTCGTACTGACGTACGATGAGGAAGATCAAGTTCGCGGTGATTTCGTCCTCCGGGCTGCCCATCAGTAAGCATAACCCATCGCCGTCCGCGACGACCTGAACTGGAACTAGTTACTTTCTATCGAGGGGGAGGGTATTTATCGGGGAAACCAACGGTTTTGGGATACAATCTTTCAAATTTAAATCGCTAAGAGTTTAAAATGTTTTTTACTATTCCTAAACGTCGAATTTCGTAGATTTTTATCAAAAAATTAAAAAGATAAATTTTTCGACCAAATATTTCCGATTCTTCCTTTTGAAAGTTTCAAAAATTTTGATTCAATTGCCTATAAAAACGTTATTCTGTATCGTAGAGACATTTCAAGTAAATCAAATGATGCGCCGTCACGAGATTCCATCCCTTAATCGAAAGGCACGGATAGAGAATTCGGTACGAGACGCGCCTATGCACGCTCAACTGTCCACGGACGGTGTAATTTGTACGGTCTAAGCGGAAAAATCCCCGAATTTTGCTACAAATCATGATTTATCTCGAAATTTTTTATAGAAAGACGAAAAACAAAATCGATTAAAATCGATAAGTATAAGAAAAAAATTTGCAGCTGCTGGGATCGGTACGGATGGACTGAATGCCGAAACGGCTGCAAATATGGCTACGACTGCTCTTTTTGCACACGCTTTCAATTGTGCCCCTGCTGTGGAAGTCTGTAAGTTGCCGGAGTGAGACGTAAGACCCAATGTTGTCTTGTACGTAGGGGGACGCGTTGAATGTTCGAAATGAAACCCCCGGAAATGCTTTGATGCAAATGACGGCGCTCTTTAAAGCGCACGTTCAGGGAGGGGCCGTGTACTCGTCCCAACGTGTACACCCTACGGACGTAGGGACCGCGCGCACGGCCTGCCCGTGCTGTGACAGGTCACTCCCCTCCTTTGCGGCCTGGGGCGCCCCTCGCCCCCCTGCCAGGTTGTTGCTGTGGCTGACTGGTATCCATCCGCGCCTCCCGAGCGGGGGACCCGGGTTCGAGCCCCGGCCGCGGCAAAAACCTTTGCTTTTTTCCAAAAAAACGTCCCTGAACGTGCCCTTTAAGGATTTGCTTTCATTATGTCGAAAATAGGTTTTCAGGTTCCCCGGGAGTTTTGCTTATGAAATTTCACTGAAAATTCAGGTGTTGTGCCCGGGAATCTTTCATAATCTCGCATTTTCATAATATCGCATTTTCATAATATCGCATTTTCAAAATCTCGCATTTTCAAAATCTCGCATTTTCATAATCTCGCATTTTCATAATCTCGCATTTTCAAAATCTCGCATTTTCAAAATCTCGCAATAGTCTCGCAACTTTTCCAAGGGTTCCAAGAATTCGATGAATGATGATTGATCACGGAATAAGCGGATCACAACAAATTAATCGAATGTCTGGGCCACTAATTAAAGGAATTCGAGATGGTCATATGCGGCGTACGGATCGTCGAGGCCACGCTGGGCTTGGTAATCGATGGCAATGGGTGTCTGCTAGATGCCCTGTTGCTGCGCCTCGATTAGACGGTTGTCTATGCGTTCCTGGAAACCGCCCAACGTTTCCAGAAACTTCCAAATGCCGAGGCTCTGTTAGTTGTAGTTAGTAGAAATGCAGCTAGTCTATGGGAATTGCGAGATTCTGAAAATGCGAGATTCTGATACCAAATCGTTTTGCCCAAGAAATAGCTATTAATGGAGGGAAGACCAATTTTCCCCCAGCGATTCCGTACAGCCCCATAACGAAAAATAAGCCATTTTTACAGTTATGATTTTACCATTTTTAGACTTAAAAAATTATAAAAATTGTTGAAAATTGATGAAAAATGGCCAAAAAAATCAAAATGTCCCCCCTCCCAAAAAAAAATAAAAGCGCGTACAGGTGGAATTTACAGCGCCTCGCATCGTTCCTACCCACAAATGAAAATCGAGGGGGTGGATAGTGCCGGACATGGACGATTATTGCAAAAATTCAACGATATCCTGCCGTGTGCGCCGGTGCGGCTGAAGCCGTATATGATGTCTGACTTGGTCCCGATGAAGGTCAGCGAAAGGGGCGCTACTTAATCAGTATTTTTCAGGTTTAGATTTTCTCGGGTTTTTCCCATTATCGGGGGGACCAACTTTTCTTAGGGTCTAATTCCTATTTGCAAATATAGAAATAATTTTTTTCTAAATGGCTTTTGACTATTCCTAAACGTAACAGCTATACAAAATTTTATTAACAAATGTCAAAACCATTGCTTTTTCGACCAAAAATGGCCGATTTTTTTTATTAAAAACGCTAGTAAAACACTTGCTGTTGGGTTACTGGACGTTTCTCGGCTTATAAAAACAAGGTGAAAGAACGTTTTTGGGATTCAGATTTCCGGCTTTTCTGCATGCCTAATTTCCGGAAATAAGCATCCGCTGACATCGTTTTTCTCAAACACGCGTTTTCTCCATGATCTTTTTCCCTTAAGATCCCAGTGTTTCTAGTATAAGATATCTTACGGAAGTGGATTATTGACATTCCCTGGTATCGGACCACTTCGCCGAAAACCATCTCGCCGAAAAACCATCTCGCCGAAAGCCATTTCGCCGAAAACCATCTCGCCGAAAACCAACTCGCCGAAAATCTAATTTTGTATGCAAATTTTTTTCAGGCTTGTTCCATTTTGGTCTAATACTGGAAAAATCACTGATCACGACTGAGCCAATCGGTTTTCGACCTCAAATCATAGGGGAAGTGTCCGGGCACAGAGACCCTGAAAAAAGCAACTTTCCCTGACTTTTTTTTGTGACCTGGGGGATGACCGCAACTACGCGAAAAAATTTGCATGCAAAATTAGATTTTCGGCGAAGTGGTTTTCGGCGAGATGGCTTTCGGCGAGATGGTCGGAATTCACATTCCCTATTATCGGTAAAATTTCTAGTGGCCCCTTACGCACCAAGGTGTCCTGCATTCGCTTCGACGCGACTACTTTTTTATCAGCAAACAACTTGATGAGTGAGTTCACATTAACATCACCGACATTTACCCCATTCTAGTTATACCGAACGTGTCCACCGACGTCTATTGGAACAATTAGCGCCGATTTATGACTTTGGACCCTCTAAGGTAAGCAGAAATCGCCCCTACAGGGTGCCCCAAAAAAATACCACCCCTAGGCATTTGGCGGTCTTTCATCGGATCGGGACCAAATTTTTTACCAGCTACTACTACTCTTTTCGGCCATGTTTTCGCAATTTGGCAAGCCGATTTTGAGCAATGTGCCGAAAAATGGTCATTTTCTGGACGCTTTCTGCCGGTTTTAATAATAAAAAGTGTGGAAATTTTTTAATAATAAAAAGTGAATCTAGAAGTGATTTTCGTAAACCAAAAAATTTCTCTGCGTGGAAAAGTGCCCTCTTCATTTTTGCGAAATATTTCCAGGTCCAAATTCGTCGAACTCCTAGTCAAATCGGCAAAATGAACCTAACACCGGAAAAAAACTTTAATTTCGATGTAACTTTTTTTTGTTAGAGACTTTTTTGCTTAGAAAATTCGGCTGCACATAGTTTTTATGGGTCCCCATAACAGGCCAAAATTTTGATTTCTTAGGCGTAGGCGAAGGTCAGGCTTAGGCTTTAGGCTTTAGGCTTGGCCAAGGCTTGCTTAGGCCAATACCGAATAATTTGCAGGTATGGTATCGGATGGATTTGTTCTACGACGATAGCTCATCAGCAGTTCACAGGCATTTGATGGCGGTTCTAAAGGAGGTAAAATACGGGCTTTGGCATCATCGGGGGTATCAGGGACAACCGAACTTTTCTCCTATTAATTTTGCTAACTTTTTCAATTTTTCATGGTCCTATCTTCGCTATTAATGATTTTAATAGCGAAGATGCGTGCGAAAATGCGTTTTCGTAACATTGAATATATTCCAGGCGGAAAAACAACCTAAAAGTTGCTATTTCGGTGGTTGTAAGCCATTTTACGGGATTCTCGGCATTTTTCGGCATTCTATTGATTTTCGGTGCGTTGATGTTTGTGCGATAGAGCAGAAAACAATATGCTAAGGGTTTTATATATACAGCTCAAAATATTGTAATCCTACTATATATAAAAAAATAGTGCCTGTGTGTGTGCATTTGCATGCAACTTCCGTCCGGCTGTTCCACACGTATCGGGTCAGGGGAAGGTTTTTAAGGTATGGGAGATATGTCATTAGGTGAGAAATCGGCTTGGCATGACTACCGACCTACCAGATTTTACAAAAAAAAGCTATTTTCTATATTAAGTTGTAGATTTTCGCTAAAATTTGGTCACACCACTTTTTTAAAGAAGACTTTGCATTCGCCGGAAGTGGTTGACGCCTATATAAGCCAGCAAAGGAGATCGTTTTCATTTTTGCCAAGCGGGTTTGGCCAGCACTATCCAAAGTGGAGACCGTTTGGGGATCGGGACGGGGCCAGGGTTGAAAAGCCGCGAAGCGGTTTTTCAACCCTGGTTCAAGATAAGAGAAGCTATTGAGCAAAAATGTCCCCCCCTGCTAACGAACCAGAACAACCAAACTGCGCAAAAATAAACTGCGGTGCTCTAAAAATTTTTCTTAGATGGTGGGCTGTGAGTACTTTGCGATCGGCCAGGTGGGAGACGACCCAAAGAGATGGCCCGATGCCCTGAAGACGGTTCGGAACCTCATCACCGAATGTATTTTCTCGGTAAAACACACGCCAGGTTTTCATTGAAGCACACACGAATTTTTGGCTCTCCTGCCCTTTAATCGGACAAACGGCTTATTTTCATGTTGTCGAAATAAAATTTTATTGCAATTTTTGTCGAAATTTTAGAAAAAATTTTCGACAAGATCAAATTTCAATAAAATCATAAAAAATCTCGACAAACGAGTCGATCATTGCAGCATCCACCAGTTGACGAGCGCCGTCGCATCGCGTTATTCTACGTCGAAATGGAGTCGAAATCTGTGGGTTGGCCTGGTTCTGGACTCATGGCGGGGGGAAGGGGACCGATTTATCGTGACACCAGTGGAAAAAGACCGCTTCGCGGCCCTTTTCCACTGGACCCCGTCCAGGAACCATGAATTTAAATAGCTTCTTTTTTTAGCCTGCGGTGCATGGTCCTGAGTCGAGGAGCCATTCTTTGGCCTACGGCGCAAGAGCCAGCGTTTTGCTAGAATCCTTGAGCCTGCGGCGCTAGTTACTGGTTTTTCTCTCCTGCGATCTGGCCTGCGGCGCGAGAGCCTGGGTCAAGGACCCATCATTGACCTGCGGCGCGCGAGCCTGAGCCAAGGACCTTTTCTTTGACCTGTGGCGCTAGAGCGAGGGTCAGGCCGAAACCTCGCACACCGAGAGCCTAAAAATAAGTTTTGTTGCTGAACCACCAAAAAGCAAAAAGCTAAATTGGCCGAAGATCCGAACCCACGTGCATGCGCGTGGTAGACCTCGCCCCAATCCACTACACCACAGGACAGATGGGAACAAGGGCGGCAAAGGCCTCTTCTGTCCTGGGGGCGGGAAAGGGGCCTTCGAGTTATCGCCCGGACACCACGACGTTTAACGCAATTTGTTAAGGAATTCGCAGAAAAATGTTCATAAAAGCCTTATTTTAAAGAATTAACGAAAATCCAAAAAATGGTATCGAGATATTTTCATTATGCATCAATCCACCAAAAATCAGCGTCTAACTCCTTCTGGCAATCGAGACAGCCTCTAAACAAACCTTTTTTCGACCAAAATGTTAAGGATTTTTCAGTATTTCGCTTGTAAAATCGTTAAATGAAGGAATTTCAAAAAACAAAAAAAAACATTATGAAGGGGATGTATTTCTCCACCTCCATGCCAAAAATCAGCCTGAAATTCGGCCTGACGGCCGAGAAATCGTCTGCACAGAAAACAATCATACTTTTCTCGCTTATAGGATAGGATTTTTAGGTCCTTGACCACCGACCTAAGCAGCAACTTCAAAAACTGCTGCTCGAGTTGTGCGAGGAATTGAAGGCAAGGCCGGCCGAATCGCGGGATTGCCGAATTTTTTGTATTGAGGGTCGACAAATCAATCCAGACCGGCCCGATCTAATAATAGTAAGTATCTTAACAACTTACTTAGAAAAATTCAACGAAAGTTCACGTAAAAAACCATCTAAAAATCCTCGAAAGGTAAAAAAGTTATATTTTGGTAGAAACGCAGCAAGGTTTCGCCGAAAAATCCATTATTGCTCTTAAAAATTTCTTTATAAAGTTTTCACGCTTAAAAGTAGTAAGAAACGCTTTAGAACCGCCGCCTCTCTTTATATAAAAAAGATCGGTGCTTCTCTTTTAATGAGCGGAATTTTAACGGGGAGAAAGAATGCCAAAAAGACAAAAATGGAAAAATTGGTTCCCCCTGTTAACAGAGAAGCACCAAAAATTCGAGTCTAGAGAAAAATTCTGTGATTTTCCTGAATAATTACCAATGTTTTTAGCTTGGTGTCTACGTGTTTCTGGTCCAGAATTGGGGATCGAATGCTGGGCACGCCGTGGCCGCATACCGACAACTTATCGCAAATTTCCATAAGGGAGACCACTGGGACCCGATGAGTGATCCGCAAGGTGTGCCGAGGATTAAATGGGATGGATCGCATTTTTGCGAATAAATCGTTTAGTTTTTCATTACTTTACATTTACATTCATTACATTACAATTAATGTCATATCCGCGGGAACACGCCAAAATCCCGACATTCAAAATACCGACAGCCAAAAACACCAGATTTTAAACAGATTACTGGGTAAAACCACCGGAAGTATCACTTCTTGGCGGTAAGAGTCTAGAAAACCCCCCCAGCCGGCACCAACTTTTTTATCTCGGCCCCCCTTTGTGCTAGCGAGCTCTAAAGTATACCAAAATGTTCGCCGTAGGCTAATTAGTAAGACTACATTGCAGTTCAGTCGAAAAAAGTAGCGAAAAGTAAAAATAAGGAAGGTAGAAAAGTTGAAAAGTCGGCTGGGGGGGGGGGGGTTTCCTAGACTTGAGCCCTTCTTGGCTGACAGAGATTTTGGCTATTTAAAAAGGCTTTGCATCCATTTTAAAAGGAGATTTCTGCCGGATTAATCCTACGATGCGAGAACGTAAGGACCTTTTCTTCGAGTCCGTGATGCTAGAGCGAGGGCCAGACCTAAATCCCGCACACGGAGAGCCTCGAAATGTGTTTTGTTGCTGAACTACCAAAAAGCAAAAATATGAATTTGCCGGGGATCCGAACCCCGGCCCTCATCTTCATAGAGCGAGCCCCGATCCACTGAACCACAGCGAAGATGGAAAACGGCAGCGGAAGGGCCTCTTCATGTCTTGGGGGGGGCGGCTCCGAGCAGTGGTAAGAGGAATCGGTGGCGCCAAGGACCTCCGACAGGCAGGCCTTCAAGTCATTTTACAAAATTCCATTTTTGAACTGCAAACTGGTCAAAATTCGTCAGATAATATCATGCGCGTTATCCTCACGATTGAATACATAAGTGGTCAAAAATACAGTTGCCAATTCGTCATGTGAATTGAGTTAGGGCTCGGACACCAACCACGGCCGTGACGCCTTTCAGAAAAATCGTTACAAAACTTTCTTTTAAGGAATTTTGCAAAATCTAAAAGAATGTATCTGGGGAATCACGTTCCCATTTCCGCTCCGTAAAAAATCAAGACCCGATTCTTCCTTGAAGCCAATAAAAGTTCCGGAGGTCGCGGCAAAAGTCCATTTTGTTGGGTTTTCACGTTTTTGCTTGTAAAATTGTTAAAAGAAGGAATTTCCTAAAACCACATATGCATCACTGAAAAAAAGTATTTCTCCACCTCCATGCCAAAAATCCGCCTGAAATTTGGCCAGACGACCCAGAAAAAATATTTTTCTCGCTTCTTATACGATAGAATCTACCCCCTGCCGTACATCTTATTTGGTACTGGCCCAGCGTTGCCCAAAAAAAGGTGAAAAGCAAATTTAGTGCTTAAAAAGTCATAATTCATAAGTAAACTTATCCGTAGCTGAAAACTTGCTGTTAACGACCGACGACGACATCACACGGTACGGAAAATCAGCGCCGCAATCGGCACCCTTGGATGCTCAATCGGGTTGCAGCGCCAATTTCCATGACCGATGTGCCATCCTTTTTCGTTTTCGTTTAGTTTCGGATTTTCGCATTCTTTTATAGATTTCTATGAGCTTTTTGGCAACTAACACTTTTAAAATGCTACAAAATGCTATGAGGGTCGTCGAAGCTTCTCCAAATATTGTCCCCAAAAAAGGCCGTTGAGTTTTTGAAAATTTTTGGGCATTTTTCAGCCTAAAGTCGCCTATAGCTGCTGAAAAGCCTATTCCGCACCTCAATTTCGGAAACCCGCTGCCACCTAGCGCAAAATTTGGTTCGGCACAATAGAAACAGAAAATGCTGGATTTTAATCTAACTAGACATCTTCATAGTGCGGTCTAAGGACCCACATCGCTAAATCTTTGTTGTCGGACGTTGAAATATGATTTGGATCCTAGTTGGGATGGCGTCTTAACTTGCCGAACTTCTTTTGGGGTCATCTGCCGGGAGTTGCCCCCAATTCAGCCCGCAGAGGAGCGGAATTTCGGTCTCCCCGCAGCCGACCGACGGGCGTCGTCAACCCCAACAGTTAGTACCGATTGCGACGCTGATTTTCGGTTCTGTGTGATCCCGTCGCCGGTCGTTCACGGCAAATGTGAATCTACGAATAAGTTTACTTTCGAATTTTTACTTTTTAACCGCCACTTCCACTTTTGGAAGGTGGGGCTTCAAAAGTTTTGGATTTCCAACAGCAAAGTGTTCGAGTTTTCAAAATACGAGGGAACAAGAGAGAGCGTTTGCTATAGATTTTTTTAGGATGTTCGAAAACCTTATTATTAGAAAGACTAACCTAAGAATTTTTGAAAATCTACGTTTTAGACGAAACGGTTTGCGGAATATCTACCGCTGGACGCGAATTCTTCCTTACACGGTCAACGCCCGAAGAAGTTTGCAACTATTCCTTGACGAAAGTGGACGGGTTTGCTAAACTTTTCAACATTTTCGTTTAGGCGATCATCACCGTGTATGGTTCGGCAAAGTCTTCGCTATGGTCGGCACTGAGGCAGATACAGCAGCGGTGAAAATGAGGTCCGGTCGGGAAATCGTTTATTGTTCGGGCACGATACATCGAAATTTTGCGCCTAGGTCAATTACGCTACTCGGAATTCAATAGCAATATCAAAATTCGCTAAAAATTAAATTTTAATGGCCAAATTTCGATTTGCGAAAATTCGACAGAAGAGAAAACTTTTCCGAGGCATTCTCGCTTTTCAAAAATGCGTTCATCGTCTTCGGGAGGGCCGAAAACTGCTTCTCCGATGTTGTACTATTTTTTTACTTCCGGTACTGTGTTATTCAGTAAGGCCGAAATTACGGGGGTCCCCCGCGGGGGCGCAATTTCTCGGCCTCTGTTGCGCAACGAATCTTGAGCCACTGGGAAAAGTGGCGTTTGGGCAACTTTCATATGACCAAAATATGGATAAGCGCTGGATGTGGTTTTTCTTGGAATTACTAGAAAGCTACTTTGACAAGTCGAACAAACCGCCAATGAAGTACATGCCTTGATTAGCTTTTCTTTTTCCAAAAGCTATCTTATCAAAATTTTGGATACATATCGAAAGCGGAGCAGCGTGAAGGTTGTTTTGGCAACGGTAACAGAAAAGGCTTAATCTAAACGGCATCTTGATAGCGCAGTCTTTCTTCCGCTGGCCTAAAGACCCAATCCGCTAAATCTTATATCCTAATTGGGAAGGCGTCTCAACTCAAAACTTGCCGAACTTCTTTTGGGGTCATCTGCCGGCGGCTGCCCCCAATTCAGCCCGCAGAGGTGAAGCATTTTGGACTTTCCGCATCGGATCGACGGGCGTCGTCAACCTCCAACAGTTGGTCCCGATTCCGACGCCGATTTTCGGTTCCGTGTGATGATGTCGTCGGTCGTTCACAGCAAGTTCGAAGCTACGAATAAGTTTACTTTCGAATTCCTACTTTTTAATCGCCGATTTCATCTTTTGCTGGTGAAGTTTCACGGATATTGGACTTCCAATAGCAAAGTGTTCAAATTTCTTTAATGCTAGTGATTTTATAGATTTTGGAAATGTTGGAAAACCTTATTAGTAGAAAAACTAACCTAAGGAAATATTAAATTTACGTTTTAGATCAAACTGTTTGCGAAATACGTACCCCAAAGAAGTTTGCAGCTATTCCTTGACGAAAGTGAACGGTTTTTTAAAGTTTTTCAACATTTTTCGTATAGGCGACGAGTGCAGTGTGTTCTTCACCTTGGATCGCGATGGCAAAATCTTTGACATGGCCGGCATCGAGGTAGATAGATACTAATTATGTTACTATATTTAGGCAAAGGCCCAAATCGCTTCATCTCTTGCCGAGCCGCGAAACTGGTGGACCTGCAGGACGTTGCCGACGGGCACGGTGTTAAAATGGCGTTAAAAGCCACGTTAAAAGCTCTTCGATATCTTCGTCAGCAAATAGATTATAGCGCTTCGCTTAACCGAAGCTAATTGGCAGCAGTTTGCTACGTTTTTTGCAGGAAACGAGGCCTTGGGTAAATGGCACCATCTTCAGACATTTCTGAGCGACGCTCTGCTGCGCCGGCCTGATCTCATCGGGGCTCGGGAACCGCTAGTGCTGGTAAAGACCATTTTGTGTAGTAATTTTTTATTTAGGTTTCAAGGAGCCAAGAGACGATGGGCTTTTTAACGAATTCTACGCCCCGCCTATGACCGGCATTGCAATTTCGAGGACGCACGAAGATGTTGTGACTTTTCGGGAGGTAAAAACCAAGGTTCTTTCGCATTATCCGGGGAGTTTAATTAGTATTATTTCATTTTAATGGTGTTTTTAGTAATTTATAACCATATTTCAACTAGAAAAAGGATCTAAACACTTTAAAAATCCACATTTTGCGTCAAAAATAAGCCATTTTCGGTAAAAGAATGGAGATTTTTGATATTTCGTACTACAAATTCGTAAATTTTACGTTTAGGAATAGTAAAAAACCATTTACAAAACCCACTAGTTATATTTAAAAAAATTAGATCCTAAGAAAAAAAAGTTCGTCCCCCAACGATAATGCGAAAGAACCAAAATTAATTTAAAAATTTAACAATAGGTGGTGCTCTGATGACGGTGCGCAGCTGCAGATTGCTTTGTCGTGCGGCAATCGGTCGATCGATGGCTGGTTCGGAAATCCAGAATTAGTAAGAAGCGATCGGTTTCTTGCCGATATTAAAAGACTTCTAGGCAATAACCGGGAGGGTTACGAATCTTCTGGCAAATTGTCTCCCTTGCTGTAACTAGGGTACCTTGCGTCGTGGTAGCTCTAGTGAGTATTGAGAGACTCCACGTCTTCGGAAACTGCGCTCCATTTTTCGATAAAAAACTTTGTCTTGGACATGAAGAGTCGTGTCTGCCACTTCTCGGAATAACGGTCGCAAAACGTCAAATAATAGGGCCGCTGTAAAAAATATGGTGATACCGGATTTGATAGTCTACGGCTTAGAAAACGCCATTTTGGAAGCTAAAAGGGAGAATTTCTAACCATTAAGGCGTGCATAATACAGAGTGAGCGTGAAAAAAATCGAACTATCACTTCGCAAGGATCCTATGTAGATTCGGGTGCCACGATGGTGGTTCCGACCGGCTTTTCGAGATCGACTTCTGTTTTAGAGTAAAAGCGATTCCTTAGGATTCGCGCGGGGGGGGGGCTCCTCCAGGTCGCGAAGGAGATCTACGATGTTTTTAGTGACCATTATCTATTTTTCAAATCGAAAAACTTTCAAAACAGCTAGAAAAAGTATGAGAAAAGTGAAATCTCTGGCCAGTTTCCATTCCATTTTTCGTCCTAAAATAGAATTTTAGTGAAGCTTTGTAGGCGTTTGTCTTCAGTAATCGCTAAAAACATTGCATAAACCAACCCGCCACCTATAGGGAAAATGTTCAGCATAAAGTTTCCAAAAAAATCAAATTTGCTAGCGAAAGTTATATTTCAAATCATAAACCGTATTTCCAGAAGCCTGCCTCGAGGAAACCGTGATGTGGTAGCTAGCATTGGGTCGACTGCAATCTCTCGTCGCTATAGAAGAGTTAACGGTTCGTCACACGGTTTTGTGGTTTCAGATATACATCTTGCAAATTCGAGGTAAAACTCGTGATTTTCAAGATGTTCATCCGGCACAAAAACCAACATTTTGGCACCAAGACTCCGAAACCTGATGGTGCAATTATGCAAGAAATTAATACTTCCGCGGTATTTTTAGGCAGTTCCGCATGCGACTCGTCCGATTCTGTACGATCGATGGCCGATGGACGAATTTCTCGATTGACGGACGCTGTATGTTCGAAGTTTTGGAGCTAACAAAGGGCGGTTTTGAGGTGATCTTGCAATTTTGATGTCATTCGATAGAACCTCAAATTCTTCACAGGTCCCATCTTTCAAAAACTGCTGAATGGCAATGGTCTTCGAGAAAACATTTCTCAAAGTTCACATTTTGTGAAGCCGTGGTCAAAAATGCTCAAAATCGGCCCTTTCAGAGCGCATTTTCTCCAAAACCATAGTCGTTGAGCAGTTTTTGAAAGAGGGGATTTGTTTAGAAGTTCAAGCTCTATCGAATGAGCTATGTGATATTGCAAAATTCCAAGATTACCTAAAAACCAATCCTTGTAAGGAGACACGTTTTGGAGGTCGTCGCGATTGCGAGTTGGAAGTAAACCGCGCTGGTGCAGAATTTTGCCCTGATTCCGAATCTGCCTGCGAAATTTACAGAATAACCATTTTGGGAAAGTTATGGAACCTAAGTCTGAGAAAAGCCAACGTGGAATTACTTTCACGACCATAGAAATATTCGAAATAATATTTTGAGAAAACTGTAGTATGCATTTTGCCCAGAACAGAAACAAAACTAAAACTAAATATACTAAAAAAACTAAAATTAAACTGAACCAAAAGATTTAAAAAAAAAACATTTTTTCCTGGACGAATTTGCTACTAAAAACTTGCAAAATCTAACTCCTTGACTGTTTAAGGAATTCTAAAGTTGTATTTGTAGCTACCGAACAGCTAAAGTTCAGTGACCCCTGAAAGAAATTTTTAATTTAGCGCAAAATTCCGAAAAAGATGCACTAGATAATCCTAACAAAATATTGTACACAAAAATTTTATTTATTTTAGTCGTTTCTCAGCATTAAATCCTCAAAACTTCCGGGCACTGGCTAGCTTAGGCATCGCAAATTCGGAAGCGAAATCCGGAATCAGTGCAAAATTCTGCACATGATGGGTTCTGCCCCATCTTGAAACGACGACGACACTCAGAAACGTCTCCTTGCAAGGGTAGTGCGCCTTCTAGATGTAGTTTCAAGATAGGTCACCTGAATAACATATTTATTGCTTAGTGGAAAGAAAATATTGTTTTAGTTTCCTTCGACCCGGGTCGATATGCTCGAAGGCCATCTACGACGACGATCTGTACCTCAAAAATGATCCTTCATCAGTTCTTGTCAAAAATAAATATTTACATGATTTTCATCGTGCTACGGAAGAGAGTGGTTTTATACCGAACTTCACTACCGCAATATGCCCTGCAAAATGTCCATTATAACGAAATTGCAGATCAAAAATGCGTCAGGGTTCTTCCTCTAGGAGCCGCGCAAGCAGGGAAAGAGGGGAGATACGGGAAAAGACCAAGGTAGCCATCTTTCTAATATTATCTTCATTCCTGTTCAGAAGCTCGTAGAACGACAAAGGACCATCTATCAACCACAATTGGCAAAGTCAATATCGATCCGCTGCAACGATGCTACCGATTTCCAATGGAAGACAAGGTAAGTTTTTAGCTAGGATCTGAAAATACATTTGTTTCAACAACACAATAATTTACAGAAAGCGCGCATTCGATGTGCTGGCACCCGGCTACTTTGTGCGTGTGAGAAGCGATCTGGGAATCGAAGAAGCGGAGTTCAAGGTTTGTGCAAAAATTAACTATCCACCAGGGTTGAAAAGCCGCTTCGCGCCTTTTCACCCTTGGCCTCTCTCCGCGGCCTTTGATACACGGGCACTTTGCATATTACAGCTTGCATGAATATTACGACTTACGTTAGTGATTTGAACACCAACTCAATTACAGGAGCAACCATCTCCGAGCTCCGCAGCCTAGTTTAAGCCGAATTAATAGTCATACACAAATTAGTGAAAAATGAAAGAAAATTAAAAGAAATTTTAGAGACATCTCTGCGAACTACCATGGACTGCCGTTGATCCGGGAAATAGCACGTCACAACCATTCGCGACGGTGAATCGGCGATTCTTGCTCAAGGGGCAGCAGACACCAACTCGCGAATCACCCGAGGATGAATTGGAGGTCCTACGAGAACTACTACCACATTACAAACAAGTATGTTCCTACCGCTAAGAACCACCTAGTGTAAGCTATGGTAATTATAGATTCTTTTACCATACCTTCGGTCCGCACAAATTAAACACAAAGTGTTGATCTTGCAGGAGACCAAGCGGTTTTCCTTCCTGCCATGCTTCTTAGCAGCCGTTGCGAATAAGGTACGTTCGGTGTGTCTAAATTTTATTAGTTTGTAGAACCTGCATATCCGATTCATCGTGACACCGCACCTGGGATACAATCTGCCAGCGAACTCCTATATCTTTGATATCAAAGTGAAGCCTTATTTTTTTTCAAACTATTCTCCCTTTTTTCAGCCCGCCGGTCGAAGAAAGAAGGAAACATCGCAAGTGCATAGAGAAAAAGACTTTAAATCGATCTGTCAAAAGGTAATAGCTACTATCCGCTTAAACAAAAAATCTAGGGGATAACCCTCTCGCCGGAGGACCGACAACTTGTGGTCTCTACCATCAAACGGGACGTCGAGGTAAATTGCATATCTTCAAAATAGCTTCAAAAAACCTAGAATCTAGTTTGGAAAATCAGAAACCTTTTTCGCTTCACCCTAACGCGCTTTTCTCTTGCCCTCTTCATAAAGGTGGCTGGATAATGGTCATCTAGAGTTATACCTTCGCGTTCTGGCATCTGAAATCAGGTGATTCACTTGATATCATGCTATTCCAGTTTCTCGTCCATCACAACATCCGTGACTATTCGATGCTGATGCTGGTAGACTTTAGGCGTCAAAGTCGAGAACAATTGCAACAACAGGTATTTTATCCTGTTTTTTTCCCAAAATATGCACGAGGAAAAATGTGAATCGCTTCGAACCTTGAAAACCCTATCTCTTTACAGGATGGCCACAAGGAAGTTCTCGCCACCATCAACAAGGTCACCGGCCGCTCAAAAGCTATCTGCCGTCTGACGCTGATCGATATTCTGCTCAAAGACGTAAGCAGACCATTTCTAAATTAATTTGATTATCTTTTTAGCCCAAAAATCCCGCCGACGTGCAACAATATGGAGCAGACTTTTACGCTTGTATGCACACGCAGATTTTTCCCTCTTTGGAGGTAAAACCCAGTTAATTCAGTTTTCTTCCGCAACAGCTTTGTAGCTTCCTCACTAACAATCCATATTACAGGACCAACCCGTAGAAGAACTCGATTTCGCAATGCAAAAGCTGGTGCTCGCCAATACAGGTCAGTTATATGGTATGCATAGATAAATTTGCTCCAGGAATCATGATCTTCCCATCGCAATATTTGCTACAGCTATATTCTATTCTCTACTATCATATTCTATCTGACTATGGCCATAGTCTGGTTGAGCTGCTTGTCCTCGTACTCCTCGGAAGACAACTAAAAAAACGATATCGGCCAAAGTCGCGAAATAGCCGCTTAGTGAAGTCAAGAAACGGGCTCGAGCCAGGCTCCTCGAGTTGACGTTCACACCGTGAAGTTCCTAAGCATCAGTAAGACAAAAAACCTAAAGTTTCAGTCTAATATAGTGCAAAATTCAGTCTCACGTTCTCGAGTTCTAAAATTGTCACGTTTTTTAAAATCCAAAATTAATCAAAAAAAAAGTTAACGATTAGGCCTCCATTCAAGCTAAGTCCCAAAATCACGATTCCACGAGCAACAGTTTAGGCGGCCACAGTTACATTCTTAGGCGCATACTTACAGGATGCCCGACTGCAAGTACTGACAACAATACGGACACGCCCGGCGTCTAAGCAAGAAAGTCTCACTATATCTCACATCTCACCGTCTCATTATCTCAGTTGCTCATTCACTTATGTGTTTCAATTCCCCCTTCGTCTATATATATCATATTTTCTACAAAACTAAATACCATTGCTATTCAATGCTATTCATTCCCTTGAAGTGTAGAATAAAGACGCCCATACTAACCAACTAACCCAAATATGCAACGACGCTAAGGGGTAATCCCGAATATTCGACTTGATCTCATGAAAATGGGCCCTTGAGTGCGCTGCATTTACATAAAATAACCCTTGTAACCACTTAACTACTAAACAATTTTCAATCGCCAAAAAGGTACGACTATTTATCGACTTTGATAGAAATTCAACAACAAGGTCAACGGCAAAATGTAAAGAGTGGAATAACAAACGAATGATGAGTACAAATCGAGCGCACAGAGAAACGACGATATTTGCAAAGGGGATATCGTCAAAATTTGGAAACAATTGGATGTACAAAGCAACCGGGAACAAATATAAAGATCTAAAGAGATTCGCGATTGTCTTTGGTCATTCGGCGGACATATCCTCGTCTTCTTCCCCGTTAGCCGACTGTTCTTCACCATCTTCTTCCTCCTCCTCGTCCTCCTCGCCCTCGTTGTTCCACCACGTCAGACAACCGAGCCCGCTCTCCATCATCTGACCAATCACCTGAATCAAACAACATTAAATTATTCGGATTTCACAATACCTGGAAGGACTTCTCGTTCTTGCTCGGCTCGTCGTTAGGATCGGGCCGGACATCCCTAAAAATGACGAAAAGTTATTCGCAAAACCTGGCTCACTTGAAAATATTTTCCACAACGCGAAATCGCACGGTGCTCCCGGCCTCCATCATCAGCTTTGTGGGCGGCTCGCCCTCTTCTTGCCCGTAGGCCCAATACCATGTCTAGAAAATTTTCGGTACTTCTCCATTAACGGGGGGGGGGTATCGGCGGAAAACAACATTATTCCCCTAGTGATCTCATGAGGCCATATAACCAACTGTCAAGTGCTTTTTATAAGATTTGCGACTTCTTCGAGCGACCCATAAAAAATTTATAAAAAAAGTTAGCCATAACTTTTAGAATTTTTGACCAAAATTTCTAAAAAGTCTTTTTTTTTGTAAATCCCCAGTCCTAAAAAACTACTAAAAAGGCTATAAAAAGCATGTATTAACTCAGCTAAATACCTACTAACTTAGAGCCTGCAAGAAAACATAATTTTCCGCCTGGATAAACGAGACGTAACACTTTTTGAATTCTAAGCAATCAAATCTACCTGCTCGGTCTTCTCAAAGCCATTCGGACACGGTAGTTTGTGCATCGGGATGAAGATGTCCTCGAAAAAACCGACCGAGAGTGTGATGCCGGCCTAAGAAAAGGTTCGCTTGAAAACAACAATGCTCACCTCGGTGCTGCTGACAATCTTCGCCTCCAGGATTTCGTCGACAAACGGCCGGAAGATGATGAAGCGAAACTAATCTTAATTCGTAAGAAAAATATTTCCGCGTACCCGGACTGGCACATGCCCTCGCCCATCACACGCCAAAATGAACATGTCGCCGACGTGCAGAATGTCGTACAAACACACGCACAGGCCCAGGTCGACGATCACCTTATTGGCGAACCGCCAATTTAGGCTGTTATGTAGAGTCTAAACTCACAAAATAAAAAGAACAGGGTGGCTCACCTCTTTTAGTTGATTCTTGAAGTGATGCGGCACGACGGCGACAATGTCCTGCATCTCGGAGAGGATGAACATTGTTCAAACGCGTGAGCGGGCGCTAAAAGCAAAGGTGAGCTTTCCACAATAGAAAAAAGGTGCTTCCAGATATTCCAGGCCATGGACCTGCTTTTTAAGCATGAAGTGGCCAAAAGGCGATATGTATCAATTTATCATCATCGATTCATATTCATCAACAACGACATCAAGACAATAAAAAACAAGCGAGAAATTAGCGAGATCTCATCAGGCACAAAGTGGAATTGAGAACATGGAAAAGGCGTAAGCGGCTAAACTGTGCAAAATTCTTCTAGAACTCGGCGGGCCAGCAGCACGTTGCCGGACGACTTGTAGATCATCGCCAGGTTGTGGGCGGCGAGCGGCCGGAGATCATATCTAAACAATCAAGTTAAAAATGTCCAATAAAAACTCACTTATCGGCTAATACAGCCGACTCGTCGCCAGTTTCCGGGTCGATGTCGAGGACGCGCGGTCGGATGCCGTAGAGTACCTAAAAATGAAAGAATAGTAAAAAAAACAGGGTACTTTCGCATTATCGGGGGGACCAATTTTGTATTAATCTAAAATGCCTAGTAACTTGATAGGAAGCGTCTCTATAATGTCTTTAATAAAATAAACAACTATTTAAAACTTTAAAACTGGTCAAAAAGGCCAACTTGCTCGAAAAAAACCCGATACTTTTATATTTTTTTAATAAAAGTTTTTATGTTTAGTAATAGGGAAAAAAATAAGAAACACTTTCGCTATTTATATTTAACAACAAATTGGCTGCTAAGAAAAATTTCTTCTCCCCCACCCTCGATAACGCGAAAGACCCGAATTCAATTACCCACCTTCTTATAAAAATGGATGGCCAGCGTCATCATGTTGAGCTGGTGGAAGACGCGGCCGAGGTTATAGTCGGCTTCTTGCGTCACCGTGCGCACGTCGACGTAGCGCTTCAGGAAGGCGAGACCCTGAAATGGTAGAAAATCGCGAAAGAAAGCGGAAATTTACCCTAACGATCAACAAATGCCGGCTGCTCAAGTCCTTCTTGCAGCCCATGTGCACGAAGGTGAGGGCGATGAGCAGGCAGACGAGCGGGTGCTTCTGGTTGTTCGCCCACACGCGTAGGTATTCGCCTAAAGTCTATGAATTCAAAGCGTAGCGAAATACCTAAAGCATGTCGATAGGTGCCCGTCACCAGCGAGTTGTTGCCGCTGATCGCCTGCAGCGCGTGGTTGCCCGGGGCCTTAGCGAGTGATCGGGCGATGTACCTAAAATATTGCTATATTTTCAATAATAATTAATAAAAGGCGCGAATCAGAAAAATAACAAGGTCCAGAAATAAATAATGACCTGTGATACGAGACGGACTGCGAGTGGCAGAACACGTAGTTCATCCCGTTCAGAATCCGGCGGAAGATCACCTCACGCTGGATACCTTCAAGCGCATCGGGATCGTTCTAAAAAATAAATATTCAAAATAAATACGCGCAAGTGAACTTTTTCAGGTTTTTAAAATAAAACAGCCGTGAAAATACCTAAACTTACGCAAAAAGAGCTCTCTAAATCCTCTTTTTAACACTCACCAACGTGCTCATGTGGTACCACCGCACAAACTCGAACGCCAGCGTCCAGTCCTTGGCCCGGATGGCGCAGTAGTAGAGCATGTTCCGGAAGTTGGCCGACCTAGAATTAAATTTTGTAAAAGACTACCAGGCGAGCCATACCCGGCAGCCCGTTGTATCTTCGGCTGCAAGTACGCGTAGCAGCATACGGCCATCATGTCGTTGTAGCGCTCGAGGGATTCGAGCCGTTCGATGAGGCGCAACGAGTAGTCGTGGAGCTGAAAAAAATGTACAATTAGTTTTATTTGCATTTTTAAAACAGAAAAGGATAGCATTATCGAGGGGCAGGATCGAATTTTTCGAATATAAATAGAGGAAATATTTCTAAACTGTTTTTTTTACTATTCCTAAGCGTAAAATCTTTACAAAACTTGATAAACTGCTATTCCTAAACTTGATAAAAAATACAAAAATACCGATTTTTCAACCGAAACAAGACTAAAAACTTTTCCAAGCTTTTTTTATTTATTTTTCGCTGAAAATATAACCAAATCTTGCTAAAACACCATTAAGACACTTCCTTTTATGTCCACAGATATTTGGTCCCCGCCCCCCCCAATAATGCGACACAACCGAAAAATGTACCTGCGTGGCATCCAGCAAATCGTTGTGCCGTCCGTCGGCAAGCGAGGCAGCTCCGAGACGCTTGACGAACCTCTCCAACGGTGTATTTCGTAGGGCAGTCTGCGCCGCACTGGACAGCGTCGTCGACAAGGAAGTTGCTGAAAAATTTGTGCAAATTATCGACAAAATACCTGGAAATCTCGCGAAATTTTTTAGCGTTTCGATTGCAAAAGTCGCATACCTGTCTTTCCGGAAAGCCGCTTCTTCGCCAATTCGGGGTGCGAGTGGATCTCGTAGAAGTACGGCGTCAGCAGCATTCGGGCGCAGCGGATGAAGTGCTCGTATCTATGCAAAAACAATAAAAACTATAGAAAAACTCACCGGCCACGCTCGTAGAAGGCGTCGGCTTGTCGGATCAGCAGGCGCTCGTCCTGAAAAAACGAATCATCACGTAATTCACTTCATGCATACCGGTAAATGCGTGCACGAGTCCAAATTGTGGTCCTGCAGGGTGGCGAGCGCCTCCTCGCAAAACCCAGCGCGCTGTTGTAGGCCTAAAAACTACAAATTAAACAAGGGAGATGCGACGTACCCGACAAATTGATCCTGGCATCGACGTGTCCGGGATCGATCTCCAGCGCCTTCACGTAGGCGTCAATAGCATTCTGCGTGTCGCCAAACAGCTAAAAAGATTAAAAATACACATCTTTATAAGAGTTTAAAAATTATGCAATAAAAGCACCTACCGATAAAGCATTCCCCAGCAAAAACCAGAGCGTCGAGTTGTGCGCAAAGTTGGGGAGTCGCCGCAGGCGTTCGAGGAAGCTAGAAAAAGTTTTTAAATAAGTTTTTTTCTGAGGAAAGTAAAAAACCCCGGAAAAAACTCACTCCCTGGCCGACACTCGTGCCGAAACCGCCAGGTACGCCTTGCCAATGTCGAGCAGCAGCTCCTCCTCGGCCGTCGTCTCGGCAATGTTGTCACGCTCGAGCAGTACAGGTATAATTTCCTCAAAGAAAACATAATTTTTTAAAGATTAAAAAAAAACCTCGGCGAGCGTAGCCTTTCCCGACTTGACCAGGCAGACGACCAAACGAGCAAAAATGCCGTTGGTGAAGCTGTCGTCAATCTAAGAAAGAAATTTCGCTTATCCAGGCAATATACCTGAAAATTGACGTTCGGCGGCAGGGGGTAGGGTGTAATTGTGAAGCCGCAGTTCTCGAAAGTCACCTGAAGTGCAAAATTTTTGGGGGGAAATCAAATTCAGAATACCGTCATGGCTTCTTGGCCATTTGGGAGGAAGGCCTTGATGCCGGGGCAGAGGGCGTAGATGGACTTGCACGCCTCGTCGTACTTGTTTTTTGCCATCCACATGCCTGAAATTCGGTTTTTAAAACGTTGCAGGCGGCTTATTCTCATTTTTTCCGTATTCTACTGCCTAACTTCAATTTTCGTATTTCGACAATCTGATATCAAATCGTTTAGTCGATCGCGACCGCGACCGACCATAAACTGACCGATGAGGGTCTCATGCTGCGCGGTGGCGTCCCTTCCGAATTCTCGGCTTCTCAAGACGAACGCTTCGAGGGCTTGTATCGCCTTTTCCTCGTCGTTGATGCCAATGTAGTACTCGGCGACCTGAAGGCGGAAACTACGAGATACAACCAAGCTACCAACCGTCTTGATCAGCTTGTGGAACCACTCGAAGTCGACTCGAGCAAGCGATTGGTCGATGCTCTGTGCAGCTTGCAGCCGCGTCTTCATCGCGAAGGGGCGGAGCCCTGAAAATTGGTAGTTAGAGCTCGGGTAATTTTAGTAAGTGGTAATCGATATTTTCGGGGCGTTACCCCTAAAAACCAACCGATCAAGTCCAACATTTTGATGCGCTTCTCGTAGTGCTTCCAATTTGTCGGCTCGAGGCGAGTCGCTAAAAATTCAAAAATTCGCTAAAAATGTTGAAACTGTTACCTCGTCCATAGCACGCGGCCGCCTCCTCAAACTTTTCGAGCCGATTCGACAGATCGCCAAGATGCGACCACTCGCTGGCGGGAGTGTTGTAGTCGAGGTGGGCGGCGAGTAGACCGTATTGTAGCGATCTGGAAAGCTCGAATACCAAGAATTTACAGTTTCGTTCACCGCTGCGGCTGATCCATCTCCTGGTAGATCGTGCTCACCAGGCGGTATGCTTCCGGTTGACGCGGTTCTTGTTTTATGACCTAAATTCAAGACTTTTCAACATTTCGATGATTCCAATACCTCCAGCAACATATTCAACGCTGCAGCGGCTTGGCCTCGAGCGTACGTCAGATTCGCCTGGCCGAGCAGCGCGTCCAGGGCATCGCTCAGCTTCTTCCGCACGACACCACCGGAACTAGGGGTAGGTCTAAACGCCGATTCATCCAAAAGTCAATTTTGCAAACTTCATCGCGTGCAGCTCATCGGTTATCACTTCTCGGACCAGGTTCCGCGTTTCCGCCGGGATATCGTCGTCCCGCGTGTGGCTTCTCTCCTCCTAAATTCTTTTATGTAAGCCTCTCGTCCGGGAAATCACCTTTTTCACCGGAACAAGGCTGGAAGTTGAAGGCTCCTGCGGCAAACCCTCGTCCATTTCTTCTTCTTCTTCATCTAAAAAGACTTTTTAACTTTATCTTAAACAAAAGGCGGTACCTTCTAGCATGTCGAGGTCAGCCATGTCGTACTCCTCGTTCACATCGCCGCCTGAAAAATACATTATTCTATTTCGCTAAAAATCTCACCTGTTTGCTGTAAATACTCATTGAGGTTTATCTCCATCCGCATGAAGCGCTGGAACGGCTCGCTGTGCGCGAAATCCGCATCCCCTTCGATTACTAAACAAAATTGCGGGCTTCCTGACAAAACGAACGATCCAGTTCCGCGTTGCCGCCGTTGCGCCGCAGATCGCCGGCGTGTTGCGAGGTGAGCACTAAAATTAGGGCATAAAGAGCAAGTTGCAATCCTTACGATCGTCGTTGGTGCATTCGGAGTCGCCGCGCAGGCGCATCGGCGCCAAGTCGGCGAAGGCATCGCCATTTCCCGACGATGAAGGGTCCATCGGGAAGAGGACTATAAATTAGTTATTCCCTTCATTCAATAAAAACGTCTTTTTAGTCGAAAAACGTTCTTTAGCCACAAAAAAAAACTTTTGCTAAAACCGATTACGACATTTTCGAACACGCGCGTGGCAAATAGCAGCGATTCGTAGTCCTAGCAAGGCAGAACCAAATTTTCGGTGCTCTTTACTTCAAACAAGTGCTGGAAATCCGCTTTTTCAGCGCTCCAGGAAAAGAAAGTGTCCACTGTTCCGCTGTAACTGTCCAAACGCATTTCCAAGAACCACCAAAATAGTACGAATATTTTATCTGCAACTAACATACAACAACGGGAAATCAATAAGTGCCAAAGTGCAACAAATTCGATAACTGGATAACAACAACGAATTACCGGGGGAAAATTATCAGGGAAAACAATTCAGGGGAGCGAAAATTCAACGAAACAATGTTACGTGTTTGGGGTAGTAGGGGGTGCGCATTTTCGGCTTTGTTCTTGGTCCCATCAATCGAAGGAGGCGTAGGCGTGGTCTTCGCTGTCATCCTCCTAAAAGACAATATTTTTGAAGGCGGGAAAAATTTACCTGTGGGGGTAGATGGCCGGCTCGGTTGGCGTTGGCGGGCGGCAGGCCTAGCTGGGCGGCGCGGATGTCGAGGTAGTCGCGCAGGTAGAGGAAGGCTTCTTGGACACGGTCGCCGGGCACCCTGGAAAGAAAAATATAAGTAAAGTAATTAAAAAATAAATAAATTTCAATAAAACAAAAAATTTACCGGCCGATGCGCAACGGCGACGCCTCTACCAGCGCGAGCGCCTGCCCCAGCGCCACATCGTCGCCCTAAAACAAAAAGATATAATTGAAAAAAAGCCGCGTACCCCATGGACCCTGTCGCGCAGCTCGCGCGGCACGATGTTGTCGATGTTGAGGTCGCGCAGGATGGCGGGCAATTGTCTGAAAGAAAGAAAAATTCTGGCTTCAATAAATATATGTACCGAGGAGGGCCGTGCCGGATGAAGACCGCAGCGATGCGCAGCGCCTGCTGGAAGCCGAGGATGCTGAAGTGTTCGCGGAAGGTCGGGCTGAAAAGAACAAAAATTCAAAAATTAATGGAAAACGTACAGAGCGCGCAATGACGGTGGAATTGGTGGATGTGGGCCGAGAAGTCCGCGGATGACTTCTGGCGCATATATAACGTGGCCGATGGGGATGGGACGCTGTGGACTGACCGGGGCCACCACATACGCCGCCTCCAAGATGATCAATATCTAAACACAGTCGTAAGAAAAAGCAAAAAACCTTTACCTGTAGCGGAAACACCGGATCCTCGCCGCTGCTTGAGAGCACGGTGCGTATGACATCGGCGCGTAGCTGGATCTCGGGCGGCGTCATCGACGAGGACATCGGGTCTGGGTGGACAGCGAAATCGTCGTATCGATGCTACAAATAAAATAAATTAAAAATGACGACGAGAAAAACCTGTTGTTGGATTCGGTCCACGGCCTCCCGGATGCGGCCCTCGTCTTCCGGTTGTTGTTCTTCGACGCCGTATTCGGCGAGCACGTCTTGAGCGGGTTCGGCTCCCGGGGCCAGTCTTTCGCGCAACCGACCTAAAAATGTTGTTGGATTTCAAAGCAAACACTTACCGTCTACCCTCATAAAATCTTCTTCGTATGGGACGTCGGTGTCCGTCGGCGAGGTTTCGCGATCTGGCTCGCCGCGTGCTTCCCGTCGTACCGGCGCGACCATCTGGCAAGCTTGGCTTGGGGGCCCTCTCCTGAGCGGCAGTGTCGAATCCGTGTAGGTGCTTCTAAAAGAGAGTATTCGGGAGGATCAAAATAGACAATTTAAAAAAGTCTTAAAACATACTCTGTAGAACCTTCAGTGCTGCTCAATTCACGGGCTTTCGAGCCGCGACGGGATCGTGGTCTCGTGCCCGGCGTCTCGACCTCCAGGGACAGCGTGGAATACTTGTTGGCGAGTAGCGAGGGCGCCCAGCGCGCAACGCCCCATCCAACGTTCGGGTAGACGGCCGGGAGCGCGTCGCGGAAGATGGCGAAGATGTAGACGAGCACCGGGAGCAGCGTGAAGAGGCCCAGCGAGAGGTAGGCACGCAAATCGTTGGCGGGGAGGCGACAGTCCGGTGAATTAACGCCCTGATCGAGTAAGCACCTAAATTTATAGGTTTTAAAAGGACCTAGAAAATGGTTACCGTAAGTAGTCGTTGAAGGCGGCATCCTGCTGCTCGAGCCAGCCAGAGATGAAGACATAATGTAGGATTGGCGACAGGAGCAGCGCCAACGTCCCGACGAGATGTACGCCTAAAAAAAGCCTTATTCGATGTCAAATTTCATTACCTTTCGTCAAACATCCAAACATTTGGTACTCGTGTTGATAGCTTCCGCGAGGAGTCATCATCGCATCGGCGGCGTCCGAATTGCAGCAGCCTAAAAAGCATTAAATTAAAAATGTAATAAAATCATACATAAAAATACCATTGAAAAACTCACTTTTAGAAAAGGCAAGCACCGTCGGCCGCAACACGACGAGCGCAACGAGTAGCAGTGAGGCCGCGATGAGTGAGATGTAAGCTAGCGTGGAGTAGTTGCCGGGGAAGCAGACACCGGAGAATTCGTTGCGCTCGACCTAAACATCAATGTCCCCTTCAAAAGCAGAAAAACTGACCCCATTGAGCATAATGAGAAATGGCGGTGTCACGAAGCAGTATCCTAGGATGCCGGGCCACATCCGATCCTCGATTTGTAGTAGTCTAAAAAAGGAATTTCCGTTTTGAAAAGCCACTCACGCTTCAACCCATCGCCTCGCCAGCCGATTCTTCGTATTGTCCGCCCGTGTGCCAATGGTGGAGACGAGCAAGGTGAGCATTGAGCACGCGCTGCAGGCGATGTGGAGGCTGGAGAGCAGCAATTGCAGTAACGTACACGAGCCGAGACTAAAAACAGTATAAAATAATGGTAGTAGACTGTCAGCGTGGCGTAGAGACTTGCGATACGGCCCTGTGCCCAAAATCGGCCAATTTCCTTTCGAAACGTTTTTCGACATAAACAGCTCTTTGAAAAAGCATCAATTTCGAAAAAAATTCATTTTTGGTGAAAAGCGTATAAAGCAATAAAACTACATCAATCAGCAACAGGTCAACAGAAAAGTCAACCCCCGCTAACAGTCCAGTACCAAAAGAATTATTAGTCAAAAATTTACCCAAATCCCTCCTTGACCACTCCAAGGGTCAGCCTGGTCGAGCGCCAGTTGCAGGTGACGGCATCGAACACCCCATCGAAGGACGAATACGCCCAGGCCGCCGAGTAGAGAAGCGCTGCTAGCGAGCCGGCCGCGAAAAGTCGGGCAACAGGGCTCTTCTTCAGGACACCGGAACGATAGATGAGACAGCCCTAAAACACGTTCAGAATTTCTAAATCAAAAGGATACCGAGAAGACGAGTAGGATGAGCATGATGGCGGCGGCTCCCCAGAATTTCAGCCAGACGTAGGAGGCATTGTGGCCGAGGTGGCACGTCGCGTAGCAGTGGTCGAACATCGGGCGCTCTCCGTGCGCAGCGGCGGCTTTGTAGAGCAGGCCCGAGAAGCAGACGCTAGACGGTAGCACGGGCAGCTGAGCGGTGACTGTGTCCTCACATCCTTCATTGACGAACATTGCAGCGTTGCAGTCGAAGGGCAGTTGTTGCTTGAGCTCAGGCTTCAGCGCAAAGAGCGGCCGGCACGCGTCGAACATTTCGTGGCAGTGCTTGGTGGGAAAGCGGTAGAGCTGCGTCTTTTGCTCGGAATCTAAAAAAAAAAAGTTGATAACTTTTTGAGAGGCTTGGCGACCAATTTTACTAATGCTAAAACCTATTTGAACATTGATTTTTCGATTGAGAGCCAAAAAAAACGGGTTTTGCCTTGGCTCAGTGAAGCATATCAGAAAAACGAGTCAAATGCTTACCGACTATGCACGGCCGCACGTTGTGTGCACACAGGAGCGGGAGCAGCAGACCTCCACAGTGTGGCAGCGCTTGAAGGAGCGGCTTGTGGAACAGCTGAAGGGACGGACCGCCGGTGATGTTCTGGGCAAGCGCGGTCCTCACACGCGCCCCGAAACATGAAATGCCTAGAAACGAAATGAAGAAAAGCAAGGGCTGATACCTTTCCGCCAGGCGCAGCTGCTGTTGCTTGCTTCGTAGCACGCCGGATCGTCCCAGACGTGGCCGTGCGTGAAGGCGCTCGGGTGCTAAATTCACGATTTCAGAAGCTTGACAAATCCTTACCTTTTGTTGAGCCATGGTGGCGCACAGCCACAGAATGGCCAATGCCCACTTCATTTTATAGCTGCGCTTCTTGTCGTCTCTTGAGGTTTCTAAAAAAAAGTTAGAATTCACGTGAGGAGAAATCTGAGGGAAAAGAGAAAACACCGTCAACATGCATCGCAAAATCGTTGGAATATGAATTCTGAAGAAGTCTGTTCTATCTTGATTCAAATCGTGCTACATGGCTTCCAAGTACCAAAATGTTAGTAGACATTATATTCTATTGGAAAAGACTGCTCATGATATAAATTTTAGCAATAGTGCGAATTTTAGGGGGGACTATGCTGAACAAGATATACAGCCGAAACTGAATAAACAAAATGGTAAAAATCGAAGCGCTATTTCGGTAAATGTATTTTCCTAACATACATTTTCACAAAAAAAATTATCTACGTTTAATGGATTGTGGGGGGATGCATGGGCCCAATTTTTGGCTACAAGGCACTCAGAGCGACGTTTTTCAAGCCGAAGCTAGCTAAGCACGACTTGGTGCTACATTTGGACCGCGTAGATCGATTAGTAAGGCAAGCTAGGGAAAAGCTAGGGAGAAGGCAAGTTCGTCATGGTGGAAACCTACAATAAGCGTATCCGAATTGGCAAAACTGTAAATTTTCATCAGGCAGGCCGATTTTCGGAATGAACGCGCGTAAAACTAGCCCACCAATTGCGGCGATGGGGAACTCGTGGTTTCCAAAATTTTCCAAAATAGCCACAAAATGGCCGAAAAAACGACAAAATCTGGAAAAACGTCCAAAAACCGTGCGAACGGAGGACAACAAATCACGACAGAAAGCCGGCGGATTGTTTCGTGGTGGGACGTGGCGGGGTCGACCTAGCCGATTTCGCCGAATTCAGCTTTTTTTTTCGTTTTTTTTTCTTCTTGCGTATTTTCGTTCCCTGTGCTCTTTTCAACAACCCCTTTTTCAGGAATGTTGCGGCCGTTCAGCAACCCTCCATTGAGGGTCACCAGTCTCGTGCCCTACTTCCTCCGCGCCAATTCGTACGATGCCACTCGGATGAACTTGAACATTAATCGGGATACAAAGGTACGTGGTCTTTGGCTACTTCTTACACCTCTTTCCGTTTAGGTTCTGATCCAAGGCTTCACCGGCAAGCAGGGCACCTTCCATGGCAAGCAGATGATCGAGTACAACACGCGCGTCATTGGCGGCGTCAACCCGAAGAAGGCCGGCGAGAAGCACCTAGGATTACCAGTGTTCGGGTAATTTTCGGTTTTTGGTTTCCAAAACTTGATTTTAGATCTGTTGCCGATGCCCGGCGGGAGACTGGCTGCGAGGCGACCGTCATCTACGTGCCGCCCTCCGGCTGCGGCGCCGCTATTGAAGAAGCCATCGATGCCGAGGTATATTGGTGGTTTTTTCACTATATTTTCGTTATAGGTGCCCCTGATCGTCTGCATCACAGAGGGTGTGCCACAACAAGACATGGTTCGCGTCAAGGCAAAACTCCACAAGCAAAGCGCCTCGCGGCTCGTCGGCCCAAACTGCCCGGGGATCATCTCGGCCGAACAGTGCAAGATTGGCATCATGCCCGGGAGGATCCACAAGCGCGGATGCATCGGAATCGTTTCGAGGTAACGAGACGTTGGATTCGCAAATTTTTTTTAGATCTGGCACCCTAACCTACGAGGCCGTGCACCAGACTACCGCCGTCGGACTGGGCCAAACGCTGTGCGTGGGCATCGGCGGCGACCCGTTCAACGGCACCAATTTCATCGATTGCCTTGAGGTTCAATCCAAAGTTTCCTTTTTAGTTTGCTTTTAGGTATTCCTTCGCGACAACGAGACGAAGGGCATCATCCTGATCGGCGAGATTGGTGGCAACGCCGAAGAGCAAGCGGCCGAGTATCTGCGCGAACACAACGCTGGCCCAAACGCGAAGCCCGTCGTGTCGTTTATTGCCGGTGTGACAGCGCCACCAGGTATATTTTTATCTTGGCGTCTCAATGATTTGGTTGTTGATTGTTTTGCTTATCCCCGGTCGATTTTTGCGCTGCTTTCGAATTCAGCCAAGTTGGATTTTGAAAAGCTCCAGCTTCCTCAGTAACAAAATTATTTTAGGTCGCCGAATGGGCCACGCAGGCGCCATCATCGCCGGAGGAAAAGGATCGGCGCAGGAGAAGATCGAGGCGCTGCGTGATGCTGGTGTGCACGTGACGAACTCGCCCGCTCAACTCGGCGTCTCCATCCAGCAGGCCCTCCAGAAGAAGTATTTCTAGAAGCGCCCTCCCGAACAAGCTTACTTATAATAACGATGACATGTCTAAGCGTTTACCTGCACGTATATTTTGGCGTCTTGTGATTCTTTTTTCCCCACCGAATCGAAATTTAAACAGAGCATAAAACGTTTGTCAGCGTGTCGCCCAGAATGCACATTTATTATTAACGACGGTGAAGCTCGGGGATACTTGGACAATGTTGTGTGTTTGCATCGATTCGTGAAGAGAGAAAATGATTGAATTTGAACTGGTGTCGCCGGGCGATGGGCATCGAATGGCGCATCATGACGAGGGCAACGACTTCAGCAACTCGGTAGCCTCCTCGGCGTAGATCTCGTCGGTCGCGTCGTTCGGCTCCAGTTCGGCAATCTGAAGCGCAGGCGTTTGGTAAAGGAATCAAGATTGGGCGACCGACCTGCTCGAGGAAGTTGCGCGCCTTCTCGTAGTCCTTGAGCTGAGTGTAGCACTTTCCGATGATCAGCAAATTGTCGATGGCCGTCGGTTCGGTCTCGTAGGCGCGCAGCAGATCGACAAGCGCGAGCTCGTAGCTGGCTGCCGGCAGCTCGCCGATCATCAAGGCGGCCTTGCTGTAGAGGGATTTAAGTGAGTGTCTGGTCGGCCCAAACTTTTACAACTGGGCTCTTTCATGTGCTACATGAGTTTAAGGAATATCAATAAGTTCGCCGTGAGCTGTAGAGTAAAAAACTATAAATTTTAGGCGACAACTAGCGGAATTTAAAAAAAAACTGAGGCGAAGCGTCCTACCGCTCGATGTAGGAGAGATGGACGAGGTGGAAGACGAACCGGCCGCGCATGTGCAGCAGCACGTGGTCGTTGGGGGTGAGTTTCAGAGCCTGGTCCATGTAGTCCTAGAAATCAATGGGTAACGGGAACAACTCGTGAAGCGCCATACCTTGAAATGATGGGCGAGGACGGGTCGTTCGATCGTCGAGCCGACCTCGGCGAGCGCGCCGGTCAGCATGGCGCACCGCTTGAGCACGGCCGCGTTCTCGGGGTCGAGCTGGTCGGCCCGTTGCACGGCGGTCAGCCCTAGAATCTTGGGAATCACCGGGAAAATTTCCCCGCTAACAGGCGAGAACCGAATTTTGTAGGTTCTTCGCTTGCAAAAAATACCTCGCTTGACGAGGTCGATACGGGCAGGTGGCGGGGCCTGCGTGTAGGCGGTCGCGGCGGCGTCGGCGAAGCGGACGGCAAAGTCGACGTATCCGGCGGGGCCGAGCTCGCGCTCAAGGGCGGCGAGCTGGTCGGCCGCCTTGTCGGGCGTCATCTGGTCGAGCAGGCCGGTGAAGACGGTGGCGGCGAGGGCCGAGTTTTGCGAAGTGACGGTGCGCACCTGTGGGAAGGGATTTCATAGAGAGAGAGAGAGAGAGAGAGAGAGAGAGAGAGAGAGAGAGAGAGTGAGATTGCGTGAGATAGAGAGACTCTACCTCGGTGTTGCACTGCTCGCCCAGGGTGTCGGAAGGCTCGTACATCCTGCCGGCGCGGGTGGGCTGTTGTTGATGAATGACGGGGATGATGGCTTTTCCTGCAGCATCGCCGGTTTCAAGTCCGGGCTAATCTATGCAAATCGTTGAAGTTTCCGGTCTGGCATGTAATCAATTTAGCTTTTCAAGAACTAGATGTAAAGTTTTGGTTATTTCCCAGCATCGAGGGGGAAATCCGATCGTTTTTTTGAGCCCCCAATATGCCGAAATAAAGTATAAAGTTTAAAAGCTCGTTTAAAACAAGGAATATTCTGAAACATGCGTGGATCGTGTTTTTAAATTTCCAAGAAAGGCGAACGTATTTATCGAGAATCCAAAAAAGCACACGTATCACAGGTAGATGGTGAGAGCCGGGGGAAGAGCCTCGTATATCTTCGAAAAGTCAAATAAAAAACATCAAAACGTACAGGAGTATCACCGAATGCAACGGGAGCATAGGAAATGAAATGAACAATAGGTACAAGCTTATCGTGACTAGAATCGGGACGGGGTGTCAATACTGCTAGGGTTGGTGTGATTACAGATGTGTGGGAGGGGAACCCGTTGTTATTTCCGGGGGATCAGTATAAAAAGCACAGAAAAACATGGTCAATAGGTACAGTTATGTAGGGGGCTTCGTGGCTGCTCCACGTTACTTGTTGTAGCCCATGTGCAGGAGGGCGTTGCCGGACATGACCGGCAGGATGATGTCGTCCATATTTGGGCATACCTGAAATTGGGAGATAGAAGAGAGATAGAAGAGAGATAGAGTGAGAGAGGGAGAGAGAGTGAGAGAGGGAGAGAAAGAGAGAGAGCGAGAGGGAGAGAGAGAAAGAGATAACCCACCAAATTCTTCTCGATAAGAAGCCGTAGCTTCGACTCGATCCAGTCGGACACGGTCGACATGTCGACCGACCTATCCCCGACCTGCGGCACGGCTTTGATGTTGAGCGTGGGCGGTTTCCGGAAGGCATACCTGAAATTCCGGAATACAACAACAACGATCCACTCTACCATATCCGATCCGACGGGGGCGGCGGCAAGTTGACCGTCATCGTGCCCTCGACCACCTCGACGGTGACGTTCAGGATGAGCGGCGTCGACGAGACCTCTTCGATCAACTATAGAAATAAAATTGGTACAATCGGGTCCGAAAACACCCACCTTGGCCACCTTGTGGATCTTGGCCACCTTTTGCAGGATGGAGCTTTGCGCGGCCCGTTCAACGATCGACAAAATCTTCTTGCCCGTCTTTGCTTTGGCCGAGCTGGAAAAATGGGATTTTTGGGTAAAATTAGCTTTTTTACCTCTCCACGTTCTTCGAGCCGAAATCCTCGTCGGGGCTGCTCTCGGGGGATTCGGGCAGGTCGGGGTCCGAGTGGTGGGAGACGCGCACAGAGTCCGTCCAGCGGGATACCTGAAGCAAAAATTGGGGTAAAATCCAAAAGTTCAAAATCCAGAGAGGGAGAGAGGGAGGGAGAGAGAGAGAGAGAGAGAGAGAGCGAGCGATGAGAAAGTCTACAAGAAGCAGATTAAAATAGTCGTTCTTCATAAAAAACACTAATAAAAAACAGGAGATAGAGAGCGAGCGAGCGAGAGATAGATAGAGGGATAGAGAGAGAGCGAGAGAGAGCGAGAGAGAGTGGGTGAGTGAGAGAGCGTCGGAAAATCCACACACCTTTCGCTGTGCTTCTGCTTGGTGTTGACCACTCTGCAGCTTCATGAGATTCACCGACGTTTGGAGCACGAGCCGGATGCAGCCTTTGTAGCGTAGCTGAAAACAAAACTAATTTTTTCACGATTTTTAAAAAATAGTTCGTCCTTTATAGATAATTTAATAAATTTAACCGAATAAACAGCAAGATTTAATAGAAACAATTTAATAGATCGAAATAGACACTTTTACAAGCTAATAATTTATATTTTCGCAATTTAAGTTTTACAACTTATAATTACGAACCTCAAAGTCCACCCACAGCCCCCACTCGTCCATCTTGGGCGAGTAGACGCCGACGATGCTCGGCGTGTTTGTGCCGAGGTCCAGCTCGCTCAGCTCGAGCTTCTCGATGAAGTAGGGCAGCTAAAAGCCAGACATTTTTAGAGGCTAGAGGGTAGATTCTTACATGAACTGTTGAGATCTTGGCCTGGATCTTCTCCTTGATGCACTTGGTCCAGTACTTGTCGCGGCAAAAGTCGAAAAAGATGCGCGAGGCGAGCGCGTGGACGGAGGAGACGAGCTCCGAGTTGCTCTCCGGCGTGCTCGGCTTCCATCTGGAATTTTGGAGGGTAAGTGAATATTTTTAAGGGCATTAGGAAGTAACTAGAGGACCTAAAAATCTCATACAAAAAATTCTGCAAAAAGGTTTATCTCGACGTAGGAGCGTCGGGTCGCAATAATTTTTGTAGCATTCGAAAGCCAAGAAAACGGCGCGTTTTTTAGATCAATATATTGCAAAATTAGATATTATTTATTATTGTTTAAATTAAAAAATCAAATGTTCTCTAATATAAAATGTTAAATTTATACATTTCTTGCAGCACCAGCTTTTCGGACCCATTTCTAAAAAACGCCTCTTTTCCTGGCCCTAGTCCACCGGGAATTGATTCAAATTTTAGATTTTTAGAAGTTTCTTGGACCAATTTTAGATTTTTAGACGTCCAAATTTCCACAAAACTACTAAAAATGTGCGCAAAAACCGACTTAATCGATCCCAAATCCACGGTGACCGTCGACCCGGGATCCGGCGAGCACATCGGCGTACAGCCCATCACGCCCAGGAGTTGCCTAAAATGACCTAACAAAAAAATGTTAAAATTCGACCCACTTGGCAAACTGAATGTGGTTAATCTTGTAGAGCATGAACTCGTGCTCAAGCCCGTTCGGCGCATCCTCGTCGAGCTTGTCCAGGCCGCCGGGGACGCTGCCCAGCCGCGCCAGCCTGAAGCTGCTGTTGGGCTTGGGCGGGTTCTTGGTGCGGCTCTTGCTGCACGCTTCGCGGAGCCTAAAAATTGTCATGAAACTGGGGCTTTCAGAGTTGTTTTGTGGTTCTTTGGCATTAGCTGGTGTTTTTCTTAGAAGCCAAGGTTTTTAAATATAAACAGCGGAAGTGCTTCTTAACCTTTTTTACTATTCCTAAACGTAAAAACTACAAATTTTATTAAAAATACAAAAATATACAACCAAAAATGGCCGTTTTTTACCAAAGTTTCCACTTTTGTAACATTTTTCAAAGTTTTAGATAGTTTTTCCAGTTAAAATATAGTTTTCTTATGCCAGAAACATTTTTAAAATATAACAGAAAGCCAAAAAACCCACAAATGGAACCAGCGCTCCTTCTCGCGCGCGGCGCGGAAGAACAGGTAGATGGTGCGGCCCTTGTTCTTCGCGTTGCACCCCTTCGACCGGGTCGAGTAGTCGGTCAGGTCGCCGGCCGAGTTGGAGCGCATTATCGGATTCGGCGAGCCTTCTAAAAAAAACAAAAAAAAAATGGAAGAAAAGGAATCATTCCTACCATCGTCAGTCGTCGAGTCGGATTCCGCGTCGTAGTTCAACTCCTCGATGTGGGTCGCTAAAATTCGGATTATCAGGATTATAGGAACAGAAAAGCAGTATTTTTTCTAGCAATCCAAGCTTCTAGAGCGAATTTTTCAGAGTAAAACTTTCGAAATCCTACGATATATAAAAAAATAGTTCCTGTGTGTGTGTGTGTGTGTGCATTTGCATGCAACTTCCGTCACCGTGTCCGGAGGATATCTCTAGAGGGGAAGGGTTTTAGGCTACGTATGATACGTCATTAAGTGCGTAATGGCCCCGAGATGACTGCACGTATATCAGATTTTGCAAATTACGCTATTTTCGACATTAAAATTGAGTTTTTGTTGAAAAATCCGCCAGCCTTCTTTGTTAGGAAAAAATTAGCATCTGCCGGAAGTGGCGGCAGCCTATATATAACGCGAGAGAGTGGAATTTTTCATTTTTCTCTAGGAAGTCAAGAGATGTATGCAGAATGAAGAGGATGATGGGGTTAGACGGGGCCAGGGTTGAAAAGTCGCGACGCGACTTTTCAACCCTGGTAGAACTTTAAATTTTGAAAATGAGGCTGCGCATTGCATGAAAATGAAATAAACTACTACTAGTAGTTTTTATGCTTTTTTCCCGGTATTCGACGCAGAATTAATCAATCATAAGTAGCCAAGCTTCTAAAAACGGCCTTTTCTGATACGATTTCGGTTTTTTTAGTTCAATATCAATCTCTGAAAATTGCCATATGCCGATAACAAAAAAAAATCGTGTTGTCTCTATTCTCTCGAAGAAATTTTCTAAACCTAAGGCTTCAAAAAATCGGGTTGAAAAGGCTTAAAAAGGTATCCTACTTTTTTTTAATGCTTCGGCGTGGCATTTTGCGCGTAATTAGGACATTCTGAGGCGCCAAAATTGCTAAAGAACTACAAATTTCAGACGGGTTTGGCCAGATACTTAGCAAAAACCCTTGGTTTCAAGGCTTTTCTTGGAATTCTGCGCAAAATTAGGGACTTCTCGCTTGTCTACATCGCCAAAACCTAGAAATTTTTAGACGGTTTAGATGGAAACCGGAAACGGCAGTAAAAACTCACGCGGTAAAACCTCGGACTGGCTGCTGGGCGGCATCGGTAGATCGCCCTTCGTCGCGTTGGCCGCAGCGCTGTGGTGCAGGGAGACGGATCTGAAAAAAAAGAATATAATACTTCCATTAACACGATTTAGACATAAAATACCGACAGGACAGTGTGATTGGGGGGCCGATGAGATAGAGCACACGAGGTCGAGGCAAAATAAAAAAATGGTAGAAATGGTGAAATGGACGAGTCGGGTGAGTAGTAGTCGTAGTAGTAGACGCGGCCAATTCCACACCCCGACTGGATAACAAATACCCACAATTAATTATAATTATTACTATTATGATAAATATTATTCTTTTAAGTTATTTTATCGTGCTCATTATTGTTGTTATTAAGCGTTAGTGATTCTATATAACTGCCATGGGTAAGGCCCGAAATTTTGAGGTGTTTTTTAGGGTTAGCGTTCATTTTATGGTCAGAGAAATTACTTTAATCTAGTTTTGTTAATAATTATTTTTAGAATTAGACAAAAACCGTATTAGATAAAGTCCATAAAATGCAGTTCAAAACAAATTACATTTCATAAAATACGTATATGCACGATTTTCTACGCAAAAATTACGGTAAATCATTAAAATTTCGGCATTTCCGGAATTTTATTGTCATTTCAAATGTAGCTAAAATAAACCGAAAATCATTAAAATTAAAATTAATTAAAATGACTATCCGGAATTTTATATACTTTTAAAAAGGTATTTTTGATGGAAAATAAACCAGACTAAATGAACTCCGAAAAATAATAAAATAATAAAGACTTTTTGAATTCGAAAACTAGTTTTGATCTTTTATCGACTGAAATTTTTCACTTTAAATTTAATTAATTTAAAAATAAAACCAAACTTTAAATTGAAAAACTTTCAAAATGTAAAGTGTCTGACCATAAAATGAACGATTAGCAAAACTCAAAAAACGTCCGTATTTCTTACACGGTCTCCGATTGGGCCCGTTTCCGAGACTTTCCCCGCTGGTAAGCCGCGTACTCGTCGACGATCGACTGCGAGGAGTGCTGGCTGAAATGTGACAACGGCGCTTAGTTTTGCGGCCACCAATAGAGAGAGAAAATGATGGTACATAGGCGTAGGGAGGAAATGGAAACGTTTAGATGACGCCAGAATTCCGGCCACAGATAGCGCACGATATCGAATTGAATGGGCGCCGCGCAGCAAGGTAGGGCCATTCAAAAGGAAAATTGAAGGTCCAAAATACGTCAAATTTCGATTTTTATGGATTTAAAATATCGCTTTAAAAAGTAAAATGAAAATTTTTTATTCTTAAAAAATACTAGGTGCCAGAAGTGTTCTTTTGAGTTTGAGTTCTTAAAAAATACATAGGTGCCAGAAGAGTTCTCATAAAGCCTTCGCCGAGACCATCAAAACCAAAATTTACGCTTCAAAACGCGTCAAATTTTAGGTTGTAGATTCAAAAAAATATTGAAAAAGATGTTTTTCGTCATACAAAAATTTAAGCTACAAAACGCGTAAAATTTCGGATTTCAGATTTAAAAAATCTCAAAAAAAAAGTTTTTTATTATACAAAAATTTAAGCTCCAAACGGTTTAATTCAAATATAGAAGATTTAGACTCAGTCATTTAGAACATTTCAAAATACTATGTTTTTCGCTAAAAACCAAACTAAAAGATCCAAAATTTTGCTTTTTACGATCGAAATCCCGCCAAAAAATCAATTTTCCTAACAAAACTGTTTTTGAAAGCTACAGCAAATAATCGCTCCTTTTAAACAGGCTCTACTTTGCGGCGAGCACCCGATCAAAAAATGGCGCATGCCACGACCCGGCCTCTGCGCGCCACTTTCCGAAAAACATGTACCGTATCTGGGAATCGTCGAAGCAACCGCTAAAAAATTTTGAGAGTAGAGAATTATGGGGGTTGAGTCGAGCGAGGATAAAAAATTTTGCTTACCGTACGGGGTGGTACTGTAAAAAGGCGTAAAATCGAACCTGCTCATGCCGGAGCGCGTCATGTCGACCTCGGCGAGCGCGGAGCCCTTGTGGGCGAAGCGGATCGCAACCGGGTACTTCCGGGACCACCATCGACGGGCGGCCAGGCGCTTCGGGCGGAGGGATACCTGGAAAAGGGGTGGATTGAAGAGGCTACCTGAAACAAAAACGGCACGAGATGCACCAAAAAAAGGCGCAAAAGTTTTTTTAAAAAACTACGCCAGATTCTTTGGCATTATCGGGGGGGAGATTTTTTGTATTAGTCTAAAATTGCCTAGTAACTTCATAAAAAGTATTTTCAGAATGTTTTTAGTAAACTTAAGCTTGATTTTAACTAGAAAACTATCAAAAAAATTTTCCAAAAAGTCGACATTTTGGTCAAAAACTTCAATTTTTGGCCAAAAATTGATATTTTTGCATTTTTTAATAAAAATTTGTAAATTTTTGACGTTTAGGCATAGTAAAACCAGTTTAGAAACACGTCAGCCATCTATATTCCAAAAAAAATGGTTGCCAAGAAAAAATTCTCACCCCCCCGATAATGCCAAACAACCCTACGCCGCTCACCTTGGCGTCCGTCAAATCGTAGATGGTCTGCGCGGTGATCGTGGGCGTGGGCGAGGTGAGGGTGGGGTCCATGTGGAACGCGTGCTTCAGCACCGATTTCGCCGGCCGCGACACGCGCAGTGTGTTATCTGGAAAAAACGGACGTTGAAAAGTTGTGCCGCTATTTAGTCAGTTCTATATTTTGATAGGGTTAGGGAGTGGTGGGGGGGGGGGGGGGGGGGGGGCCCAAAAAGGGGGGGAAAAAAGGGGAAAAAAGGGGGGGGGGGGGAAAAAAAAAGGGGGGGGGGGGGGGGGGGGGGGGAGGGGGGGGGGGGGGGGGGGGGGGGGGGGGGGGGGGGGGGGAAAAAAAAAAAAAAAAAAAAAAAAAAAAAAAAAAAAAAAAGAAAAAAAAAAAAAAAAAAGGGGGGGGTTTTTGATCACCAAAAAAGCAGAAAAACTCACTTTCCAATCGCACGAGCACCGACTGCGTGTTGTTGACGTGGTAGCTGGCCGGGTGGTAGCGCGAGCGCAGCTCGTTCATCCAGCCCTAAAAATGGGCTTTTTTTTGCCGGTTTTTGATTCTTCAGAATCCGCTAGGCTACTGAGAATTCCAATTCTTACTAAGACAGCTCTAAAAAGCCGAATAAAAGCTGGCGCATGCACGTTTTTGCTTAAAAAGGCGGAAACAGATCAGTTTTCTACGCCATCGTGGCTTTTAAAAGATCCAAAAACCGGAAACGAACCTTATAAACTACAGCCTCGCCCAAGCCGGCCGTGTCGACGGCTTCATGGGCTTCTTCCGCGATTTCCGCGTCCGTAAATTCCTAAACAAACAGAGAGGATGGATCAAAACGCCGAAAACATACCTCGACAACGGGGTCGATTTTTCTTTTGGGGTGCGGGTCGGAGACGAACAGGTAGAGGAAGCTGATCAACGACAGGTAGACGCCCCACATGATGCCGGTGAAGAACCCTGGAAAATAGGCATAAATCATGAACAATGATAAAAAGTCGAGATTTTACAGTAGCTGAGCAGGACCTACCGGAAAATACAAAGGTGAATGCTATCAAGAGGCCGAGCAGGAACATCCGTTGTTGGAAGAAGGGCAGTGTGCGGCAGTGTCGGGCCAGCGAGCCGACCGTCGGTGTGGCGGCGACAATTGTTGGCGGCTCCTGGAAAAACGATTTTGGTTTTGGCTTTTTAACTGGCAGCAATGTAAAGGTTTTTTTGTGTGTTATGATCCATATTTGAAGCAGCAAAACTTTACAAGTTTAAAAAAGTCGGAAAATCCCAAATTTAGGACATTTAGTTCAAAAAACAGCAGCTTTTAACCTTTGATGTTTTTTAATGCTCGGGAATAGCGAAAAATCGGTTAAAAACCTTTAAACTTTGCAAAAAAGATTAGCTTGTGCGGCAATTTTTTTGCGGTATCCTGCCAATACAATAAATCAGCAAAATGTTGAAATTTCAGTAGCCGTTAGAAAGTTTCGAACGACTACTAATGCCGTTGAATAGCCATTAAAATCGGTGCGCAGTTTCCAAATTTTGGTGATAAATTCAGGTAGAAAAAAAACACCGATTTTTCGAGCGTAATTTTTAGCCATTCCCGAGAACCGCTAACACAGTTTAAAAACATATAAAAATTCTGCCAAAAAAAAGCCACAAAAAATTCTTAGCAATTTCTCAAAAATTCCGGGGAATCCGATTGGACGGACGATCGTCAATAGAATGGCCGCGTAGTCCAAACGCAGTCAAAAATCTTTCTCTACCTCAAGCGCCGGCGTGGGTTCCCGCGCCACATCCTGCGCCGTGTCGAGCAGCTGACACTGTGACGCCTCGTCGATCAATTCTAGAAAAAATAAAATTGTTAAAAAGCTATTAAATAAAAACAATGAAAACAACAAAAAAAAATTAACATTTACCGGGCGTTGGTTCCTTCTTCTTCTCAACGAGCCGCTTGCCGCTGCGCTTCGCCTTGTCGAACAGCTGCCCGATTTTGCTCTGCTCCTTCGGCAGGCTGCCGCTCTCGTTGGAGTGGGTGGAGCCTGAAAACGGAATATTTTATAGGGGTATAAATTTAGTATTGCTAAAATAATTAATTCTAAGTAATTAAAAAACGAAATTAAACTTTTTAAACTCTAAAAAAAACAGCTTCCCTACCAATTTTTGCCCCCAGACAGCGGCAAGCCGTATAGCTTGGGGCCAAAATTTAGCCACACCCCTCGTTGAAGCTGCGTTATCACTTTTTTTGCCGGCGTCTCGTCAAAACAAGATTGATGTGACGCATTGATTAATTACGGGCGAGCGTCCTTTTGATTTGCGTAAAATCATAGGCATTTTTGTGAATAACATTCCGTAAAAATCTTTGGTTCTTTGGTAGGGGGGGGGGGACAATTTTTCTCTTAAAATCCAATTTTTAAATACAAATACAAAATTTTTAGCAATTTTGAATAGTTAAGAAAAGCATAATTTCAGACCCACCTAGTGATTCTCGCTCGACCATCGCCGAGTCGCTGTCCGAAATGTCCATGTTGGGGTCGAGGGAGGCGTCGCGGAGCTGGAAATAAACATTTAGAGAGGGTTTTTTTGATAGATTTCACTTTTACAAAACCGCTCTTTTGTTCTCTTTTATTCCCAAAAATTTATGAATTTTCCCGATCAGAATTTAAACCCGGTAAAGCCCAAAAAATCCCTGGCTTAACCCGAATTTTTCGGCTGCCGGCTTGATTCCCTAAAAAGGCGTGTTTCAAAACGGCAGGCTCAACTTTCCTCCGGTGTAGCCCGTTTCAGGGCCCGGGCAATGCGTCACCAGAAACGGCCCGAAAACAGATTTCGTGCCAAGCTGAATGGCCGGTGTTTACGATCAGTCCACGATTGAGGGCAAATTTCAGAGTTTTTTGGGTGGGTTTCACAGCAACACCAGAGTTAAAAAAGGTCGTAGAATCCGTTTTTTTACATCCGCTCCTCACCAGCAGCATGCTCTTCGTCCGGCTGATTTTGCGCTTGAAAAATATGAGGCGCCGCGCGACGAGCGTCTGCCCCGGGTGGATCAGCATCGCTAATTCGTCGATGAGACAAAATTAAAATTATCTTAAATGAAGAAGAAAATTAACATTCTACCTCCCGGCCTTGGAAGAAAATTATTAAACCAAATTTCGAGGAGAAAACTCACACTTTGGGCGGTGAAACAAAACGATGGAGGGTAATTCATACCGAGAATTCAACGTTTAGGAATACGTCTATTTTTGTGAGGGGGCCACGCCGCTTTTGGTGGCTCGGGGCGAGAAAAATATTATCTTCGGCGGGCGCGAAAAGTACAAGGGGTAGTCACCAAAAATTCGGGATTGCTAAAGAGAGAAGAAGGCTGGAGCGTTCGGCTACAGTTTAGGGCAAAAACGGCTGTTTTTGATAACTACAAAGACCCATCGGAAACTACTGAATTCTGGCAAAATGTTCTTTCGCATTTCGGGGGAACCCACTTTTTCCTAGGATATAAATTCAAATATAAATAGGGGAAGTGTTTCTAACTGGTTTTTAATAAATTTATTTTAACAATCCTTCTAAATTTTTGATAAAAAAATACAAATAATAGATTTTTGACGAAAGTGGCATTGTCGATCAAAATGTCGACTTTTTGTATCATTTTTTCAAGTTTTTTGATAAGTTTTCTAGTTGAAATATAGCCATGTTGCAACTAGAAAACACGTTTAAAACAATTCCTATTAAGTTACTAGAAATTTCTAGACTTTACAAGAAAATTCGGTCTATCCCCCCCCCGCAAATGCGAAAGAACCTGGCATAAAATTAGTTTATCACTTGTCGGGATTTTGAATTTCCGGGGGTCCAAAAAAAGACGTCAGTGATGCGGAGGGCCTAAACCAACGTTCAGCTTTTAGCGCATCCTTCAAGCCCGGAAAGCGGATTAGCGGCTACTGGGGCGCCAAAAATCGGCGGAAAATTTCAAGGTTAGAATTCTAAGCATGAGGAAAAAGGAATTCCAAGCTCGCCAGGGTCTAAAAACGCCTAAAACACAGCTGATAACCAAATTTTTAGGGCTATGAATCACTGGCGGCGCCCCCAAAAACCCGGGCAACACGATGCGGGGGGCCACAGGAAGCGGAAGTTCGGGTGGGGGCGTGGTGTCGCGCCTGGAGCCGAGCATATTGACGAATATTTTTGAAGGAGGGGGGCTTCGTTGTTGGCGCTCGACGAGGGGAGCGTCTCTTCGAGCGTTGGTGCGTGATTCATAAGCACTTCTTCAGCGGCATCCCCCGACTACAGCGTTCCTTGAGGGGTGGGGGCAACCATCTTGCTTTTCAATGGGCTAATTGCCCGCCTTCAACTGGCTTTCTTGACGCTCTGAAGGTGGATTAGAGGGTGGAGAATTGAGATGGGCCATTGTGAAACGCCTTTTGTCTTTTGCTAATGAAAATATACAGTAAAATCAAGGCTTTAGGCTATGGAAAATGGAAAACAACGTTCAGAGGCGCTCCTGATTTTACCGAAACTTGATTTCAGAGAAAAATCGAAAAATGTAAGGGAAAAGAATCTACAGACAGGAAAGTATTTTATAAGCATGAAAAGCTTTCCTTTAAAAACTCAAGAAAGTACTTGACTTCCACGATTTCCTGGCACAGGACTGTTAGAGGGGGCATAATGTTAGTCTTTAGTTAGTAAGTTTCTGCAATTTTTGGTAAATTTTTTTGATTGCTAGAAATTCATCGAAAATACTTGAAAATGCGCAGATTTTGACCTTTGTCGGACTTTTCAAACATTTTCGATCAAAATTTCAACATTTTTCGCTAATTCTGCGAATTTTTATCAGCCTTTTAAATCTAGAAACGATGTAAAATTCTATAAAAATGGTTCATCTTTCGATAAAAGGCCGTAAGGGACTATTAGGAAATTTTGCCACCCCCCCAGTCCAATTTCCCTGCCGAAAAATATACCTTCTACATTAACGAAGTGCCAACAAGCCCATGGCGTTTCTGCCAAAAGTTTCTCCGGGAACGCTTTCACGGGAAATTATGTAGGCATTCAATAAAGGAGCGGAAATGGCTGACGGGCGAGGAGGACGAATGCGTTTTTCGTGTGCCCGAGGGCCTTTTGGGGGGATGGACACGAGCGGCGTGGACCCCAGGGGGAAGCCGTTTGCCGTGAATAGATCATTCACTGCCCGCCGCGGCCGGTTGAACATCAAAAACCTAGTCCCGGGTAAAAATGGGGGTGTATGGCAGCGCAAGTGGGGTTCAGAGATTTCGGGCTAACGCCCTAGGAGAGCGAAAATCAACGTAACGGAAAGCACGGTGATCGGCGCAAATTTTGGAAGTCTGATTCCATTCCCGGTTCTTTCGCTTTATCGGGGGAGAAATGTTTTTGCAGTAATCTAGAAATGCCTAGTAACTTAATAGGAGGTATTTTCATAATGCTATCAGTAAAATACAACTATATTTTACTGCCAAAACTATCTAAAAACTGGAACATTTTTCAAAAAGTCGAAAATTTGGTCAAAACGGCCATTTTCGGTCGAAAAATCGATAAACCTGTATTTTTTGAAATTTGTAAAATCGTTTAGGAAAAAATTCTCCCCCCCCCCCTCTCCCAATAACGCGAAAGAACCTCGGTTTCACACGCCAAAAAATACCTTGTGGATGCTGTCGTCATCAGCGCCGACGGTAATCTCCACGCTGGCTGCTTCAATATTCTCGCCGACGACGTGCGTGTAGGAGGCTCGCTCCATGGCTCGCCCGATCGCTTGACTGTCCAGGTGGTAGAAAAGTGTTCGCATCCGACTGAAGAGCGAGCGGGTTTATCGAGTAGATTTACAAGCTGAGAACGTTGCGGAGAACATGAGGAAAAAATATTTTACAAAGTTTCAATGCCATTTTTAAGCATCGGAAAGTTAAACGGCAATTTCGACTGCAGAGCTGAGGACTTGATCAAGGGGTTTTCCAGCTTGAGAATGTCGCACAGAACAAGAAGAACGTAGATAGAAAATGGCGTCGCCGTTTTCAGGCTTTTCCAAAAGCAAATCCATGGTTTTACTGGTCGACAACTATGTGGAAAAGAAGATAAACAAATCTGAAAATTAACTCAGAAAAGTAAAAAATCAATTTCCCTATTTCAATCGGCTTTAAAAACTGACAATGCTCAAAGAAAGGACTCGCAAAGGGCAACCTCTCATTGTAACAAGGCATTGCAAGAAAGACAGCGCATTTAGCTTCAATCAAAAGGGCCCGGGCGGGCGCAGGGAAATTGAACGCTGAAGAGGCCGCGAGGGGCCGCCGGGGCCCCGAAATGTGAGATTGCGGCGTCGGATTCGGGGCGCCGGGGTTAATTTTTCAGGGCGGGCAGGCGACGTCGAGAAATGCAAGGGTTCTCGCAATTTTTGGATGAGCAGCTAGGATGAGTAATGACGTTTGGCGGTGGGAAAGTGGAAAGATCTTGCGTGGCGCTTCAAAAAATCGCCAAAATTGAGGGGCTTTGAAGAAAAACCAAGAAAATCTGCGTTTGTTTTTCATCGAAAAGCTCAAAAGTACCACGAAATACACCAAAAGCATCGCGTTTTGAAGTTTATTAGAAACGTATAAATAAAGAAGTAAAATTTCGGGCTTATAGACGAAACAGTTCAGAATATATTTTCGGTATCTGGGTCTCAAAAGAGCGCAATTTTTTGGTAGAACATTTTAAGCTACTTTGTTTTTTCGATTTTTCTATTTGACCGAGCTTTTCAGTAACTCAAAGGATATCGGCGTTTTTTCCGCCAAGAAACAACGAATTACACCGCTTGTGGACAGTTGCACGTACATAGACGCGCGTCGTACTAATTTTCCGATTCGTACTGTTTACGTATTTATGCACCAAGGAATATAATGTAGTCCTTGCAAGGTGACATCGATAAAAACAAAATCAACCCAACTAACCGCAAGGTTTAGGGGCAAATTTTCGGGGGGCATGTGCGTGTTATGGCACATGTGTGGTCGTCGCGAGATAAACATTTTCAAAACGACTGACGGGGGCTCGATCATAGAAAAGAGGATGTCTAGATGTCGGCGGTGCCCTTTGAGAGCCTAAAAAACTCCTAAACATGCCAATTTTTGGGCGGGGAATCGGAAACGCGACGACGACATGCGAGCAAAAAACGGGCCGGGCACAGATTGGCTTGATAGAGGCCAAAGAACTCCATAGCGTTGAATCTTTGTAGTTTATAGTTCAAAATCGGAAGTGGATAAGTCGTAGACTATTAAAAGCGTATAACCGTATATTAAGGCCGCTAGTAAATTAGGTTTAAACGGACCGGGAAGGCTAGCAAAATCCATAGTCCACCGCAGTATAGACAATTTAAAGCATGAATGATGATAAGTGATAAGCTTTTCGTGCCCAAAGCGGGAATTTGCGAATTCCAGTTTTAATTTGGAGTACAAGATTATTTTAGTATAAACGCATTCAGAAAATCAAAATTGAAACAGAAAAAAAACTCGAAAAAGATCAAAAGGGGCCTTAGAAACGAATTTCACTAGCCAAAACCTTTTGAAGCTGCATAGCTTTCGCTGGCGTAAAAATTGGGGGCCTTTTTTAGCCTGGCTTTATGGAATTAAGGTACGAGTTGAGTAAGAAAAGCGTAGAAACAAAACCTTGCACCCGAAAAAACTAGTTGTTATTCGACCCGGGTCGAAATGGTCGAAACTTTTGTAGGCTCCCGCAGCGAAAACTTTGTAAAATTCATAACTTTGTTCTAAAGTAGAATTCCGCTATTTCGTCTTCATTTTTGATTCTGTGAGATCATTTCTACATTTTGAGTCCATAAACTATAAGTTTTATGCTAGAATCATAAAGAACGGCCTGTTTGCCTTGTTCCGCGCGCGGCCATTTCTCGGAACCACTTCCCCCTGCCATGGTGTGCCGTTCTTTGTGATTCTGGCATGAAAACTTATACAGGGTGTCCCAAAAAAAAACCCAAAACCCCCCCTCGGCATTTGGCCGTCTTCCATCCAATCGGGACCAAATTTTTACCAGTGATGAGGACCCATAAAAACTATGTGCAGCCGAATTGTGCAGCCGAATTTTCTAAGCAAAATATTGTAAAACAAAAAAGATATATCAAAATTAAGGTTTATTTTGCCGATTTCACTAGGATTTTGAAGGATTTCGGCCTCGAAATGTTTAGCAAAAATGAAGGGGACGCTCTTTTCTACCTGTAGAAATTTTTTAATTACGAAAATTACGTCTAAATTGTGCCTTTTGATCACTTTTTATTATCGAAATTGCCAGAAACTGACCGAGAAATGACCATTTTTGGAAAATTACTCAAAATCCGCATGCTAATTGCGAAAACATAGCCAAAAACGAGTACCAGCATTTTCCAAAAATCAGTTTTTTAGCGATAACTTTTTGGTTTTACAATATTTTGCTTAGAAAATTCGGCTGCACATAGTGTTTATGGGTCCCCATCACTGGTAAAAATTCGGCCCCGAGCCGATAGAAGACGGCCAAATGCCGAGGGGGGTTTGGGACACCCTGTAGTTTAAGGACTCAAAATGTAGGAAATGATCTAACAGAATCAAAAATGAAGACGAAATCGCGGAATTCTACTTTAGGAAAAAGTTATGAATTTTACAAAGTTTTCGCTGCGGGAGCCTACAAAAATTTCGACGATTTCGACCCGGGTCGAATAACAACTCTAGAAAAATCCAATCCCACTTAACTTTGGCCTAAAAAATTGTATTACTTTTTATAACCTATTTTAATTGCATAAAAGCACTAGTTTCTGTCGTAAGCGCTTAAAATGAAAAAATCAAATCAAAAGAAAACACGGAAAAGCCCGGCCGAAGTGGCCGACTGTGGCTGTGGGGGCAGGGGAGATATTGTTCGCCGCCGCGTCAGCTTGTTTACGGGTGAGCCATGGCCGGGCGGCGAGGGAGCGGGCCAAGGCGAGAGCCCCCCGAGACGGCAATGACAAGTTATTTGTCGCGAAAGTGCATGTGTACGCGCCGATTCCCGCTTACATTTCCCTCTCCCTGGCGACGACGACGACCGGCTGTGCTGTGGGTGCAGAAAACAAAAATTTGGTCGCGGCGTGTGTCCGGGGGGTGGGACAAACACCTTTTGGGTTTTGGTGAGGCGAGTGAGAGAGAGAGAGAGAGAGAGAGAGAGAGAGAGAGAGGCAGAGACAGAGGGAGAGAGAGGGAGAGAGAGGGAGAGAAACTGAAAATACAGACAGTCAACAGCTTCCAGACTAGCAGTACCCTTGCGTTCCACGGACCCGAATTGATATCTTCGTTGACTCGTACTTGGCGTCCACCACCCGATATCACCCACCAAAAACAAAGATCTCGCATTGCAATGTTGGCTAAACTAACGGATTGCAAAACTGGATTTATTTAAGTAAGTTAATTTAACAGGTTCTTTCGCGTTATCGGGGGGGGCGCGATTTTTCTCTTCGATAGGCCGAGAAATGCCTATTAACGTAATAGTAACTATATTAATCGTGTATTTTGTAAATTATAAAAATATTTCAACTGGAAAACCATCTCAAAAACCTTCTAAAACTCAAAAATTTCAAAAACTATGTAAAAAACTCGAATTTTTGGTCGAAAATCAACCATTTTGGTCAAAAAATAGCTTTTTCGTTTTTTTTTAGCAAAAATTAGGAAAGTTTTCAAGTTTAGCAATAGTAAAAACCGTTTAAATACACCTCCCCTTTTTGATCAGGATACAGATTTTAATTTTCAAATTAGTAAAAAAAACTGTAGAAACAGCCCTCGTCTGCCTTTCTACAACCGATTACGTCAGGAAATACAGAAAACGAGTGAAAGAAATCGGAAAAACAACAATGGAATAGCTTAGAGATTTCCACAGTATTTTGGTTACGATTTCGATATTTTGGACATTGGGTTCGCCGTCAAAATGCGAAAATCCGGGGACAGAATTGGCAAATCGGTGCGGGACCTGGGTTTGTTGTTCGGCCGAACGGCGGCCCATTCATTTTTTTGCCCTTTTTATGGCCCTCGGAGCCGGGCATAGTATTTGACAACCGGGGGATGGCCACGGAAAAAAAATTTGATATCAATATTTGCTTGGCGATCTCGGCGCTTGTACGATTAGATTTGAGGTGCGGCGTCCGAATTTCTGTCGCTCTCTCTCGCTCTCTCTCTTTCTCTCTCTCTCTCTCTCTCTCTCTCTCTCTCGTTCTTTCACACTTTTTAAGCGAATTTTCAAGCAATAAACGCCCACCTCCACCGCCTCCTCGGCAATGTCGATAGGCGCGGAGCGTAGCCCGTACTCGTCGTCCTCGTTCAGCAGGTCGTTCAGCCGCATCGACCCGTTGAAGCTCAGACGGCTAAATTAAATGTTGTTAATAAAAACAGATTATTGCCAAAACCATCTTTATCTCGTAAAAACTGACCCAGTCGAGCCGAGCGAAAATCGCGACGACGACGACGAGTTGCTCCTCTGGCGTTCCCCGCCCTTTTCTACCATGGCTGAAATAAAATTTAGCAAAAAAAATAGGGACAATAAGTAATAAAACTAAAGAGAAAGTGCACTACGAATCGGAACTATTTTTTGAAACTCGGGGAAAAATTGCCCGCAAAAAATCAATCACGAAAAGCTCCCCAGAAAGTCGCACGCGCGTCAAAACATTCCGATTTTTTTTAACGGGCAGGCTAGCAGAGATCATTTGGGAATGGAAGGGGCAGGCTAGCAGAGATCATTTGGGAATGGAAGGGGCAGGCTAGCAGAGATCATTTGGGAATGGAAGGGGCAGGCTAGCAGAGATCATTTGGGAATGGAAGGGGCAGGCTAGCAGAGATCATTTGGGAATGGAAGGGGCAGGCTAGCAGAGATCATTTGGGAATGGAAGGGGCAGGCTAGCAGAGATCATTTGGGAATGGAAGGGGCAGGCTAGCAGAGATCATTTGGGAATGGAAGGGGCAGGTTAGCAGAGATCATTTGGGAATGGAAGGGGCAGGCTAGCAGAGATCATTTGGGAATGGAAGGGGCAGGCTAGCAGAGATCATTTGGGAATGGAAGGGGCAGGCTAGCAGAGATCATTTGGGAATGGAAGGGGCAGGCTAGCAGAGATCATTTAGGAAAAAGATACCGTAGCCTCGCGTGCTGATTTAAATAATTTTACAGAAAAAAAACAACGAAAAACCATATTTTTAGAAGTTTGATCGCAGTGTCCAAGGATGGGCCCAAAAGAGAATGATGGCCTGGGGGCACATAGATGGAAAAACGAGGGACAACAAACAACGATCGATGGACGGGGAATAGACCTCAAGGGGGAGAGAGACCTAGCAAAAAAGGTCGGCTGCTGGACACTACGGCCCATTTTTGGGCTCGCCCAAGGGAGTGTGCGCGGGGAAGACAGCGAGAGATAGAGCTAGAGAGAGAGAGCGAGAGAGAGATAGAGAGAGAGAGGTGGGACAGACAGACAGACAAAAGAAAAGGGCATTTGCCCTCGGGCCATTCTCCCGCGCTGGGTGGTAAACAACCACCCCCCCGGCCATGGCCCTTGTTTTCTGGTGCCCAACTAAATTTTCGCGTCGCACCGGGGGCTCAAAAGTTACGCGCTACAAGATGTAGTTAACAGTATGGGAAATTCAGGTTTTTAAAGGGACTTGGAAGCCCGAAAATTACGCAATCACACACACGCAAAGCCAGTGAAAAATACCGACAATCAAAAGCTGGGCAAGCCGAAATGCCGAGAGGCAAAGGCTTCGAATGTTGAAATACCGACAGACCGAAATCCCGAGAATTCAACATCTCGAAATTCAAAATCAATCGACAGAGAACGAGAGAGAGAGGGAGAGAGGGAGAGAGGGAGAGAGAGGGAGAGAGATAGCGACAAAGAAACAGACAATGACTCAAACAGTCTCCATGTTATTAGGTTCCTCGCGTAGCCCACGAATTCCGGGGGGAAGAGTATGTCAAGGACCAGGGCCGGATGGTGGGAGGGGTAATTTCGAGGCGAACACGGTGAGAGAGAGGGGCAATATGCAAAAGTGCACACGCGCGTCGAGGGGGATTAACCCCTCGCCAAAATTCAACAACAGATTTTCCACAAAATTCGACATGCGCTTTTCCGGAAGGCCGGGAAAAATACACTCAATTTGGGCGCTAAAAATTCGGAAATAAAATCCGGGATTAAAATACGATATGGAATTCGATAACGCTTTGCTCAGGCTTAAGCTTAGGCTTAGACTTAGGCTTTGCTTAGGCATAAGCGTAAGCTAGGGCTTAGGCGTAGGCTTGACTTCGGCTTGGCTTACTTACTTGGCTTACTTACTTAGTTGGACTTGGGCTTGTTAGCTTGGGCCCAGATATAGGCTTAGGCTTAGGCTAATGCTTAGGCTTAGGCTTAGGTTTAGGCTTAGCATTAGGCTTAGGCTTAGGCTTAGGCTTGGGCTTGGGCTGAGGCTTAGGCTTAGGCTTAGACCCTGGCTTCGTCTTAGGATTAGACTTTGGCTTAGGCTTGGTTAGCTTAGAGACATGGCTTATGCTTCAATTTCGGCGTATTCAAAAGCCTAAGCCTAGGCCCATGTTTGTAGTTAACAGCTTCAAGCCCAATTTTTCTGGTTTACTCCTATTTTAACGACTTAAACGTACTGTTGTTCTTGCTCGCCAGCGCGAGAGCTATATTTTGATGTATTGTAGAGACTGTGGGTCTCAGGGGAGCAGAAACACAGTAATCCTACTGTAACCTGGGGCGATGAAGAGGGGGATTTTCCCCACGGCAAAGTTCGTATGAAAAGTATTTATCGGCTTTTGATAAATCGTAGTTCCGGAGGGTGTGAAAAAATGAGCATTTTTGTATCTTTGTTGCTTTAATCGAACATATAAATATTTATCATTTTTTACCGTACGTCACGATGGGCGTACGCTACGCGTGGCAACTCTGTGCAAAACGGGAGGCAACATCACAATCGGCAACAACAAAAAAGCTATAAAAATATATTATTCAGGTACCCGATGGGAGGATGGGGATGAGGAAATCGATGCTTTTTTCACAGGGGCGAGGCACGAATTGAGATCTCCAGCTGTGGCCGAGGGTTTTTGGCAGGTGGCAGCAGAAGGTCACTAAACGAATAGAATTATTATAAGCTACTTTTAAAGGGACTAAAATCGACCCTTTCCCGTGACTAGATCTAGATAGCTACGCGACACGTCAAAACATTCGCAAAACGGAAAGGGCTGTTCCGACGCTCCAATTAGCTCTTGCTAGCCTGCACCATGCCATTCCGAAATGATCTCTGTTAGCCTGCCCCTTCCATTCCCAAATGATCTCTGCTAGCCTGCCCCTTCCATTCCCAAATGATCTCTGCTAGCCTGCCCCTTCCATTCCCAAATGATCTCTGCTAGCCTGCCCCTTCCATTCCCAAATGATCTCTGCTAGCCTGCCCCCACTTACTCTGTCCTTCTTGGTGACGTTGGTAAGCGGCCGAGGGAAGATGAGCCACATCGTGTACGCGTACACACCCACGACGAAGTTGAACACCATAAAGGCGGAGAGATAGGGCAACGACTCCGCCAATTCCATTTTTGCTTAAATAAAATTGTTGATAGAGAGTAAGAGAGAGAGCGAGAGAGACAGAGAGCGAGAGAGAGAGAGAGAGAGAGAGAGAGAGAGAGAGATACACCACAGCCAAAAGCTAATTAGAAAAGTGGGGCCTCAAAAATGCTTGGCATGCCAGAGGAATTTTTGTTTATCAAGGAGGGGCTTAGCGGCTGAGGAAGAGGGCAGGGTGGTCGAGGAGACAAAATAATTGGCTTAGCCGGTGGGAGGAAATGCGTTATTTTCGGCGGCAAAAAGGGAGTTTTGCCACTTGCCACGATAAAAGCGTGGTAATCGCGTGAGAAGAGAGAGACAGAGAGAAAGCGAGAGAGAGCGAGAGAGAGAGAGAGAGAGAGAAGGAGAGAGAGGGAAAGTTTCGAAAATCCAGTTCGATCAGCTGATCTCGCAGTTGGCGAAAGTTTGTTTTCCACTTTTTTGAACGATTTTGTCATAAATCCGATTCAAGAGAGCGAGAGAGAGACAGGGAGGGAGAGAGCGCAAAAGAGAGAGGGAGATACAGACAGATAGGGAAAAGTTAGAAAGACGAAAAAACAGAATACAAACGAAAAATCATTTCGGAAGCAAAAATCGTTCGCCGGGGAAGTTCAGGTGAAGCATCATTTCGCCGGCCAGCGCATCGCCCGTCATTTGGCGTGTAGCGGAGCGGGGGGGGGGCGAATGATTCAAACGAGATGCAAATACTCGGCCGGACAGTTCGGCTGGGTCTCGCTGGGGAAAGGGGGACTGTGCAAACAGTGCAGCCCTGTTTACGAAAACAGCCAGGTGGATAAGGGCAGTTGGAACTGGGCAGGCTAGCAGTGATGCTATGGGAAATTGTTGAAAATTGCGGAGTGAGGCGTGGCTCGGGCTTGCCTTAGGCTTAAGCTTAGGCTTGGCTTAGGCTTGGGCTTGGCCTGGTCTTGAAAAGGACGGAGAGTGAGCGAAAGAGGGAGACAGAGCAATGCAGAGAGAGAGAGAGAGAGAGAGAGAGAGAGGGAGACAGCGAACAATAAAACCGAGAAATCTACAACTTAATAGCTGGGTTAAATCCCAAAAGATCTCTGCTAGCTGGCGGCTTCGCGGTCGGGCGGTTGAGGGTAAATGGGGGGCCATCTGGGTGAGAGGCAGGTTTTTATTGTCCTTCTTCCTGTCCCACCCAGAGAACATAATTGACCTCAAGCTGTGAGGCATCGAGGATTTGGGCCTCCCCCTCGCCTGCCCATTTTATGGGCCGCATTTCCGCTGTATATTGGCTTTGGTCGGGCAGGCTAGCAGAGATCATTTGGGAATGGAAGGGACAGGCTAGCAGAGATCATTTGGGAATGGAAGGGGGCAGGCTAGCAGAGATCATTTGGGAATGGAAGGGGCAGGCTAGCAGAGATCATTTGGGAATGGAAGGGGCAGGATAGCAGAGATCATTTGGGAATGGAAGGGGCAGGCTAGCAGAGATCATTTGGGAATGGAAGGGGCAGGATAGCAGAGATCATTTGGGAATGGAAGGGGCAGGCTAGCAGAGATCATTTGGGAATGGAAGGGGCAGGATAGCAGAGATCATTTGGGAATGGAAGGGGCCACGGGGAAGCAGCCTATCTATACCTGAAGCTGATTTTGGCAACTGCAATGCCCCGGAATGGCGTCACTCCCCATCCAACGGGACCGATAAGGGGCAGGTGGGAAATTCTTGGTCCCGCCCCAAAAATATTATAAAAATCATTGGAGGGTTCTTAGAAGCGAAAGAAAGAGAGAGGCAGAAAGCGAGAGCGAGAGAGATACAGAATGAGATAGAGACAGAATGCGAGAGAGAGAGACAGCGAGAGAGAGAAACTCACAAAACCGTGGAGACAACACCCTCATTTTGCAATGGCTGCCGCGTAAAAACGGTGGGAAACGGGCAAACACTTCAAAACGGTGTTGCGTGGGTCACTGTATCGAGGGGGGGTTGGGCATTGAGAAAAATGATAGTCGCGTTTCCTAAAAAAATGGCCAGAAAGCGGTTCTCAACACCAAATTCGGAAAAATTTTTATTGGGTGAAATTGGCAAAAATCGACCCGTTGTCTCGCCTAGATCTCGACAGCTACGCGGCACACCAATTGACGCTACGTTACGCCACGCTACTCCATGTTACGGTGAGCTACTTTTGACAGGTTCCAGCGACGGAAGGATCGCGGGGACCTCAATTTGTAGCTAAATGATACACGGTCGGGGGCCGAGACCCTGTCGTCCCATTTCCACATTCGCTCGCCTACTCCCCGCTAAAAAAAACAAACAAACAAAGAGGAAATCGGAGCTGGGTGTGAGAAACGGGGGCCGCCGCGGGACCCCAGCGGGATAGCGTGCAAATTTTTCTAGCTTCTCGATTGCTATAGATGGAGGTCAACGGAAGCCGCAGCGCGCAACGCGGTGCGGTAGCGCGTGAGGGGAAATAGTCGCAAAATGATGGGAAAATTATGCATTAAGCGGCGCCGCGACGCGCGTAAGAGGTGCGTTGCCTTTAAGGCGAAATCGCGAAGGAGAGAAAAAGAAGGCGTGAGAGAGAGAGCGAGAGCGAGAGAGAGCGATATTGAGAGAGAGAGAGCGAGAGAGAGCGATATTGAGAGAGAGAGAGCGAGAGAGAAGGAGAGAGAGACAAAAAGAGGGAGAGAATGGGCGCGAGAGAGAGAATGAGAGAGAGAGCGAGAGAGAGCTATATTGAGAGAGAGCGAAAGCAAGGAGAGAAAGAGACAGAGAGAGGGAGAGAATCGGCGCGAGAGAGAGAGAGAATGAGAGAGAGAGACCGCGTACGCTAAATAAAATTTCAAGCGTACAACAACCTCGCCAGCGCCCTAATTCGGGTGGAAACCCCCGACAACGAAGGAGAATCCATAAACGGGAAGATAGAATGGTGGGGAGCAGCATGCAAAAATGAGCCTTGCCCGTGACGCACAAATTTCGCTGACTCCGGGATTATCCCGAGCCGAAGGGCTTCTGCCGCGACATCGCCGTGCAAAAACAGGCCTACGAAATGGATAGTAGAAATAAGTTTATTTAAGCAATTGTAAGCAATTTGTGGACCGTAAAAACTACTTTTTATTTCAATAAAATGTTGTAATAAAATTCGTTGAAATTCCCTTAACCTAAAATTTTGCAAAATGTTGATCCGGCTGCCATACTGAAAGCGGCGCGCGTGACAGGGCGAGCGCTACTTGAGTATTCTAATGAATTCGGGGTCTCGCTCTCCCGCTCTCTATGTCTCTCTCTCTCTCTCTCTCTCTCTCTCTCTCTTGCCCCTCCCTCATCTCCTTAGAAAGCCCCTTTGAAAGTTGTGGAATATTCAATGGGCCAAGTGGCCAGGTGCTGAGGCGACTGGCAGGCCCCCTTCTGGCTGCCTAGGGTACCAAAAGGGAAAGCTGACCGGAAATGAGGGCCTTGGGTCGCTTCCGCAAATTATCTCTGCTCGATTGCCCCGTGGGAGGGGGCAGGCTAGCAGAGATCATTTGGGAATGGAAGGGGCAGGCTAGCAGAGATCATTTGGGAATGGAAGGGGCAGGCTAGCAGAGATCATTTGGGAATGGAAGGGGCAGGCTAGCAGAGATCATTTGGGAATGGAAGGGGCAGGCTAGCAGAGATCATTTGGGAATGGAAGGGGCAGGCTAGCAGAGATCATTTGGGCAGTTAGCAGCTTCGGAATCGCCACTACCCAAGATACAATAAATTGGGCTGCTTAGCGGCGCCATGGCGGTGTTGTTAGGAATTGAAGGGGAAGTTGAACGCGTAGAGATGGTGGTGGTGGGCCAAGGGAAGCGAGGGGAAATCGCAAATTGCGTTACATCTCCTCCTCCTCCACCCGGGGGCCACTCCTCCGGAAGCGCACACGCCTTCACGACTGCCCAAAAGCTGCCGCCCCACCCCCCGGAAGGCATTGGGGGGTCGACGTGGGGAAGAGAAGTGTTCCTAAAGGCCATTTTTACCTCAATGTCTAGGCGATCTTGGCCTTAGCGCTCCAGCAGAGTTTATTGATGACCTCTGGTTAGAATCAGTAGGCGATAGCCGTTCCAAAAGAATCCTTTCGAAAAATTTCTCTTCGAAAACTTGGTTCTTTCGCATTGTCGGGCATTTCGCATTTGTTTAGAAGCCTAAAAATGGCTAGTGAGGTCAAAGGAAGTAGCTTAATAATGTTTTTAGCAGAATATAACTATATTTAAACTAGAAAAACTAACTGAAACCTTTGAAAAAATAATTTGTTCGAAAATCGCTCTCTTTCGTTCTATTTGTGGGTATTTTTTAGCCTAAACTGGCAAAGTTTTACGTTAAGGAACCGCAAAATACAGCTTAGAAACAGTTCTGCTATTTATATTTGAAAAATTCGATCCAGAGGAAAAGTTCTGCCCCCGAGAATGCGAAAGATCCGACAAACTTACACCTTGGCGGCCTTTCCTGTGTAGTCGTCAATTTTCAAGAATTTTGCCCTCATTTTTTTCTAGGGCATACCATGGAGTTCTGTAAAAAATAGAGAAAAGGCCCTCTATTTTTTTCTCTATTAGAGTCCAAAATCCGATTCTGCCCCCCGCTAATGCACAAGCGCCAAAAATGTATATATTCTGTTTATTCCCCGCAAAGATTGATCATCACACCAGAAAGAGCGTTGAAATAAGGTAACAAAGACTGCTCGCCGTAGAGTGGGAATGGGTGGGCGAGAGACGAGATCCGAAATGTAATAGGACACATAACACAAATTGTATAGATTGAGAAAGGAGAGCTACAGGAGTCAAGATCGCTATAAACAATTCAAAAAGGAGGGATAAGTGAGGATAGGGAGGGGGCTCTAACTGCGCGGTTCCACCTTGACCGTCCGGCTCTGCTGCTTCATGCGCTTCTTGTAGACGTCTCCCTCGTCGTCCGAGTCGCTGCCGGCGCCGCCCCGGATGCGCCGTCGAGAGAGTTGCTGGCGCAGCACCTGAAAACGAATTTTTGAAAGAAGAAAACGAAAATTCTGTAGTTTTTAACTTATGCTCCTTCAAATCGAGTGTTTCGAAAAACCGGGGTTTGTTAAAGTTATATTTTTTGTAAAAATCTGGAAAATTTAGATTTGTAAAAACTCTATACTTTCAGCAAAAAAATTCCAAAAATATAGACCTTTCGCCCAAAAATGGCCTCTCAAAAAATAGATAAATTTGAAGATCGAAATTACCACGTGCGGATCCTGGGTGGTGTTGAGCAGGAGCTGGAGCTCTTTTCTGGCTTCTTCCGTCCTCAACGAGCCGTGCCGCTCCGTCACTTCGATTACCGTATCCAAGTCGACGCCGGGCACTGAAATTGGATTTGTAAAACGGAAAATATCAGAAAGTAAAAAAGAAGGTAGATCTATCAAATTGAGACGAGAAGCGACAGAGAGAAAGAGAGAGAGAGAGAGAGAGAGAGAGAGAGAGAGTGAGAGAGATAGAAAGTACCTTTCTTTTGTTCATAGCCAATCAACCGGTCGAACAGCTGGTCGATGTCGACGAACGGCCCATAGTAGGTCCACGGGGGCGGCAGAATTTGGAGCAGCGACTGGACGGAGGGCGGCGGGGCGAACACGCCTCCCGGGTACGTCTGGATGAGGGCCGTGCTGGCGGCTTTCGGCTTGAACGGGATCATCTGGTCCGTGTCCGGGGCGGGGTACCTAAAAAACAATGGATCCCTTTCTCTCCTCTTTTTTCCACGAATTAATTTTTGCTAACATAAATAGCAAAAATGTTGTTAAATTACTTTTGACTACTCCAAAACGTAAAACCTTCACAATTTTTTTTAAATACAAAAATATGGATATGAAAATTTTTTCAAAGTTTTGCTAGTTGAAATATAGTTTTCTTTTGCTAAAAAGATTATCAAAACCTTTCTTTCTAAGTTACAAGAGATTTCTAAACTTTTACAAAAAGGTTCGCCCCCGATAATGTGAAAGAACCAAGCCTGGAAATAAATAATTTTCCGAGAAAATTAGCTTAGGTAAATCTCGACATTATGAATTTCGACATTATGATTGTCGACATTTTGCAAGAAACCGGTTCAAATAAGATACAACCCTTGTAACAACGAACCGTCCCATGTCGAGCTTCGTGGTCGGTGTGGCCGCCGGTGCTCCGTTTGATGCTCCTCCCATCACGGCGCTGGCGGCTACCGGCTGCGACATTGGCCGCTGCAGCGAGCTGCTGGCCATCGTGTGCGCGAGAAGGAGTGGCGATTTCTAAACAAGGTTTTCTTGAAAGATGATTTTCAAATCAAGACGAGCTTCTTTAGGATTCGCGGGGGGACCAATTTTTTTTCCTCGCGGTTCCGGTTGGCCTAGCCATCAAATATAAAGTTTTTCAAGTTTTAACTATAATTAAACTAGAAATACGGCTTTAAGAAAGTTAGAAAAATGATTGAAAAAGTCGAAAATTGTCGTCATTTTGGCTCGAAAAAATAATTTTTCGACCTAAAATTAAATTTTTAATGAAAATTTATATGCGTTTTAAAAGGCCGTTTGCGAGCCAACCGAACAGAGGCTGGCACAGCATTTTTTCGATCCGGTTTTTTCGACGTCATGTGAAAGAGCATGGTCGAATTAGTAGGACTGCATGGTTTTTAGATTTTTAAAAGTTCATTTTTGGGGTTTAAATGACCGTTAAAGTCGTTCACCCCAAAAAATTATCTTTGAAGTTACTCAACCAAATTTGCTGAAAATTTGTGTCCATACCTAATTTGGCGCGGGGATCATTTTTCTAATACATTGCTAAGCCCGAAAATCACCGGAACATAGGAATCTCGCGTACTCAAAACAATTTTTCAAAATTTTCTATTTTTTAGAGTGTTGCCTGTAACGTGAAAATAACATAGAAAGATGCGCAAAAATTTTTTTGCATCAAGTGTTGTATTTTCTAGAGTGCAGTGAACACTCTAAAAACTACAAAAACGGCCTTGATTCCAGCCAAAAATAAAAAATTTGATCAGGTTTGGAGGGAAAAGCATAGATTTGTATCTACTGCCCAAATCACGGCGAATGCAAAAAAGAGCAAAAAGAAATTCGGCTTCTAAGAGGGGGCTGGAATTGAACTCGGGTCGTTCGCCTGGGAGGCGGCGGCGCCCTCTAGTGGTTGTCCCCAGAGCCCCCCAGGCGAGCCATCGCGAGTTCGATTCCAGTAACTCGTTAGATTCTCTTAGAAAAGGAATTTATTTTTCCGATTTTTTGTATTAGGTCGGGAATTATCTCAAGAAGGCATGCACGAGTCTGTTTTCTAGAATACGCAGGCGTCTTCGACGTACAGGGCTACTTTCACATTTAAGAAACTGTTATTTTTGCAGTTTTTAGAGTGTTGACTGCACTCTAGAAAATACAACACTTGATGCAGAAAATTTTTGCGCATCTTTCTATGTTATTTTCACGTTACAGGTAACACTCTAAAAAATAGAAAATTTTGAAAAATTGTTTTGAGTACGCGAGATTCCTATGTTCCGGTGATTTTCGGGCTTAGCAATGTATTAGAAAAATGATCCCCGCGCCAAATTAGGTATGGACACAAATTTTCAGCAAATTTGGTTGAGTAACTTCAAAGATAATTTTTTTGGGGTGAACGACTTTAACGGTCATTTAAACCCCAAAAATGAACTTTTAAAAATCTAAAAACCATGCAGTCCTACTAATTCGACCATGCTCTTTCACATGGCGTCGAAAAAAAAGGGTCGCAAAAAACTGTGCCAAGCCCTAAGGGGGTCTGTTCGAGTGACCCGCGGATGGCCTTTTAAGCTTAGGAATAGTTGAAAACAATTTAGAAACACATCCGCTATTCATAAAAAAAAATTGGTCCCCATCCTCGCGAATCCTAAAGAATCACGAAATTTTCTATTCTTCTGAAATTTCAAAAAAATTTCGCATACCTTGTATCCCATCAAGGCCAGCTGGTCGACGGAGCAGGGGTTGAGGTCGAGGAAGCGGTATCTAAACCCCGAATAGTCTTTTGCTTCTAATCAAACAAATACCTATCAATGAGCAGCAGCGTCTCAGATTCTTGTGCGTTTCGAGCTGCCCGTCGCCGGGTATCAACCTAAAAGTCCAAAATGGACCTAACAGCCCCAAAAATCCCCACCTTCAACGTGCCCGTCAAGTCGCCGACCAGCGACTCGAATTCGAGGTAGCGATCCCAGAGTTTCCTGCAAAAAATCATCGGGAATGAACCACATCCGCTCAAACGAACCAGCTCTTTTCGTCGACCAATTGGCCCGAGGTGAGCACCCGTTCAAAGATGACGCGAGTGTTGTTGTCTTCTGCAAAGAAAATCAGGGTCTATTAAATTGACACATACCGTTCAAATGCGTCAAGAAATCGGCGTAGGCTAGGCAGAACTCGGGCTCGTCGGCGTACTTCTTCAGGCCAAGGTCGAAGATCTTCATCGCCACTTCTTTGTCCTAAAAAATAATTTTTTTTTACAGAATACCCTTGAAACTTCTAAAATAAGCCCCCGTAAAGCCCGTAAGTACGCAAATTTCTCGATTTACCTAAGTTTTAAGAACGTTAAAAAAGGTATGAGCGTGACTTCCAAAAAAATTTTGCAGAAATGCCTAGTAACGTAATATAAATTATTTTAATCGTGTTTTCAGTAAAATTTAATTGTATTTGAAGCGAAAACACCAAATCAACTCGAAAAAATTGTATGTGAAATTTTGGTCAAAATCGACCATTTTGGCCCAAAATCGATATTTTTGTGGTTTTTCAATTAAAATTTGTCAGTTTTTACGTTGAATAGTAAAAACGAATAGTAAAAACCCGTTCAAAACCACTTACGCTATTCAAATTTGAAAATTAAGGTTTTCCGAAAAAGTTGAGATAATGCGGAAAATTTTGATAGTTTTGTGATCATGTTTTTCTGATGTTTTTTCGATACCTTTGAGCAATAGTATTCGAACAGCGCCGACGCGACGTAGATGTGAAAGCCGGAGCGCTCGTCCTTGCGGGCCCGCGTAAAAATGAGCCGCATCGACTTGATGCCCTCCGTCCGGCGCACCATTTTCATCATTTGGATGTAGGTCTAGAAAAAATCTATGCATAGATTCATTTATGCCTACCAGCGTTGGATTGAGGTTCTGCTGTTCCAGCAACCGATTGTAGATTTCCTTGGCCTCGCTGAACTGCATTTTCTCCTCCTAAAAAATTCGTTCAAGGATTGCCTTTCTAAAAATACCAGATAATCTGCGTATGCAAAATAGAGCAGCTGTGTTTCCCGCTGGAGACCGCCCTCGCCAATGGCTCGCTCGTAGAGTTCTAACAGAAACAAATTTTATTAGGGGCCGGACTTTTAGCGGGGGATAAGAAAGTTGTAAAAACTTTTTTTTGATTTTGAAATCGAAATTCGAAAATTTGACGTTTTTAAGCCATTTTTCATAATTTTACCTAATAATTCAAAAAACGTATAATTTTGTTATACTGTTTTTATGCCTAAAAAACTATGAAAAACTATAAAACTGGCCATATTTCGTCGAGGTACCTCTCTCAGATTACTGGAAAAAATTTGGTCCCCCCGCTAACAGTCCAGAACATTTTTTACACGAAAAAGCGTACTCGTAATATCTTCGCTCATCGCTTGCGCGCTCTTGACGTCCCCCTTCTCCTCCAGGGCCTTGGCTGTTTTCTGCATGAACTGCGCGCACTCATACCTAAAAACAATTGATACAAAACGCCACTAAAAACCGACCAGATATCCGGGTAGAAGCCGAGTGAGAGTAGGGCCTCCTCGTAGGCGTAGATTACTGCAAAAAGTGTGGTTACACCTGGCTTAAATTCGGCGGTGCTTTTGCAGTATCGGGGGCGAGGGGTGGGGGCAACTTTTCCACTAGATTAAGAAAAGTGAAAGTGATAGTATTCCCGTAGTAGCAAGTATTTTAAATTAAATTTCAATAAAATTTAACTATATTCAAGTGGAAAAAAAGCAAAATAAAATCAGAAGACATATCTTGTCGAAATTTTGGCGAAAAACCGCCATTTTAGGTCGAAAAATCGATAGCTTTGTAATTTTTTGTAGAATTTGTAAAGCTTTTACGCGTAGGACAAGCGAAAAACCACTGAGAAACGCTTTGGCGATTTAAATTTGAAATTTTGGATCCTTAGAACAAAAATTTGATGCCCCCTTCCCCTCCCCCCGCTAATGCGAAAGAACCAATCCGTTTTTCACCGTTTTCCGGCCCAAAAACCAGCGAATATACTTGATCTAGAACACGAAAAGCGCTGGTTTCTCGCCGTTTCATGAGATTTTGAAAGACCTCTAAATCATGAAAACAGGACCTTGCTACGGACCGCGGGCGAGGGATACTTTTTTGCGCTCCCGTAGCCGTTACTTCTTTAACAAGCGCACCTCTACGCGAAAATGCCGCGTACTCCTCGGTCTCGGTGGGGTTCTCCTTCTCCCAGGCGATGTACTTCTTCCACAGCTCCACCTGCTTCAGCTCGGCCACTGTTCCGCGCGCGGGCACGCTGACCGCCTGGCGATTCAGCCCGCGGCACACCGTCTCCATTGAGCGGGCCACGCGTCGGGATGCCTAGAAAAGTGTGAATATCGCGCTAAGCGGCACGCACTTGATAGTCCTTGCTTTTCTCGGCGATCAACTTCTCGGCCAGCGTTGCGTTTATGCTCTAGAAAAAGAATTAATAACAAAATAAAATCGAAATTCTCTACCTTCTCGTAATTGCAATAGTCGCTCCAGAGCTGCTCGATGTTCAGCATCGGCACGGCGATCCCGCGCTGATAAACACGCCGCACCGCAGCGATCCGTTGATTTTCCGCGTATTGCCCGCTCGCGGGTCTGAAATGGACGTTTTAAAACCAGCGTCGCGCATCGCCTACACATTCTTCAGAAAATTGATGTAGTCGACGTAAACCGGGTAGATGTACAAGTCGAGTCCGACTTTCTCTAGCGCGAAATCGTACGCCTGCGCCATCTTCTCTCTAGAAATGATTAGATCAACAAGAAGTAAGGTTCGTACCGGAACGTCGTTAGCCTTCCCTTCGTTTCTTTCACGTAGAACAGGTAGGTCTTCCAGAGGTCGATGTTGAGAATCCGGACAAGGCATCGATTGAAGAGCTAAAAATCGGATGAGCTGCAGCAATAGCCAGAACTATACCTCCTCGACCTTCTCGAAGTTCTTCGCGCGAAACTAAAAACAAACATCTTGATAAGAGCGCCACGGTAGCCAAACCTCGTGCTCAATGTACGCCTTCCAGTACCGACCGGCGTTCGGGAATTGGGCCACGAGTTTGTCGTAGAACTCTCGGGCCTGCTCGATGGGGCGAGCCTATTCAGCAGAAAGTTCAAGAATTTAGCGACTGCTCACTTGATATTCTTTTATCAGCAATGTCCACGCATCGGCGTCGTAGGGATTCGCCTCAATCCGACGCTCCGGACTGATGGCCGATCCCGACATTGTCTAGAAGAACACCGTTAGCAATCTGCGGCAACGAAAGTTGGGAAGAAATTCGAAAGGAAGCGGCGGGCCTCAGCCGATATCCATGGCGTAACGCCGACGAGAGAGCACGCATCGCCAAAGGACCAGAGAAGCCATGGCAAACCCCTTCCAATCGTGCAAATCTGATGCCTACTTTCGTCCCAAACCCCTGTGAAATCTGTGGTCGAGGTGTGGCGCTTTTCAAATGGATGCACGGGTATAGTTCAACGATTTATTCCACAAAAACAACAATGAAAAATTTATTGTTCAACGGAGTCGTCAGAGTGCTTGCCCTTGAGGATTCCGGTGACGCGAGCTCTTCCTTCGGCTTTCCTCTCGATCAAGTTCTTGCGATCCTTGTCCAACTTCAGCTTGGTGATGGCGACCTGGAAAGAACATTTTAGAATTTTGTCAACAAATAATCTGACCCCATAAAAGGCATCAATTATCCATCACCGCCGATTCACGGCCGGATGTAGGTAAAACCACTATGAAAAGACTAATGATTTTCCACTCGACGTCGCGTAAAAGTTTAAAGAGTTTATTTAGCGTTCGCAAGATTCGGGAAGGACTTTCAATAAGATTTCCGAGTAGGAAGAACTAGGCTTGCCCATAACCCAACCGCCCTAAGCCTCAGCCACGTTGAGCCTAAACATAGGCTTATCCGCTCCCAACTACTCAGTGGTTAAAAGCCAGATTTTTAAGCCAACCCTCTTCGCGTATTATGTGTCATGAAAAGACATATTAGGGCAAAAAAGCACGTCGATAGACCGTTCTGCGCGATTCCGGATTAGCGGACCAAACTTTGATTCGGGGTGTTCCGCCTCAGCTGTTACACCGATCCACAGGCTATTTGATGAGCTGAGCTCCAGTTTTCGAGACTAAAGTCAACCGTGTATGTTGTTTTTTGGGCAAAGCGTCTGAAAACATCCAAGGATCGGCGGAAAATCTGCCGAAATCAAAGCGGATTCGTTAAACCGAAATAGCGCCGATTGTTGAAACTACCAGGCCAGCCTGACAACTACAAAAAATGGCAATGGTTGGCATCGGCAAAACGGATTGACGACACACGAAACTAAGAACGCAAAATACGCGAAGTTCCTCAATTTCAACGAAAAAATAATTACCTTCGACGGGTGGATTCCGATGTGGACCTGGGTGCCGTTCGCCTTCTCTCGTGTAATCTTGTCGATGTGCACCACGAACTTCTTGCGGTACACCCTCATGACGCGGCCATTGTTTCCCTTGTAATGTCCTCGCGTCACGGTGACCTCGTCATCGGTCCTGAAAAATGCAAATGTAACAGCCCTGGAAGCTATTCGCGACTAAGATATGGCACTAGACACGCCAAAATTCATGACTACGGGGAATAGGCAGACTAAAATAAATGTCACTTCCGCAACATCGATGGCTCGTGGCCAATCACATAGTACGAACGCCGCACATTTCCCTGCATCAGCAATATCAAAAGCAAGACGAACGGCGCTCGTGACAAAAAAAAGTATCAAACATACCTGATTGGGATGGCGCGGATTCCGTGCTTGGTGCGCAGCTCTTTTGTTAGGGGCGCCGACATCAACTTCCGGCGAATGTGCGATGGGGCGTTGAAGTGACGCTTGCGCGCCTTACCCGAGTCTGACGAAACGAACGGGTTGTGCTTCATTTTACCTGAAAATGGAAAATATGAACAGCGTCAAATGAAAATCAATCGCGAAAATGGAGTAGGTGGAGGGAAGAGCGAGAAATGCGTGAGATTTGTAAGAAAGGAAGCAATGCGGCTAGTTTTTAGTCAAAAACACGCCGACCACGAGCGTGAATTCCCCGGCGCGTAAAAATTTTTGCAAAAGCACCGAAATCTTTTCAGTTCTCCTTCCTGGGCAATTGGAGAATACGGTAGGAAAAAGCGGCGCTGTGGGACCAAGGGGCCTTTGTGCCGCACCAGGTAGCACTGGAATGCGTAGCTCCCCGTACCGATGACGCCCGGTAAATCGCCGATTCGAAAAAATATAAAAATTAGGGCTTGTTTATTTTATTCTACTAAACCGATTCTTTTTTTTGTTAGAAATACCTTGCCGGAAGTACGGAGTTTTTTCAGGACTTTACAATGAGACCCGATATCAAGGACCGGGACTACCTATATCGGCTCATTATCAGGTTTGTTTATTCAGTTCGCTTTTAAAATTCTTTTTTTCAGTCAACTCTTCTACGACGGCTATCAACAGCTCGCGCTCACGCTCTCCGAGAACATTGGCTGCTCGGCGAACCCGCCTGCGCCGTGCGACAAGCTGTTCCGGCTGATCTCGATCGCGAAGGAATTCGACGAGGCGGAACGGGATAAGGAGAATGGGATCCAGGTTTGTCCAGACCTATCCGATTTTTGCTATCTAGATATCTATCGAAAGTTCTCAGAAAGGCGAATCCGGCACGGTACTCCAATTTCGAAATTCCAACATTTTTTTGCTCGATTTTCAGCATTTTTCATGCAAAAAAACACCCCTTTTTGTCAAAACTCAATTTAGCCGGTCTAGGCGCCATCCAAGCAGTGTATTCGCAAGCGGGGCTGTTGGGCTGCTATGAAAGGCGTAAAAACGCTTAAATTCTGAGTTTTTTAAAACCCTTTGTCAGAAAAATATCAGAAAATGCGCCAGCTTCGCAAAAATACTATTAAATGCTAGAAAAACTTCAGAAATTTGAGAATCGGAGAGACTTTACCTTTCCGAGAGCTTTCGATAGATACCTAAATCGTAAAAATCGGACATATCTGCGGCCGGCTTGAGGGTGCGGGGTGTTTTTTTTCACCTTTGATATTTAGTTCGACTCGGTCTCTGCCGGCCTCGACCTCGAATTCGACGCCGACATCGTGCCGGAGGCACCCGAGCCGTGCATGTACGAGACGATCTATTTGACTTCGCACAAGGCGGCCGTCCGGTCCGCGGCTTTCAATAACGATGGCAAGTTCTAGACTCTGTAGATCATCTTCATCTATTTAGGCGCACTGTGCGCGACCGGCTCCGTCGACTGCTCGATCAAAATCATGGACGTGGAGCGGATGGTGACACGCGAGAATCGAGGGGAGAGCGTTGAGGGCGGGCCCGACGCTGCACATCCCGTCATTCGAACGCTCTACGACCATATTGACGTGGGTTTTGGGTCTAATTTTTCCTGGTAATCTAGTAATCAAATGTAAAGTGTTCTACATTGTTTTTAGCAAGTTTTATCTCTGTTTAAAGTAGCAAAACGTTTAAAAAAGGTTAGAAAAAAGCTAAAATTTTGAATATTTGGTTATTTGGGTAAAAAAAAAAGTTTTTCGAGGTACGATTAAATTGTGTAAAGTTTTTATGCTTAATTTTCCGTTTCTAGGAAGTGACCGCGATCGCCTTCCATTCTCGTGAGCAAATCCTGGTCTCTGGCTCCAAGGACATGACAGTGAAGCTGTTCGACTTCTCCAAGCAGGCCGTAAAGCGGGCAATGAAAACGATTTGCGTTGGTTGCGCGGATTTTCGCCTACACGATGGATTTTAGGAAGTTGCTCCAATTCGGTCAATTTCGATGCATCCCGGCGGCGACTATTTGCTGGTGACGACAGGTATTTTCGATTTTTGCTCTAAAATCCGGTTTAGATCAGCCCACGATTCGCCTGTACAACATCAACACGCAACAATGCTTTGTCAGCGCGCTGGCCTCGGATCAGCATAAAGACAGCGTAGTGGATGTACGTTTTCTTCCCATATTTGCCGGGAACGGCACGTTATCGGGAGGGAAAAGCGGATATTTTCCTATGAATCTTGAGATGTCTATTGTTTTGACCTACAGGGTGCCCCAAAAAAAAGTCCCCCCTTAGCGCTCCGCCGTGAGGTCCGATTTTTACGATTTAGGTATGTACCGAAAGCTCTAGATGAGCTGAGGAGATATGTTCTCTCCGATTTTTAAATTCCCGAATTTCTATAATATTTGCTAACATTTTTGCGACATTGGGCGAATTTTCGATGCTTTTTCGCATGCAAGTGTTTTTAACAAAACCCGATTTTCCGCATTTTTACACCAAAATTGCCTGGCAGCCAACGTCGGTTTTTTGAAAGGTATTTGACAAAACACGGCTTGGATCGGACTGAAGCCGATTAAATTGAGTTTTTTTGCGGACAATTGCATTATTTATGCCCAAAGACGATGAAAATCGGGTTAAAATCCGGGAATTTCACAAATCGGAGAAAAAAAAACATATCTCCTCAGCTCGTCGAGAGCTTTCGATAGATGCCTAAATCGGAAAAATTTGGCTTGTAAAAAAGACAATATATTTTTGAGATCTAGGTCAATTACTCGGAAAACGCTCGGCTGTACGTCACCGGGTCGCTTGATGGTGATGTAAAGGTATCTGGGTCATTATTAACTTTTTTCCAACCCACTTCACAGATCTGGGACGGCATCTCAAATCGCTGCGTCGAGACGTTCGCCCGAGCGCACGACGGTGTCCCGATTTGCAGCGCGAGGTTTACAAGGAACGGGAAGGTAAAGGATTTTTCTAAAAAAACGCTTCTCGTTTAGTACATTCTGTCGGCGGGCATGGACTCGATTGTGAAGCTGTGGGAGCTGTCGACGAATCGCTGCCTGATCGCCTACACCGGTGCCGGCGCCACCGGGCATCAAGAAAACAGCATTGGTGCCTCGTTCAACCACAATGAAGATTATGGTCCGTTTTCGAGATTAATTAAATTACTAAAATGATCCAAATTTTTTATACTAGGAAAAAATTGGTTAACTAATTTAAAGGATTCTTTTTGATCGCCGTGTCGTCATCGGACGGCCAAAAAAACACGTTTTTTTTTTGTTTTGCCTATAAATGCCTCGCAATAAATATAGCACGATGTTTTTCTATTTCTTTAGTACTTTGGGATAGTATGAAATTTTTTAAATCGTTTCAAAACGTGACATTTGTGATGCTTTTCCCAAATTTGACCGAAAATTCAAAAAGAAATTCCGGAAAAATATGAAGTTTTTTTTTCATTTCATTTTTTTGTTCGATACCTAACTTCCCATCTTTTAGTGCTGTTCCCGGACGAGAAATCGGGCAGTCTCTGCTCGTGGGATGCCCGCAATTCGGATCGCAAGCGGCTTCTGGCGTTAGGTGAGTATTTCAAGCCCAAAATATTGGCTGTTGGTGTGGTTGGTGTCAGGAGACCTTATAGATTTATGGTTCTGTCGCATTATCGGGGGGGGGGGTAACTTTTGTCAAAATTCCAAATTTTTTCGACTGTTTTCGACCGAGACGTGAAAACTTTACAAATTTTGACTTAAAATGGCCTATTTTTACGAAAAACTTCTAGATTTTTAAAAAGCTAGTTTTTCTTGCGATTGTATTTGAAATTAGACATTTCCAGACATGGAAAAGCCCCCCGATAATGCGAAAGAACCACTACTAAGTTACTGGGATTTTTGGAGCTATAAAAAAGTATGGCAAATTTATTGTAGTTATTTTTTTTCATAAAATATATTATAGTTCTTATAGTAGTTATGAATCAAATTTATTATAGTAATTATTACATTAACCATTGCAGGACACGCGGGCCCTCCACGAATCCTCGTCCACTCGCCAACAATGCCCGCCTTCGTCACCGGCTCCGAAGATACGAGAGCGCGGTTTTGGTACAAAAAGCCGCAATAATGCATGCGGTGGCCCTTGTTTCACTTTGTTACCCCCCGCGTTTCTGATATCCTTCTTGATCTCTTTTACCTCTCCGTCTTAAATGTGATTTTTATGTTTTTAAATAGATTGTCGTGCAGTGTTTTGCAGTTTTGTTATATATTTCACAATTTCCCCCACATGCTCGATTGATTTGTATGTTGTAAATAAATGGTATTCCCAGGAAAAGTCGTCGTTTATCCCAACAGCATTGCCCGGCGTTTCACTCGTTTCTTTCGAATTTTCGGTTCTGTCGGGCTTTTCTGGGGTTGCGCGTTGAGGTCGGCTTCTATGGCGGCTCCCTGGGTATTCCGTTCCGAGGCGTCGTCTTGGAAAAGGACGTCCGGTTCTGAATACGCTAGTTTTAACGGGATAGGTCAGTAGAAGTTCGAGGTTCTGGTTCGTTAGCGGGGGGGTAAGTGTATTGACTTAGTTTCTTCAATATTTCTTTATTTTTCGAGACTACATAATCGCGACCCGGTAGAGTATCGAAAAATATAGTAAGAATTTTAGTTCTAGTTCAAAACAATAATTTATGAAAGTTTTAATAAAACCAAAAATTCTCTTAACGTTATTCGATAGAGCATCAAAGAAGTATACTAAGATTTTATGCACAGCTGAAAATAATGTGATCTAATATAAGAGAAGCTATTGGCAACAAAGGTTTCCTCCGATAAACACCCCCTAACACACCAGAACCGAATCCAATTTTTACTTGCCTTTCCATCCTCAGCATCCAATTTTTTTTTGTATATAACGGAGCACTGTTTCTACATCATTTTTTAGGCTCTTCTCGGCCTAAGTTAGCGTCGAAAGCTGAGCTAACCAAGCCAAGCGGAGCCTAAGCCAAACCCAAGCCAAGCTTAGGCGTTAGCCCAAGTCTAAGCCAGGCCTAGACTAAGCCTAACCTACGCCAAATCAAGCCTAGTCTAAGCTAAGCCCAAGCCCAAGCCTAGGTCCAAAAAGTTTTGCCCCTCCACCAACTTCAATAGCTCCAAATGCTTTTATAGGACTTGATATCCCGTTACCAGACATAACTGAACTACAAGAACAAGATTAGGCCCTTGCAAAAGAAGCAATTTTTTTTACCTGCCACCCATTCGGTATCTCGATATCGTCGCGCTCGCGGGCTAGCCACCCCATCCTTTAGAAAATTAGCGCGAACGCCATCTTCGAATGTTGCTGACGTTTCCTAAACGTATGAGAGTTTCGCTATCATGGGTTTTTTCCTTACCGGCACCGATTTGAGCTCCCCGAAAGGATTCGTGGGGGGTTCGTGCTCATCTGGGGTCTTTTCCTCGGTTGGCCGCTCCGCCTCGAGATCGGTTTCCCTGGTTTCTCCCGGGAGGGTCAGTTCTGTAAAAAAGGTATTCAGATTTTCTAAGGCGGTGTTCGACATGAATTTTTCGGGTGCTTTCGCAATATCGGGGGGGCGGAATGAATTTTTGCGGTTCTGGACTGTTAGCGGGCGGACCAAATTTTTCCCTGTGATGCTCGACGGCCCTATAACAAAATAAGACCATGTTTGTAGCAGTTTACGTCGCTTTTAGCTATAAACGCAGTATAAAAATTTTCGAACACTGACGTTCTGGTCCAAAGTGTAAGAAAAGAAAAGTAAGAAATTTTGTAAAGGTTTTTATAGCGTCCTAGCACTCAAAAACTACTAAAAACACTATAAAAATACATTATACACCATCAACAGTCGAAAACCAAGTTTTTTTTAGCTGGAATTTTGGTCGAAAAGTGGATTTTCAATGAAAATTTGTACAGTTTTTACGCCGGGGATAGTCAAAAACAGTTTAGAAACACGTCCGCTGTTTTTATTAGCTTAGCACCCCCCGCCCCCAATAATGGGAAAGAACCCTTGTTGGATCTTACCTGGCGGAAATAGTGGCTCCCCATGCAGCGCTTCTTCGTCGAGCGGCACCGCGATCACGTCGATTGGTTCGGGAATATGCGGGGGTAGTGGACGGGCTCTGATTTTTTGTTAGCAAACAAGTTTTTTAGGTGAGACAGGGTTAAAAACCAGAGCGATAAAAGCTGGTTTATCACCCAAAAACCCTCTAGATTCGAAAATAACTTGCTTGTAAAGCGGCGGGAATGGATTGCCGGGGTTTCCATTGGGCGGGTAAAATGGCGAGATGCCTAGTCGTGAAGCGGTCCCTTCTTTGCCGGGCAGGGGAAACTAAAGTAGGAGGTTCTGGACTGTTAGCGGGGGGTTAGCAGGGGGAAAAACCACATTCAAGCTTTCCAACTATACCTAGCTATTAATGATATATAGGTATTTTTGGAGTGTTTTTAGTAGTTTTGGATTGCTAGAAAGTTATAAACAATATTTTCAAATGCTTAAAATACTATTTAAAAAAGAAAAGAAAATTTTTAAGAAAATCGGACCTAGTTTTGGTAATTTTTCATAAATTTTTGACCTAAAGTAAAAAATTCGACAGTTTACATAGTTTTTATATCTAAAAATATGTAGAATGCTATAAAAATGGTTTTTATTTGGTTATGGGGCCTTAGGGAACCACGAAAAAATGTGATCACCCTCGCTAACAGTCCGGAACCAAGTAGGAGTTTAGCAAAAGCTTCCGTTGAAGCTCACCTTTCCAATCCCGGGCAGGTTGTCGTAGGAGATGTCCACATATGAATACGGGGCTAAAGATTGCGGTTGCGGGTTAGAAGCATTCCCCACTGTAGACCCCCAAGCCTGGGCCATATGCGGTGATCGAGTCAACGTACTGCTTGATCAGATACGCTTTCCCGGGGTCGAGCAGTGACGGCAGGCTTTGGCGTTGTTGTCCGTGGCAAAATGGGCTAGCGGCGAGAAATAGGACCTAGAATTATGGGTTCTCGACTGTTAGCGGGGGGGGGGGGGGTTTGCCCGGGGAACCACTTTCTGTTTTCCACCTATACCTGCCTGTTGGTGTTTTTCGTAGTTTCTGATTGCCAGCACTTTTTCATACATTTTTGACCAAAAAGTCAAAAATTTTCCAAAACTTTCATTGTTTTAATACGGTTTTTATATCTAAAAACTATTTTAAAATGCTATTAAAATGCTTCTCTGTTAACGGGCGGCCCCCAATTTTTCCCCAGTAATTCCGTACTGCCCTATGACGAAATATCACCCATTTTTATCGTATTTTACACCGTTTTTAGATATTAAAACATCATTAAAAATTAAAACATTGAAAATTTGGGTTTTTTGGTGAAAATGTACGAAAAACGGTCAAAAAAGGCCGAAAATTTCGATTTTTCAAAATTTTTAAAAGCTTTTTCTGCCTTTCTAACAATCAGAAACTACTAAAAACGTTGTAAAAATACGCTATTTATTGTCATTAGATAGGGGTTGGGTTTAAAAATAAAAACGAGCTTTCCCTTCCGCCCCCGTTAACAGAGAAGCACCCCCTCACGAACCCTCTCAATTTGAGCACCTGCAGGAAGCTATGGACACGGGGGGGTAAAGTAATTTTTTTTGCCCTTCATCGATTTCCCGACAAATCAGAGACAATGACGACATAAATAACTTACTGTCCACCTCACAATAGCATCAGAAAGCACCATTTGGGAAGCGCGAACACTGAGGCAGCCGCGCAAGGGAAATCCCGTTTAGGCGTGATCCGGTTCGAGCCGAGGCGTGATAGTAGATGATCGCCTTATCCGGTCGGCTGAGAAACGTTGGGAATGGACTAAAAAAACACATTATGCTTGTAAAATCAGCGACTGGCATCTCGAAGCTTACCCGGAAATTTGGGGAGTACGACAATTGGGTGGGCGGCATTACAGCGGATCGGGGAAAACGTAAAGAACCTTTTTGGCTCTTAGGATCTAATTTTTCAAATCTAAATAGTGACAGTGTTTCTAAATGGTTTTTCCCATTCCTAAACGTGAAAACTTTACAAATTTTTAGTACAAAATATCAAAAAATATCGATTTCTCGAACAAAATCGCCGATTTTTGACCAAAATCTCGACTTTTTGAGCAAGTTTTGTAGATAGTTTTGTTAGTTTAAATATAGTTACATAGATACAAATACGTTTAATTTATTTCCAAGCCTCAAAAAATGAGTTGGAGCGCGTAATTGGTGAGCCGTTTTCCAGGCTCGTCATCTGAAGTGGATGCGCGATCCGACGGCCAGATGTCTGCCCGTCGTCGCCGTTGCCCTGGCCATCTTCCTGCAAGGATTTCTGGACTGGGATTTCCACGAAGCTCCTGCCAAACCCGACATTCAAGCTCAAGTCAAACATTGTCCAGGTGCGGATTAAAAAAAAAACTTTCGGTTCTGGACGGTTAGCGGGGGGAGGAAATACTTTTGGCTTTCCGCCTGTATCCGGCTTGCTGACGATATCTTATGTAGTTTTATAGTATTTATATTTGGTAATTTATATCTATTTTTGGTAGTTTTTAATGGCTAGAAAGTTCTAAAAATGTTTTTTTTAATCTTGAAACCAATTTTTACCTTTTAGTTCCATTTTCGATCATAAAGTCAAAAATGTTCGAAGATTTTAAGTATTTCTTGTTGTTTTTATATCTAAAAATATTAAAAAGGCTATGGAGATGTTTATATTTTGTTATAGGGCCGTAGGCGATCAGGAAAAAATTGGTTCCCCCCGCTAACAGGCCAGAAACATTCTTCAAATATTTTGCCTTTTAGTTAACCCAAACCTGCCGGTTGAAAAGCTGGTCTTTGTCGTCATCGATGCCTGGCGATTCGACTTTCTATCCCAACGTAAAGATTTGGTTTTCCTACTGAACGAAACTTTGTATAGGAACAGAAATGACGTGGATGCGCGGTGAGCTTGAGGCAAATCGAGCCGATGCCTTTGACATGGCCGTGTATTCGCCTACAGTAACCATGCCCAGAATCAAGGTACCAGTTTGTGTGCGAGACCATACAATTTCCATTTAGGCATTGACGACCGGGGATATCCCGTCATTCTGGTCGATTTTGCTCAATTTTGGCGGCTCCGGCGGGTCGGGCAGTGACAGCTGGATTCGGGCGGCGCGAGAAGCCGGCAAAAAGTGGGTGTAGTATATGGCTTTTTGTTGGGTGATAGCTGGATTAATTTCATGACAATCCCGTTTTACATAAAATGTCTGACTAGAGCCATTTTTTACAAAAAAAACCATGTAAAATTTAATGAAATAGCTGGTAGCTCAAAAACAAGTATTGGAAGGGTGAATGAAACGCCGATTTTTGGATGAGCAATTGATTTTCGCTATTTTGGAAAACCTTTAAATCGCTCGATTTATATAAAAAAGGCAAACCCAATGTACCCCCCATATTAACAAGATATCGTTAATTACCAACAATACCTTTTTGACAGCTTCGGCTTCTTAAGGAAACTTTGGATACAAATAGTTCGCAATCGTCAAATTGTAGGCCAAAACCGTAATTTTCAGACCGTGATGATAAATTGACGTGTATCGCAATTGAATAGCAGATTCATGCTAACTTTCAGAATCATCTTCTATGGCGATGATACTTGGCTGTCGCTATATGGATCGGAATTAACGAGATCGGAAGGTGTCGTCTCGTTTTTCGTAAAGGATTATACAGAGGTAACTTGTGGGATAGTAACAATTATTTTGGTTAGGTCGACAACAACGTGACCCGACAAATCGGCAACGAATTCGCGGAACAACAATTCGCCGACTGGGACGTGCTGATCTTGCATTATTTGGGACTCGACCACATCGGTGACAACAAAATGATGTTGGTAATTTTTTTAGGCCATTCCCTCGGCGGCAGTTCCGGAATGATTGGCAAAAAATTGGCGGAAATGGATGCGATAATTTCTGATATAGCTGGACGACTGGAAAAGCAGGTATTTTTAAACTAAAGAGATCATGCAACCGCCTAGACGGGAAAATATGCGCTTCTCGTCGTCGGTGATCACGGGATGACCGAAGCCGGGGGTCACGGCGGATCCAGCGTTTCGGAAACGCACGTGCCGCTTTTTGTGAAGATTGGAGGAGTTGCTGATGTTCAAGAAGGGCTGCAAAAAGGTATAAAAGACTGTAAAAGCTCATTTCCCTGTCTATCGGGCTTATTTATCTCTCAAACTGAGTTTGCTAGCTTCTAAGGTGTATAAAAATAGTTTACAAGAGCATCAATAACGATTTAGCATCACCGCCACTAAATCTTACACATCTGTGATCTAATCAAACAGGTTTTAAAAGTTCCTTAGTTAAAAAATAGGTCAAATTCCGGTTGACCGCAATCGGTTCTTTCGCATTATCGGGGGAGGGGCGCGAACTTTTTTGGATGTCTAGAAATGTCTAGTAACTGAATAGGAAGTGTTTTAGCGGTGTGTTTAGAAATATATGAATATTTCAACCAGAAAAACAATCTAAAAACTAAAAATATAACTAATCTAACTACTATCTAACTAAACAATTGAACGTTTTTACAAAAACCGGCCATATTTGGGCGAAAAATCTGCATTGTTGTGTAGATTTTTAAATTGTAACGTTCGTACGTTAAGGAATAGTAAAATCCGGATCTAGAAACACGTCCGCGATTTATTCTGCAAAAATGGGTGCTAGAAAAACACTATTAAAAGATTTTCAGCCTACGCATCGATCGACCAAGTGGACGTGGCCGACTTCGCCTCGCTACTGCTTGGAATAAGACCAATTTCGACGTCAATCGGCGTCCCAATTCATTATTTGTTGAATTCAAGGTCCGATAAGTTACTGCAACCTATCGTTTTTTAGAAATTTAAAAACATCCACGATCGGGGCATGGCTGACCAGCGCCGAGAAGCTGATAGCGCGCCTAGCGAGCACAAAGTATGAAGATGGTGGGTTGATCGTGTTAATGCAGCTATTTATCAACAGTGGGCTTTGAAATGGCTCATTTAGCTATAACGGGTTCTTTTCTGTTAACGGGGGGGGGGGGGGTGGTAGAAAGGGTCGAGTCAATTTTTAGTTTTTTCCCATACCTACCCGTTAATAACTAATAGCGTTTTTAGTAGTTTTTTATCGCTAAAAACTGATAAATAATATTATTGATTTGAAAACTCGAACATTTGACTTTTTCATCGATTTTCGGCCAAAAAGTAAAAAATTTGGTATTGCAATATTGTGTTTGTAACTAAAAACTATTTAACATACTTCTAAAAAATATTCAAAAATTGTGAAATTTCGAAGTTTCGAGCCTTTTATGGCGATTTTTCATACATTTTTGCCCAAAAAAGTCATAATTTTTCGAGAATTTATTTTTTTATGCTCGAATATTGTAAATCTCCTGTTTTCAGCCCAATTACACGCGTGCGCCCGGCTATTCGAGAAGTTGAGCGAGCAGTGTCAGGATTTGAAGCCGGTTCGGCAGCCGATTAATTGCATAAAGATCCTTCAGGATGATGAGCGTATTTGTGGTCGTGCTCTCCGCGACGCGCAGTCCCACCTGATCCGCAACAGCTCGAGCCTGGACCTGACGTCGCTTTGCCTCAGCTTGACGATGTCGGCAATGGTGCGTGAAAGGGCTTATGGGTAGCCTGAATTATGGTCCCTGATTTGCTACAATAAGAGTTATTTTGGTTCTTCTCTGTTAACGGGGGGACCTAATTTTTTTGCCTATTAATGGTGTGGTACTGGCCTGTTAGCGGGGGTTGGGCCAATTTTTAGTTGTTTTCTGGTTATACCCACTTTATAAGAATCATTAGTGTGTTTTATCCTGTTTTTTTAGTAGTTTTTGATTCCTAGAAAGTGGTGACAATTTTTGATTTTGACCGATTTTGGCCATTTTTGTATATATATTTTTGACCAAAAGTCAACATTTTTCGGAAATTTGATATTTTTTATAAGATTTTTATATCGAAAACTGTGCAAATACTAAGAAAATGTTTCATAGTTTTTTATAGAGCCGTACCGAAATGCTGAGGGGAAAATTGGTGCCCCCCGTGAAAAACCATTATTTTTTCAGGTTTCCCTCTATTTGGCCGGCTTCCTCTGGAGAACGGCCGGAGGATCAAGAAAACTGGCAACGTTTTGCGGCGTCTCCGCGCTTCACTTTTTGTCGTATTTCGCGTCAAGTCTGGTGGAGGAGGAGCACGATATTTGGTAATAGTTTTTGCAAAGTTTGGTTCTGGACTGTTAGCGGGGGGGGGACGACTTGTTGTTTTTCCGCCTATACCTAGCAATTAATGATATTGAATGTCTTTTTATAGCGTTTTTAATAGTCTTTGATCGCAAGAAAGCTATAAAATATATTTTAAAATACGAAAATTTTTACCTTTTTTGGTCATTTTCATACATTTTTGACCAAAAATTCAAAAAATTCGAATATTTTAGATTTTGATATGGTTTTTAATTCTAAAAACTGTGTAAAAATGCTATAAAAATGGTTTATATTTTTCTATAGGCCGCAGACAATCACAGGGAAAATTTGGTCCCCCCCGCTAACAGTCCAGAACCCAAGCTTTGCCCCTCACGTTTTCCCCCAGCCAAAATCGTCGCTTTTCAGGTACTTCTTGCTGGGCAGCCTGCTCGTCGTCGAGTGCCTCTCGCGAGTGCGTGCTCCCTCGCCCAGTCGGTGGGTGGCCCTTGATGACCCCCGGTCCCCAGCCTCTCCCCATGGCCGCCATAGCTCAGTTGGTTAGAGCGTGGGTCTAATAAGCCCAAGGTCGCAGGTTCGACCCCTGCTGGCGGCAAATTTTTTTGCTTTTTGAGCGAATTCAAGGGTGGGGGCTGGAGATTTTCTCTTGGGGTTGGCTTTGGATCTGGAAAAAATATTCACATCTAACGGTCTACAGAAGTATCCGATTTTTATGGTTTTGATAGGAATCGAAAGCTCGGTTCTTTCGCATTTTCGTGGGGGGGCTGTGACTTTTTGTGTGTCTAGAAATGTCTAGGAACTTGATAGGAAATGTTTTTTAGCGTTTTTCGTAAAATATGGGTGGGTATATTTCAGCTGGAAAAACCTCTAAAAACTTTACAAAATGTTTGAACAACTGGCAATTTTGGTCGAAAACGATATTTTTCATATTAATCGTATTAATAATATTAATACTCGTATTCAGGGGCGTAGCCAGAAAAGAATTTCGGGGGGGGGGGCCCCGAAAATTTTTTTCCGAAAAACTCAAAAAATTAACGAAAAAACAGCGCCGCAGGCGAAAAATTTTGGAAAAAAGGCAACATAGCTCTATAAATAGCAGTAAAAACGTGAAAAAATAGCGCCGCAGGCAGCAAAATTTTTGAGAAAATAAAAATCATAAGGGTCCCCCCTTATGAAATTTTTGGGCCCCGGCCGATTTCGGGGGCACCGGGCCCAGGGGGCCCACCTTACGCTACGTCCCTGCTCGTATTAATCAAAAAATTGTTCACGTTTAGGAATCGAAATTTTCAGGTCCATCTACGAACTAGCGCCAACCTTCTTGATCTTCGTGGTTCACCGCGCCAACGTGGCCCTGTACAGCGAAAACCGAAGAAGGAATCTGGAAACTAACGGCACTTACCCGCCAGCATTCACCACAGATCCGGAAGTGTTTGGGACGATATTGAAGCACCTGCCTGCATTTTTGCCAAGGTTGTTTGGAACTGGAACAGGGGCAAACTAATTTTTAGTATATTTCCGGTGCTGATCTTCATCGGAAGCTTTGCGCGTCAGCCAAATTTCCGAGATGCTTCCGTCTTGATAGCCGCGGCATTGTCAATTTTTGCAAATTCAGAGCTGACGTAGGGAATTCCCGGAATCATACAGATTATTTTATTTTTCAGCGACTGGATGCCATATATCTGGGCGCTCGCCCTGCTGGTGACGCTTTTTAAAAGGGACAGCCTGGGGATGCTGATTTGGGCGGTTAGTTTCCTTCATTTAGAAAAAGTCATAGAACTTCCAGGTTTCCCTCTGCCACCCCGGTGAAGCTGCGGCGTGCCTCGGATGCTACTACATCGGAAAATCCCTCAAGTCCGCGCCCCACGTTTTGAGCGTCGCCATCCCGGCCGCCTTCTTCTACATGGTCAGCTCGTGTTTCTGGAAAAACGCCTGTTTCTTTAGGGAAACTCAAACTCGATAGCCAGCATTGATATCGCCACCGGGTACGCCGGCATGGCCGAGTATCAGGTCAGCGAAAGAAGGCCTGATTTTTCAGTAAAAAAAAAAACATTTTTAGCCATTGCTCGTCGGCGCCCAGATTCTGCTCCACTGCTACGCGGGCGTCATCGCGTTGCTGGTCGGATTTTCAGGAGGGTGAGTCGCATTCAAAGTTGCACAACTTTCGATTCAGGTCCTCGGTCGGACATTGGCCACTACTGCCAAGTCTTCTCTTCACGCGCACAACCTCGTTGACCGGCTCGCTGATCTCGCTGCTCGTCTTCCGGCAACACCTCTTCGTTTGGTCCGTCTTCGCGCCAAAGATCCTCTACGAGTGCACGCATTTTATGGTGTTTGTTGTGATGTACGCGTTTGCAAGGTTTCTCAATAAATAACAATGCTATTTGGTGTTGTGTGGTTGGCTATTGAGACGACGAGAAATTTTCATTGTATTACTCGTTACGAATTATATAGCAGCATAAAGGAAATTGAGGGAAAGCCACGGGTTGTGACGAAAAGACACCTTTCAAAAGGAGGGTATGTTGGAACGGTTCCTGTCTAGAATGGACCTGTTAGTGTGTGACGCGGAGTCTCCGAATAATCCCACCCGCACCATGGTCGAATTGGTTGTCTTGCAGCTCGGCAGAGTTTTTTTTTAAACGTAGCAAGTTAAATTTCTGTATTTAAAAAGAATCTTTCTCGACGGATTGCTGACAAAAAAAATAGTTCTTATACAAGATAAGCGGACAGAAAAACCGGTAAAATCTTATTTATCCATGTGAATTCAATAATTCTTAGAAATGCCTCCATGCATCATTTTTCGAAAATATAGAGATACAAGCCGATGTAGTAACCATGGCCGCAGGGCCAACACATTTCGGGCAGATCGAGACATGGGGACTCTCGCATGAAGGCGACCAGGAAACCTAAATAAATCAGATAATGTGTTTACAGGTAAAAATAATGTGATTTAAGATAAGAGAAGCCAGTGCCAAATAAGTCCCCCGCCACCAAAAAAATTATTGTTCCCTGTTTCTAGGTAGCAATTCAGGAATAATTGCTTACGCTTTCCATGGACATCGACGACGAAATTGTGCCGAAAATAGTGGCCGCGGCAGTACTGAAACGGCCATTCGGCGCCTTCTGCCGCGCACTTTGAGGCACCATCTCTCTAAAGCGTCATGATGTTTTGCACGATGTTGCTGACAGACTGCCCATTTTCCTGGCTTTATCTTTCTCAGGGGAAGGAAAGATTTTTGCAAAGGCCAAGGAAAAGTCGCCTAAGAAGATCCTTTTCTCTCAAAAAAAGTCAAAGTCAAATTATTCTAATTTACTGTTGGACCCACTTTGTGATGCTGAAGCATCCATTCCTTGAGAATTTCCGCATCCGCATCCGCTTCGTCTAGCACCCTCATCGCGCCGTTATGAACACGGCGGAGCCGCCCTTCGAATTGTTGCTGGAACCCAAAAGTTAGTTACAGTTCGGCTGGTACGAGGGGCGGAGGCAACGGGGCTTTAGTCAGTTTACCCCCACCCACCCCCCAGCCGGCATCGACCTACCGTATCTCGGCCGCCTGTTCATCTACAGGTGTGTAAAATATACCAAAATACTCGCCAGACCAAGACGAACATTTTGGTATACTGTACACCCTTGTATATGAACAGGGAGCCGAGATACAAAAGTTGAGGTGGGGGGGTAAACTGCGGTATTTCTTCAGCTTGCATAATTTCCATTTCGCATAACGCTATTTCGCATAATTGCATTTCCGGAAACACGAATCAAAGAAACTAATAAATACCAAAAAGATTTCCGGCACAAATGTATCGTTTTCAATTCGTTCGCCGAAAGCCCGGCAGACGGATACGAACGCGCCGGGGCTCGCCGGTCTCCGCGGACAGAATGCCACCTAAAAATTTCTTTCTGGCGTCAAATCAGAATACGCACGCCAGCCAGCTGCCCCACGACGCCCACCGGGAAACCGCGGATGTCGAACGCGATTTGCTGCGGTCGACGACGACTCGACTTCAAACTACTCCACGACGCCCATGCTTCTTCGCAGACGACACATCCCCACGGCGCATCGTCCCCGTAACGCTGAAATTAACGAATCCACAATCCCCAGATACCATCAACAAGTTTCGACCTCGACACGTTTTTGCCATCGTTTGTTGTTCAAAAAAGCGGTGCTGATGCAGTTAGCACCGCTTTAACTATGCTTAGCTTAGGCTTCGGCTTGGGTTTAAGCCCAAGCTAACCGGGAGACGTTTTTGAGTGTCGTCGGAATTTTGGCACGGTACCAAGCCTATCTTGTGCAGAATTTTACGCTGATTCCGAATATGGTAACCGTTTTTGCGGAATAGCCATTTCTCGAAAGTTATGAACGATTTAAACCTCAAAACAGCCCAAAATCGGCTACTTTCAATAGTCATAAAAAGACTTCAGAATAGGTTTTAGACAAAACCAGATAGTACATCTTGTTCAGGAAAAAAATTCTCTATCAAATGTACCATCAAATGTAAGCCTATCCTAAGCTCGAAGTTTCCTTACGAGGTCAAATGGGGTCATTTAGGGCTGAGCTTGGCTCAAGCTAAGCTTATGTTGCGTTTGTATGAAGCTACGCTTAGGCTTATGCTTCGCTGAGCTTTTCCAGAGGCTTCGAGTTTAAAAAACGGCATTTGGAGCGTCTTGTAGTCGAAATCCGGACTGCCCCCCCCCCCCAATGTATTAGCACCGAAAAAGCACACACAGCTGTTCGAAAAAGCTGTGTGGGGAATTGCCTAAAAATCATTAAACACTATTACTAAAACACTACTAAAACTGATTGAAACACCTTAAAGATCCGAAGTTTTTGCTTAGTTTCGGTCGTTTTTCATAAGTTTTTGACCAAAAACGAAAGTTTTCTAGATTTTGGAATTTAGAGTAGTTTTATATTCAAACAATACTGTAAGAATGGTTTTATAAATAATGTTGTAATAGCTTCGCACCTAAACCTCTTGCGCAAAAAATTGGTTCTGGACTTTCAGCGGGGAGACCAAATTTTTCCCTGTGATCCTCTACGGTCCCATCCCAAAATAGAAACCATTTTTATAGCTTTTTGCATAGTTTTTAGGTAAAAAAAACAATAGAAACAATAAAAAATTCGAAATCCTGGACTTTTTGGTCAAAAATGACCCAAAAGGTAAAAAATGCGAATTTTCAAACCTGTAAAAAATATATTTGTAACTTTATAGCACTGAAAAACGACTAAAACCGTATAAAAAGCATAATATTTCATCAACAGGTAAGGTATAGACGGAAAAACAGAAGGTGGTTCTCCCCCCCCCGCTAAAAATTTGTCCAAAAATTGCCTCGCTTGGGGCAAAGATACAACGACCCTACCTCGAACCACTGAAAATACATACCGTGACACATTGCTGACATCGCACCGTCCGGTCAACGCAAACCAGGTGGTCCTGTAAATTGTTTGTTTAGGTACGAAGCATTGACTTGCGGCGACACCTTGTTTCTTCCAGAACCTACCGGAGTCCCGAACCGAATAACCTCAGCGTCACCACCATAAAACTGTCGAAATTTTTTGAGGTAATCAAATGGCGAGTGCGGGACACAGAAGGCGAGCTCTTTCATGGTTGCGACTAGACGGAGAAGAGAGCTAACCTGAAAATGTCACAGTTAGTCAATTAATAATAATGAATTCGGCTCTTTAGGAGGCTACGGTTTACTTTACCCCCCCCCCCCCCAGCCGGAAGTTTTTGGCTATAACTTTTTTATTTTACATTATTGTAGGCTCAAATTAAAACTCTGAGTATATTTTTCGACGCTCTATCGAATGGCGTTGCAAAAATCCCGACAAAATAAGCGAAAATACCGAAAACTTTGAGATTATTCGGCTGTGGGGGGGGGGGGTAAAGTAAACTCTTACCCTTTAGGATTCGCGTGGGGTAAGCAATTCTTTTGTGCCGGAGCCGATTGGCCTAGTAATCGAACATAAAGTGTTGATATTGTTTTTATGACGTTTCAACTTTAACTCGAGTAGAAAAACTTTCAAACAAAGTTAGAATCGTGTTTGAAAAAGTCGAAAATTTGGTAATTTCGCGTCGAAAAAACCCATAATTATCGGCCTATAATTAGATTTTTAATTACAATTTGTAAAAATTTTATCGTCAGGAATGGTCAACAGCAACGTACAAATGGTGCGTTTACATACAGGTTATTAAACAACCGAAGTTGCGCCGGAAAACCCGTATCCATTGATATAGAGTTTTACTCACCTCGAAAAGTTCTGGTTGACGAACAGGCACGTTCTTCGCCCGTACCAACTCACTGTCTGGCTAAAAACACAACTTTTAAAATCCCCTTTTTCGCGTTGTAAAATAAATCTTTTAGTATATTTTTTGTTATACCGATTGGCGTTTTCAAAATATCGAAAAACTCAAAAATTTGGCTTTCCCCTCCCGTTATCCTATGTGCTGCCCATGGATTTGGCTCAATTTTTTTGTTTATTCAATAAAAAATTTCTATTACATTATTTCGGGCTGCAATTCATTCTCTTTGTATATTTTTTGACGCTTTATCGAATGACACTCGCAAAATTCCACAGTAATGGCAACTTTGATAATAATAAGTGCCCCCGTTGTTTTATCCCCCCCCCCCCCGCTATCCTACGAGTACCAAAAGTTCAACGCAATGTTAATTGCCTAACCTTCCCATCGGCATCTAGCGAGAACTCGCACATTAACCGATCAACGGCCATTGAACGTGGTCTTGACGAAAGGCATTTGACGAGTCGATCGAGCGTCCACCTCCCACTTCTGTAACCAAATTTAGACTATGTTGCCAAATTTTTCTTTGGCCGACTTCTTTCTTTGTCCATGTGCCTTTTTGTGTTTTCTGCTACTCTGGCGTTCAGTTGCTCTTGGCAGCGACAAATAAGAAGCAAAGAGACCACCTGAAGACTAGAAACAGTTTCTCATTACGTAGCTGGACCGCATTGTCTTGGTTCCTTCTAGATTCCAGACTAATCGACCACCCATCCACGTCGATTATGTAAAATGTGAAGGCTAGTGCCCAGAGCTGTAATGACATATACAGGGTGTTCCAAAAAAACGCCCCCCCTCCTCTCTAGCGGTCGGGAGAATGCTCTAATCGGGATGATTTTTACACCATTCGAAAGCCTTGAAACGGCGAAAACACAAGCGCTTTTCTGTTACAAAAATTTTTTGTGCGCGCTCGATATTCAACGATTTCTTAAAAAAGCGGAAAACCAGCAACATTCTGTTAATATGCAGCAGTTAATATGTGAATTTTGCATTTTGCATAAAATTTGCATATTTCATAGGCCCTAATTTTAGTGAATAAAAATGCCTTTATTGAATAACAAAAAGGGTTTGTTTGCTCGCCTTTCTGAGAGCTTTCGATAGATGCCTAAATGTCAAAAACCGACACTTCTCCGAGTCGCTAGAGGGGGGTCGATTCGTTTTGGGACTCCCTGTATTGCAGCCCATAGAACGTCTGGGTGAAAAAAGGGACTGCCTACCTCGGGATTACACTCGTCGTCCACACAGCCATTTTCAGAACACTGGACTGGTTCGACAGCGAGGCAAAAACGGGACACTTTCCGCGGAAATAATAGTCGTTTGTTCACCTCCGCCCTGGAAAAATTTGCAAGTTGAAATTCCGTGCTTTCAAACTCTGAAAAATCACCTGAACTGGTTGTTGACTCGCTGCAAAGTGGTGAGTTCACGGATGGACAGCTGGTCAACTACGGCAGACACCAAGGCATTTGGCAGACGGGCGATGGCGAACATCTAGAAAATCTTTCAATCGTGGAAGTGGATAGCGGAAACTATGGCACTAGATCGTAAAAAATGGAATGGGCCGGCGGGATGATGGGGAGGGATTTGACCCACCATCTACTCCGGGTCACACACTAACAAGCAACGTAGTTTGTGTGTATATTTGCATGCCACTTTCGTGAGGATGTTCCTCACCTATAGCCTCAGGGAAGTCGGCGCTACTTAAGTTTGCTGGCCCCACTTATATATGACCAAAACCTCATTTTTCTGGTTCAGTTTTTTTGCGCTGATTACGGAAAACACTATCCCAGCCCACGAAAATGCGATTTAGTAAAACAATTTATTTGGAATGTCGGGAAAATTCCATTTTACGGCGGTCGCGTAAAAGGAGCCTTTTTGTGGTTTTTTGATTAAATAATGGCCAAAAACGGGTTTATCATGAATAAAGTAAGCCAGTAGCATTGTCAGGCAAGGCGGGCTGTCGATTCGGATGGGCTGCCGCTCCACTCTTTCGAAATCGGGGCGCCTGGCCGCTTCGCGCGCCTCGGGCGCCCCGATTTCGAAACCCTGTACGAGCTCGCACCCATCCGAAGCGACTAGGCCCCGGGGTGGCACGAAGCCTTATTTTTAGGAACAAAAGCGGATGCAATCGCCCAGCCTCGTTGGAAAAAGCTTTTCCACTGATTTATAGGCCTCCCGCATCAAAACACCAGGTTGGCCCCCTTTAAAAACTCAAACCAGAAAAATCGAAAATCAAGTGTTTTCTCCCCTCAAAATTCACGATTTCATTTTCGTGGGCTGGGATAGTGTTTTCCGTAATCAGCGCAAAAAACTGAACCAGAAAAATGAGGTTTTGGCCATATATAAGTGGGGCCAGCAAACTTAAGTAGCGCCAGAATTGGCGTAACGAACCTTTTCGAATCTCCGGGAAAACTCAAAAAATTCCGCGTGTTAGCTTGGACGTGCATAGAAAACGTATTCGTCTGGCTTCGGCTTCTGCAACGAGAACCAAAGCTTGTCGCTGCCGTCTCACCATCCAAAACGATCCCCGCCACAATGCCCTGACTAGCTAGCTTCCAACGTGTCCCCTTCCAGCTTCTCGATAAGCTCCTGGCCCAAGCGTGCTCGAGAAATCATCTTTGTTTCTCTACTTACTCTCTCCTTCTCCCGCTCTCTCTGCTAGCACTTTGTATCGCACCCAGCAACCGCCGTGTCTCCGCGTGCAAAGGACTGCTTCGTAGCCCCATGCGCGCAAATCATCATCTCTCGGTCAGCTGTTCACCGGGCGCCCGTCTGGCCCCGCTTCCTCACGAAAAAAACGCAAACTTTGTAAACTTTAATTGAGTAAAATGCTGGGCGTACTCCATCGACGGTAAACCTTCAGAAACCCTATACAATTTCACCCCGGCAAGCTGGAGATCTCCAATTTTTCGAAAAAATTTTCGATGAAGCCCTGAAACAAGCAACCACTAAACGCGGATCTCCCTCCGCGTTGGCTTTTGAAATGGCTGAATCTGGCGGGGAAAAGTTGGGCAAAAGGACTGATTCATTTTTTTTTGAGGTGCAAAATTTGGGGTTGGGAATCATAAAAATATGAGAGAATATTAATATTGTATTTTTTACTTTGATATTATGCTATCTTCCGCCAGTAAGCCTTTTGTAACTCTTCTGCGTAATCCTGGAAATTTATGACAATGAGTGGAATTGCGGGTTTCACAATAAATTGCGCAATCTCTTGTCTAGCTATCGATCTAAGTTAGTTAGATTTTCTGTTTAGGCGTCATTTCGCTTTATTGCAAGAAATTCTTAGCTTTATAACAATTCAGTGCATTTTCAGGTAATTAATCCTACCATCAAATCCGCCGCCACCCGATGCACTATGTTGAGGATTTCCTTGAATGTGAGTTTCTGAGTTTTACGGCAATTCTTCTCTTCTCAAAAACTATGAACAGCTTTGCAACGAGGAAAACGTGGGTGAAAACCTTGTTCATGATTTCAGTCTACTTCCGGAAATTTTGGCACTAATTTTGACATTTTTTCCAGTGGTGGACGGGCAACCGGAGGCGGTGGATCGCTGCTACGACCATCTACACCGGCTAGACCTCGAATGCACAAGTCAATTCGTGTTGTAAAGCATTAAGGGTTTTTTTTTTCAGAAAAACAAGCCCGCGTGCTCGCCCTCACCGAGCAACTGAAGGACAAGACCAACACGGACAAGGCGGTCAAGCTGAAGCTGTGCTCCGAAGTGGGCGAGGTAGTGGAAAAGACTTATAACGTATCAAAATGATCCGACAGACCTATCTACAACTGAAGCAGTTGACCAGGCAGAAGATTGAGGCGGCTGAGCGGGCCGAGAATATAATCAGAACGCTCGCGGATAAGGTACGAGCTCTTCTGGCTGTTTAAAATTGGATGTATTAGGTGATTAAAGACGAGATGCAATTCAAGTGGGACCTCGAAGCGGAAAACCCCGGGTGCACGGAGTCTATTGAGCGCAGTAAGGATTTTGTCGCTTTTTTTTCTCTTTCGCATTTTCGGAGAAAAGTTTATCGAGGGGGAAACCAACTTTTTTTCTTCGTAGAATCCCTTTTTTTCAAATATCAATAACGCAATTTTTTCGAAGCTGCTTTTATGCTTTTAATATACTTAAAATTAACAGTTTGCAACTTTTTATTAAAAAGGATCGATTTGTGACCAAAAATGGTTGTTTTACGACCAAAATCTCGGCTCTTAGAAGGTTTTCTAGTTCAAATAAAGTTTAATTTTACTCAAAACACTATTAAAATATTTGCGGTTAAATTACTAGGCATTTTTCGGCTTGTACGAAAAAGCTGGTTCCCCGATAATGCGAACACGCATTTTCGCATTCATTTGAATTTTTAGATTTCGTGAACTATCTGCTCACCGAGCCGTTTCGAAGGAAGCAGCCACCCGGCCCCTCTCAAATGGACCCAAGCCTCTTCAGCGATCCCATCGACCGATTCGCGCCCTACTCGCCGAGGCCATTCGGTTCGTTTTGCCAGTTATACCAGTGGTTGCGCGTACCAACTAAAAAAATTTGCAACGCTTTTTTCCGGAAAACCGCTACCGTTACAATTCGACGGTTCGTGCAACCATTCAGCTTTTAAATTTTTGCTCTTGACCAGATAATACTCTACAGGCTTTCCAGGCCAGCGCAACCAGATGGTCAGCAGCTCTGCCGGCCGGAAAGCCGCCAAGAAGCAGGGCACATCGAGGGGTCGAGGCCGACCGACAAAATACGACGAGTTCTCGTTCGACGGCGTCAAGGAGGAGGACACGGACAGCCGCGCCTCGTCCATCAAGGAGGACGATTCGTTGTCAAACTTATTGGGTCGGTTTTTCATTTCTTTGTCACTTTACTTGTTGTATTTTGTGACTTCCGCTTTACTTTCCAGATGACGATCTGAATGACCTGCACGACATCTTCCCCCAAATGCCATCGCCGCCGCGCGAGATTCTCGACATCATGAAGGACGACGCGTTCGGCTACGAGGAACTGGGGATGATGCCGCTTTCCCCGGCCGCGTCCGTGTCGGCTCCGAAGAACTATGGCGACCGCCGATCACGGTATCGCTTTGTTTTCGAGATTGTTGCTACAGGACCCCCACTGGCCCTCAAAAAGATACCCTCTATCGGCCGGCAGCGGTCTCCGAATTTGACGACTTTGGTATCTATCAAAAGCTCGCAGTTGGGAATTCTGGGGTCCCATGGCCATGGCCTAGCTCCGGGTCCAATCCGCAAAACAAGTGCTCCGGGCGGGGGTCGAACCCGCATCCTACGGCTTTCGAGTCCGATGCTCTCCCTATTGAGCTACCGAAGCACGCGGAATGCCTCTCTCGGGGCAGCTATCCATGCCAGCCCCTCACATCCAACCCCGCGATGAGCTGCCCCAGCTGGCAAAATATTCTCTTTCCGGTTTTCGAAAATCGGGATTTTTTTTCTCGATTCTGGGTTTTTTCATGCAGAATTTACACGCTTCTCCAAAAACTGATATTCGGCTTAGGTGCCTGAAGCGGCGTTTTCACGATTTTTTTTACATTTTCCTTGCAAAAAGTAGCAAACTAATGCTGCCAAACTGCTTAATTCAAAAATTTAAGTTAACAAACTGTGGCTTTTTCAAAAATCTCCTTCACGAGAAAAGCATCAAAGATTCGGTTCACAAAAGTCTTGGCAAAGGTGCGAAAACGGCCGCTTTCGAAAAGCGGAAAGAAAAAAATAGCTCCTCGCCCAACGGGAGCTTTCGATAGATACTTAAGTCGTAAAATCGGACCGCCAGGGGGCTTCTTTTGGGAACATCCGATCTAGAAAGTTCGTGTATATATATTAAGCTTTTCCTCCCGATCTTCCTGCTTTCTTTTAAAGCTTTTTCATGATTCAAAAAGCTCTTTTCAGTGAGGGCTCGACATCTTCCTACACGAGCGCCCAGCGCAAGAGCTTCATCGCCAACGACGTCAGCATGCACGGGCGGCCTAGAAAGTGGGTTTTATGGCCGTTTTCATGCGCTAATTTCCGCGCTTCAGGCTAACGTCGCGGGTCGAGGAGATGCTGAACGACAAGCGCGAAAAGGACCGCCGCCGGCACCACAGTCGAGACGAGGAACACTCGGTAATTTTTGCATGTTTGCCTTTTCGGGTTCTGGACTGTTAGCGGGTGGGACCAAATTTTTCCCCCAGTAGCTCTACGGCCCTAGAAAGAACTATGAACCATTTTTATTGTTTTTTTGCATAGTTTTTAGCTATAAAAACATTATAACAATTTTTGCAAATTTTGACTTTTTGGTCAAAAATGTATGAAAAACGGCCGTGAAGGACGGGAGGGTTTTTGACCCTCTGACGTAAGTGTGTGCCGGGGCGCGCTTTAGCAGTGAGGGGGTTCCGGACGCGCCACATTACGCATGGACGTAAGGTGTATAGAACGGAATACTTTTTCTGAATTTATTTTTTACAAAGTGGATATATAAAGTAAAAGAAGTATTCAGAAGGCTTTTTAATAAATAAAAGAACCTTATGATGGTAAATCTGGAACAGTTAATCGTCAGTATCACGGTTTTTCGGAATTTTGGGAATATATACCAGTATTTTTGTTGATTGGTTCACTTCTGCCCGATATTAATTGTAGACTCTCGTCTGAAATACTTTTTTTCTAAATCAGAAGCTACCGCGATGTCTTGAATTACAAAAAGCCATTCATTACAAAGAAGCAGGGGCGCAGGAACTTTCGCAAAGTAGGCTGTGAATGGCCAATGAAAGCTAAGGAGATAACGCCAACGAAGAATCATACAAAACCACAGACATGTGAAGAATTGCGAAAACTTTAACTCTTTCGAAGTAGCCTAAAAATCTTACATGGTAGCGGCTAGAGGAGTGGCTCGAGATTATGTTGTACTTCCGTCAAGCCACGCGAGCTTTTGCCGTGGGCTCTCTGTATGCTTCATTTTAAGTTTAGAGATTTCAAGTTCTTTTCCTTTCATACACTAATACTATGACGAACATTAACACCAAGCTAAAGTAAATGATTCTCCTCAGTATAAACCTATGAGGTGACAAACATCAGTTCCCAACTCGCGAAAACACTGTCCTCTGGTTAGTAAACTTTCTACATGATTCTTTTACTATTACATCTATATTCTCTTTGTTAGAAGCAAGAAATTAAAGTGGAACCAGGGTTGAAAAGCCGCTTCGCGACTTTTCAACCCTGGCCCCGTCTCGGACCCCATACTATTCCCCTTGCATAATTGTCCTCCATTCAATCAGAAGACAAAAAAAAATGAAAACAACCTTTTCTGCCTCTTTATATAGGCGACCACCCACTTCCGGCCTATGCTAATTATCCCTAACAAAGAGGCTTTAACAAAAACCTAAATTTAATAGCGAAAATGGCTAATTTTTAAAAATCTGATATGTGTGCAGTCATCCCTAGACCATTACGCACCTAATGACGTATCATACGTAGCCTAATGCCCGTCCCTTCTTGAGATATCCTCCGGACAGACAGACGGAAGTTGCATGCAAAGTGGCACACACACACAAACACACAAACACCATTTTTTTATATATAGTAGGATACATTAATTAAAAAAGTGTTCCGTTCTATACACCTTACGGCCATACGTAATGTGGCGCGCCCGGAACTCTGTCACTGCTAAAGCGTGCCCCGGCACACACTTACGTCAGAGGGTCAAAAACCCTCCCGTCCGAAAAGGGCAAAATTGGGGAATTTTCAACCTTAAAAAAATTTTATAGCTTTCTAGCGACCAAAGACTATTAAAAACACCATCAAATACATCATATTTTTTCGACAGAAATAGGTGATTATAGGTATAGGAAAGACGAAGTGACCCCCCCCCCCCGCTAACAGTCCAGCACCGCTTTTTGCTGCCCAGCTGAGCGTAACGGCGCATTTTTTTTTTGCGCTGGGTTTCGAACATCTGGCGGTGCTTCCAGGCTCAACCTCGTTGCATTTGAGTTTTGCCTGGACAAAGTGCTGCTACTTTTCTTTTCTGTGCTTACATTTTCGAAAATTTGGCTTTCCTACGCCATTGTTCCAGATTCGCTCAATGATGGACGGGCGAAATCAGTCGGAGACGGCCGGCGACGACGACGAGGAGGAGGAAGAGGAAGAAGAGGAGGAGGACGAAGAGTCGATCTGGTGCGTGTGCAAGAAGCCCAGCGACGGCGACATGATATACTGCGAAAATGAGGATGTGGGTTTTAATCCGGTGTGGCCGATAGGCGGGCTACGCCCGTTAATTTTCTTAGATGGAATGTGAGAAGAGGATTCGTTTTTGAGGTTCTTTCGCATTATCGGGGGGGGGGGGCAATGTTTTTCCTATAAGTATAGAAATGCCTAGCAACGTATAGTTTTAAAAGGGTTTATAGCCTTTTTGGGTAAAAGGTAACTAACTTAAGCTAGCTAACTTAACAAAGTAAAATACAGCCAAAAACTTCACAAAATAATCTTTAGGCGAAATTTTTGTCAAAAATCGGCGATTTTTGATCGAAGAATTGAAGCTTTTTTGTATATCGTATTCAAAAATTGTAGCTTTACGTTTAGAAAGGGTCAAAAACACTTTAGCAACACTTCCTGTCTTTGGCTTAGAAAGGTGGGATGATCATAAAAAAGTTGTTTTCACCCCCACCGATAATGCGAAAGAACCGTGCTTTAGGAACAAAAGTCTTTTCTTTATGTAGGTTTTTCCGACCTAAAATTCTATCTCTTTTTCAGTGTCGCATCCAATGGTTCCACTTCGAATGCGTCGGCCTCAGCCAGGCCCCGATCGGCCACTGGTTCTGCCCAGAATGCAGCCATGCCCGAGCCAACAATGCCTATTAGTTCTTTTCTATCATATCTATTTCCCCCGCACGGTTCTTTGATGCCCATTCGCGAGCGTGTAATTCCCGTCGTGTATCTCCCCCCCCCGATATTTCCCCATTACCGGCCAGTCGAATACGATGATTTTTTATGGGTTGCCCTTCCGTCCCCCCGGGACACATATCCCGCTTTGTTTTTTTTTGGCCGAAGCTGTGGGTTGTAATCTGTGAGCGCGGCTCCGCCGCCGATTCTAGCCCGTGTTTTTCATTCCCGCCGTTTTTTGGTATTGCTCGTTGCAAGTTTCACGCCCATTCTTTCCGATGACACACCTCAGATAAAGTTTTTGTTTCCAGGGAGGCAATTATCGTTACTGGTTTCCTAACCGGCAGTGAAGTTTTATCTGTGCTTTTTAAGGGGTTTTCTTGGTTCTTTGGGATTCGCGAGGGAACCAGATTTTTTCTGGCGGTCCGGGTTGGCCTAGTAATCGAACATAGTATTTTATATTTTTCGCACGGTTTCCTATATTTAAGGTAAAAACGCTTCCAAAAAAGGATGTATTGTGTGTGACAGCAGATGTACTTCTGTAATCTAAAAGTCACCCCGACTCAAGTACCCGTTTTTGGGCCACTTCTCTTTCAGGATGTCTCATCATTTCTCAATTCTCATTTTCATTTCCATTTTCAAATTATGCCTTTGGTAACCTATTCTATCTTTCTTCCAAATGTATTTTCGATGCTACCATTATCATGACAACCTTTTCATTTGTTATTATGTTTTCGCTAAATCCCGTATCAGACGCCGCTTGGGTCGAACTCTTTTTTTTTGGACTTATCCGTGCTATCTATGACTTATTAGTGCGCGCATTCTGTTTGATAGCAGATGTCCTTCTTTGGCCTAAAACTGCGCCTAAAACACTTTTTGAGGTCATTTCTTTTTCCTGGCTGTTTCTTTCATTTCACAATTTTGGTAACTTATTCTCGTTTTCTAATACATTTTCTATTTCTCGGAGCTAACTCTCTTTTTTCAGATAACAGTGAGCAGAAATGAGTGAAGAACAGCAGCTCCAGCTTCTTCATTTCATGGTAATCCTTCTGTTCCATTCTTGATAACACCTGTTTAGGAAATCACGGGCGAGAAGGACGAGAACATGGCCCGGGCCGTCCTCGAGTCGATGAACTTTGACATGGAGCGCGCCGTGGAGCAGCACCTCTCCAGCAATGCAGACATGTAAGCAATTTCGCGTTGATGGGACTATCCTATTTCCAGGGACGACGTGCACATCATCGAGCAGCCGCGCGAGCCGCGCCGGCCCACGCCCGAGATCATCGACGTCGAGACAGAAGCCGTCATCCCGGAGCTGGCCCCGCGCCGCCCGGCACCATTTCATCAAGCCACCCACATAGGTGTGCTTTTATTTCAAAATAGTTTCAATTGTGCTTTAGTCGAGCAGCCGTCTTCGTCGGCCGGGCCAAGCCGGAACACCCGCCAGCAGCGCAACGGCCACGACCGCGTGCTGCGCCCGTCGACGAGGCAGAGGCCGGCCGCTCGTTTCGCTCAAGGAATCGACGACGATGACGATGATTTCGAGCAAATGGACTACGATGACGTGGATCAGGCTAGTTTTTTTTACTAGTTTCCCCAGACCCTTTTTGAGTGGGCTATCTGAATGGCAGTGTTTTTTGTATAATAAATGGTTCTCGGACGCCGCCCACCTTTCCACATTTTCTTACCATCGCGACTTTATTGATTTTGTTGAAATAAAGTGTGCGATGTACGATGGTGCCTTGATTTCCGTTGCCCTACTTCCATACCGCGTGTGCATACCCGCTTTCGATTGCGCTAAATTTAAATACGCGTTTTTTTTGAGGAAGCTACCACCAGCTCATTCCCCTCCCCATTCGTTTCCCTACCCGGAATCTGAAACGAGAATGGGAATCCTCTATTCTGCTCCCCAGGTGCTTAACTATTCCCGGCAATTGTGTTGTTGTCGCGCGCCCGAAAAAGTTGAAACATTTGCTTCTTACTAATCTTTGTCTTTTTCAGGACGTCGGGGCGGACAACGGCACCAACGGCATCCCGCTGATCCCGAGCGACTATGGCGACATCCACGAGGCCATCAACAATTTTGTGACCGTGTTTGATGCTAGGTGAGGACGCATTTATTTTGACTAAATTTTGCTTTAGGTATCGGAACGGCGGCATCTCGGCCAAGTCGGCGCCGAACTTCTTCCACGGCGCCCTCCAGGACGCCGTGCAACAGGTTGGTGCCGCTTCCCAGACTAACTCTGCTTTTCCAGGCGTTCGATCCGGTTGGAGGCGGCGTGCAAGAGCGTCGCCCGCTCGCCCTCTACCTGCACCACGACCGCAGCGTCGCCGCCAACATTTTCCCGCAAGTAAGGCTTTTAATTTTTCCGTAAGTTTTTAAGATCCTCATGTCGGATGCCGTCTCCAGCCTCCTGCGCGGCCAATACGTCCTGTGGCCCTGGGACATCACCCACCCAGATCACAAGAACCAGGTACACACTCGGCTTACGACAATACTTTGGTGCTTTTAGCTACGTGACTGGATGTCGATCGGTTCGATGGACGAGGTGCGCCAGGTGTTCGAATTCCGCACCCGGAACCGCGATCTCTTCCCGATGCTCCTGCTCATCATCAAGGAGAAGGGCACGCTCAAGGTCGCCGAGTACATATCCGGTATACATACCTGAGCTTTACGAGTACATTTCTTTTTTATCTAGGAACGGATGCGAAAGAAGTGGCCGTGCAAAAACTGATGACCGTCCTCGACGCCTACAACCAAATTCGACTGAACTCAATGGCCGACGAGGCGGCACGCATCGAACGGGGTCGCCTACTAGAAGAGCAACGCCAAGAGTGGGTGCTATTATTTTTTACCTTTATTTTCGATTTCCGGCTTTGTTCATACAAACTTTGCTTTTTTGATTGATATATCTGCTTTTAGATACGAGGCCTCCCTGGCGGCTGACCGCGCCCGTGACGAGGCTCGCCAACGTGCCATTCGTGAACAGCAAGAAGCTGAGGAGAAGCGCATGCAAGAAGAAGTCGAGGAGGAGAATCGCCGGTTCGTTGTTTTCTTGTCCCCCTTTTGCAATCACTTTTATTCTAGGAAGCACGTGGAGCAGCTGCTGCCCGCCGAGCCCGCCGAAACGGAGGCCAACCTGATGCACATCAAGATGCGATGCCCGGGCGGAGAGCAGGTCCGTTTCTCGCCTTCTTACCTTTCAAAGCAGTTTGTTTTTAGCTGATGCGCCGCTTCCGACGCGCAGAGACCCTGGAGATGCTGCTCAACTACCTCGACACCAAGGGCTACCACACCGACAAGTACAAGTTCTTCAACTCGGATTTCCCGAAGAAGGATGTAAGTTTTTTTGTTGATTTGTTGCTTCCCTGCTTCGCAAGTGTCGCTAGTTCTCGTAGCCGTGCTGCACCTAATTACGTCGACTAATTTTCCGTTCCAGATCACCACCTTGGACAAGAAGTCGACGTTCAACGACCTGAAGTGGCCGGCCCGCGAGCAGATCTTCGTCGAAGAACTCTAAGGACACCACCCAGGAGGCGCTACTCAATTCACCCCTCCCCCACGCATTCGCACGAAGCCCTTTATTCGGCGAAAATTTTATTGTAACCGGTCATTTATGCCCTCATTTAAAGTCATCCTGCCGAGTGCCCTCTTTCTAGTTCTATATCCATTCATTTAACCCCTTTTTTGTTGTATACACCGAGGGTGCATGTGTGTGTGCGCGCGTGTGTGCACATTTTTGATCAACGAGTATCGGGTGCCGCCAAATTATATTCTTCTTCTTCCACGATACCCCCGCGTACCGATCTTTCTTCCCTCCACTCGCCACACAATTCCTTGTCTTTTTAAAAATCCCCTCCTTATTAGTCAGGCCCGCCCTTTCTTTGCTCGCCATTTTCGACCCCGGTTCTGCGCCCGGGTCCCATTGTTTTACCCGAATAAAAGTCGACATTTTGATGGTTACTCTATTTATTAAGAAACCGTGCAAAGCCGTACATCACAACAAACACGACGAAATGGGTGCCCTCGTAGAAGATCTTTGGCGCGAAGACGGACCAAACGAAGAGGTGTTGCCGGAAGACGAGCAGCTTGAACGTGCAAGCCGCCCCGCGAAATTCCCAGCTTTCGCCGTAGCCAATTCTGGTCTTTTTAGAACCCTTCATTCGTCAACACCCCGGTTTGGGCGCTTTTTCTTATAATTTTTCCCTGAATAAAAAACGAGAATTCTTCTACATGGTCAGCTCGTGTTTCTGGAAAAAAAACGCTTGTTTTTGTTTAGAGAAACTAACTCAATAGCCAGTATTGACGGCGCGTCCGGGTACGCTGGGATGGCCGAGTATCAGGCCAGCGAAATCAAGCGAAATTCTTAAAGATAAAATTTTTTAGCCATTGCTCGTAGGCGCCCAGATTCTGCTCCACTCCTACGCGGGCGTCATCGCGTTGCTGGTGTGCTAAAGTATACTCGCCATTTTCGAAAGCCTATAACTTTGTCCAGAAGCGTTTCCCAATCTTTTTTTCAACTGGAAATGCACAAGATCATCGAGCTGCATCGATTCCAGCCGAAAAATTGACATTTTGGGAACATACCGTAAAGTAGAATTTTCCCAAAACGTCTTTTAGGAAAGGTTGGTACTCAAAAGTAGAGCAAACCAAGATGGGTTTCGGAGGACGTTTGCGCCTGGAGCTTCTGGAGCAGCTGAGAAGTGTTGGTTTTGGAAAATGGCGAGGTGGCAGACACCCAAATTTTGCATAAGCGTGAAGTTTAGAATAAAAACGAAATAAAAAGCAACCACATTTTCCCACCCACCACGACCGAAGATGGCCGTCACGTTCATCGGCGTGTGCATGGTGTTGGCCATTCTGGCGTTCGCCTACAAGAAGGGCCTCATCCACCCCTACTTTGAGGTGGCGTTTCCTGGGTTTTCGCGTATTTTATTAGTGTTTTAGTAAACTTTTAACCAGATTTCAGGAACCTCCAAAAACCTTAAGATAATTTTTTAGGCAAAATTTTGGTAGAAGATTGGTATTTTTGGCTCAAAAATCCAGATTTTTTCATAATTTTTAATAATTCAATAAGAATTCAATTTTACGTCGAGGGATAGTAAAAAACGGTTTAGAAACACTGCCTATTTCGATAAGAAAACTCGGAGCTTAAAGTAAAAGCTTAAAGTAAACTGTAAAAGGTACTGAAGGGTTAGCGGGGGGATGTTTAGCAGGGGGAAAACAATTTTTCCCAGTAATCCTGTACGCTCCTGTAGCAAAATATAGACAATTTTTATCGTGGATACCGAGTTTTTAGGTAGAAAAAGTGCATAAAAAAAATAGGAACATTTTCAAAAACTGTGGGTAAAAATATATGAAAAATGGCCAAAAACAGTAAAAATTTTGAATTTTCGGAAACTTCTAGGTTTTTTCGTAGCTTTCTAGCAATCAAAAATACTAAACACTATAAAATTGCATTTTTTTGTTACAGGTACGTGTAAGCGGAAAAATAAAATTGGTTTCCCCCTGCTAACAGTCCAGTACCAGAAGGATCACACGATATTGCAACCGCCATTGGCGGAACCCCTTCTAAGCCACGCCCCCAATTCCAGATGCTGTACCGGCTGCACGACGACGAGTCGAAGAAGTTCCCGAGCGCCGAGCGTCTCCATCCGCCGCCTCCGTCGGTGCCAGGGCCCGGGCCACAGCAGTGAGGATCGGCTGCTTCACCCTCGCCATCTCTGCCCTCTCCGCTCTCTCGCCCCGCCCCCCGGATACACTTATAATCGAATTGGCCTACTATTTTGTGTGTGTGCGCGCGTGCTTTTCAGAATTAATAAATTGTTTATAATGGAGAGGTGAGAGGAAAGTAGCGGCCCAGAAAAAAACGAGAGAGAGAGAGAGAGAGAGAGAGAGAGAGAGAGAGAGAGAGGGGGGGAGAGAAAGAGCGAGAGAGAGAAAACGAATAAGCACATAAACCACATTAAAATTCAGAAAAACTACCCGATTTTCTGGCAATGGAAAGACAGCGAGAGAGCGATAGAAAGAGAGAGACAATTTTATAATGTTTTTAATTCCGTGTCGGTGGTGATATTGGAGGTGACCATGGATGTCGGCATTGTCGTCGGCTGCTGCGAGCTGAGCAACGAGTTCTGGAATGGGCAGGCTAGCAGAGATCATTTGGGAATAGAAGGGGCAGGCTAGCATAGATCATTTGGGAATGGAAGGGGCAGGCTAGCAGAGATCATTTGGGAATGGAAGGGGCAGGCTAGCAGAGATCATTTGGGAATGGAAGGGGCAGGCTAGCATAGATCATTTGGGAATGGAAGGGGCAGGCTAGCAGAGATCATTTGGGAATGGAAGGGGCAGGCTAGCAGAGATCATTTGGGAATGGAAGGGGCAGGCTAGCAGAGATCATTTGGGAATGGAAGGGGCAGGCTAGCAGAGATCATTTGGGAATGGAAGGGGCAGGCTAGCAGAGATCATTTGGGAATGGAAGGGGCAGGCTAGCAGAGATCATTTGGGAATGGAAGGGGCAGGCTAGCAGAGATCATTTAGGCACCCTACCTGCATCGAAGACGGATCCTGGCCTGGCAGCGGTTTTCTCCGGATGCAAATTGCGTCGAACATCTTTAGGAGGTAGCCCTGAAGAGTGATTTGAAGAGGATGCGAGCGAGTGAGAGAAAGAGAGAGAGAGAGAGAGAGAGCGAATGTCTGCAATACCTGTATGTAGTCGTACAACTCGATGCAAAGGTATCCACACATCCCTAGCAGCAAGAAGCAGAACGAGATCAGCAGGTATTCCTCGACGCTGGTGAACTGGAAGTTACAATGTCCTTAGTATAACCTAAGCATGGTATGCTTCTTTAAATCGCCGGCTTCCGAACTTACCCGGATCAACAGAAAGCCGGTGGCGATCCCGAGGCTCTCCCAGAAGCGGTAGCTGGCGAAGGCCAAATCTAGGGAATGCCGCCCGACAAGCGCCACCCAAAAGCCTGAAAGGGACGGATATCTCTCGCTTTCTCTTTCCCTCTCTCTCTATCTCGCTCTCTCTCCCGATCGCTCTCTCTCTCTCTCTCTCTCTCTCTCTCTCTCTCTCTTGAAAGTTTAATCAGCATACCATTAATCTGCGTATTCCAAACGCCGTCCGCCATGCCCCAGACGCCGGCCACCACGTAGAAGACCAACGAATCCGACGGGTTCAGCGACCAGATCTGAACCTTGCGAGGAGATGAACACCTTCTCTCTCTCACTCTCTCACGCTCTCTTTTCTCTCTTTCGCACACTCATGAAACCAGGGTGAATTTTGTGAAATCAAAGATCAACCCCACCCACCACCAGCGTGACGATCATCAACATGTTGATGACGGCGCCGAAGACGAACAACGGCATCCGGCCGAACAGCTTGATCAGGGGCCCTGATAGTGGAATAGTCGCAGAGAGCGAGAGGGAGACAGAGGGACAGACAGAAGAGAGGGCCAGGATTAGACTAACCAAAAACGAGGGAGCAAACCGCGTCCGCCACGCCGAACGCCGTCATGACGAACCCGATCTGGGAGATGCCCAGCCCGCACCCGACGAACGACTGGAAAATTGGAAAAATTCGATATCTTTTTAGAAACATCTCTTCCAAGGCACTAACAAGCCCAAAAATCGACCCTCCCAGCGACTAGGTCTAGACAGCTACGCGACGTGGTAAGGCACGAATGTGATCCCTTATTGTTTCTCATCCACAACGGCGGTCTATTGCCGCTATAAAACCGTGTTAACATGGGCGAGATTGAGTATCGCGCAGCTGCCTAGACCCAGTCGATGGAAGGGTCGGTTTCGGGCTTGCCGGTCCCTTTAAAAATACCTTGGTGTAGACGCCGACGACGAACGCCTGCTCGAGCCCGTTGAACAGGGTGAGTGGGATGAGGAGAAGCACCTGGAAAATTCGCAATAGAATCTCCGCGTCTCTCACTCTCTATCTCCTGCTCTCTCTCTCTCTCTCTCTCGCTCGCCTTCTCTATCTAGCTATCACACTCTCTCTCTCTTTTTGTCTCCATCTCTTTAGGTCTCTTGCTCTATTGGACCTACCCTAGAGAGTGCTTTAGAGTTTTATGTCGCTAGAGAGAGAGAGAGAGAGAGAGAGAGAGAGAGAGAGAGAGAGAGAGAGTGAGCGTGAGAGATAGAGAGAAGCGAGTGAGAGAGAGAAAGCGAGAGGGAGAGAGAGCGAGAGAGAGAGAAAGAAGACATACACAGCCTCGCTTACTTACCTTAATATTTGCGAAATTCTTCAATGATTGCTTCAGAATTTGCGCGTCGAACGAGGGCTTCTTTTGGCTAAAAAAAATCCCAAAATGCACCATTAAAGGAAAAAAAAACACGCGCGAAAATTGATTACTTCCGCCGACTAGGTCTAGGCATCTACCAAGAGCCCTCGATTAGCCATGAAAAAGCACCTGCGATCTGTCTAGACCTAGTCTCTAGAAAGAGTCGATTTTTGCGCTTAAAGGGCGTTGAAAAAAAATGTGATTTTGACGCACCGATTGACCGTGTCTTTGTGCAAAGCATTCAAGAACATGCACAGAATCATGACAGCCACGATGGCACACCCCAGATATGCCGTGCATACCTAAAATCCGAATGATGGGTTTTTTAAGGGATTCGTACAGAAAAACAGAGTTAAATATGGACAAATGCGCTATTTAGGTACGTACCGATACAATTGCCGATTGCGGTGGGCGCTCCAGGTTTTTGGCGGCCCTTGCCGAGAGATCCGAGAAATTCTTCGGGTAATCGTGGCCGCAACTAAACAAACCCAAATGATCTCTGCTAGCCTGCCCCTTCCATTCACAAATGATCTCTGCTAGCCTGCCCCTTCCATTCCCAAATGATCTCTGCTAGCCTGCCCCTTCCATTCCCAAATGATCTCTGCTAGCCTGCCCCTTCCATTCCCAAATGATCTCTGCTAGCCTGCCCCTTCCATTCCCAAATGATCTCTGCTAGCCTGCCCCTTCCATTCCCAAATGATCTCTGCTAGTCTGCCCCTTCCATTCCCAAATGATCTCTGCTAGCCTGCCCCTTCCATTCCCAAATGATCTCTGCTAGCCTGCCCCTTCCATTCCCAAATGATCTCTGCTCACGTGTGCATGGCGTGATCGGGTGGCGGCACAGATCCAATCGACGCCTCCAAGATGTATGACGACAACAGATTCCCCCCGACTTGACCGAGGTGGACGACCATGAAGAAGTACCCGAAAAACCTAATTAGAATGCGTAATCGATTATTCATGGTTATAGAGTACCTGACGATGACGGTATTCGGCGCCTCGACGTTCAGCTGCGCGTACCGGATGCCGCACTCGGTGATGTAGGCGCATTTGGCGCCCCAGAGACACGCGCCCGCCACGCCAGCCAGGATTGAGGACGGGATCAGCGAGTAGTATCTGGCGAAAGTTGATTTTTGTCTCCGCCTTTCTCTCTAGCTCTCTCTCTCGCTCTCTCTCTATCTCCCTCTCTCTCTTTCGCTTTCATTAGCTTACCTCGGCAAGAAGTTGGTAAAGATATATAGCGTGTAAATGACCATGGAGATGATCAGCGTCTGCTTGCAGCCGAGCCGGTCGATCATGAAGGAGGGGACGAAGAGGGAGGAGATGGCCAGCGAGACGTAGTGGGCCCTGGAGATAAGGGAATATGCCGCTAGCTCTTTCTATCTCTCTCTCTCTCTCTCTCTCTCTCTCTCTCTCTCTAACTCGCTCTCTCTCATCTCTCTCACTCTCACTCTCACTCTTCACTTACATCAGACTATCCGCCCCCAATCGACTGTTCACCGACGTCTGCAAGTTCTGCAGCCCATGAAATGCGGTGAAGAGGAAGAGAAACGCCACTGAGATGATCCACAAATTTGACTGAAATATGTGGTTATTTTGGAAGTCCAACTTTTCCAATTTACTCCCCCTTACACCCACCTTAATTTTTTGCATAATCTTGTCCGCTCGCCGCTTCTCAGCCCCGCTCATCTGAAGTCGCTTTTGCTTTCGGATGATCTTGGCGATGAAGTCTTGGCTGAAAAAAGTTTTGTTCTCTCCCTTTCTCTCTCTCTCTCTCTCTCTCTCTCTCTCTCTCTATCTCGCTCTCTCTCTCTGTCTTTCTCTCTCTCACTCTCTCTCGCTCTGACTCTCTATCTCTCGTTGTCTTACCTATAAATATAACTGGGCAAGCGTAGTGGTGAGTCCTCGGCCTCGTCGACGCTGTTCATCAACGTCTGCATCGTGATCAGCTTGTCCTGAAGCGTAGGTTTTTTCATGAGTTTTTTTACGCTCGACGCTTTCAAGGAGACGTTTTTTCAGTGAAAGTCGAGTTTCCGTACCGGAACAAGCCCATTTTTTTGCAGAATTTTGCGCTGATTGCCTTTTTTGAAAATCTGCGAAACGATCAGATCGTAAAAGTTATGAAGGTTTTGACGGCGGAAGACCGAGATTTGCTGAGATTGGGCCGTTTTAGGCCTTTTTCGCACTTAAAACATTCTTCACTTTTTGAATCCTATCGTTTCGCAGATTTTGAAAACAGGCTCGGGATCAGCGCGAAATTCTGCACAAGATAGGCTCGGTCCCATAGAAAATATCGACAATCACTAAAAAACGTCTCCCTGTTAGCCGCCGGAGAAGAGCCGTACTCCATTAGGCAATGAAAAGGTAAACGCGCGCGTTGCGTGTTGCGGATTTCGCAAATCCATAGACATCATGTTGCCTTGCTTGTCCCTTTAAAAGGAAGTTTAAATGGGTAAAAACTGACCTTCCGTCTCCTCACCCTCCTTCGACTCCCATGTACGGGACAGTACGGATCGTACTCGTGCTCCGGCTCCAAATCCGCCGGGAATTCACCCATCTCCTCCAGGCTGGCGCCCCGAAACAGGTACGAGCTGGAACGTTACAGATTTAATATCAAATTACTTTTTTGAAAAGACTGATAAGGTAAAAAAGGGCACTGGACTGTTAGCGGGGGAGGGGTTAGCAGAGGGGCAACACTTTTTGGTTTTAGCTTTTTTTAGCGTTTTAGCTTTTTGGCTTTCGGTTCTGGCTCACACAAAAGTTAAAAATAACCGAAAATTTAGACTTTTTTGGCGAGTTTTTTACGGATTTTTGATCAAAACGTCCTATTTTTGAAAATTTTTAGACTTTGTAGGAACTTTTTATCTCTAAAAATCATGTTATATGATAGGAAAATGGTTTATGTTTTGTTATATAGGTTACTATGAAAAATTTCCTTACTTCCTTACCATCGCCGCTAAAAATCCCTCCGCTAACAGTGCAGTACCAAACAAAGTGAATACGAATTCGGTATACTTAAAAACCGACCATTTCTCAGGCTGTGGTGGCCGTTCCTCTTTTTCCTTAGCTGACAGCAGGTCGGTGAATGAGAACTTTTTCTCCTCACGGCAAAATTCGAAGGGACGCTGGCAGAAGTCGTCGAGTGGGTTTTCTGTACGGAAGGCGTTAATGCGAGAGAGCGAGAGAGAGAGAGAGAGAGAGAGTGTGAGAGAGAGAAAGCTAGCGAAATACCTGGTAGCTCCTCATCGGGCGCCGTCTCATGGATGACATCCCGCCGCTTGGCGACAAGCCCGATTTTTTCGAAAAAATTCCGCCCCACTTTCCGGAATGTGTCGAAAGCCGGGGATCTAAAGCAGGATTTACGAAAAAATTTGGTGCGGAGCCTGAGCCTAAGCCTAGGCTTGAGCCTAAGCCTGAGTCCAAGCCTTTCGAATTGTCTGTGTCTTTTGCCTTCAAAGCTCTTCCTTGTATTTGATCGATTTTTAAAGACCGGGAACTTCTAAATTCAAAGTTGGAAAATGTCTGCTCGCGTCAACTAGGTCTAGACAGTTGCGTGCAGCTCCCAAATACTCATAGCAGCGCGCTTTTTCCGAAATCCTCTGGAAGGCTAGCAGAGATCATTTGGGAATGGAAGGCGCAGGCTAGCAGAGATCATTTGGGAATGGAAGGGGCAGGCTAGCAGAGATCATTTGGGAATGGAAGCGCAGGCTAGCAGAGATCATTTGGGAATGGAAGGCGCAGGCTAGCAGAGATCATTTGGGAATGGAAGGCGCAGGCTAGCAGAGATCATTTGGGAATGGAAGGCGCAGGCTAGCAGAGATCATTTGGGAATGGAAGGCGCAGGCTAGCAGAGATCATTTGGGAATGGAAGGCGCAGGCTAGCAGAGATCATTTGGGAATGGAAGGCGCAGGCTAGCAGAGATCATTTGGGAATGGAAGGCGCAGGCTAGCAGAGATCATTTGGGAATGGAAGGCGCAGGCTAGCAGAGATCATTTGGGAATGGAAGGCGCAGGCTAGCAGAGATCATTTGGGAATGGAAGGCGCAGGCTAGCAGAGATCATTTGGGAATGGAAGGCGCAGGCTAGCAGAGATCATTTGGGAATGGAAGGCGCAGGCTAGCAGAGATCATTTGGGAATGGAAGGGGCAGGCAAGCAGAGATCATTTGGGAATGGAAGGGGCAGGCAAGCAGAGATCATTTGCGAATGGAAGGGGCAGGCGAGCAGAGATCATTTGGGAATGGAAGGGGCAGGCAAGCAGAGATCATTTGGGAATGGAAGGCGCAGGCTAGCAGAGATCATTTGGGAATGGAAGGGGCAGGCAAGCAGAGATCATTTGGGAATGGAAGGGGCAGGCAAACAGAGATCATTTGGGAATGGAAGGGGCAGGCAAACAGAGATCATTTGGGAATGGAAGGCGCAGGCTAGCAGAGATCATTTGGGAATTGGGGCCTGTCTAGACCTAGTCAACGGCAGGGATCGATTCTGCGCCCGCTATTCCCCTTGAGGATCCCACCCAATCGTCTCGCCCGGCTCCAACTCGTCGCCAAACCCGGCGCCGGCAAAGTAGTATCCATCCGTGTTCTTGGGGATGAAGGCGAGGGCAAATGCGCGTTGCTCGCTATACCACGCCCCATCAACTACCGTACTCCGGCATTGTTGGTGCTGGGGTTTCTTGCGGAATTCGTGAAATGTGGCGTAGGCGAGGGTGGGTGGGGGTTGTGGAGGGGTCGGCTCGGCAGATGGGTCTCGAGAGGAGCGAGGGCTGTAGAGGGATGAGGTCGAGATCCGGATCGTTAGGGAGGGGAGGTGCGGAGCGGAGGAGGGGCCTAACGAGCTCGTCTTCTGGCGCCGGCGCACCACCTGGCGGGTCAGGCTGGTGTTGCCTGAAGTGAGGAAATACGGTCAGGGGATTGGGATTTTGCACGAGTACCGTACGACGAGATTTCTCTCTCTCTCTCTCTCTCTCTCTCTCTCTCTCTCTTTTTCTCTCTCCCTCTAGAACTCTCGATCTCTCTCGCTCTCTCTCTAGCTCTCTCTTTTCCTCTATCTCTCGCGCTCTCCTTCTCGCTCCCAAATCCTTCAAAAAATGGCTAAAAATCACTGCCAGCAATCCATCAGAGATTCTTTGAGGAATTCCTGAAAAATCCACACACACCCGACATCGACGAATACGTTGCCATCGTCGTGCTGTACGGGTTGACGACGTTGCTCAGCAGCCGTGCATTCAGCCCCTCCCTCGGGGCGCTCATCGACCGTAGATGGTTTCTTATGTGGCTGTGGATTTGCTCTTCGCTCTCGCCGCGCCGTTCCGCGCTCCTGCGCTGCCTATCGGGCTTCCCGCTGCTATTTGGTGCCTCGGCCTGGCCATCCGGGCCTCGCCACGGGAAAATTGGCATCGTGGGGGGCTGTGCTTGGTGCTCTCGTTACAGTAATCGCATCTGTAAACTTCGGACTTTGTATGAAGAAATGAAGGAATGAAAGTACGTTTGATGACAAACTACGGGATAAGTATACGTATTTTCCGCAAAGATTCATTCGGAAAAATGGGGACAAGCTAGCAGAGATCGTTTGGGAATGGAAGGGGCAGGCTAGCAGAGATCATTTGGGAATGGATGGGGCAGGCTAGCAGAGATCATTTGGGAATGGATGGGGCAGGCTAGCAGAGATCAGGTGGTTGGGTGAGAGCGGGGAAGAGAGAGAGAGAGAGAGAGAGAGAGAGAGTGAGAGAGAGAGAAAGAGACGGAGAGAGAGAGAGAGCGAGGGTGAGAGAGATCCAGTTAAAAAATGCAGCCAAAACCGTATAGCTGCATAGATTACAAAAACGAACTCTGCAAATCGGCGCGAAAATTACTGTCACGTTGCTTTAACGAGCTGCCCATCGCGGGAATCGACCCCACTGATGGATTATTAGCATCAAAGTAAAACATAGCTAAGGTTTGGCTAGCTGTCTAGACCTAGTCAACGCAAGGAGTCGATTCCTGAGCCCGTTGGGCCCTTTAAAGTAACACTGGTATTGCTGTAGATCCAGATTTCGGGCCCAAGGCGCCCATAGACATAAATCTCTGGCTGATAGACGGAAGGGACCACCCTGCCCGGCAAATTGGGCAAGTTCTTTATGAGTTGAGGAGGAATCCTCACACTAGCTCTCTCTCTCTCTCTCTCTCTCCATCGCCGCGTACGCAAAAAGCCGCGAGTGATGGCCCACAAAATGGGCCATTGGCTTGCTTGGGCTCCTCAGCAAAAAAGTCATCTCTCATGGCCAACGCCAATGTTGTAATGAGCACCACCACCCGGTTCCGCGAGGAGCCGCAACCAGGGGGGTTTGCGTAAAATTCCGTTACGCTACGCCGAACACTTGGGAATTGGTGGGGTAGGCTAGCAGAGATCAGTTGGGAATGGAAGGGGCAGGCTAGCAGAGATCATTTGGGAATGGAAGGGGCAGGCTAGCAGAGATCATTTGGGAATGGAAGGGGCAGGCTAGCAGAGATCATTTGGGAATGGAAGGGGCAGGCTAGCAGAGATCATTTGGGAATGGAAGGGGCAGGCTAACAGAGATCATTTGGGAATGGAAGGGGCAGGCTAGCAGAGATCATTTGGGAATGGAAGGGGCAGGCTAGCATAGATCATTTGGGAATGGAAGGGGCAGGCTAGCAGAGATCATTTGGGAATGGAAGGGGCAGGCTAGCAGAGATCATTTGGGAATGGAAGGGGCAGGCTAGCAGAGATCATTTGGGAATGGAAGGGGCAGGCTAGCAGAGATCATTTGGGAATGGAAGGGGCAGGCTAGCAGAGATCATTTGGGAATGGAAGGGGCAGGCTAGCAGAGATCATTTGGGAATGGAAGGGGCAGGCTAGCAGAGATCATTTGGGAATGGAAGGGGCAGGCTAGCAGAGATCATTTGGGAATGGAAGGGGCAGGCTAGCAGCGCTTCTTGACGGAGTAATCAGGAAAAACAGCAAGATTGAAGTGATAGTTTTGCAAGTTTAGAACCTGGCAAACTAGCAGAGATCATTTGTGGATTGGTGGGAGCTGGCAGTGATTCTTTAAACAAACAACAAGGAACGAAAGATGCCACAGCTGGGAATGCAACACTTTCAGCCGTTCCTTCCTCAACCCCCCCCAATGTTTGATGGCCCTGAAGGGGTACGAGAAGTGGGGGAGTGTAAGGGGTATCATAGTGTAGTGAGAGAGAAGGAGAGAGAGACAGAGAGAAAGAGAGAGAGAGAGATGGCCACATGCGGCAGCTTCCCGCTATTTATCACACCTGCCCCCCATCCACAGCCAAATCCACACAGGTATCTAGGCCCTCGGCCGGAGGGAGGAAGAACAAATCGGCATTTTAAAGGGACTGACAAGTGCCAATGAATTTTATGCCGTAATCTATTGGCAAAACTTTTAAAAATACCCAAGACTTAGTACATAAATGACTGCCTTTAATTTTGAGAAATGGATCGGCCTTAGGAAAAAAGGATGGGCACAAATTTTACGTAGTTTACATTTTACCTGTCGTAATGGTTTCAAGGGATAAAAACATCAAAACGGCAAAAATTGAGGTAATTTTAAGTCATAATTCATTGGGCAAGCGATCGATTGTGATGCCGCCCTCTTACGGGCTTGTATTTTTTGTTCGCTCCCTTTCTCACTCTCTCTCACTCTCTCTCTCTCTCTCTCTCTCTCTCTCTCTCTCTCTCTCTCTCTCTCTCTCTCTCTCTCTCTCTCTTTCTCTCTCTCTTTCTATTTCTCTCTCCCGCTCTTTCTTTTAGTCTAGCTCTCTCTCTCTCTCTCTCTCTCTCTCTCTCTCTCCCTGCGAACTCTAAAGATACGCAACGCGTATAACTTTTAGGGTAGGCTAGCAGAGAACTTTTGACCTCCCTTACCAATTTTTCTTAACTTTCCGATTGTTAGTTATGTACTGTACTGTATATGTAATGCTTCGTAGCGTGAATAATTACTTACTAAAAACCATAATCTAAACCGTACTTGCTTCGATGGCGCTTCTCCGACCGCTCCTCCTCCAATATCTCCTTCCCAAGCGCCTCGAGCTCGGCCTCATCGAGGTTGAGCAGTATCTAGAAATTCGGGGTTACGGTAATGCTCAAGTGCAACGTTTAGACAGCACAGAGACAGTAAACAGGGTCGACAGAGACAGCGCGTGTTTTAGGAAGAGAGGAAAATTTCGGAAAATGGTTACGGTAGTCTTCAAAAATAGGTTTTCCACCTCCTTATGCTCGTGGCTGAGACGCAGGCTGCGGCTGGAGAGATTCTAGGAATTGGGGCAGGTATCGACACGCAAAAAATGGGATACGGTACCACACAATGTTGTAGTTTGCGCAAAACAACCACAACAAGCTATAACTTGAACGACTCATGCAACAAAAAACAGCCTTCAAGGGGCTGAGAAGCGCGAAAATCGACCTCCTTATCGCCAAGGTCTAGACAGCTGTGATTGGCGCTTCCACTCTTGCCTTAGCGTTTGCATAGCCGTCTAGCGGCTAGACCTAGCCGGAAGAATGGCCGATTTGGCACTTCCTAGCTCCTTTAAAATGCGAGCTGCATACCCCATGCAACTTCGACGAGGCGCCCGATTTTTCGCTGGCCGACCGATGGACGCCTTTGGGCTGAAACGAAGGTAAAAGCAGACAAGGCAAGCTAGCAGAGATCATTTTGGAATCGAAGGGGCAGACTAGCCGAGATCATTTGGGAATGGAAGGGGCAGGCTAGCAGAGATCATTTTGGAATGGAAGGGGCAGACTAGCAGAGATCATTTGGGAATGGAAGGGGCAGGCTAGCAGAGATCACTTTGGATGACACAAGACACAAAGGCGGGTTCCAGCGTAGCAACAAAAAGCGGAAGCAGGCTATAATTGAGCGAAAGCTTTAGAAGCAAGCAGGTTTAAGCGCAAAGCCAGCGATGCGAGGGAGGGCTTCAAACAATCAAATCAAAAAAAAATCAAAACTCAACTTACCCCGCGCGGAATCGGCGAGCATGAGCGTCGTGGGCCCGAGAACTAAAATTGTAATTTTTTTCAGGTTTTTCATGTTTTGGCCATTGGATCGGTTTCTTTTCTGGCTCTATCTCTCTCTTTCTCCCTCTCTCACTCTCACTCTCTCTCCCCCTCTCTCTCTATCTCGAAAGGGTTGTTGAATCAGAATCGACCCTGGCCTTCAACTAGGTCTAGACAGCTAAACCCGCCGCCAGAAGCGGCATTGAATCCTCCAATCCAACAGCAACGGCGGAACGGGTGAGATAGTGAGAGAAAGAGGGTGGGAGAGAGAACGAGAGAGAGACAGTGAGAGACAGAGGGTTGATGAATCCCTGTCACGCTGCATTAAAAACCGACCCCGGCCGGGCTGAGGTACATAACAGAAATATTTCTTAAACGAATATAGAAACCACGGCACCTCACTGTCGACCCCAGAGACCTTTGAGGGGCTTCTCGTAGTACGGGTTCCGTCGGCTTCATCCCCGCCCAGCGGCTCGTCCACCAGGTCCCACGCGTTTCCGTCCATGGCCCTGGCGAGAGATAGAGATAGAGAGAGAGAGAATGAGAGAGCGAAAGAAAGAGAAATTTAGAGAATTAGAGATGCAGATGGTGCCCTTCCCGAGGGCGAGAATCACCTCCACGTGTGGCTGAATGGGTGCCCCGGGGCGTTGGAAAGACCCTGTAAAAATTTTATAGCTTTTGGCTAGATACTAGACAAAGGGTCTCTGCTTGCCTGCCCGAATTCCAGTTCTTTCCTCACAAGCGGGGGGAGGCTAAGTTTATTTTCCATTAGGTACAGGACTGTTAGCGGGGGGAGAGGGGCATTTTTAGCGGGACAGAATTGTTATCTTTCCACCCAAAACTACCAGTTAATGATCAATACTGTATCTTTAAGATGTTCTTAGTAGTTTTTGATGGCCAGGAAGTCCTAGAAAATATTTTTTACTTGTGAAAAATCGATGATTTTGACATTTTTGCGCATTTTTCATGAATTTTTGACAAAAAAGCCGAAAAATTCGAGAATAGCTACGATATTTTATGATCTTTTTGCTGGTAACCCCCCTGTTAGCAGATAAATACCCGTTTCTCAAATTCGAACAAGAATCCAAATGTGTAAGGGCAGGCTAGCAGCGATTCTTTGCGGAATTCAAGTGATGGTAACTTGCAAGCGGAAGACGGTCCCATCAGCTAACTCAGAGATTCTTTGATGAAACGCCAAAATAGACTAGCAGAGGTTCTTTGAGAATACCAAGCAGAGGGGCAGGCTAGCAGGGCTGCTTTGCGGAAGCTGCCAACCGAAAAGCCGTGCAATTTGTGCCCTCGGGATATCACTGCCGCCAGCTACTAGCCCCGGCCATTCGAAAAGACAAGCCGTACAAGAAAGACGCACAAAACGGAAAGGGGAGACAAACAGACAGAGACATCAAGAGACAAGCATGCCCTCGGGGCACACGATGTGTAAGGAGAAGCCACAGGGATACGGCCCTGTTGCTCCACAAGAAGCGGCCGGAAATGAGCGTGTGTATGTCACGATTGAATTGCCGGAAAAAAGACAGGGGCAGGCTAGCAGAGATCATTTGGGAATGGAAGGGGCAGGCTAGCAGGGATCATTTGGGAATGGAAGGGGCAGGCTAGCAGAGATCATTTGGGAATGGAAGGGGCAGGCTAGCAGAGATCATTTGGGAATGGAAGGGGCAGGCTAGCAGAGATCATTTGGGAACGGAAGGGGCAGGCTAGCAGGGATCATTTGGGAATGGAAGGGGCAGGCTAGCAGAGATCATTTGGGAATGGAAGGGGGCAGGCTAGCAGAGATCATTTGGGAATGGAAGGGACAAACCTGCAGAGGTTTTGTAGCCTTAACGTAACCTTGAAAAGGCCTAAATCTTCACGCATTTCTCAACCAGTTACGCCACCAAATTTGGGGCCCCTAAGGCCCCCCAATCATCTGGCGGGCCTGAGAAGCTTTGCCTGTCCGCGCTAGAGTGATAAGCCCGGTGGTGGACACTTTGGACTTCCCCCAGACGGCACTTGCCCTCAATGTTATTGCCTATTTTTAGCGCAGCGCGCTGCTAATCTGCCTCCCAAAAATTGCCCTTTATCTGGTTAGATATACCTATTTCGCTATTTTATATCATAAACGTGTTTAAGAACATTTTAAAGGGGCTTGAAGGCAATTTCTCTAGACCTAGGCTCGGGAAGGGGTCGATTTTCGCGCTTTTTGGTACCTTTAAAATAGAATTTTGTATTTTTCAGGATACCCACCCCTCTGACTCAGCACCAAAATATGCTAATCCTCGACGAGTCGGCCCCGCTGCTCGGCCGACCGGGTGGGTTCAGTTTTCACAAACTTTTTGTTTGAATTTGTTGGGAAGTGTCTGTCAGGCAATATCTTGCTCTCTCTCTCTCTCTCTCTCTCTCTCTCTCTCTCTCTCTGTCCTGGTCTCCCCCTCTTTCTCTCGCAATTGTCTCGAATTAATTTGCTTTTCAAAATTCTATCGTAACCATGGCCAGAAAAGGCTCATAAATGAACAGCTTCAGCTTAATTCCACAGCTTCTCCACCCTTTCAAAATTTTATGAGGCACCGTCTTTGACAGACAGCCGCCCCTTCCAAACCCCCCGGAAATGGACAGCCCGCCGAATATTTGGGTGCTTTTTAAAGGGCCCTATCTGCTCTGTCTCTCCATTCTTTACTATCTACGGCAACAGCTCGAAGTTGACGCCTATTTTGCGGGCTTTTCGAGGAGGTCGCGGATTTGTAGATGGTTTCGCGAAGTATGTGGAGATATCAGCATCCGTCTCGCTCTCGCTCTCTCACGCTCCCTCTCTCTCACTCTGTCTCTCTCGCTGTCTATCACTGTCTCTCGCTTTCGGGCCAGCATTTTGGAAAATATCCAAAATTTTCAATATTTTTTCCGAGGCAAAAACCCCCAGCATTTGTTTTGAAAATATTCGGCGCCTGGGACTGCCACTGTCTCCACGGCAAAACAAACTTCAATCAATGCATTTTTTCACGAAACTCTCCTTTTCGGGAATATTTTTAACTTCGCCTATTCCCAAATGATCTCTGCTAGCCTGCCCCTTCCATTCCCAAATGATCTCTGCTAGCCTGCCCTTCTATTCCCAAATGATCTCTGCTAGCCTGCCCTTCTATTCCCAAATGATCTCTGCTAGCCTGCCCCTTCCATTCCCAAATGATCTCTGCTAGCCTGCCCCTTCCATTCCCAAATGATCTCTGCTAGCCTGCCCCTTCCATTCCCAAATGATCTCTGCTAGCCTGCCCCTTCCATTCCCAAATGATCTCTGCCAGCCTGCCCCTTCCATTCCCAAATGATCTCTGCTAGCCTGCCCCTTCCATTCCCAAATGATCTCTGCTAGCCTGCCCCTTCTATTCCCAAATGATCTCTGCTAGCCTGCCCTTCTATTCCCAAATGATCTCTGCTAGCCTGCCCCTTCCATTCCCAAATGATCTCTGCTAGCCTGCCCCTTCCATTCCCAAATGATCTCTGCTAGCCTGCCCCTTCCATTCCGAAATGATCTCTGCTAGCCTGCCCCTTCCATTCCCAAATGATCTCTGCTAGCCTGCCCCATCCATTCCCAAATGATCTCTGCTAGCCTGCCCCTTCCATTCCCAAATGATCTCTGCTAGCCTGCCCCTTCCATTCCCAAATGATCTCTGCTAGCCTGCCCCTTCCATTCCGAAATGATCTCTGCTAGCCTGCCCCTTCCATTCCCAAATGATCTCTGCTAGCCTGCCCCTTCCATTCCCAAATGATCTCTGCTAGCCTGCCCCTTCCATTCCCAAATGATCTCTGCTAGCCTGCCCCTTCCATTCCCAAATGATCTCTGCTAGCCTGCCCCTTCCATTCCGAAATGATCTCTGCTAGCCTGCCCTTCTATTCCCAAATGATCTCTGCTAGCCTGCCCCTTCCATTCCCAAATGATCTCTGCTAGCCTGCCCCTTCCATTCCCAAATGATCTCTGCTAGCCTGCCCCTTAAAAACCCGATATTGCACCATTACCGTACCCTAATTCCAGGAGCGTCATCCCCTCCCGGCTGTGCGCGAGAGCATCATGAAGGACCCCCCACATCCGGGCCCGCAGATTCTGGAGCTGAAGCAGGTGGGCAGGCAACAGATGACGTGCAATGGCCTTTGCCTGACGATGAAACGCATGATTTCTACCGTAAACACTCGCTGCTGCTGAGAAATGCGCTTGAAAAGGTTGCTGGGCAAAAAAATAAGAGAGAGAGAGAGAGAGAGAGCGAGCGTTTTTATGCTGTTCCGTTTTCAAAGCAGATTTTCATGTGGTTTTGGCGTGCCGTGAAGCTGTCTAGGCCTAGTGCACGAATGGGTAGATCCCGCCGCATGCCGGTCCCTTTAATCCGGCGCCCGTAAATGCGACACCGCCCCGGCGGCTTTTCAATATCCCGCAAATCCGGGGCCCATTGTCCTGCTTGGGCCCCAGCCCCGCTATTTATTTTATACCCCCCCCGTTGCGAATAAAACACAAGGAAATCGATTCGCGCCCCAGACATTCGCCCCCCGCTTCCCGATTTTCCGTCTGATTCATCGCTTACATAAATTTACGCGCGGCGCGTCGCGTGTTTTTACGGCTGAAATCGGAAACTAAAAAGTCATTTATTCATTTTTGCTATCAATTTTGGGCCTAAAAACCAAACTATCTTCTTCGAAAATCCATTCGTGGCTTTATTTCTATTTTATTCCGATCTAATCTGAACAAATACGACTAAAACCATCGAAAACCACGTTTTGCCGTGATTTTTCTGATTGAAAAAGCAAGAATACCATTTTTTAACCCTAAATAATAAATAATCGATTATAAAGGGTATTCCTGATTTTATTCTTACCATTCTTCTAACAAAAACTTGCTAATAATCCAAGGAATCCATATTTCTAATTACTATTGATTGAAAACTGCCAAAAGCGTTTTCTAAAAACTCTTCTCCGCTAAAAAACGATGCACGCGGCCGCCTACACCCCGAATGACTACCAAATGGTGCCATTTTTATCGGATGGCACGACGCGGGGATGCATTAGACAGGTTTGATAATTTAAAGGGATCAGAATGACAAAACTTCACATGAATTTTTCGATTTTCACACAGTGGAACTTGTATGACCCGATTTTAGTGGCCTACGTTTTCCTTACATCGTGCCACCCGCGTGGCACGTTGTAAGGAAAAAGGTAAAATGTTACGTGTAAGAACGAAAAACTGCAGGCTCCTCAACCTGCCTTCATCACCAAAAAAACACAAATGCTGCCGCGTTTCAGGCTCAAAAAGTGGCCCGGCTAGTCGTATATTGCATAGGTCGCCCGGGTTTTGAGCGTGACGCAAACTGATAAGCCGGCTTAACCCACGCGCTATCATATTTGGCCTTGCCACCGCGGCCCGGCGCCATTGATTTTCAACGAAATTCGCCGTGCATTCTCAGCTAGCCGAAGGTTGTTGTCGCCTTCAAAATGAACAATTGCCACTTTTTCGGAATTTCAGTAAAATTAATGAACTTTAGCGCCATGGACACGAAAAAAAAAACGATGGTCGGACCGTTTTTATGATCCATAAACCTTAGAAACATAGTTTTTTATGGATTTTTGATACTCTAAGGTTATTTTCGACGAATTTAACAAGAATTTCTTTGTTTTAAAAGCCAAAATATCTTTCTCAAAGCTTCAGAACAAGAAATATTATCGTCAACGTAATAACCGCAATTTTTTTTATTCCTAAACATTCTAACGAAAATTTTTCTTGCGAAATTTAGCCGATTTTTCCTTTTTACCAGTGAGGGCAAGAGTACGCCCCACTACTAAGTTGATAGCGGTCACGTGCGCTCTCTGCATTTTCGCCCGGATTTAGCTGGGCTACTCCATTGTCCCCCAATCAACAAACGTTAAAAACTTTTTTCTATCTGAATCATGCCCTTTTTTCAGCTCCAAATGGTGCGGGGGCGCGCGTCGAACCGGACACGAAGCAGCCAGGCCAGCAGCCAGTCCGTCAACACTTCAGAGGGGTTGGGAAGACGGCCCCTTCTTTATGTACTTTTCCAGATTTGACGCGGATCCCGTCAACTACGAAGAAGCCCTCGAGCAGCTTCCCCCAGATGAGAAGGACCTGGGCGAGCGGCTGAGGCGGCATTTACAGTTCTTCTTCCTGGACCCCATGGAGAAATGGAAGGTTAGTGGTCGTTTCATAAAAGGAAAGGCTCGCCTAGGTTCGCCGGCAATTCCCCTTCAAGCTGGCGCTGCAAATTTTCAAGATTATCCTCGTGACGTCACAGGTTTGGATAGCCTTCCTCGTAAACGCCAAAATTCTCGTTCAGCTAATCCTCTTCGCCGAGATGAGGATGTCGCACGTCGATTTTATGGAGGACACGAATACGGTGATGCGACACAAGTTTTTAAAGGTATAGTCCGAGTCTCTGGGCTTGAAATTGGGACCTTAGAACTGGGACGACGACCGGGATGCCGTGCAATATCCTCCGAGCGAGGGCCGATATGCCGTTTACGACGGGAAGGGCATCTTCGAGCATTTGGGCTTTATCATCACGGCGGTGAGCTTTATCGGGGTTTCCCGCTCTTTTTTATATAAGTAAAGCTTTCTTCATGCTTCTCGCTCAATTCTAGTCTCTGAATTGTTCTTTCGCATTATCGGGGGGAGCCGAGTTTTTTTCCTATACGTCCAGAAACCCCTAATAGGGGTATAGTAAGGATTTTAATAGTGTTTTAGTAGAATGTAACTATTTTCGAATGGAAAACAATAAAAAACTTCTAAAAATCTTCTTTCTAACAACATTTTGGTCGAAAATTGGGTTTTTTAGGCAGAAAATCTATATTTTTGTATTTTTAAAGAAATTTTTGAAAGTTTAACGCGAAAGAACCATATCACTTTAGAGATAGTTCTCTGCTAGCGATTTACGAAAAGATCAAAGATATGCTTTTTTCAGTACTACTCGATCCAAAACGAGTCGTTCGCCTCGTTCAGCTACGACAGCCACAAGTTCTCGATCGCGCACTTCATGAGCCGCAACGCGTCGCTGAACGCCGGCATCAAATTCGACGACATCCCGCCGATGCAGGTACATTTGCATCTGGTCTTCTCCACTAGCCTGTTACTTTAGTTGTGCTTCGACCGGATAGCAAGCGTGACGGTGAAGAACAACACCTACGAATTCGACATCAACAATGTTTACGGTAATTTTTGCATTTTGCGCTTGAAAATCGCTTGTTCTAGAGTGTTCCGCGCTGAACTTGACGGAGGCGGAGGTGGCCAGCATCCACGAGGACCCGATGAGAGTTGAGGAGGCTTTCAAGAAGCGATCGATCACCTTCAAGTTGGTCGTTTCTCTTTTTTTGACGATCTACCACTTATTTTTCAGCCCGGAGGACGCGCTAAGGATCTCGAAGATGATCCTCAAGTTCAGCCTGCGCACCATTCACTTTGCCCCCGTGACGGCGGATCAGACCCCGGAGTGCTATCGCATTAATGTAATTAATTTTGTGAAGTTCAATCTAGCTGTATTTTTTCTGCATTTTGGGCGATTTCCTATCTACTTTTTACCAGTTTTTCGGCTAGACAATTCGTAATATAGCTTTTAAAAAAAGCAACGTGAATACTGGCGCAGATTTAGAAATTGCTAGCCAAAAAGATTCCAAAGACGAATTTTCCACGAAGTGAAAATGCCCTTTTTTCACGTTTAACCCGTGTTTTCAGGTCTCGCTGATCTTTGACAACTCGCGGCACACCGGCCAGGTGCACGTGCTCATCCAGACGGAGATCAACTACGAGCACGTCTGCAATGGGCGCATTTTGAAAGGTATTTCGTGTGTTTGAACCTTTGAAAAATTCCACTTTTACACATGACCAAATGGCTTTCTGCTAGTATTTCACGCAAAAATTCCGGGTTCGATTCCCGTCTAGGCTTTTACACAAAAATCAAAAACGTTCACTTTTTAGGTAGCATCCTGCCCTACGACACCGTCCTCATGGCGGTCATCGACGTCCTCGTCCTGTTCATGTGCCTGGCGTCGCTCATCCTCTGCTCCCGTGCCCTAATCAAAGCGCACCTTCTTAAAAATGTTTGTTATTATCTAATTGCAATTCTTGGATTTTCAGAAGACGGTCGACTTCTTCGAGAAGGTGCTCCAGCAGCCGATAATGCTCAGCGATCGATTGGAATTTGTGAATTTATGGTAATTCTTGTCATTTCTCTGGAATTCAAACCTCTAGGTACGTGATGATCCTCGTCAACGACGTGTGCATCATCATCGGCACCGTTTGCAAGGTCACCATCGAGTTCAGGGTACGGCCTTGATTTAGAATTCATTAGTGACGTTTTTAGGATTTTGACAATGACATCTTCACGATGACGGGCATTTTGTTGGGCGTCGGCACGCTGCTCGTCTACGTCGGCGTGCTGCGCTACTTCAAGTTCTTCAACAAGTACAATGTGAGGGATTTCGCTGCTTTTTTGTTTAACCAACGTGTTTAGATTCTGATGTTGACGCTGAAGAAGTCGCTGCCGAACATAATGCGGTTCCTTAGCTGCGCGGCCGTCCTCTACACGGGTTTCCTGTTCGCCGGCTGGCTGATTATCGGGCCGTACTCGATGAAGGTGCGGCCGATTTTTCGAATTGCTAAAATTTTTCTTTGTCATTTTAAAGATATTTTTACTAAAATTCCCTTTTCTTAACACCGGCTCAGTGCCGAGCTGCTAGAATGTTTAGAATTATAAATTTTTGGCTTTTGTTAAAAGTAAAAAAAAACTGTCAATAAAACCAAAAATTGGATCAAAGCAAATTAAAAATTTCATGAAAAATGCGGCTCACGAACGAACGAAAAATGAACGAACTCACATAAGCAGTTTTTAGTGTTTTTGAGTGTTGTCTCCACTTTTTATTCAGTTTTATCAATTCCAGTTCCGCACGCTGTCGTCCTGCTCAGAGGCGCTGTTCTCGCTGGTGAACGGCGACGACATGTTCGCCACGTTCTACACGATCGCCGACAGCAACACGACGATCAAGGTTTAGGAACCCAACAATATCATTCGAAACCCGATTTTCAGGTGTTCGGCACGATTTACATCTACATCTTTGTCTCGTTGTTCATCTACGTCGTCCTCTCGCTGTTCATCGCCATCATCATGGACGCGTACGAGGTGGTCAAGGTGAGGACAGCCATTTTAAAAAATCACGGCTCTCTTATAATTCCATTTTTTTGTAGGGTCTTAGGCGGCCTCAATCCATACTTTATTAAGCTTAATAATTTTATTCGACTTTGATGCTAATTTTTTTTATTTTTGACGCCTTACCATTGCAGGACCGCTACGCCTCGGATGAGCACTCGTTCGAGCGCTCCACGCTGCGCGACTTCATGGCCACCGCGCCGGCCATCTCGCTCGACGCGCCGAACATCCAGGCGCAATTCGCGCCCTCGAATCTGCTCAACCTCGGTCGGTACGCACTTCCCCTTACTAACCACCGCTAACCGTCGATGTACGGCATGCACGCGCGCACGGCACACGCATGGCAATGGGCTAGGTTAGAAGCGGGCTTACGGAACTTGGAGTGTGGCGTAGCTTTCCGTGGCTTTTGGCTGTTTTTTTAAGAAACTCATTTGCTTCACCTCAATTTCCGCTAGCCAATTTTCCCGCCGGCTTTGCCTTGCGTGTCCCGGCGGTGCGTTGCTTGCCCTGCCCGCACGGCTCGAATGGCTCGATGCACGATACCGCTTTTGTGGGAGGATGGTGATGGTTTTTGTCGCATTCTTTTTTGTTTATTAGCCACGGTTTCTGCCAAAATTTTACGTTTCTTTATTGAGCGGTAAAATAGCTGATTTTGGTTGTTTTGGGCTGGCAAAAGACCGATTTTTTCAAAAATAGCTAATTTTCTTTAGGAATTTGTAGAAATTTTGCTAATTCTCAGCCTTTAATCGAGCTAAATTATGGTTTGAAATAAGTTCCGTAATAAGGAATTTGTTTGTGATTTGAAATTACGGCGTATTTTTCTTATGGAATCTCTGTTTTTCTTGGATTTTAACACCGAATTGTGAAAGTTTTCGGATTTTTCAGCTATGGCTTCATAGAAAAAAATGGTGAATTTTAATTGTTTTTACTTCTAAAATCTGAAATTTTTAGCTTGCATTTTCCATTTTGTCACTAAGTTTTTCTAGCTTTCTATTGCCCCCTCGCACGGTTAACTCCGGGGAATTTCCGGTGACGGCTTACGCTTTATTTCACATCCGTTTTCACGTCTATTTTTGCTTCGTTTAGTGGCTGGCAACGACTCGAATAGCGTGCGAGCGCTCGAGGCGATCGACCGGATGCGCGACCGGATCCGCGACTCGCTGGCCGGCACTAGGTTTGTGCTTTTCTCTAATACGACGCATACGCCTGCCATAAGTAGAGCACCTTCTAACATTCGAGCGGTTCTTTTGCAGCTTTTTCAGTGATATTTTGCGAATTTTGCCTTGAATAGAAAGTGCCAATGTATTTTTTCTAAGATTTCTGGGCTCCGTAGAAAATTAATGACGCGTTGGTTCTTTTGATTTATCCGGGGGGATAAATTTGTCTTCTTAGGAACCACTTTTTTTAAATATAGATAGTGGAAGTGTTTCTAAACTGTAATTTTTTGCTATCCCTAAACGCAAAAATTTTCAAAATATACAAAAATATTGATTTTTCCACTAAAAATGATCGTTTTTGGCCCAAAATTCGACTCCTTGAAGATATTTCAAAGTTTTTAAATAGTTTTTCTAGCTAAAATTTAGTTTTATTTTACCAGAAAAAATTAGGAAAAGGCACCTTGCAATCCAGAACGAAAATTTCATTTCGCCTTCAAACCGTAAAAAATAGACATTTTGAAAGGCACTTTAATATAACTATTTTATTATATCACCATTTCCAGGTTCGAGTCGTTCGCGAACCCAATCCACGACGGTCAGCCAGCAACACCTGGCCACGACGCTTTCCAGCTGAGGAACGGCAGCGCCGGCGGGCCCGTCTTCGACCCGTAGCAATGTGTAGTCCCGCGTAGTTCTTTCTTGCTTTTTGCTGTCCGCCCCCGTCCACCGTACACCACTTTTTAGCTCTGCCTTTTTTTGCTTTTCCACTGACTCCCCCCGTCTCTTTTCTAACTTTGTCCGAATTTATGTGAAGCGACTCTCGGTGCTGGCCGCGTTTTAAAGGGGTTGCGAAGGTTCGTGTTTTTCGTAGATTTCCCCGCCTTCAATAGCCCTTTAAAATCCAAATCCCCCTTTTACGTCAAATCCCGAGCCAAAGGGTGTGTGCAGTTTGTGATCCGCCCTTTCCCCTGCCCTACTGGTTTTCCCCCCCGACATTTTCTCTCAATTTTCTCTCTCGCTCGCAGGATTGCTATTTTCAGCCAGGCGCTCACACTCTTTTTGAAAATGCGTGCTAAACCCGAGATTTTCCTGGGGGTCTTTTTCAACCTTGGTGAATTTTGGGAATTTCTTGAACGTTGTTGCATGCAAATTTAGGCTTTTGACAGAATTTTTGGGTGTTTAAAAGTATTTAAACTCTTGAATTAAAATTAACCAGGGTTGAAAAGCCGCTTCGCGACTTTTCAACCCTGGCCCCGTCTCGGACCACATGCTGTTTTGCCATTTGCATAATTGTGCTCTATTCAGAAGACAAAAAAAAAATGATAATCAACCTCTTCGCAGCTCACTTCCGGTCTATGCTAATAAACCTAACAAAGAGGTATTTACAAACACCTAAATTTAGTTGCGAAAATGGCTAATTTTTAAAAATCTGTTATGTGTGCAGTGATCCCTATACCATTACGCACTTAATGACGTATCATACGTAGCCCAATACCCGTCCATTCTTGAGATATCCTCCGGACAGACATCCGGAAATGGATGCAAAGTGGCACACACACACACACAAACACTATTTTTTTATATATAGTAGGATTACATTTTTTTGGAAGCTGAATTAAATTCCTGACCCTCTAATCCGATAATGGAGATTTTGTAAAAATGAAATTTGATTCCTACAAAATTTACGCCCTTAAATTCAAAGTGGAATTTAATTTTTTAAGCTAAAGTTGAATTGCTGACCTTCTAATTCGAAAATGCGGCTTTTAAAAAATTTCCGAATGGCCTGAAACTTGCAATTTGCATGCACTAATGGCAAAAATGGCGCCAAGTACGGGGAATTTGAAAAATGCCGATTCTAATTGCGAAAATCCCCCTCCGCGTGCTCCACTTCATCGTTTCTTGGGTATAACAAATAATCTTACTTATCCCTTTTTTCACTCCCCATTTGCTCAACACTTTCTAGCGGCCTTTACCTATATACTAAAAATATACGCTGTAGATACTTTGCACTTATACGTCGGATTCTACACTGTGTGATACGTTTCCACCCCGTTTTTTTACGCCTGTGAATGCATAATAATTTTTTGTGACTTTGAGATGTAATTTTTTTATACTGTAATAAACACTCACACATCAAGCCTCTAGCCCCGTGCCGGAAAGTGCCACCCGCAACATTGTTATTTTTATTTTTGGAAGACGCTCGTTTTTCAACCCTAATTTTGGATTAGCAGACTCGAATACGCTTGAAAACTCTACAAGCTATATATCCGTTTTTAGTCCCCATGCGTAAGCCATTAGGATAATTTTTTAGTAGTGCCGTATGTCGTAAATAATCGGTTTTCATATATCTCAATTTTAAGGCTGTTCTTCTACGAGATTCGGAATTGCTGGGGCAACCGACCCGTGATAGAAATGGAAATTAGCTCGCTTAATCGTTTAATAAAATAAAATTCTAATTGTATTTTGTAAAATTAAACAGATAATTGGGTTTTTGGGTTTGTGCGCTTTTTGGTCCTTGTTCATGCATTTTGGACCCAAATTTTCTCGGAAAACGAATTTTCTCATTTTTTTAATCGATTTTTATATCTAAAACTGTTTAAACTACTATAAAACCGAGTTATAATTTGGTCTGGAAAAATTTGGTGTGCGCCTGCTACCCCCCCGCTAACAGTCCAGTACCTAAAAAAATTAGAAATAGAAGCTAGAAATTAAATTCATCATTTCTAAAATTGATTTATGTCATCAAAATCCTCAAAAGACCTAATTTCACTGCAGAGTATGTCGATTCAGTCCCTGTCCCAGTCAGCCAACAATATGACCTTTCAGACTGTTTACCTCGCCGATCGGGCCGGTTGTTTTTGACAGTCGTCTACACCGCCACCATCTCTGCCCCCTCCACAAATCATGTGCTCTCTCACCGGCCGTCCTGCCATGGCCCTTTATCGCACAGTCTCCACGGGCACGGCCAGCTGCACCGCGCCCGCAGCCAGGTAAATAATTCATTTTTCGGCTGTTTTTCGTATATTCCCGATTTTAAAGGGACTAGGAAGTCAAATGATGATCCCAAGAGGCCCTTTGCATTTCTCAATACAAATTGTATTGGTTTTTGGATGATTTTTCGATTTTAAAGGGACTGGCAGGTAAAAATTACCGCCAGAAGCATTCTTTTTTGCGATTTTAAAGGGACTGTATAGTCAGTATTCAGATGACACTTGACACTTTGCAAGTCCATCTTTTATGGGTATTTTGTCCATTGTTACTAATTTTTTAGATTCTATTGGGATCGTCAAGTCAAATCTAACCTCGGCTTAGAGAGACAATGAAGCCAATATTCTAGTGGCTTTTGGCAATTGATCAATCCAAATTTTATTAATTTTCTCCTCTTAGCTGATGTTTCGATATTAAAGGGATCGTCACGTTCTCGTTTCAATCGGTTAAAGGAGCTGTAAAGCCAGATTTCTCTCCGGTTTTGTCAGCGTCCATTTTTATTCCTGTTCGATTTGGCATTAGTGGATTCGTGTTTCATTTCTTGAGTTGAAACCCTATTTCTTACAGAAGAAGCTTCGCAACGATGGCCGAGCCCGGGGAAAGTGTGGTGGAAAAGGCCGAGGTGATTTTTGTCTAACGATACAAATGTTTCAAATTTGCTAAAGTTAATGCAAAAAAAACCGAATTCCAGATGCGCCGATTCATGATGGATTGTCTCGCAAAAGCTGGAGCTGACCATGGGCACGCCGAGCAGCTGGCGGAAGTGTTGGTGGAAGGGGATTATCGTGGACATTACAGTCATGGACTGAATAGACTCGGTTGGTACTGAATTTCTCTCTCTCTCTCTCTCTCTCTCTCTCTCTCTCTGTCACCCTCTCTCTCGCTCTACCTCGCTCTCTACCCCCATTTCTAGGAATGTACGTCAGCGATCTCGAGAAGAAAGTCTGTAAGGGCAGCGGCGAGCCCGAGATTCTAAAGGTAAGACAGGCCACCGTAACCCAACCATATCTAGGAGCGTGCCGGCACTGCCTGGGTGGACGGCCACAACCTGCTCGGGCCCGTTGTCGGAAATTTTTGCATCGACTTGGCGGTGAAGAAGGCGAAGGAGGCCGGGGTTGGATGGGTTGTGGCTAAAGGTACGTTTTTTTGAGCTGGAGCGATTTTCTAGGCTCCTTCCATTGCCAAGTGATCTCTGCTAGCCTCCGTTTGAGTACGTTTTTACAGGCTCCAACCACTTTGGCATCGCCGCCTGGTACTCGATGCGTGCGATGAAGGAGGGGATGATGGTGAGAGGGCGTTTTCTAGATTTTGGACCATTTTCTAGGGTCTCTCCTTCACCAACACCTCTCCCATTAGCTACCCGACCCGCTCCGCCAAGCCGGCCCTCGGCACAAATCCGCTTTCGCTAGCCGCCGCCGGAAATGCTGAAGATTCATTTGTGCTTGATATGGCCACCACCACAGTAGCCGTCGGAAAGGTGGGCAAAAAGCCAGCAGAGATCATTTGGGAATGGAAGGGGCAGCCTAGCAGAGATCATTTGACCATTTTCAGATAGAGATCGCGGCCCGTAAAGAGATGCAAGTGCCAGAGACATGGGGCGTCGCGGCCGGCGGAAAGCACACCACCGACCCGCAGGAGATTCTCGATGGCGGCGGGGTGTTGCCGCTCGGAGGCCCGGAACTTTCAGGTACGGTGTGGGAAAGAGAGACAGACAGAAAGCGAGAGAGAGAGAGAGCCATAGAAAGAGATATACTGTAAATCACACTTTGCGTTTTTTAGGCGGCTATAAGGGCTACGGTCTCGCTGCCCTTGTCGAGATCTTCTGCGGGATCATGGGTGGAGCGCATTGGGGGCCGAACGTGAGGAGGTGGATGAGCACGAGCGGGGATGCGGATTTGGTGAGTTGGAGCTTTTGCAGGTCGAGAAACAGAGAGGGAGAGAGAGAGAGCGATAGATAATTCCGTCTAAAAGTGATAATTCAGGGCCAATGCTTCATCGCCGTCGACCCGGAGGCGTTCGCCCCCGGCTTCCCAGACCGGATGCAGCAATTCATGGACACGATGCGCGGACTCCCAGAAGCCGACGAGGGAAAAGCCGTCGAGGTGGCCGGCGACTCGGAGAAGCGACACGAGCAGCTCTGCGATCGACTGGGTGGCATCTCGTATCACCCCAATCAAATTAAGTTTGCGGTCAGTTTTATGGCTTTCGAGACGCTTTAAAGGGACCATGAAGCGCCGGAATATACCCCTGCTATAGACTAGGTCTAGACAACTGCGAATTGCTCCAAAGCACGAGTCAGGCTCGTTGCTGCCATCTATTTGTCTAGACCTAATCGATGCAAAGGGTCGGCTTTGACGGCATCTTGTTCAGCAATTTAAAAAGCTGGCTGGCAATTTCAGCATGAACTTGCCGACAAGTTGGGCGTCGAGCCGCCGCGACTCGTGCAACGGGATTGATTACCAGACAAGCATAATTTACGTGTATATTCGAACCTTGCGTGTGTTTTGTCATTTTTGTATTTGCTACTTAAACTGTGCTAATCTCGGTAATTGCATAAACGGTTTTATAAAAAAATAGGATTGCAGCACCACGTATTCCCCGAAGGATCTTTGCTAGCCTGCCCCTTCCATTCCCAAATGATCTCTGCTAGCCTGCCCCTTCCATTCCCAAATGATCTCTGCTAGCCTGCCCCTTCCATTCCCAAATGATCTCTGCTAGCCTGCCCCTTCCATTCCCAAATGATATCTGCCAGCCTGCCCCTCCGTTCCCAAATGATCTCTGCTAGCCTGCCCCTTCCATTCCCAAATGATCTCTGCTAGCCTGCCCCTTCCATTCCCAAATGATCTCTGCTAGCCTGCCCCTTCCATTCCCAAATGATCTCTGCTAGACTGCCCCTTCCATTCCCAAATGATCTCTGCTAGCCTGCCCCTTCCATTCCCAAATGATCTCTGCTAGACTGCCCCTTCCATTCCCAAATGATCTCTGCTAGACTGCCCCTTCCATTCCCAAATGATCTCTGCTAGCCTGCCCCTTCCATTCCCAAATGATATCTGCCAGCCTGCCCCTCCGTTCCCAAATGATCTCTGCTAGCCTGCCCCTTCCATTCCCAAATGATCTCTGCTAGCCTGCCCCTTCCATTCCCAAATGATCTCTGCTAGCCTGCCCCTTCCATTCCCAAATGATCTCTGCTAGACTGCCCCTTCCATTCCCAAATGATCTCTGCTAGACTGCCCCTTCCATTCCCAAATGATCTCTGCTAGCGGCTGGTAATTTTGCAGAATCTGGCCGCCAGTATACGTTTCATTAATGCGTTAATCTCTCAGATTCATGGAATCAGTCCTTTATAGCACAAATTATATAGCACTTGTCGTCAATTAGGCACGGAAAATCCAGCAAATGCAAATGTCATAATTTTAAAGGGGGAAGGGAAAGCTCGTCATCCTAAGAAATCGCGAATATAATTAGGCACCAAAATTGGAGAACATTGAGAGAAAAAAGAAACCAGGTGGGGAATGGGTGCGACTGGGGGAGCGGCTAGATTTGAATGATTATGAAACAAGCTTAAAAAATAGCTAAAAGGGGAGAGACTACAAAGTAGACTCCCAAATGCCCGTTAAATCTTGTCAACAAAGAATTCGCAGGGTTGGTTCATGGCCTGGCGGAAGCTTTGGCGAGACGCGGCCATGTCTTGGGGAAGCTCGTCGAGGCGGGCAGGGGCGGGAGGGAGGGGCTGGCCACGGCTGGAAATACGGGGATCAAAGGGGTTCGAAAAAACCGGGATTTTTTTTTGAAAATGAGGGCAGGCTGGCAGCGATGTTTTGGGAAGTTTTTTGGGAGGTTGGGTTTCGAGAGAAAAATGAGAGTAGGAGCGAGAGGAAGAGGGAGAGAGACATGTGGAGAGGGACAGTGAGAGAGAACGAGAGAGAAAGAGCGAGGGAGAGAGATCGAGAGATCGAGAGATAGAGAGAGAGAGAGAAAGAGAGAGAGAGACAGAGAGAGAGAGAGAGAGAGAGAGAGAGAGAGAGAGAGAGAAAGACGGAGGGAGCGAAAGAAAGCGAGTGAGGGTGAAAAGGCTAGAGAAAAATAGAATTCGAGAGCGAGCGAGAGAGAGCGAGCGAGGAGAGACAGAGAGAGAGATAGAGCGAGAAAAAGGAAAACTCACTTTCTCCTATGATCACTCCCGGACCCACCGCTTCCGGACCCTCCAGAAGCCTGGGAATGCAAATCCGGGCCGGCTCCTCGCGGCAAAACGGGAAATGGCGAAACGGGCATCGACGCATAGCCGGACACCTGCAAAGATTATGTTATTTCTGGATTCTTTCAGCTCTTAAACTTTAAAAACTATCATGTTAATTTTATTGAAATCGCAATTCTCTATTCCATGCAGGTTTAATCGATTACGCCATTTATTTGTTGTTTTTTTGCCATTTTCCCGGCTTTTTGCTTTTAAAGGTTAGGTGCTTCATACATTAATAAAAAATTACCGCATGCAAAAAAACAACAAAAATGCGCTTGTTTGGTACGGCAGCTTTAAAATTAAAATTTTACTTTTTTTGCTGTGATAGATCCAATTTTCATCATTTTCAGGCGTATTTTCGCAATTTTGTGGTGCGTGAAAAAAACACTAGACGGCGGACAAATTGGTGCATTTTAATGAACAAAAAATACTGGTGTAAATATTTTATTCGAGCATGGTGAAGATACAAAATAAACACATGGAAATTTGCGTGGAAAAAGGGGGATATTTTGGTCCAGTGACTAGGCGAGATTTTTGGTTCGATAATCGAGGGGAAAGTCATGGGTTTTTTCGTAAATTTCATTTTTGAGCAGCACCAGAGGGTACGGTAGCCAAATTTGCATAGGATTAATTTTAAAGGGCCGGGAAAGGCAGGGTTTTTGTGGATTTTATTGGGGCTGGATTCTATATGGAATTTGCCGCGTCGCGATACGCGAAATGATGCGAAAAGGCGCAACCAATTACGCAATGAAAGTACGGGCGTGAGGAGCGTTTTCTCCTTCAAAAATCAACCTTTCACGCCTTTAAAAAGAGCAATATATACCGTAACCCGACAGCTAACAAAACAACGTAAAAGAAATTTTCAATTACAGTACCCCTACGCCCCCAGCGGGCTACGGTGCCTTTTTGGCTGGCCGCCAAAATGCAGGCGTACCGTAGCCCAGCGGCAGGGGGCACAAAATAAAGAGGCAGCTTACTTTTAAAGGGCCCGCGAAGGGAAGGGACAGATTCGTTGCGGGCCCCAAAAATTCGATATTTGCTATTTTTTAGATTTTGTTGGGTGTTGTACTGCTCATCCGACCCCGGTAGATAAGAAAAATCTGACAAGGACGAGTGCAGGGGTAATTTGCATATATGAAACTTGCATATGGCGGTTTAAAGGGACCGGAAAGTCAGAGGCTCAGAGGTTGGAAAATCGCCAAAAATCGCTCGAAAAAAATCGAAAATTATTTTTATTGCCTAAGCTGAGGTCCAAGCTTAAGCCTAAGGCTAAGCCCCAAAAATTTCAGAAAAAATTAGAAGGGGCGGAGCCGCCGCTGAACTTCTCAGTCCCTTTAAAGCGGCCCTAACCGCTGTGGATACATCTATAATTGGTCATGCGGGTGAGGTCTAAGCCCAAGGCCTGAGCCCAAGCCAAGCCTAAGCCAAGCCAAGCCAAGCCAAGCCAAGCCAAGCCAAGCCAAGCCCAAGGCCTAAGCATAAGCCAGGCTTAACTCAAGTGAAAGCAAAGCGTAAGCCAAGCCTAAGCCTAGGCCCAAGCCAAGCCCAAGCTTAAGCCAAGCCTAAGCCCAAGCCCAAGCACAAGCCCAAGCCTAAACCTAAGCCAAGCCAATTCTAAGCCAAGCTAAGCCAAGCCCAAACCGATGCCTAAGCCTTAGCCCAAGAACAGGCCTAAGCCCAAGTTTAAGCCTAAGCCAAGCCCCAGCCTAAGCCAAGCCCCAGCCTAAGCCAAGCCCAAGCCTAAGCTACGTGATGCGACAAATGACACAAGGAGGGGACAACACAGGAGTACAGCGGACAATATTATGCACATAACATACAAAAATGATATCAAGGGTGAGCAAATTATATATCCATCACATAGAGACGGGTGCCGTCGTGCGTCGTGCCCGCGTGCCGTACCTTTATTTTAGATTCAACGTTTTTTTTGCAAGTTTTTAGAACGACTAAAGGTGCCGGAAAGCGCGAGAATCGACCCCTGCTGTCGACTAGGTCTAGACAGCTACGCGACACGCAAAAACGTGCGGGCAAAGTTGATTTTTCGCGCAAAGTCGGCTGCTAATGGCCAGAAACTTGGGCGAATACGTCACTTGGCGCCCTGCGTAGCTGTCTAGACCTAGTCGACGGCCCTGGGTCGATTCTCGAGTTTTCTACTCCCTTTAATGCCCGGATTTTTTCATAAAATATAGAAAAAACTGTGCCGTGCAATCCTAGCTTTTGAAAAAGGTTTCAAAAGACTTTTCAATTTTAAAGCATTTAAATTAAAAAATTACCCTTTAAAATCCTTTAAAAAACGCTAAAAAATATGACCAACCATAGAGTTTGCGGCGTGCTGCTGATTTGCGTGGGCGGGGTGTGGGTGTTTTGGAGGGCCCTGGGGTGGGATGAGGCTCTGGCCGGCTTGCCATTGCCAGCCGAGGGCTCCGCCAGGCTCGGGGGCCGGTTGGCGATGTCGGGCAAGGTCTGAAGGAGAGACAGTTAGTCCTGCGTTCCCTTAAAAAAACTGTTCAGCATTTTTGTTGGTCGCTCTCTTTCTATCTTTCCCTCTCTCACACTTGCTCTCTCTCTCTCTCTCTCTCTCTCTCTCTGTTCTCTCTCTCGCTCCTTCTCGCTTTCGCGTTCTACCTCCCACTTTCTCTAGCTCACTCTCCTTCTCTCTCGTTCTCTCGTTAGCTCTCGCTTTCCCTCTCTCTCTCGCACTCTCTCTCTCTCTCTCGCTTACCCTCCCTCTTCCTCTCGCTTTCTCTCGCTCCCACTGACGCTCTCTCTCTCTCTCTCTCTCTCTCTCTCTCTCTCTCTCTCTCGCTCTCTCCCCCCCTCTCTCCCTTTCTCGCATTCGCGTTCTACCCCCGTACCCATTTTCTCCAGCTCTCTCTCACCTCATCTCTCTTCTCTCGTTATGTCTCTCTTTATCTCGCTTTCTCTCGCCCTCTCTCTCGCCCACCCCAAATAACTCACCAGCAGCCTCCGGCCCCAACACATAGTAGCACTGTTCCGTGAAGGTGCACTTGTTGACGACGTGGGCGATCAGCTTCTCGTTGAGCAGTTCCATCGCGTATCTCCGGGCGTCTCTCCGCTCTCGCAATCCCTCGACATGCTCCAACAGCCAATCAAGCAGCTCTTTGCCTAAGAAAATCAGGCTTATACCTCTTAAAGGGACACGGACAGCTCGGCCCCCTGGGCTGTAAGCCCAAAAACTCACCCAAAAAGGCGTTGGGCACCGGGATTTTCAGCCACGTCCGGTCCTTGATGTCCAATCCGCTGCCCCGCATCACCATCGCCTCGACGACCTGCAAAAATTTGATAATTTTTGGATTCTAAAGGGGCTGAGAAGTGCGAAAATCGACCCCTGCCAGAGATTAGGTCTAGACAGCTAAAAGCCGCAACTTACCCGTTTCTTGTCGGTATTTGTATCCAGTCGCAGCGCGTGCACCACAGTACCCTGGCCGGGTTGGGAGCCGCTGGTTACGGTAGATGAGCTGCCAGGGCGGATACCGCCGGGGTAGTCGCCCGGTATGGGAGTTGGGGCGCCTTCGGAACCTGAAAATTGGGTATTAACTCAAGGAATTTAAGGGCAGACTAGCAGAGATCATTTGGGAACAGAATGGGCAGACTAGCAGAGATCATTTGGGAACAGAATGGGCAGGCTAGCAGAGATCATTTGGGAATGGAAGGGGCAGGCTAGCAGAGATCATTTGGGAATGGAAGGGGCAGGCTAGCAGAGATCATTTGGGAATGGAAGGGGCAGGCTAGCAGAGATCATTTGGGAATGGAAGGGGCAGGCTAGCAGAGATCATTTGGGAATGGAAGGGGCAGGCTAGCAGAGATCATTTGGGAATGGAAGGGGCAGGCTAGCAGAGATCATTTGGGAATGGAAGGGGCAGGCTAGCAGAGATCATTTGGGAATGGAAGGGGCAGGCTAGCAGAGATCATTTGGGAACAGAATGGGCAGGCTAGCAGAGATCATTTGGGAATGGAAGGGGCAGGCTAGCAGAGATCATTTGGGAACAGAATGGGCAGGCTAGCAGAGATCATTTGGGAATGGAAGGGGCAGGCTAGCAGAGATTCTTTACGAAAAATCCTTACCCTCAACGATTGACGGCATTCCGCACATTGCATTCGTATGCCGAATCCACGCCTGCGTATCGATCGGCCGCACCGGTTCATCCATTCTAAAATGCAGGTTTCCTGAAAAAAAGCTGCTTAAAAACTTACAATTGGTGTCTGGGGACCGTGAAGCAGCTCTTCTGGCCGCCGTCGAACGACTTGGCCACGGTCAACCGGATGGGGCCCTTTCGTGCAACGGCATCTCTGGAAAGGGACCGGTTTACGCTGATCTTTCTCTTTCTTTCTCTCTTTCTCTCTTCCTCTCTCTCTCTCTCACTCTCTCTCTCTCTCTCTCTCTCTCTCTCTCTCTCTCTTTCTTTCTATCTTTCTAGCTGAATTCTTTAGAACGGCACGCACCTGAGCACATCTACCGCCTGATCATTTGTAAAATTGTCGAAGGCGACGTCGTTGACCTGGAGAATCATGTCACCGGCTTCGATACGTCCATCTATCGCCACGGCACCACCTGGAAAATTAAAATTAAGCGGAACGGATCTACACGTGGAATTCCCAAATGATCTCTGCTAGCGTGCCCTTTCCATTCCCAAATGATCTCTGCTAACCTGCCCCTTCTATTCCCAAATGATCTCTGCTAGCTTGCCCCTTCCATTCTCAAATGTTTCTGTCTCTATCTCTCTCTCTCTCTCTCTCTCTCTCTCTCTCTCTCTCTCTTCGCCCTCGCTCTCACTCACCTTTCATAATATTGGCCACATATATCCCATTATCTCCTCTCGTCGAGCTTTGTCCAACGATGGAGATTCCGAGGAAGTTGACGGTATCCATATTCAGCGTCACCGTCACCACATCCAACGACATTGACGATTCCGTAATCGACGAGAAGGAAGAGGCCCTAAAAATCAGTTTTTCCAGAGCTTTGGGTGTTTATGGGACCAAAAACGCGAGATTCGACCCCTCCAGCAACTAGGTCTAGACAGCTACGCGACGCTCCAAAACACGCGTTTTTGCAATGACTAAGCCTAGTCGGCGTTGGGAGTCGATTCCAGCATTTTAAGTTCTGTTAAAGGGGCGTGGAAGGCAAAATTTGGGCTTGGTGGCGGCGTGGAAGGCAGGGATAGGATCGACTTTGCAGAAATTTCAAAATCTACCTGCTTGGCCTACGGTAGTTGACGCGTTGTTTCCGCCGCCGTCGCATATTTTCGGCTTGCCGGGATACTGAGGTGAAATCCGTCGTGGTCGAGCCCCTAAAATCGTCATTTAAGCGGAAGAGGGAAAGATGGAATCTATTTTTTTATTTTTTTTTTAACTTGTTTGTTTACTTTTTAATGTTTAATGTTTAATTTTTATTTTGATTTTTTAACGGTTTTTCGATTACAGTAACCTGGGCCTAATCTGTAGATAGTATTCATCGGAGGTGGTCGACGTCGAGAGCCCGTCAGAGCTCGGGTGAACCGAGAGCGAGGAGGCGAGGCTCATGGCCGCGCGTTTGGGTTACGGTATCAGGGCACCAAATAAGAATCCGTCGATCTGCCCGTCAAATTACGGTAGATAGAGCGCGAAATGGGGCAGGAAGAGGAGGTTTAGGAAATCTTTTTGGGAATACGTTTGGGACCCAGAATCGATTCCGAAAGTTGCGTTATGAGGCCAAAAACGCGCATCTTGAGGCCGCGGGCCCCTGTCCCCCCATCCGTCATTTGGGGGATTACGTAGTGGGCAGGGGTTTTACCGCATCATGCCAAATGCCAATTCCGAGGAGCAGAAGCATGCCAGAAAACAAAGCAAAATAAAAGGAGGACGAGCGAATGCTGCTACCAATTAAAAATTATTAGGTGTTCAGCTTGTAAACGTTAAAAGACAGTTATAATTTGCATAATTTTAATGTAAATATTTATTTCATTTTTATTTTATATTTAGCTATTTAAAAATGTCACCCACCGATCGTCATCATCCGAAAAGACCCTCGCGTCGCTCTCGCTGCCGATCGTCGATTCGGGGTCGAATTTTCGGCCGCCGCGATGTCCTGAAAAAATTGAAGGTTACGGTAAGTCACAAAATTTTAAATACCCTTTTTAATTATTTTACCTAACCTTAACTTTAAGTGCTCTTTAAATTATCTTGGCTCGATTTTGCACTTTTATCAAAAATACTAGGTCCGAATTACGGTATTCCGATTACAGTAACCGGCTCTGAGGCTCAAATTTTACTTCCGCACGGGTTTTTAGAACAAATGGGTCCAGTAGCGCGCGAAGCCGGGTTTCGCTAATTGCCAAAAAAATCTCGAAAATTTGCGCTTCCCGGGTCCCTTAAAGGGGCTTGAAACGCCGAGAATCGACGTATTTCAGTGCGTAGCGTAGCCGTCAAGGCGCAGCGCAAGAAAGGGTCGATTTTCACACTTGCCGGTGCCTCTAAAAAGGTCAGAAAACACTTTAATCTACGTATTTTGGTGCCTGGCGTAGCTGTCTAGACCTACTCTCAAAGGGGGTCGATTCTCCCACTTTCCGGGCCCTTGAAACCCCAAAAATCTCCAAAATCAATGCGCAAATTCACCGATCAAATAAAAGCTGGCGTCGGCGCTCAGCTCGCTGGTGAGGCTGAGATGGGAAGTGCGGTGCAGAAACCCGATCAAATGCCTCCGCGGGCTAGCATCCGGTGCCTCAGTCTTTCCACAATGTGTCGTGTGCGATCCCATATATCTCTTGCCCCTCTTCGCCCGCTCCTGCCCTCCTTCAACTTGTTGGTCCTCTTCGTAGAGCGGTGGCAGGAGGTTCGCCTCGACCTGGGTCATCGTCCGGCTTAGCGGTCTCGGGCCCTGCACACGGCGGCGTCGCTCGGAGTTTGATTTTCTTAGAATTTGATGGAGGTACTGTAGGTCATCTGTTTCCTGGGAATCCGGGGATACGGTAGGTTCACCCACCCGGGGTACGGTGGCCCGGTTTCGGGCGAGTTTTCGAAGCGATTGGAATTCTCGAGAAATTGACGCCTCCTCGGCGGTGTCGTGGGTTTTCCGCAGGAATCCTGATGCCGGATTTTCTGGGGTTACGGTATGTCCAGTGCCTTTTTGCCCCGATACCGTATTCCGTTCTCCAGGGCTACGTTGGGGTACAAAAGACGCTTGGGGTACGGTGGAATCGGCAGGATTCCGCTGTGATACTGTAGCCGTTTGACCGTCAACTACCGTAGCCCGCTCACCAGGGCTACGCTGGAGTCCAAATGACGCTGGGTGACGGTTCCGGTACGCTCCGCTCGATTCCCCAGAAACTACGGTACCCTCTTCCTCTTCTTCTTCCTCGCCCGGCTCGACGATGCTGGGAATGCTTAGGGTAGACTTTCCCAAATCCGAAGCCACCGTATCGGCCCCAGGACCATCCACCTGAATCCCGAATTTCCGCAAAAAACTGTCCGGATTCCGATGGCGTACAGCTTCCGGGGTGGCCCTTCTGATGACGATCGACGGCGTAGGAGAATTCCCATTCAACGGACTCAACGGCCTGAGCGCCAACTCGGGCTCATGTTTTCGGCCTCCAGCTCCTCGCCGCCTAATTTTCGCCTCAGCCACCGTAGCCTGGGCACTCGGGAGCGCGGAGGCCAATTTTGTAGTTTGTCGCAGCCCCTCGATAAGCGTTTTTTGGGTTTTTTCACCCTCCTTCTCCGGCAACCCCAACAATTTCCGGGTCGACTTTGACGGCGAGAGACAGGCCTGCGCTTGCGTCGACGAGCGCTCCCGCCTGAACTGCTCGAAGTTGTCGCCAAAATCGGCGACCGCGCCGGACTTCTCCAAAAACCCGGGCGTCGTCGCCAGGTCGATTTTCGCGTAGTTTGGCGAGACTGACGCCTCGGAGTCGACGTTCAGCGTCAGCTTCGTGTTGATGTTTTCCAACTTCTTCGGCTTTTTTCCGGGTTTCTTGGGCTTTTCCTTGGCTTTTTCGTGGCTGGAATCGGAGGATTTCGAGGGTACGGTAGCTCCAGAATTTTTCGAATTCACCGGGTCCCGGCCGGAATGGGTTACGGTAGGTACGGGAGTGCCAAAAAATGCAAAATCGGCTCTGTCTCGACCGGAAATCGCTCCTGTGGTTCCAGAATTTCTAGAATTTCCGGGGTCCTGGGCGGAAGCGGATACGGTAGCTCCAGAATCCCCTGAATTCTTCTGGCGCCAACCGGAAACGGTTACGGTGGGCACAGTCGGATCGGAATACCCAGAAGTAACAGTAGAAGCCGTCCCCGAGTTCCCTGGCGTAATCGATTTCTTCGGCTTCAACTGATCGAGCAGCCGCCGGCCCAGCTTGACCTCCTTGGCGTTGGGGGGCGGGGCGTCGATGGGGGTGACCTGTTGGTGGGATCGCCCTCTTCGCAGCCGCGGGCTGTCCGTCCACGACAACTGCCGACTGCTAATGACGCTGCTCTCCGACTGGCGCTTCTTCAGCTTGAGCGCCTCGAAGTCGATGGGTTCACTGCGTTTCATAGATCCGGCTCGGCTCGGGAGCAGATCAACGGTGCTGGGGATGCTCAACAGACTCTTGTCCTTCTTCCCCCGATGCCACCACCTCCGGTCGGAGCCCGATTCCGAGGTGTTGCTATTGACAGACTTGTCCGATTTCCTCCTGGGCCCGAGCCCCCAGTTTTCGAAGCTCAAAAAATTCGACTTTTCCGACTTTCCAACCCCCCAGCCATCCTCGTCAAAGATTTCCGATTTTTCGGATTTCCGCCTAAAAATGAGCACGGGCTTGGCGAGGGGCCCGGTGAGCCCGATGATTTTCGAAGCCGGCTTCGTTTCGGCTTCACAAGACTCCCCCGATTTTTCTGGCCTCTGGAAGATTGAGTGCAGATATTTCGTGGAGGTAATTGCCCGTTTTTTGGCGGGTTTTTTGGGGGAATTCTCGGGTTTTCTGCCCAGGTTGAGGGCGTCGTCCGGCTCGTCGATGCTCATCGACTCGGGCTCGGCTAGTGGTGGCACTCGCTCAGGGGGTTCGGGACTGAACGCCTTCTCCATCCGGTGGACAATTTGGGAGACGCGGGATCGCCCCGTGTCGTTTTTCTGGCGCCGGGCCTCGGTGAGGAGGAGGTCTTTGAGGAAGGAGGATGAGGTGGGCTGCTGGTGATCGCTCGTCGGGCGACCGCGTCGCGGCGGGGCCGTCGTCATTTCGGACTGTAACGGAATAGGATACCGAGCAACGGAAGAGCATGAGAGATAGAGAGAGAGAGAGAAAGAGAGAGAGAGAAAGAGAAAGAGAGAGAGAGAGTCTGGACGTCTAATGGACGTCCAGGCCTAAGATAAGGCAGCAAAACAAAATGGACATGAACCGTAGAGTTGAAGCGCAAAACTGGACCCTGAAAAGTACGGTAGCTAGGGCAACGCTTAGGTCATAGCTCCAAAAAGCCCAGGTTTTACAAAAATCCCAATAAAGCCTAAGGTTAAGCGTAACCTAAGCCAAGCCTAAGCCGATGCGAGATAAGCCGAGATCGCCCGAGCCTAGTGAAGGAAGAAGAGGGCGACTTTTTCACAGTAGTTTTCCGCGAAATTTATTGGCCCCCGGCAAGACCATCCATTAGGGACCATCACACTCCAATGAGGACCCGGCAGTTTTGCGGCGCAAGTACACCCGGGCTCAAAGGGCCCTAAACTTTTTGAGTCCTAATAATTATTGGGGGTCTACCGGCATAAGGCACAGGGCTTGACAAATTTATGAAATCCAAGAGGGGACCTATTCGGGGGCGGGTGGAGGAAATTGACGGAAATTTGGGCGAAAGGAGTCTATTTTTGCAAGAAAAAACGTTAACGAAGCTTGCATGGGCAGACTAGCAGAGATCATTTGGGAATGGAAGGGGCAGGCTAGCAGAGATCATTTGGGAATGGAAGGGGCAGGCTAGCAGAGATCATTTGGGAATGGAAGGGGCAGGCTAGCAGAGATCATTTGGGAATGGAAGGGGCAGGCTAGCAGAGATCATTTGGGAATGGAAGGGGCAGGCTAGCAGAGATCATTTGGGAATGGAAGGGGCAGGCTAGCAGAGATCATTTGGGAATGGAAGGGGTAGGCTAGCAAAAATCATTTGGGGATTGGAGCGTGGCAAGCTAGCCGGGACCCTTACGGAAGTCAAGAGGTGAGCCAAGGGCATACTAGCTGTGATTCTTGAGGAATTACATCGGGACAGACTAGCAGAGATTATTGAGGATTGCTAAAACCGTTCATCCCACTACGGATCAATACAAATGACCGATGAAAGATTACGTGCGAGTTTTGGGTGGGTCTCAAGGGGGAAGGAAGAGGGTGATAGTGGACGAACTCGAGATTTTCTGGGGAGACTTCTGGCGGATAAGTGGGATATGGGATTGCGAAAAAGCGAGGGGGGAGAGAGCGCGAGAGTGAGAGACGAAGGCACACAAACACGACGACACTATCACCACATCACCACACACAGAGACATCCCCGCACAGATCTGAGCGAAAAAGCGCTCCGGGATTCCGAGACGCTCCTCCCGACCCAACTACGGGACACTCCAAAAGACACCGCGCAACATGTGCGCGCGTAGCTCTCAATAAGTCGCACTGTTTGAACACGGGTTCATCGTCCAGATTTCGGGTTTTTTGGGGAGGAGCTGTGGGGGGATAGGGGCTAATGAAAATTCTCAACAAAGAGAGGCAACTAGCAGAGATCATTTGGGAACGGAAGGGAGGCTAGCAGCGATCATTGGAGATTTCCCCAAACGCTCGAAACAGTGATAAATTGATCGGGATTGACCTGGCCAACCCAAGGGGTGGGGGTGAGAAGCGCAGCCCTCTATTTGCTTCCGGCCCGCAAAAAGTGGGTTGACACTTTTCGTACGGTCAATGAGAGCCCAAGGGGCAGGGCACAGATTCGTCATTTTGTGTATTTTATGCATGGATGGCAGGCTAGCAGAGATTATTTGGGAAATAGGCGCTAAAAATTACGTTGAAAAAATTTAGAAAAACCGAGATTGCTCGATTTGGGTGTGGCAAGCTAGCAAAGACCATTGGGGGAGCCTAACAGGGATCTTTTAGAATTCTGCGCCGTTATTGGGTACAAAGCGAACTAGCAGAGATCATTTGGGAATTCCGGCGAAATCCAATAGACCTGGAAAAAGACGTATGGCAAGCTAGCAGAGATCATTGTGGATTGGGGGCAGGCTAGCAGAAATATTTTAGGCCGGACATTCTAATAAAATTATCGAAAAAGCCACCATTAAATTGGCGGAGGGCTGGTTGAGGGTGGAGGTGGAGATGGAGGGAGACATGTGGCGTTTCCGCGGGGCACCATAAAACACCCACAGCAACAGAAATCCCAGGGCCAAAATCCACACACACGCGGTACACACAGAGAGACGAGGAGAGGCATTACGTGAAGGGAGGAATGGAAAGGGCATGAATTAAGGGGGTGGCAGGCTAGCAGAGATCTTTTGAGGCGAGACAGAGAAAGAAAGAGAGAGAGAGTAGAGAGAGAGAGAGAGAGAGAGAGAGAGAGAGATAAATTCGATGTTTCGGTTTGCAGACTCGGCACTCGGAATTCCATTTTTTACAAAAGCCCCTCATCAGGTTGCACCCCGTCCCCCGGATTTTATTTGTTCATCAGCGGGGGTGACGCTGTTAAGCGGCCGTTTGTATACAAAAGAGCTCGATCAGCCCGACTGTCAACACGGAATGTCGTGTAGTTTTAACTATCGACCAGGTCAGCCGGAGCGCTAGCGTAGATCATTTGGGAATGGAAGGGGTAGGCTAGCAGAGATCATTTGGGAATGGAAGGGGCAGGCTAGCAGAGATCATTTGGGAATGAAAGGGGCAGGCTAGCAGAGATCATTTGGGAATGGAAGGGGCAGGCTAGCAGAGATCATTTGGGAATGGAAGGGGCAGGCTAGCAGAGATCATTTGGGAATGGAAGGGGCAGGCTAGCAGAGATTATTTGGGAATGGAAGGGGCAGGCTAGCAGAGATCATTTGGGAATGGAAGGGGCAGGCTAGCAGAAATTATTTGGGAATGGAAGGGGCAGGCTAGCAGAGATCATTTGGGAATGGAAGGGGCAGGCTAGCAGAGATCATTTGGGAATGGAAGGGGCAGGCTAGCAGAGATCATTTGGGAATGGAAGGGGCAGGCTAGCAGAGATCATTTGGGAATGGAAGGGGCAGGCTAGCAGAAATTATTTGGGAATGGAAGGGGCAGGCTAGCAGAGATCATTTGGGAATGGAAGGGGCAGGCTAGCAGAGATCATTTGGGAATGGAAGGGGCAGGCTAGCAGAGATCATTTGGGAATGGAAGGGGCAGGCTAGCAGAGATCATTTGGGAATGGAAGAGTGTTTAGGAAATTTAAAAATCTGACTGGCAACGCGGTATCCCTATTTTTATTTCAGGTCCCTAATCTACCTACACTTCTTTTTTTCCCAGTTTCCTCCCTTCCGTACGGGCCATTAGGAGACCCCGGCTCGTGCTCCACCAAGTGCAAAAAATGCCCTTTCCCCATCAAAAGTCGGGCCGTTCAAAAAACCTCTCAAATAGCCCCGCCGTCCGGCCAATTCCCGTAAACGCTAAATCACCCCCGGCGGCACCTGGGTGGGCTAGGTGGTACGAAAAATTGGGCCCGCAAGCTAGGATCCACGTTTAAAGGGATCAGCAAGAAAAAAGTAGCATTAGAGCATAGCGTCAAGAGTGATGGTGCGGAATATGGGCTCGAGAAACCGGTGATGGCCTTCCTGGTGTTTAGAAGGCCGGCAAAGCGCCAGAAAAGTTATAAAGCTTAGACTCAGCTTCAGTTTCCCGCCCAAAGGGTCTCTGCTGGCCTGCCTAGACGGAAATGAAAGGATCTCTGCTAATTTGCCTTGGCGTTCAACTCCTAAATGATCACTGCAAGCCTGCCCAAATCTTACTACGATCTAGCGATCCGCTGAACTGCGAATGTGCAAAACGTTGGGCCCTTGACCCGCGGTGGGACTGTTTATCTGTGAACGGTCGGGATCAGCGAGAGAGAGAGAGAGAGAGAGAGAGCGAGAGAGAGAGAGAGAGAGAGAGCGAGAGAGAGAGAGAGAGAGAGAGAGAGAGAGAGAGATAAGTGAGAACTTTCACGCGCTTCCCATAGAAACGCTAGGGGAAAGTGTCGAGTGGCCGCCCTCAAAACTTTGGCTTTTCGGCTTTTGCCCCGAATAACATAGCAGGGAAAACATGAGAAAAAAAACAGAAAAATTCACTTTGAAGTGGCCAGGCTACAGTATATACAGTAGAAAACAGAGATCAGCCGGGAAAAAAGCAAAAAATCGGTAATGAGGGGAAAATTCTGAAATTACAGGATGATTTTCGAGAAATTCTTTTACGGCGAATTTCACCGTATTTTAATTGAACCCAATAGTGCTCATATTTAAAGTAATAATAAATATTTTCCAACAAAAGCTCCACAAGTTAAACAGCGGGAGAAATGCGTTTTTCGAGCCGCGTACTGTAATCATGATTTCCGGCCAAGATGACGACATTCAAAATGACGCAGCCAAAATCTTACGGTAATTTGGTATTTTTCGGCAGCTAAATTTTTCGTTTTGAGATTTTCCAGTAACGTTGGTCCTTACTCTTTCAAAAAAGGGGGGCGCCCTAAAAACCGACCTTGCGACGGGTAGTACTGTGGGTTATGGTAGCGCTGGCCCATCGGCGCTTTCCCATAGGCGGGTGGGATACCGGAGAAGGTCGATTCCGATTCCGTCGAGTACACTGGAATACAGAGTACGGTATGTAATTCGCATAAAATATTAGATATTGATTTTGTCGAATCCTAAATGGGCATTCAGTTCAAGTTTCGTGAGTTTCTCTCTCTCTCTCTCTCTCTCTCTCTCTCTCTCTCTCTTCTCTCTCTCTGCTTTCTTTCTCTCTCTTTAGTTTTCTCTCGCTCTCTCTCACTCAATATCTTTCTCAAAATCTATTGCATTCTTTCTCTCTTGTTCTCTCGCCATCCTACTCATTTCCTCGCTCTCTCGCTCTCTCTCTCGCTCTCGCTCCCTCGCTCTATCGCACATTCGCTGCTAAAAAACTCACTGCTCGAATCATAATGGTGATATTTCTGATGTCCATGGTACGTCGGGGCGGGGCCGGGAACCTGAAAAAATACATAAAATCGGAATTCTGCCCTGCCAACTACGCGAGGCTTCTATGCACGGGAAGGTGAGTGGTCGTATTAAGAAAATTATTTGAGAATGTGTATCATTAACAGATTAACGTGTTAACGTATTCAACAGATGAAATTAAACGTGTAATCGCTTCCATTAATTCAATTATCGTTCTATTTGTGCATGCCATTTTATGGATTAGGGACCAACAAACCTTCGGCAGCGTCTTTGAGTGGTGATGCTAAATTTTATGTAATTTTTGCGCTTTTTATGAGGTATGTTTGTTTTTGTGTTGTAGGAAGAGAGAGAGAGAGAGAGAGAGAGAGAGAGAGCGAGAAAGAGTGAGAGACAGAGAGCGAGAGAGAGAAAGGGAGAGAGGGAGAGCGAGAAAGCGAGAGAGAGAGAGAGAGAGAGACAGAGAGAGAGAGAGAGAGAGAGAGAGAGAGAGAGAGAGGGAGAGAGAGAGACTCACAATTCGGTGCTGTTGATGCCCTCGATTTGATCCGATGAGACTGCCCTGGTCGGAACCACCGTGACTTGACCCGCCTTCCGTCGTCTGCAGAAACAGCAGAAATCGACCGTTCGACGATTTCGGCAGAATTTGGAGGTCGTCCCGGAGCTCGAGCTTCACGTCACTGCAATTTTTGCTTGTTTTATTGTCCTTTTGATCCGATTAAGTTGAGACGAAAATGCCAGAATCTACCCCTTCCATCGACTAGAACTAGGCAGCCAAGCGACACCTTAAAGCCCGCCCGCAACCGCATTTGAGCTGTTCTTTTAGTACAGCGATCAAAATTAGATCGGAACACTTTTTGGCGAGCCGCGTAGCTGTCTAGACCCAGTCGAGGGAGAGGGTTGATTCTCGGGTTTACTAACCCATTTAAAACCCAAAAAACTATCCGTGAAACTCACGATCCCAGATCTGCGTCGTGCGTCATCGCGTAGAACTTGAAATTGTTGTGCGGCAGCACGCGCTTCACGTCCTGGAGAGTGATCAGTTCGGGCGGGACGTGCACCTGGAATTGCAGAGATAATTTGGGAATTGGACGGACAAGCTAGCAGAGATAATTTGGGAATGGAAGGGGCAGGCTGGCAGAGATCATTTAGGATAAAGTAGTCTTACCTCAGTCATGAACGGTATCGTCTCGTCGTCCTTTTGGTAGTAGACCTTGGTCGTCGAGTGCGTCAAAAAGTTCTGGGCCTGGCTTTCCCCGCCCGGCGAGTGCTCGCCGGCCGAAAGTTCAGAGGCCGATCCCGGAGCTGAAAATAACGATTTTTCAATGTCGAATAGAGGCAAGCTAGCAGAGATCGTTGAGGAACATGACGAAATTTTTGCTTGTTACTCACTTCCGGCCAGATCATCGATCGTCAACCGTTGCGTGGCGTCGAGGATGTTTTTGTGGCCGGGCGGTCCGGATGAGCTGGGCTCGGCCATGTTTTCGGGCCGCAGCTAGGCTTAACCTGAAATTACGCGGTCGGAATATTTGTGGCTATATAAAAATTCATTAAATAGAAAATTCGGACAAAATGGGAAGGCTAGCAGAGATTCTTTGAGACGGTGAGAGGTATTGAGAAACACAGGCTAGCCAATTCTCTGAAAAAGCTATTGGGAGCAGACTGGAAGAGATTCTTTGGGGAATTTTATTTCGGCAAGCTAGCATAGATTATTTGGGGAATCGAACGGGCAGGCTAGCGGAGAACCTTTGAGGAATAAAAAGGGACATGCCATGCCGTTAGAGGCAGAGAAAGAGTGGACGAGCAGAGATTCTTTGGAAGAGAATGAGCAGGCTAGCAGTGATTATTGGAGAAATCAACCGGAAATGCTAGCAGAGTTGCTTTGGGAAATTTTATCGGGGTAAGCTAGCATCGATTATTTGAGAAATAATAGGTAACTTTCCATGCTTAATAACGACGGGATTTCAGATGAAACGACCTAAACGCTAAATTCCAAAAAATTCGTCGCGGGTCAAGCCCAAGCCCAAATGCAAGCCTAAGCCTCAGCCCAAGCCTAAGCCCAAGCCTAAGCCCAAGACTAGCCCTAATAAGCCCAAGCCTAAGCCCAGACCTAAGCCTACAGCGCCAAGTATGAAAAAGCAAATTTAAAAAACAATTCGGCTATTATTTGTCAGTTGAAAGTTTAAAATCTTTAAGGTAAGAATAGCAATGAAATTACAAACTCCAAAAAAATGGCGACTCGGATGAGTCAGGATGGCTTGGCCGGGGGCTCGATGGCCCCCAGCCAGCGGCGGATAATTTAGCCCATGGTGCCTTCCCTTCTTCCCCTTCTCCGGCCAGTTTGAAGCGGGGGGAACGATAGAGAGAGGGGGAGAGAGCACGGCAGAGGGAGAGAGCGCAGACAGCCCGGGCAAGAGAGCCGGGCGCGTCGCGTGCCGCGCGGCGCGGCGAGAGAGCGGGGCGTTTTGGAGGGGGCAGGTAGTGGTCAGCCTTTGACCAGCTGGCCCGGTTGGGCCCCCGAGCAAGGGCCAATTACAGCCTTCGCGCCCCGGGGGCCCAGTCCGCGAAAAGTTGGGCAATTTTTGGGCGGCGAGTAGAGGGCAAAAATTAGTAATTATATCCACGCGTAAATTTGTTATGCCATTTATTATATTTAATAAATATTAATTCAATAAACATAATAAATGTTGCTATACAACATAATCTTTTATTAACGCGACGCAGTGCTTCTACTATAATTTCTTAAAAATTCGAAAAGATCGCGAAAATTTGGGCAATTTTTGAGCGGCGAACAGAGCGCAAAAATTGGTTATTACACTTAATAAATATCTGTTCTTCTAAACAACATAATATTATATTAATCCCAAAGTATTTTTATTTAAATTTAAACAAAAAAAATCCAAAAACAGCGAAATTCGACAAGATTTTTTTGTCGGCGAATTTGTAGATTAAATCTATGTTAAATTGATTAGAGGGCGAACATAATATTGCGTTAAAAATAATTTATTATTAGCCTCCTGGAGGTATTAAAATGTATTCATGTGCAAACCGAATCTAGACGAGAATTGAAAAATTTAATAGCTGAAATTGTTTGGTAATATTTAATTAAAGAATTTTCTGAGGCTATGGTTGACCGACAGCTAATTCCGAAGTGATACGGGAAACATGGCCGGCGGCAATTTTCTCGGCCTATCGTTGACATGCCCGGAGGGGATATTGGAATGGACATCTGAGGGGTTGGGATGCAAATTAGCACCAATTTTCGGGTCAGTGGTGAGAGAGCTAGAGAGAGAGAGAGAGAGAGAGAGAGAGAGAGAGAGAGAGAGAGAGAGAGGGAGAGAAAGGGAGGGAAAGCGAGAGAGTGAAAGAGAGGGATGGAGAGAGAGAGTGCGAGAGAGATAGAGAGATGACAATAGAGAGAGGGAGCGTGAGATGGAGAGAGAGGGCGAGAGAAAGAGAGATGGCGATAGAGGGTGAGAGAGAGCGAGAGAGAGAGAGGAGGGGGAGATAGAGGGCGCGAGCGAGATGGAATGATGGCGATAGAGAGAGGGAAGCAGAGAGAGAGAGCGAGAGAGAGCGAGCGAGCGAAATTCAGAAAAAATAGTAGCAAATTCTGGTTGTTGCTGACTTTGATATGCTCGGGATTTGATAGCGTCATTGACGGCAGTATACAAAATTGAGAGCGAGAAAAAGAGAGAGCGAGAGAAAGACCGAAACCATGACTTTCCCTTCCCCCTCCGGGGCACCTTATGCCGTGGAATATGATGGAGCCTCGGCTTCCTCCTCACCCCCTGCGGTTGGTCAGTCCAGATGTGTGGCTGCCCCCATCCATCCCTCAACCATTCCCCCCTTTCCTAATCCAATCCGTCCACTCGGAGCGTCGCGTAGCCCGCACACCAACACCCACCAATCGCGTAATACTTGGCCACGGCTCTCACAATCATTACTCCCCCGAGGAGGTCATTTTGAGGTGGCAGCCGGCCACCAGAATTTGCTAATCTGGAAGCGGGATCGGAGCAGAGGGAATAGCAAGCGAAACAGTTGCGAAGTAGACAATATTACGCTCAGAAATGCCCTTTTCCTCTCTCTCTCTCTCTCTCTCTCTCTGTCTCTCTCACTCTCTCTGTCTCTCTCTCTCTCGCTCTCTCGCGCTCTCTCTGTATCTATCTCTCTATCTCTATCACGCTTTCACTCTCCCGCTCTCTCTCCTCCCCACACGATCGCTGCTAGCCTGCCCAAACCCGCTGGACGACAACTTCCCCAAGCTTCTCTGCCAGCCCGCTTCGGCAGAAAGCACCGTATTCCCTCAACAACCCCTTTAAAAGACGAAACACGTGATTTCCGTACCAGGAAGCTTCTCATGGCTCCGGAGCCCCGAAGATGCCACCCAGGTTGTTTTCTTCAGATGAGTGTACGGAGTGCGCGTGTGTTTGAGAATTTGGGGGTGTAGATAGAGGTGAGAGAGGGAGAGAGAGAGAGAGAGAGAGAGAGAGAGAGAGAGAGGGTGATATACCCGTGGAAGAACACGAGTGTCCCTCGGCCTAAACAAACAGATATCACCGATCAGCATGCGGGAAAGTCACCTGCCTCGAAAATTATCACGGGATTTTCGGATAGGGACCTTTGTGGAAAACTGGCAAGTATAACTTTATTAAAAATATGTCGAAAAGGCTAGGTAGGTTGTTGTGGCGGGAGATGTTTCTCGATCCAGTCCAGCCCGTCATAGATTCCGTCTCCGTTATGGGCACAGGTTGCTTGGATGTGCCGCTGAAAGGGGACAAATGGTCTCTGCTAGCTTGCCTTTCTCTCTCTCTCTCTCTCTCTCTCTCTCTCTCTCTCTGTCTCCCCCAATAATCACCGTCATCTACCCACCCTATGACTCCGATTTTCCGCCAATCCAAGCTTCTCTGCTAGCTCGCCGGCCGATAGTGCATTTGGAAGGTCCTAGAATGCGCTCAGAATTATTGGGGTTCATTTTTGAAGGGCCACTGAAGGCAATGTCCAAAAAAGCGCGCGCACCTGCTTATTGGCCAGCACCAAGAAGATCGTATTCTTGAGGGAATCTTCTGTAGAAAGGCTCGCCAATTCTTCGGCAGCTTCTTTCAGCCGCAATTCATCGGAAGAGTCGACCCGAAAAGAGAGAGAGAGAGATAGGGAGAAAGAGAGAGAGACAGAGAGAGCGAGAAAGCGAGAGAAAGAGAGAGAGGGAGAGAGAAATCGAGCCTCAACGTACCACAAATACCACGCAATCCGTGCCTTGATACTGGTGTTTGCGAAGAAAAGAAGGCCCCACTTCCCAGCACATTAATGAAAGGCTTTTGTAATCCACCGTCTCGACGATAACGCATGGAATGCAGATTCTTATATATAGCCAGAATGCTTAGGCTTTGCAGAAGCAGTTTCTTACCTGTTGTTGGTGTAGTTTCCATCACTTCCCCCAGCTTCAGCTTATAAAGTAAAGTGGTCTTCCCAGCTCCATCCAGCCCGCAAAATAATATTTTGGCATCCCGCCGGGCTGGAGCATTTGAAAAGTATTGAAGAACACTGTTGATCAAGCCCATAAAAACCCGGGAATTCTGAAACGAGCAGAGAGCATTTGGGAATGGAAGGGGCAGGCTAGCAGAGATCATTTGGGAATGGAAGGGGCAGACTAGCAGAGATCATTTGGGAATGGAATGGACAGGCTAGCTGATATCATTTGGGAATGGAAGGGGCAGGCTAGCAGAGATCATTTGGGAATGGAAGGGGCAGGCTAGCAGAGATCATTTGGGAATGGAAGGGGCAGGCTAGCAGAGATCATTTGGGAATGGAAGGGGCAGGCTAGCAGAGATCATTTGGGAATGGAAGCGGCAGGCTAGCAGAGACTCCTTGACAATTTCCGATCGAACCCATCGAAGTGTCTTGCTTAGCGCCAGAAAAGCGGCTTATCAATGTGCCGAAAGCTATCGCCCAATAGCCGCCAAAACGCAAGGGTGCCAGAAAGTACACGCCATGTATTTCCGGCTTGTCCTTGCACGCACGCACCACTTTCACGGCAAAATGACATTCTTGAAAAAAGCTGGTTGCAAAATATTGTTTTCTACAGTATTGTACTGTAAATTGTACTGTAGCGAAAAATGGGAAAAATTTATTAGTATAGTCATTTATTTTGGGAGATTCCGCTCGAGCCAGTCGAGTCCCTCGTAAATCCCGTCTCCATTATGGGCACAGGTTGCTTGGATGTGCCACTGGAAGAGGAAAATGGTCTCTGCTAGCTTGCCTCTCCACCTCCCTCTCTCTCCCTCCCTGTCTCTCTCACTCTCTATCGCTCTCTTTCTCTCTCTCTCTCTCTCTCTCTCTCTCTCTCTCCCAATAGCTTCTGCTATCGACTCACCTTATGACTCCGATTTTCCGTCAATCCAAGCTTCTCTGCTAGCTCGCCGGCCGATAGTGCATTCGGAAGGTCCTAGAATACGCCCAGAATTATCGTAGCTCATTTTAAAGGACCATTGAAGACAAAATCCACCAAGCCGGCCAACCTGCTTATTTGCCATCAACAGGAAAATCGTATTTCTGAGGGAATCTTCAGTAAAAAGGCTCCCCAATTCTTCGGCCGCCTCTTTCACACGCAATTTGTCGAGGGAATCCACCTAGAAATACCCGGGGTTAATACTGTAAAGCGAGACGGTAAATACCACAAAAATAACTGCATCCGCGTTGTCGAAATAGTACTTCCAGAGGGGGCGGATCTTGGTCTGGCCCCCGACATCCCAGCACGTCAACGAGATCTTCTTATACTCCACCGTCTCGACGTTGAAGCCTGGAAAGGTGGCAAATGATCTCTGCCAGCCTGCCCCTTCCATTCCCAAATGATCTCTGCTAGCCTGCCCCTTCCATTCCCCATGATCTCTGCTAGCCTGCCCCTTCCATTCCCAAATGATCTCTGCTAGCTGCCCCTTCCATTCCCAAATGATCTCTGCTAGCCGGCCTTGATTTGCCACAGCGTATCGCTAAAGTTGTTTATGATTAAAAAAATCTAAATAAAACATAGATTTCCCACCAATTGTCGGAATCGTGTTGACAATCTCGCCGAGCTTCAGCTTGTAGAGCAGCGTCGTCTTGCCCGCCCCATCCAAGCCGACGAGTAGGATTTTTGCCTGCCGCGTCCCAAACCGATCCCACAAATCCTTCAGTCGACTCATCAGCAAACCCATCTCCGGGAAAATGGCAGAATTCAAAGAGTATAGAAAATATTAAGCTTTGACGATATGGCTGCATTGCCTCTGTGCCCTTAAATACTCGCTAGACATTCTTCCACGCATTTCAGGGCCGGGTGTCCCGGAATGAGTTGGCCGCATTTTAGTCACACAAGGCGAAGGGAACGCCTATCGTAACACAGCCCCCTCCCACTACCCGGGCGGTGATGAAATACGGAGTAGCGCGAAGAGCCCGCAGTTTTTTTGAGCCGGTGAGTCCCGTTCGAGCTGAAAATGTTCAAATACATCCCAACAGGAATTTAAAACGACAACTGGAATTTTCAGTTAGCTTAGGGTCGTTTTTGATTTCCACAAAAAATAAGCGTCACAAAAATAACTGATGGAGCGGGAAAAAGCGTCTCTCTCGCTCTCTCTCTCTCTCTCTCTCTCTCTCTCTCTCTCTCTCTCTCTGTCTCTCTCTCTCTCTTTCTAGCTCTCTGTCTCTATCTATCTATCTATCTATCTCCCTTTCTCTATCTCTCTCAATCACTATATCTATTTCTCTCTCTCTCTTCCTCTCACTCTCGCTTCCTCTCTCTCCCTCTCTCCCTCTCTCTTTCTTTCTCTCTTCTCTCTTCTCTCTCCTCTCTCGCTCTTTCTCTCTCTCTCTCCATCTCTCACTTCACAGTTCTCTTAGGGTGCCAAATTGAGGGTCAGGCCGATTTCAATTCCCCGCCAAGGCAGATGTCCATTCAAATGTTACCCAGTCAACAGGTGGTGGCTTAAAAGTTGCTATGCGATAAAGCACTTTTACTCGTTTTTTTGCCGTTTTTCGCGGACGAGCATGAGGTACTTCTTTGGCATCAACTACCTGCCGAATTGTCTGGTGATGGCTGCGCTCGACCATCTGCCCACCCGTGATTTGGAAACTTTACATCGCGTCAACTGGGACTTCAGGTGACTTCACGAGGCTAAATTATCGCCTCGGCCGTGCGGGGGGGGGGTAACGTAAAGTCTTACCCGACAAAGCTTCAGGGCATGCATCACGAGACGCGGCGTATTCCCGCGTAGAGTGGAATCCATCTCCATCACGGCCCGAATCCGGAAGCCGGAGCACGCGAAAGAAGTGGGCGAGCAAGAACACAAGGTTCGATTTTTCTCGATTTTCGTAGTTAGACGTTCATTCTGCCAATCGGAGCACCATCTTTTTTTCTCAAAAACTAGTTTTCAAACGAAAAAAATTCCAAATTTTTTTCGACAACAATTTTTCGGATTTTTTTTGAGATTTGGCTGCACGAGACGCAGATTGTCATCCGTGATTTCGGCCAAGGCACCTTGACTTTCAATAGCCACAGCTTCTACAGGTTGGTAAAATTTCGAATATCAGGTTGGAAGGAAAGTCCTGTCGCCGAGATTTTAGAAGGCTGGCTAAATTCGTAGATAGCTCGATTCTGGACATGCAATATGTAATTTGGCAGCTCTGGTCCTGAACCGCTCCGGGAGGAGGGTCCTAGACCGCCAAAATGAGGAAAAACCGAGATACAGGCCCGAGAAGTTTTTGGAAAAATTAGGCAAAAGTGTTTTTGCAAAAAACTTTTCGGACCTGTATCTCGGCCCCCCCCCCCTTGATTTTGGCGGTCCGGGACCCTCCACCCGAAACGGATCAGGCCGAGACCTACAAATTGACATATCACATGTCCAGAATCGAGCTATCTACGAATTTAGCCAGCCTGTCAAAATCTCGGCGCCAGGACTTACCTTCCAACCTGATACTTTAATAAGCTAACAGGGGAAAGGCAAATGCCTATTCTCGCAATTTGAAAAACGCTCGCGGCCACCCCGAGACTATCGACCACGGCGAACACGATCGTGCATGCAGAATTTGCAGAGTTTTCAATAGAAATAAACAGAAAACTTGTTTCCTATGCTGTTTTTACTATTCCTAAGCGTAAATACTTTACAAATTTTCGTTAAAAAATGCGAAAAACCTTGATTCTCCACCCTAAATGGCCGATTTTCGACCGAAAATATCGCCGAATTTTTTTATGGTTAAAAAAATTTAGCTGAAACTATAGTTAAATTTTACTAAAAACACTTTCAAGAAACATCTAATCTAATCTTTAATTGCAGGTTGAACCGCTTCCCGTTCTCGAGCCTAATTGACCTGATCAAGTCAAGCGTTAGCATCACGTGTCGCGAGCTGGATGTGGAGCTGATTGCCACTTACGATGGCACGGTAGGTTTAAACGGGCACAGACGGCATACGTCAAAAGGGCTCCCCGACACTTGCGGCGCGGACACTTGCGGCGCGGTCATTTGCGGCGCGACACTTGCGGCGCAGCATTTATTATTTTTAAATGTTGTAAATTTAGCATTCTTTACGGAATTTGTTTGTAATTGCTGGATTTGTGTTCAAAATAAGCAATTTAACCGACCCGCAGTCGGAACGCCCCTGAGGGCGTCAGGCAAGGTGGGCCGTCGCTTCGGATGGGCTGCCGCTCCACTCTTTCTAAATCGGGGCGCCTGGCCGCTTCGCGCTCCGCGGGCGCGCCGATTTCGAAACCCTGTACGAGCTCGCACCCATCCGAAGCGACTAGGCCCCGGGTGGCACGAAGCCTTTTTTTAGTCGCAGAGCGGAGGAGGTAGCGGCAACTTTCCCTCCAAATTGAGTGACTTCGGTCGCAAACCCGACTTTTTATAATTTTTTAATACCAAATTCGGATGCAGCCTATCAAATAACATCTTAAACTATTGTTATATAGCTTATACTAAATAACCGCAAGGTCGCGCCGCAAGTGTCGGGCGCAGGTGTCCGCGCCGCAAGTGTTGCGGTACCGTCAAATGGTTACGCCCTCAAAAGGGAAAGCGGTGACCTTCACCCATCACATGATTCCGCGGTGTTCGTGAGTAGGCTGGCGGATAGTGCGCCAGACGGCGGGGTGCAGACACACCGGGGAGGGGTGGGGCGCGGAATAGGCGGCGAAAGAGTGAGACTAGGCTATAGGCCACGGGGGAAGAGAACAGGGGGGCGGGGCCAGAGCGCAGATTCTCCCTTCCCCTGTATGGGTGCCATCCTGTCCCGGTCAAACGAACACAACGGGTAAAGGGCGGAATGCTGTGCCATACGCCTGGGTGCGGAAGCAGCAAAAAAAACGGTTAACCTTGTAGAATGCAAAAATGTGTGCGGTAAAGGCGATCATAGTCTCTGAAATACGCAATTACAGAAGTGGAATGAGGAACCAGCTTGGATTGACGATCGATCCCTGAGGAGCAACGATTTTTTTGAGGTATTGGTGAGATAGAGATGGATGGTGAGAGAGAGCAAGAAAGAGAGAGAGAGAGAGCAAGAAAGAGAGAGAGAGAGAGAGCGAGAAAGATAGTGAGAGAGAGCGAGAGAGGGAGAGAGGGAGCGACATGCGCAAATCATTAATGTTTCAGGCAAGCCCGATTTTCCGTTGGGTGGCAGCCGTCAAAAACTCGAACATTTCGGTGCCTAATCATGCCATATTTCGCAAGCTCATCCTGAACTATCGCAATGGCTTCGACGATATTTACTTGTGCGAGGTAACGCCCGCAACTAGCTCTCTTTGCCTACAGGCCCAAAAAATGCTTTGTAACCGCATAGTAAATATTTTTGAAAGGGCTTTTAGGAAAAAACGTAACTATAGTTTATGTGCACCAAAAACCTAGAAGAATTTTTGCCAAAGTTTTGGTCGAAAATCGGCCATTTTTAGGGTGAAAAACATGGGGTTTTTTTTGGCTTTTTTTTAAGGGTGGAAAATACGGGGAGCGCCGATCAAAATAAACACTTACCCCAAAGTCTAGTTACTTCGAAACGTTTTAGGCTCGAATTTCTATCTATCCGTTTAGGCAAACTTCGTTGCGCGCTGCGATGAATGTCGAAACGTAAGCTTAACCTTTCTCCGTGCGAAAACGAAATTTTGTGGGCGCGTCGATTACATGGCGTAATAGTAATGCCATATAAGGCACCCAATCTCTCGATGTCGATGATTCTCAGATCAAATTTCATACTTGAACAGTCGGTAAGACTCCAGATAACCCCCCCCCCTCCCCCACCTTTGTATCTCGGCTCCCTGTTCATCTACACGTGTGTAATGTATACCAAAATGTTCGTCTTGCTCTGGCGAGTATTTTCGGTATACTTTACACACCTGTAGATGAACAGGGAGCCGAGATACGGTAGGTGGGTGGGTCGGCTGCGGGGGGATTATCTGGCGTTAAGCCAGAAAGCCTAGTATGGTCCAAATTCGGTGAGGATTCTAGAAATAGCGTCAGGATTTCGAAATTCAAGCGTTTTCGCGCCGAAACAGGGGACAAAAGATCATGCGGCGCGGTCGCGTTGCGGCCGCAACTGGCTCTTTGCCAAGAATCCACGCGGGGGGCCGTGAACCAGACTTCGGAGGCCCTTGAGAGGGATACGGAACCCATTGGCTATTCCGGGGAGTACAAATGACGCTTCCAATGGCACGGGGCTAGAGCGTAGGTTCGAACATTTCTAGGTCAATTCGACCCTGCTGAGTTCAAAATTATCGAAACCAGAACCCAAAAATTACCCTTAGGGGGTGAAAAATCGATTTTTTGGAGACCAAACTCCAGCCGGCCGGCATTCTGTATTTTAGGTGGCGGGCAGGGGAGCCGGTTGGGAATGCGTGGAGTGCGCGCAAGTGTGGGCCCTCATCCCCGATGGGATGAAGCCGAGTAGAAAACGAACTCGAGAAGTATCCATGACTATCGAGTTCCAGGATAACGACGTGGTCGGGCAATTAGCCGAGGTGGGTGTTTGGAAAATGAAAGAAACGGGCAAGACTTTACCTTACGCCCCCCCCCAGCCGCAGGATCTCATAGTTGTCGATATTTTCGCTATTTTTGTCGGGATTTTGCAACGCCATTTGATAGAGCGTCGAAAAATATACTCATAGTTTTTATGGCAGCTTAAAATATTGTAATATAAAATAGTTCTAGCAAAAACAAAAATACCGTCTAAAACTGGGTTAAAAACTAGTTTTCGAATTTCTATTTTTTTTTTTTGACATTTTCGATACGCCATTCGATAGGGCAAGAAAAAATATATTAAGAGTTTTAATGACAACCGAAAATAATGTAAAATTAAATAGTTATGGCAAAAACCGGCAAAATTCGGATGACTTGTTTAATTAACACTATTTTAATTGTATAAATTTTAATATTTATTTTTTCCCGATTCCCGGCCAGGGGAGAGTAGCTGGGACCTAGCACTACCGAATGGTGGCCTTAAAAAAATGAGAAAAATTTGTCCTCCTAAAGGCTCCTATTATCAGAACCCCAAAAAAAACAATAGATTTTGCGTTTGTTCAAGCCAAGCCGAATTTCATCGTACCAAAAAAGGCAAAACAATCTGCTAAAAAAGCACCCGCCTCTAACGGTCCGCAGTCAGTCGAAGTCAGAACGGATGAATTTGTCACCAAAACGCAAAAAGCAAAAGTCGTTGAGCCGGTGCCGGGAATCGAACCCGGGCCTGGCGGGGCGACAACCCACCCGTCCTGTACCACTAGACCACACCGGCCAACCGACCCGGGCCGCCAAATGCTATTTTTGTTGGATTGTGAAAATTTTCACCCGAGATCGTAGGGGAGCTATTTTTGTGCTCCGATCAGTATTTTAGAAAAGTGAGACTTTTATTTTAGTAAGTTTTAGGAAAATTCATCATTGCTAGAAAAAAGGTTTGTCATTTAGTTTTTCGCATTAAAACCGTCTAATTCTAATTCTAACCAGCTAATAAAATACAGGAACTCCCAGAAAAGCGCCCTAACCCGAGAGGTCCGGCAGTCGTGTCCGATTTCTATGATTTAGATATCTATCGAAAGCTCTAGAAATGGCGAGAAAACAAGCTTTTTTCGTTATCCAAATGCAGTGATTTGATTGTATATTTTTTATGGCTAAAAACTGTGAACAGAGCTGATTTATGCGAGATCCGCTTGTTAATTGAAATGCTGGCACAGAAAAAGAGAAATCTTTTTAGCAAAACGTTTAATATCAAGAAAATGCTAAATAATTAAAGAAAACGAAACCCGCTTGTTTCCTCGCCCCTAAATGGGCTTTCTAGGGGTGTAGAAACCATCCCATTCCGAGCTTCTTCCGGACCCCTAGGAGGGGTGCTTTTTTTTGGGGCACCCTGTAGATTTGGGTAAAGTCACCGGGTGAAAATTAAAATCAGAATATTATAAAGCCATTAGTCTCAAGCCCCACAACCGAAAGGTCTCAAATTTGTCGGTGTTTTCGCTTATTTTGTCGTCGTTTTTGCAACGCCATTCGATAGAGCATCGAAAAATATATACGAGTTTTAATTTGAGCCTACAATAATGTAAAATAAAAAAGTTATAGATAAAACATTCCGGCAGGGTGGGGGGGGGAGTAAAGACTAACGGTCCAGTACCCATTTTTTTAGTAACTGACAAGCAGTGCCCAGGCATTTTCGACACCGTCACGTTTCAGTTGGCATTTTGTCCACGGAGGCGCGCCAGTGAAGGGCTGATGCATTCTGTTACGTCCAACTACGAATTCCCGGCCCACGTGAAGGCGGTCACGGAGTTTTTGGTAAGACGCTTCTTCTACCAGTAGAGCGGAAATCGGCATTTATTCAGTCAGATTTGAAGACGAGGGTGCGCCGGATCCATAAAGGGGCCATGGAACTGCTTGATGAGACGGAAGCAGACGCACAAACGCTTCTCAAATGGATTGAGAAGCACGCGGTGCGTTTTAGCCAGATTTGGGAATAGAGAGAGAGAGCCTAGGCGCTTCGCGCTCCTCGGGCGCCCCGCTTTCGAAACACTGTACGGGTGACTTCTGTCGAACACCCAACTTTTTACAGATTTTTTCGTAAAATTCGGAAGCAGCGTATAAAACAACTCGCTAAACTATTTTTATCCAGCTAAAACTAAATAACCGCAAGGTCGGGCCGTAAGTTTCGGGCGCAAGTGTCCGCGCCTCAAGTGTCGCAGCCGCAAGTGTCGCGGTACCCCGGATCAGGCCCGGAGGAGGGGGGGCAACGGGGCAAGTTCCCCCCCAAATCGGCCGAAGGCCGAAAAATTCATAAATTTAATAATTCATAATTCAAAAACATTCATAATGATTTTTTTTCGTGAAAATTTTTTTGCCTGCGGCGCTTTTTATAGCTGTTTTTAAGACTGTTTTTACTGTCATGGCCCTAAGTTTTTCAAAAATTTTCGCCTGCGGCGCTGTTTTTGATAGTTTTGATACGTTGCCAAAAAAATTTTTTGGAGTTGCCCCTCCAAAATCGGGGATCGCTACGGCCCTGCCCTCGATCGATCTATCACTTGGAACGTTTCCCTGTATGGTGCTTTGTTTCAGCCCTACATAAAGGCCAACGGGCGATCGTTGTTTCGCGTCCACGTCTATGGTAAAAGTAAGTAACAAGGATATAACATGAACGGTGGTAGACATACAGTAGCGTGCAAAAAGAAGGCAAACGCCCCGGAAGCTGTTAAAAGCGGCTTCTTCGTTATATTTTGGGCCAGACGGAATGTTTTCAAGTATTTTCGACGCTGTAGACTCCGATGAGCTGGGTCGGGGCACTCATATCATAAAATTGTCATTTGCTGTGGGATTTCGCGAGGGTCATTTAATAGAGCGTCGAAAAATATGTGAAGAGAATTCATTTCAGCCCGGAATAATGTATTGGAAGCTTTATAGCGACTAAAGGGAAATTTATCAAAATCCATGGGGCGTGCAAAAAAGTCGCGTGTTTGCACTAAAATATCTCGACCTCTATTCGTTACGAATTTTTCATCGTTTTTGAAATAGGAACAAACTTTGAAGCGATAAAGTATGGAACTTTTGATACGTTACGGGGACATGTAGGGACGGGAGCCCCTGGGCACAACGCGCGAACTCCGGGATTCCTATGGCGCGCCCCAGTGACAGTACCCCCGCCCCCCGGGCCCACCCCCCGTTTCCCTCGCGTAATGGCCCGATTCGTTGGTAAAACATACAAAGAAGTCTTTCTACAAAGAAAACAATTGAAAAGTGAAGTGTAATACATTTTTAGGGTAATTTTTGTCTTTTATGCTCTCTAGTAGGTTTTCTAGGTTTTGTTGTGGTGCTTGTTAGTTTATGCACTTTGTTTTCTAGATGCCAAGTCATCCATGCCCGCATTGCTCGTTTGTCTTCGATCGGCCTTACAATTTGAAACGGCATTGCGACCGCTTACATGGGGGCTCGCCAATCCCCATTATCCCCAGGAAAAAGGGTGATAGCGTCAAGTGCCACATTTGCCAAGCCCGAATGCGCGACGAAGAGGCCCTCGAGGACCACGTTTCCGCTTACCATAGCTTCCCAGTGCCTGAGATAGAGCCACCCGCCCCTGGTTTTTACTGTACTGAGTGTGTAGTGCCAGCGAAGAATTATGAAGACTTTGTCATGCATTTTGCGGGGTCCCACGAAGATTCGGATACCCAGTAGGCTTTGTAGAATTTTGTTACACTCATTTTAGTTTTGAAATCAATGAGTTGAAAGTAGCGCGCGATCAGTTGAGCGACTGGGTCAAAGAGTTTGAAGAGCGTCACAATGCTCGATTTGCGGTTAGGACGTCCAATGATAAGCATCGATATCTGAAGTGTGCACAAAGCACTGATAAGGATGGAGCAATTACATGTCCTTCTTTTATTCGGGTTTGGCTTGCTTCCTTTCTGCGATTGCCTTCTTCTAGATCAATTTTCTCGACGCTCAATCTGCCGAAATTATTTTTGCCGATAAGCACTCGCACGCGCCAGACATTCCCAAGCTTACGTTGCGCAACTCTCTAGTAGAAGATCGCATTGTCGCGCTTTTGCAACAGGGTATACTCCTGGTATTTGACTTCAGCTTCCCTTTAGACATACCACCTCAAAAAATCATCGACCAGTTCCGCGCTCCATTCCTTTCCGATGGAATAGCTGAAAACACGCCGAAAAACCGTGAATTCTACGTTACCTTGGACGATATCCGCTCCTGCGCCCAACGAAGCGGACTCGTCTCTGGAAAGCTTCACTCTGAAGATTTGATATCACTCGACCTTCGTCATCAGCGGGATTCTATTGAAGACGGATTCCTAAACTTTGAAAAGCCAACGGAATTGCCTTGTGCTAATGGTTTCAATATAGGTTAGGCTGCGTTGTTTTGCTAGATTGATATTTTTTAGTAATTGTAACGCCTTTGCAACAAAAGTGGCTCACAGAATACGGGCATAAGGGCGTCGTCATTGATGATACATATGGTGTGACCCTTTACGACTTACGCCTTGCTACGATATTGGTGCTGGACGAGCGAGATCGCGGTCTGCCCGTTGGATTTATGCTGTCGGCCCAGATGCGTGCAAGCGACGTCGTGAAGCTGTTCGAGGGGATCCAGTTTGTAGCCTTAATCAACGATATCTCTCAATCTAGGAAAAAGTGCCCTGATTTTGAACCCAAGTACTTGATGTCGGACGACGATTCTGTATTTTGGTCCGCATACAAAACCATCTTCCCCAACGCGAATACGCAGAAGTTGCTATGTAAATGGCACAATTTAAAGGCGCTTAATCGCAACCTTTCCAAACTGTCAGATGTAAGACATTTTCCCGCGCACAACAATGCTTTAGAAAACACTGGGTGATGAGTTGATGAAAGATTTACGGGCTTTGCACAACGTCGTTAACCGGGCCAACTTTGACACGCAACTCGAAAAAATTCTGATCTTTCTTGAAGGGCACGGTGAAACGGAATACCTAAAATATTTTAAGGTAATATACCTATTCCATTATTTCGCACTGTTTCCTAGCAATATCATCTTTCCCGCCAAAACGAGTGGGCCGCATGGGCAAGGATACGCGCACCATTCGCCACATCAATGGCAGCCGAGACCTGGCATCGAAGGCTAAAGCGTGATAACATCTACGCCAAAAGGAAGGGCCGTGCGGACGCACTAATTGACCGGCTGATCAGTTACCCGAAAAAATACGCCGCCCACCTTTGTGTCATGGACGCCCGAACGATGAATCCTACCAAGAGGATGGAAGAAAATGCACGGCGCCATAAACGAGCCGTTGACTTCTACCCCGCGACCAACTGCCAATCGTTGGACGAAGCTGTGTGGGGCGTCCAGTCCTTGTCTACCGCAGAAGTGCACAACGTTATCAAGATCGGCCCTTGCCATTGTTCAGTAGGAATTGGCGCGCGACACTGAATTAATTATAGGAAACCAAAAATTCACATTGTCTCGATTGCTTTGCCTGTCCATACGAGTTCTATTGCGAGTGCCCCAGTGACACGGTGAAAGGGGTATCCTGCGTCCACATTCATGCTCTCCATCTATCAGGTTGAAAATAATCTCTATTGACCATCTAAAAAAATGTTAGGTCTCCTCCCCCGCCAAATGGCTATCGCCGCTTCTTCGCATCAGGAATTTGATGATCCAATCCCAGAAATCCCGGTACAGAACGAAAACATGCCCCCAGAATCCCAGAAAAAGGAAGCCCTACAAAAATTTAGAACAGTAAGTATTAGACTACAAATTCATTAGAATCATAGACCCTAAATGCACTTTGGTATGCGGCGGCGGATTGCGACGTTGAGCTCCTTGAAAACTGGCAGGAAGACATTGAGGAAAAATTACGTACCATCACCAAGGAGAAACGCAAGCCAGTCATCGCACCAAGGCAACAGAATGATGTCCCGATCCGCGAAGCTTCCGCCAATTACCGCATGCAATCTAAGGCCGCTAAGCGGAAACTCGAGCCATAGATTGCGGGGTGTTGCTGTCTCGTTCCTTCCTTCTTTCCTTGTTGTTGTTCATTGTTATCTTGTTGTTGATCGCCATAAATATCACAGAAAACCTACTAGAGAGCATAAAAGACAAAAATTACCCTAAAAATGTATTACACTTCACTTTTCGATTGTTTTCTTTGTAGAAAGACTTCTTTGTATGTTTTACCAACGAATCGGGCCATTACGCGAGGGAAACGGGGGGTGGGCCCGGGGGGCGGGGGTACTGTCACTGGGGCGCGCCATAGGAATCCCGGAGTTCGCGCGTTGTGCCCAGGGGCTCCCGTCATGTAGGGTATCAAAATGAAGCTCTTGGGATGCTCTATCAAACCAGTGGCAACGATTATTGATCGGTTTAACCAGTCGTCAATAGGATCCTTAAAGATTTCCGTGGGATCTTCTACGCCAACAACTACCGGACATTCGGAACGCTGCGCGTTGTGCTCTTCGACCAATGAGGGGTGCTGGAATCCCGACGCACCGAGCACTAAAAATTTCGTTGAATACGCCGGAGCTTGAGATAAATTGTTGTATTTGTTGTTTGAAACACTGGCATTTTCTCAGCTTATTAGGGGACCCTTTCAAGTAGTTGGGTAGGTAGAGAGACAGAGAAAGAGAGAAAAAGAGAGAGAGATAGAGAGAGAGGAGATAGGGAGAGAGAGGGAGAGAGAAAGAGAGGAGAGAGAGAGAGAGAGCCAGAGAGAGAGGGAGAGAGAAATACTGAGCGAGGGAGAGACACAGAGGGAGGGAGAAACGCAGAGAGAGAGACAGAGAGAGACCGAGCGAGAGAGAGAGAGAGAGCGCGTGAAGGAGGGTCATACAAAGAGAGAGCGAGAGAGAGAGTGAGAGAGAGCTGGTGTGAGAGAGTGGGAGAGACGTTTTTGCATTGTAAAAATGGGTCGCATCAGAGTATTCCTAGGTGATTTTTGTCAGGGGAAATTTTCTGCGGTAAAGATGAGTTGACACAAAGTCACTACTTCTCAAATCATTATGTCTAAAAAACGTTACTTCTAAGAACATCACTTCTAAAAGTTGGTACGTCGTATTATCAGTTTTTCGGCACCGTTGGCCATGTTTGGGACGCCCCGTAGACGCTTCCCTATTGGTTTTTTGTCGAATAGATTTTTCAACGTTAAGATGTTGTTATTAAAAACTGGACGGAGTGAGGGGCCGAACTTAATTCTCTCCTGCATGGCAGATGGCCATTCAAATGTCACCCAGATTGCCGGAGGTGTTTGGATCAATTTGTCGATAGGTGCCGTGGGCCATTCCTTCAGCTACAACCAAGCGCCGCATTCTCCACTTGCCTCCCTTCCATACAACGTCGATCGCCATTAAATGTTTCCCGTCGGCCGCCTTCCGGATCCTTTGGTGATGGCTGTGCTCGATCAGCTGCCAATCCGCGGATTGCAGAGTTTGCAGCGTGTCAATAGAAAACTCAGGTAATCTTCTGATCTGTATAGGCCACAGGGGCCAGTGATCCGCATCGTGATCGCCTCATTTCCAGTCGGAGAATGGCTGTTTTCGTGTGCTTCAGCGATAGAGAGGAGCGAGATAGAGAGAGAGAGAGAGAGAGAGAGAGAGAGGAGAGAGAGAGAGAAGGGGGAGAGGGAGAGAGAGTGCGAGAGAGGGAGAGAGTGAGTGAGTGAGAGAGAGTGCGAGAGAGGGAGAGAGTGAGTGAATGAGAGAGATGTGCACTGATGTGTGAGAGAGAGAGAGAGAGAATACTGCATCTAATTAACGGCTACTTTAATCGGAGAACGGGGCTTCCAATGGAAAATTTTTCACCAAGATGGCGACATTTAACCGTAATTGGAAGATAAAACCAGGGTTGAAAACCGCTTCGCTCCGCAAGTTCAGCCGGAAATCAGCCGGAAGTTCGGCCTTGCCGCCGTGAAATCGTCAATACGGAAAAAACACACACTTTTCCCGAATTACCACCATAACGCCGAATCATATAATCCCGAATTTTCATAACTCCGATTTTCATAATCTCGAATTTTCATAATCCCGCCATTTCATACATTTTTTGACAACAATTTTTTAGTTTAGTGGAGGATTTTTGGTAGTGGGAATCAATTTGCGCCCAGTAATTTCGTACGGCCCTATAACGCAATATAAACCATTTTTATAGTATTTTTTTCGTAGTTTTGGTGCAGTTTTTAGATATAAAAAGTCTAGTAAAAAATTTTGGTAAAAAATGGCCAAAAAAGTTCCGTTTTCGGCGTTCCAAAAATTCAGCCTTTTGACATTCGGGATTATCAAATTTCCGGGTTTCTACAATTCGGCGTTATGAAAATCGACACTATAAAAATTCGGCATTATGAAAATAAGCCATTTTTCCCGCTGATAGGATAGGATTGTCGTCTGAGCCTGTCGATACGTAATTTTTAAAAATGCATTTAGGGCTCTGGTGAATGGACGCGGGCTGTTTCCGCGCAGATTGGAATGGCTCTCATTCGATGCAAGTCGGCCAGACTCAAATGATCATGGGAACGAAAGCGGCAGCGAAAAGAAAATGGTAACTTTTCTTTACTATAAAAGACGTTTTTAACTGTAGTTAACCAATTTTTTTCGGCATCACCCTAAATTTTTTTATAAATGGCGGATGCGTTTATAAATGGTTTTTAGCTCATCCTAGGCATAAAAACTACACACATTTTAATTAAAAAGTTTAATTTTAGGTCAAAAAAAATCCTATAGAACCTTTAGAATTGGCGGGGGGGGCGGGGGGGAAGACCCAAAATGATTAAATTTTCGACTTTTTCAAACATTTTTCTAACTTTTTTTGAAGGTTTTTCTACCTTAAATATAGTTAAAATTTACTAAAAACAATGTGAAAACACTTTATATTCGATCACTAGATCTATTGGGACCGCGAGGAAAAAATTTGGCTCCCCCCGGAATATGCTATCCTGCGGACGGTTACCGGCCGGTAACCAAACCAACGAGACGTCAGTGGACCTTTAATTCAGCTGTGGGTGGATGCAGTGGAAATCCGAGCGAAGGATGCAGACCGATGGGAGCTGGTGGTTCGAAGCCACAAGAACACAATCATCATCATCAATGAATGTTTTGAGCTGGTGAAGTAAGGTTGCAAATAGCTATCAAAATGAGAAGGAAATTCTGCGAAGGGGGTTAATTGCCTTGCTCGTCGCTTTCAGGCTTCCCCAATGATTTCGCGGTGAGGCAGATCGCCAAAATCTCCAACGGCAAAAATAGCAGGGTGCCTTTCCAGCGAATCGACCCTCGAATTCAATCGTTTCCTCCAATTTGTGGGAAAAGAACGCGTGGCTGTGCGGGAGTTAACGCTTGATGTACCTACGAATTTGTTACAGGTGTGTACCAAAGAGGTAGAAGCTCTATAATACCGACTTTACGGAAGGCCGATTTCCATAATGCCGATTTTCAAAATGTCCATTTCCAAAAGTATTCTAAACCTTTTGACAACCGGTTTAGGTTAGAGATGTTACGCATACCGACGCGACGTTGGGATAACATGCAAATTATGATGCAACGCGCAAAAAATCGTTTTGTTGAGCTTATTTTGTACGTTGCATCATAATCTGCATGTTATCCCGGCGTCGCGTCGGGATGCGTAACATCTCTAGTTTAGGTCCAGCTACCATTCGAGCCGCGGGTATGCCGTATACACACGCAAATGGGTGAAAGTTATGAGGTAAGAGAGATAGAGAGAGAGTGAGAGAGAGAGAGAGAGAGAGAGGGCGAGAGAGAGAGAGTGGGAGAGTGGAGAGCTAGAGAGAGCGTGAGAAAGCGACCCTGAGAAAGCAGAGGAAGAGAGAGATAGATAGAGAGAGAGAGAAAGAGGCAGGCGAGAGAGGAGAGAGAGAGAGAGAGAGAGAGAGTGGGAGAGTGAGAGAGCTAGAGAGAGCGTGAGAAAGCGACCCTGAGAAAGCGAGAGGAAGAGAGAGACAGATAGAGAGAGAGAGAAAGAGAGACAGAGAGCGAGAGAAAGAGAGAGAGAGAGAGAGAGAGAGAGAGTGGGAGAGTGAGAGAGCTAGAGAGAGCGTGAGAAAGCGACCCTGAGAAAGCGAGAGGAAGAGAGAGAGACAGATAGAGAGAGAGAGAGACCGAGAGAGATAAAGAGAAAGAGAGAGATAGAGAGAGACAGAGAGAGAGAGAGAGAGAGAGAGAGAGAGAGAGAGTGAGAAGGCCAGATATTGCACAAATTGCAGATCAGCCCGCTGTTCGCATGGGTTGCTGCTGCACAGCAGCTCACCTTATTTTTCATGAGCTTTGCCCCAATCCGAAAATTCTTACTGAACTATCATAACGGCGTCTCGAAACTTGTTTGCTGGGTTTGTTTTTGCGTTATGACAGGTCGTTCAAGATTTAAAATTTGGAGATCCCGGTGTTTTCCTGTTAGCGGGAGGGGGAATCATAGAGCACCGTAGAGCCCTATCACGAAAAAAACATTTTTATGGTATTTTACACAGCTTTTGGATACAAGAAAATTATAAAAATATCATTAAAAAATGTCGAAAATTTTTAGATGTATGAAAATGGCCAAAAAAGTGTCAAGAATCTCGATTTTTTTCAAAAATTGTTACAAATGTTTGGTAACTTTCTACAAATCAGAAAGTAATAAAATCATTGTAGGTTCTTTAGGATTCCGGGGGAACAAATTTTTTTCGGCACAAGCCTAGAATTTTTTATAAATTGCGGATGCGTTTCTAAATTGTTTTTAACTGTTCCTGTGCATAAAAACCACACATTTTAACCAAAAAAATGTAAAAAATTAAAAATTAGGTCGAAGAATCCTATAGAACCTTTAGGATTCGCGGGGGGGAAGCCTCAAAATGACCAAATTTTCGACCTTTTCAAACATTTTTCTAAATTTTTCTGAAATGATTCTGCTTTAAGTATAGTTAAAACTTACTAAAAACAATTCGAAAACCCTTTATATTTGATTACTAGGTCAGCCGGGACCACCAGGAAAAAAAGAAAATTGGTTT